CTTGGTCTTGACGAAACACGCAGACACATGCTCACGTAGGAAGGAACGGCGGGAATAGATAGTGATCCTACCCTCTCCGCACATACTCTACCCTTGGCGAGAGCTCATTGCCTAATTGGGACAGCTTCGCCCCCCTGACCAACTCTCTACACAAAACGGATTGACTTCGTATGCTGGAATAGCCGGGAAAGTCCCCTAACCTGGTTGTACTCTCGGACTCGATCTCTCCCCAGATCAGCGGCCCGTCGGGGATTGCTGTCAAAAGCCAATTTGTTGGTCAATTGGCTCGTCCGCGGACCTTCCTCTTCCAGGATCTTATCTCAGCGGGTGAACGCGTGCAATATGGCCAACATGACATAGAGACGCAAAACATGCCATGCTCCGATAGCATCGGAACTGCAATACCCAACACGGCAAGTTGAGCAAGGAAGTCGAGGTTAGTGTTTAGCTGAGAAAGAGGGGTTGGCACAGCCAAGAAGCAGATCCTTCGGCTGACTCTTCTCACTCGCTGCTGACAAGGTTGTGTTGGTTTTGGGCAAGCATTGCGAGACTCCCGAGAAACTAACAAAAAAGGGAACAGGGTTACTAAACACAAAAAAAATCGCGAAAACACGCGTAAAGCACCGCCCATTTACCGCACGCGACGGGATGTGCAGCAGATGCGGTAGATCTTCAATGGAACACGATCCCACAGCCAAGGCACCCGCAGCAAGTCATGACGCGTGGATGCAGAGCATATGCAAGCTCTAATAGACATCTGCATTCGGAGTGGAGAAGGCTCACAACCTCCACACAATCGAAACTTTAGCGCCTGCCTGTGCCCTGACGGAAACAGAGTAATACGCTACTCTTGACTGGAGAGAGTTTCCTGACGGGCAAGTGGCAGGAAACCTCCTGATTCGGCTTGGAGCGAGGGCACCACTACGCCGCCTTTTTTTTCCAAGGCACGACGCCCGGCCGGGACCAATGGGCAGACGATCAGACCTGGTGTTTTGACGAGGTTGGAAGCGCCAATGCCGGCTCGCTCACCTCCGGACCAGCTGCGATGCATGCAAAAGTACAGAGAGTAGGTAGTAGGACTGCGCCGCAGCCATCCTGCTGGATCTGTTGGATCTCGGGCCAATTCGAGTGCATGGCTGGCCTGCGGGCAAAGAATCAGACGCTTTCGAGTCTCCCCTTGTCCGGCTGAGACTCGTCTATCCATACTCTGTCCGGCGTGCTGCATCTGCCTATTGTTGCAGAACGTGAAGCTGCGCTGGACCGAGACGAGGTCTAAGGATCAATTGGCAAGCCTGTTGACAGAGCGCTGCTAGGCAGACAACATGATCTCCAACTGATGCTTCGGAAAGCTGTTGGCGAACGATGCCTCCTCATTCGTCGCCTGGTTTTTCCTCAGAGCTACCAAGCAAATGAGGCGTGCCAGGTGTACAACACACCTGGTTCTTGACGAGATTGGGAGCTGCCCACCAACGGACACGCCCAGCTGGCTCGGCCGCCTGCAGCTTCGTGGTCCAATATCGACAGGGGTCGTGATTCTTCTATTCCCGTCTTGAATTGCGTGTCCGAAGCTGGAGCAGCAGCAGCCTCCTCAATTATACGTATTTCCCCCTCTCTCAATCACAGATCTCGATATCGACCAACTTTGCCAGCTTTCGCTGCATTAGGCATGCAATAGCGTGTTTTCCAAACCTGCTGTTCTAGCGATATCGCAATTTCGACACGAATCTGTTTCCTCGTTTGGTCTTTCATCCGCCTCCCACGTCCAGTAGTCTCATCGCCGATTCTGGGGGGGCTTTAAGTGATGGGCTGGGGCTTAAACGTTATTACGGAGTAATAAGTCACCAAGTATGGGGTTCTGCTGGTGTCTTAGCCGCTGCTGTTGCGATACGACTACGAACTTCCCACAACCCTAGCGATAACGAAGTGGCATGGTCTACCCCTGATGGAGGATTACACCATCACCAGGCCATCGGGGGAAGGTGACTTTGTTTTTAGCCCTGTGGCTTCCCTTCAGCTCCTCGAGTCCGTCGATCCCATCGAAGCCAGTAAGATTTTGGTTGGTTTGACCATGCATATCGGTCGCGCTACAGTCCACTTGACCCCGGACGCTTTTCGTGAGACACACAAGAACAAGTACAAGTAGACAGAGGAGGCTTGACAGGCGACAAGGGTCGGCCGACGTTGAACGCCGTTTCCAAAACGAGGCGATCCCCATTCCGGCAGACAAGCACCGAGGCAATCGTTCCGTCTTTGCACGAAATCTCGCCATCAAAGGGGGCGCCAACGTCTGGGCTCATCACAGCACGTACACGTTCGTCCTGCAAGTCTCTGGCCGAAGTAACGAGGCTTCGACCGAGTCTAACTCTACGGCCCGTGTCGGAAGCAACACCCTGCTTCCCCCTAGTGTCGTGTCTTGGAGGCGAGGCTCCCATTTGATGGCTCTCAAGCGAGGACTGTGAACGGGAAGAACTGTTTAGCCCACCCATGGGCTGAAAAGGTAACCTCGCCGTGGCGTAGGACAACCAAGCCCCTTGCTGTTTTTGAGGTTTTTATTCGTTCACTTGGCAATCTCTCGAGATTGCCCCAGCGCCTGGTGATGGTTGTATTGTCTGTTCGCGCTCGGGTCGATCTTGCACAGTCTTTCCCCGGCACGCCATGATCCATGAAGGATCTGTCTTGCCCTTCTTTCTCGCCGGTAAGAGGCCAGTGATTACTGACCGGCCTCATCAATTCTTTGGATTTCTACATTGTGTTCCACTGGGCCGTTCTGAGACGAGGTCGAAAGCCTAGGGGCTGCCCGGCCCGATGTCTCTGCTTTCTTTGTTCGAGACGAAATTACCTTGGGTGATCGCCGCAGTTTCCGCTCAGTAAGGAGGCGGTCCTCGCCCGGGGACACGACATGCGCACGCCCACGGCATCGCGTGGTCTCTATTTTCTTATTTGCAGCAGATCCACGGCCCTGCAAGCCACAAAGACGGGAAAGAGAGCTGGGGGGGGGATTTGCTCGGACAACATCAGCGGTCTGCTTTCCCTTACTGCAAGCGCAGCAATAGTGGCTGCATGCAGGCGCGCAAGGAGCGAGGGCAGCTGGGTCACCTGAGATCCAATCCAGCGATGTCTTTGCATGCCGCTTGCGGAAAATATTCCTGCTGAGGTGGCAAGCGAAAAGAAGCAATATAGGGCCGTCAGTGTGTGCTCTTTGCTGAAATCCAAAAGGGAACGAAAAAAAAAACTGTCTTGTTCGATCCCGAGCACGAGAGATTTGGAAGCACCAACGTCGAAAAAGAGAAGGTTGCGAGGTGCTCATCTCCGTTCCTTGCACATGCGCATTGACGCAGCCCTCATCACAAATTCTCCGATAGGGCCTCCCTACGCGAACGAATCTCTGAGTGGCCCAGTTGGACAGGACCACATGCACTTTGGCGATGCGGCCCATCCTGAGACCCCTGACTGATCCTGGATGTTGGGTGAGAAAAGTGCACATAGCATTCTCATCATGGCGCCCAAACCACCTCAGCAATTGACATCTTCTAGCCCACCGTTCTGGTTGGCGAAGGTGCGCAGCGGCTTTGGGGGCTGTCGGGGAAATGCGAGTGCAATCCCATGCACGCCTAGCAGAACAAGGAGCCAGCGCTGCTGGGACCCCTTTTTCCAGAACTTCCAAGTTGTCTCCCCCCCTGATATGCTTGGTGCACAAGGCTTGTTTCTAAGATGAGCATCGAGCCTTGACTCCGCCATCGAAGAACCCTGATAGGGTTTGCCCCCACGAGCGAGGGAGCCCAAAAGTTGCGAGTGGCAGAACTGGGAGCTTGGGCTGCGACGACCTCCCATGTCGGCTTCGTCGTTGGCATTGCGATCCACGCGCCATATCTCAAAAGACTCAATGGTTCTGACGCAGGAGAGCGGAGGTGCAGCAATGATGGCACCTTTGAGAACGCACCGGGGAAGATGAGTGGTTTGGCTATCATCAACGGCATAGTTGCTTGTTGCGAGTCTATGGCTGTGCTGTTGCGCTTTGATCTTTGATTACTGACACGAGTTGTTGTCCGCCGCCTGCCTTTCTCCAACAGGCCTGCTCAGGTGCTCGGTATTCACGACCAGTCTTCCCTTCCTCTCAAGAAAGCACGAGCAAGGACTATCCTTAGGACCTCCTCGAGGAAGGTAATGATTTCAGTATTTGACGTTTGTTCAACAGGGTCTGTTTTGTCACTGTGCTGTTCACGCCTAGCTACACCTTTGGGCGGTGAGGGACGAGAAGCGGCGGATGAGAACTTACACATCCATTCTCTGATCACTGCTCAACGGAGATTATAATGCGGGTTCACATCCCATTCTTCCACGTACGACCATAGATGGTAGAGAACTCGGGATCCCGTCCGCTCTCCCATAGATAAAGTGCCAATCGCTGAATTAGTACTCAGGTCGGTGACGACTGGGGAATCCTCGGTGTTGTACGTTTTTTTTTTGTGTCTTTTTAGTCTTCTTCCCATTCTTGTTCTTCTTCAATTGAATCAAAACGAGGTTATTATCTGGGAGTAGTTAGTATCGGTAGGTTGAAAACTACCGTCTTTCTCAACTGTGAATGCGTATCGTCTGTCCTCGGAGCCGCCAATTGCAACGCCCACCAGCACTATCCCAACTTCAATCACTGCTCTAAATTCCTGTTCCTCTCTACCACTGCAGAGGAGGTAGCAATGACGAACATTGGTTCAAACTTAATCCAAGGAGACCAGCATCTCTTCTACACCAGCCCGTCTATATCGTGCGCCCTTTATGACAAATCTGGGATGCTGACAAAACTCACTGCGGGGTCATCATTGCGGCATCGCATCCATATATTGAAACAAGAGAGATGCCGCACCCTGATCCAATAGAGAAATAAAAGAATCCCATTCTGGATATTCCATTGATTCTTCTCTTTTATTACTGCTCTAGATCCTTGATACTCCTCCACGTGTGTTATTTGCAAGGAACAAGATACACCGACAAACATCGACAGTATGGCCCTCAAGATATTCCTGTAAGTGACAGACTACTGTACTCGACGGGACGAGTTCTACCATGCCTCGAGGATCAGACTAACACCGCACGATAACAAAGCACCGGAGTCACCGGCTACATTGGCGGTGATATCTTTTATGAGGTCTACAACGCCCACCCGGAGTACGAGTGGAGCGTGCTCGTCCGCAACGAGGAGCGCGGCAAGCTCGTCTCGGACAAGTACCCCAAGGTGCGGCTCGTGTACGGCTCCCTCCATGACGCAGGGGTCCTCGAGAAGGAAGCCGCTGCGGCCGACATTGTGATCCGTGAGTTCTTGAACCCCGACCGAGGCCTGGATGCTACACTCCGCGGCCTTGCCCTCGGGAGCCCAGCTCCGCAAAAGACGGGAGCATCGACTTGACAATGTTATCCTACACAGACACCGCCGACTCGGCAGATGACGTCCCGTCGGCCACGGCCATCGCAAAGGGCCTCGCCGCGGGCCACACCCCCGAGCGCCCGGCCTTCTGGCTGCACATCTGCGGGACGGGCATCCTGCAGTGGGTGAGCAATTCCCCCCTTTCCTCTTGCGCTCAATGCCCTCCGCGCTGCCCTTACCACCTCCCCTGCCCTCCCCGACCCCCGTCGCCAACAGACAAGAAAAATAGTACGACGCGCAGGAGAAGCGCTACGGGCAGCCGCCCCTGCCGGACCAGCGCTACGGCGACGTGACCGACATCGCCCGCATCGCCAGCTTCCCCGACGCCGCGCTGCACCGCGACGTCGACAAGGTGGTGCTCGCCTGCGCGGCTGGCCACTACCCGGCCGTGCGCGTCGCCGTCGTCGGCCCCCCTTGCATCTACGGCCCCGGGCGGGGCCCCGTCAACGGCCGCAGCATCCAGGCGTACGACATGGCGCGGTTCATGCTGCGCGAGGGGTTCGCGCCCGTCGCCGGCGCGGGCCTGGCCGAGTGGGACAACGTGCACGTGCACGACGTCGCGAGGCTGTTCCGGGTGCTCGTCGACGCGGCGCAGGACGCCCGGTACAGGGACGACGCCGAGGTCTTCGGCCCCAGGGCGTACTACTTTGTCGCCAACGGCGTGCACAGCTGGGGCCAGGTGGCCCGGTGGCTGGCCGAGGAGGCGTACAAGCAGGGCTTCATGGGTGAGGTCAAGGCCGAGGAGATCACTCTCGAGGCGATGCGTAACCTGGAGAGCAAGGGGAACGCCAGCTGGTTCATGAACTCAAAGGGGGTGCCTGAGAGGGCCAAGAAGTACTTTGGCTTCCAACCCCAGGGGAGGAGCCTTCAAGACGAGATCCCAGACATCGTGGCTGGCGAGGCCAAGTTGCTCGGAATCAAACCGACAGGGCACACTCATTGATGCGCGTCACTGTGAATGAACCGGTGAAAGCATGCACAGAATTATTCCCGGAGGGTTGAAATAAAGAGAGTTCGTCTATGTGATTATAGCTCGTGGCTAAATGACATCAAAGAAGAGCTTGACCTGTACCTCGTTTGCCCAGCCTGGTTTCAGCTTCATCTCGTTCCAAGCAGTCTCTATGTCCACCTCGAGTATATGCTGGTCGATCTTGCTTTTGGTTACAGTCTTTGGAGGGATGACCTGTCCTTGGATCGTGGCAATGAAATTCTCGCCAATGTCCATCTCTGGCAGTGTCGAGATGTAGACCCCTGGAAATATGTTAGCTTGCTGCTTTCAGGAGGCAATGCTGATTTGGCCTACCAAGCACCCCAAGGGCCTTGATGCTGGTGTCTAGAAGGATTCGGCCATTGTGCTGGACTTCATAGTTGCTCCTGACAATAGCTGCTGCGCCAGTCATCTTCTTGACGAGTCCAAGATTGCAGACTTCAAGTTGACCTGTTGTTTTGCGATCAAACGTAGTCAAAGGATACGCGCTGAGGATCTCATAGCCTCTGACTCCAAGTGCTGCGGTGAGGATCGCTGTGGATGAGCCAGGACTCAGAGGTCTGCTGGTCAGACCCGTCGTGTGAGCGCGTACAATGTACCTCTGGGATGAATGCACTCCAGGGAAGCTGGCAAGAGGTATGAGGTCTGCCAGGGGTTGGGGAGAGATGTTGAACACTCCAAGGAAGCTCGTGCCTCGCCCGGCAGCTCCTGCTTAGGGGTAAGTGGACAGTCATAATAAAATAGGCCAGCAGGTCCTCACCATGGAAGCTGCCGATAAGCAGCAATGAGTTATCATGATACCCTACATATTGGTGGATGGCCCTTCCCAGCACGCTCGGCCTGAAGATAACCGTCTTGCCCCGAGGAGTAATGCCCGTCATTTGTCCGATGAGATCCATGTTGTGCTCACCGGGAACGTCTGTGACATAGATAGGCCCGCCGCTCAAACATCTGGCTGCGGCATGGAAGCTCGAGTAATCATGGACTGTCTGAAACATGTCCCAATCGGGTAGAACATTCAAATGTTGCGTGAAGAGGCTATTATGGGCGTTCGTCCATATATGCCATGGATGAGAGTCTGGGATCTCGGGGAAGTAATCATCGCTGTTCCGCAGGACAACAGCAGGGCGGTTGCTGGGAAGCTGCGAGTAAAGCATGATCTGAGGTGTTTGCGACATGCAAGAAATGACCTTGTTGGAAAAGTATCGCAAACCCGATATCGTCCAGGTGTCCTGGTAAAGTTTAATCAGTTCTCTCCGGACTTTGGCCGACTCCCACATGTCGATCATGAATTGAGCATCGGTCTTAACGCCATCAACGCCGCACGACGAGAGGAACCGATACGCATCGTCGTAGAATCTTTCCACGTCTTCCTTGGCAATGATCAAGACCTTACCACCAAGCGGTAGCCCACGTCGCTTCGAGTCCTCGCGGACCGTCTCGATTGTTTTGTAGGTCTGTGCCAGCTTCCCCTCTGGAGAAATGCCGCCCCAGTAGCCGAGCAAAGCATGCCAAACCGCCACATGCTGGATGTTTGGATGATCCTTGCGGAGCTTTTCTACAGTCTTCTTCAGTCCTTGAGGAAAACCCCTAGGTTCGGCTTCAAAGTCTTTCCAGCCGTGTTGAAACTGTGACTCTCCACGATAGTCGATTGACTGCCAGTTGTCGTCGATGATGAGGTTTGTAATCTTGATGTTGCTTTTGGCCAGCGCATCAACAGCCTTGAAGATCTTCTCATCTGTCAATCGTTGGCCAAGGGCGTTCCAGGTGCCTCAAACCCAAGTCAGCTCATCTCCCGAACAAATTATGTCATGGAAAGATTCCTACAGTATCCAAGCCCATCGAACCAGTTCTCCATCCACTCTGCCCTGACATCATCCGGATGGGCACTTAGCTCTTTGCTGATTCTTGCGGTCAGGCTATCAGCGATGGATGACCCAAGGCCGCGAGCGTGATACATCACAGTCGCATTGGCGCTCTCAAAATTAGTTCCCACAGCAGCCAGTACCGTAGCAGTTGCTTCCGTCGCGCTGTCATTCCGTACCTATACTGATTCTTCAGCCAGGACATTCTGATTGACCCCCAAAATTGGCACACAGACCTTCAACATCACGTTCCCATCGTCTCCACTTTGGAAGACGGTGAGGGTATCGTTGAGACCACTCATGGCAAGGAGAACGAGGTGTTGACCGTGCTCGTTGAGAAAGGAACACAAGATGCCATCTTTGTCGAGCGCGAATTTGGTCTTGCCGTGCCTGGGTGCCAGCCAGGGCGACCAGATACGTATCAGAGCGAACCATCTAAGGGGTAGTCAGCAGTGAAACGACAAGAGAAGATGATATGGAGAGATCTCCGGAGGCCTGCACCCTTACCTGAGAAACTTGCCCCACGGCAGCCCCAATCGGATGGTTGTCGATGAAGAGATGTCATCTACTGCTCTAGGCACAGTCGTTTCGATAGACCACAGTTCGGTGCCTGGGCACTGGCTCGGAGCAGACCTGACCTTCAAGGAGGGATTGAGATCATGTATGATACTACTGAGATCGCTTGGAGAGCCTCTGCCGACCGCATCTGCGGTCTCAATCACGATCCCATCATCGGCGCCCTGTTCATCCCTGACCCACCGCCACTCTACATCAGGACTCTGTCTGAATTTGACGGTGAACCGTAGCTGGCCTTCGACACGGAGGGAAGAAGTGAAATACAGTCGCGCGGTAGACGCACTCCAGCCCTGCAGTGACACTGGCTCCTCGCCGGCCGTGCTGCGTTGAAACACCGTCTCGGTCCAGCTTGCAGTGTTATTACCGCCACCTGCATGCCATAGGGCAACTTGCCAAGACTCCTCAGCGAGACTTTGGTCAACTTCGAGAAGCACCCAAAATTTGGCTTCGCTCTCTCTAATTTGTGTGACCTGGCTCAGGGGCGGGTAGCTTGAGATCATCATGGGTGTCTGACCAGCAGTCAACGTAGGCACCGGCTTCGGAGCGGGGATGAGGGTGCGCGGGAAACCGGCGGCCTGGTCATACTCTGCATAGCTCATAGCTGGTTATGTGTGTTTTGGAAATGAACAACAACCAGAAAAGTTATCACGCTGAGATCTTGAAGGCTAGAAGCACGATTCAAAGTTACAATCGAGGTCCGAATGAATTGGGCAGGTCTCACACAAGCCCAATGTTTGATGTCGCAAGGCAAGTGTGGCCGATGCATGTGTTGTAAGTGGGTTTGGTGACGTGCCTGCCATGCACTTGATGCAGGTGGCTGTCAGCTTGTCGCCCGTGTGAGATAGACTGATGCCTTCAACATCAAATATCGGCGAAGACCTATTTGAAGTAAATTATCCCAATCAATTCAGCCGGCCGACCCAGAATGTCATCTTTCTCTTTTCAATTTCTCGATGCCATGGGGTTTCGTTTTGTGAAAATAAAGTACCGTACCAAGAAACGGGCCCTTCCGAGGCTGTATGTTCCTTCCCCCCGTGCTCCAGGTCGACCACGGGATCCATCACGTGACCCACAGCCAATAAGCGTCCGGCCATTTCCGAGAATTACCGCCTCACAGATCAGGCAGCTCCTGGGTTAGCAGTTTTCCAAAGCTCGTAGCCGAGAGATCTCGAAAGATTTCCGACAAACCGCTCAATTCATCCCTTCTCAACGGCAACCACCGCGATGGCGTCCCGGAGATTAGCTCTTAACCTTGCGCAAGGCCTGCGAGGCCGTGCAGGTCGCTCTGCTGCTGGTCTTACCCGGGGCTTCGCGACGCCAGTCTCGGCTCCTGTCAAGACCCAGACCACAACACTCAAGAATGGCCTGACGGTGAGCCTTCACTCTGATGCGCAGCCATTGACCACCCAGACGCCCATCTAACCTCGCATCTTCCCTCCTAGGTCGCTACCCAGTACTCGCCGTACGCCCAGACGTCGACTGTCGGCATGTGGATCGATGCCGGCTCTCGTGCTGAGACCGCCGAGACCAACGGCACCGCGCACTTCCTCGAGCACCTGGCCTTCAAGGTACGCACATATATCAGGATCGCCACGCGAGACGTACACCAAGCAATGGACCTATCACTGACATCCAACCCAGGGAACGGCCAACAGGACGCAGCAGCAACTCGAGCTGGAGATCGAGAACATGGGTGCTCACCTGAACGCCTACACTTCGGTTCGTGCAAATTTGATATCTGATACATCCCATGTCTCCTTTGCGCCAGATCTAACATTCCTCTCCTCATCTTTCAGCGCGAGAACACCGTCTACTTTGCGAAGTCTCTCAACGAGGATGTCCCCCAGTGCGTTGACATCCTGTCCGACATTCTCCAAAACTCCAAGCTCGAGGAGTCCGCCATCGAGCGTGAGCGCGATGTTATCCTCCGGGAATCCGAGGAGGTCGAGAAGCAGGTTGAGGAAGTCGTGTTCGACCACCTCCACGCCACCGCCTACCAGCAACAGCCCCTGGGACGCACCATCCTGGGCCCCCGCGAGAACATCCGTGACATCACCCGCACCGAGCTTTCCAACTACATCAAGCAAAACTACACTGCTGACCGCATGGTCCTTGTCGGTGCCGGCGGTGTCCCCCACGAGAAGCTGGTCGAGATGGCCGACAAGTACTTCACCAAGCTGCCTGCCAAGTCTCCCGAGACTGGTGCCTATATCCTGTCCAAGAGGAAGCCCGACTTCATCGGCTCCGATGTCCGTGTCCGCGACGACACCATGCCCACCGCCAACATCGCCATCGCTGTTGAGGGTGTGAGCTGGAACGATGAGGACTACTTCACTGCTCTCGTCACCCAGGCCATTGTCGGCAACTACGACAAGGCTCTCGGCAACGCTCCCCACCAGGGTAGCAAGCTGAGCGGTTTTGTCCACAACAACGACCTGGCCACTAGCTTCATGAGCTTCTCCACGAGCTACAGTGATACTGGGTGAGCATTATCTACTTGGACCCCTTGCGATGGGGTTTACTGAACTGACACGTTTTCCTTGTTAGACTCTGGGGTATCTACCTGGTCACCGACAAGCTGACCCGCGTTGACGACCTCGTTCACTTCACCCTCCGTGAGTGGTCTCGCCTGTCCAACAGCGTAACTGAGGCCGAGGTCGAGCGTGCCAAGGCTCAGCTCAAGGCTTCCATTCTGCTTTCTCTCGACGGCACCACCGCCGTTGCCGAGGACATCGGTCGCCAGATCGTCACTACCGGCCGTCGGGCAAGCCCCGGTGAGATTGAGCGCATCATCGACTCCGTTACCGAGAAGGACGTTATGGACTTTGCCAACCGCAAGCTCTGGGATCAGGACATCGCCATCAGCGCTGTGGGCAGTATCGAGGGTCTGTTCGACTACGGCAGAATTCGTGCCGATATGAGCCGCAACTTCTAAACAGGGGGAGTAGAGTGGTTGGCCTGGGGGTTGCAGTTGTGTAATACTAGTCGTGGATCTCAAAAACCCATTGTACTGTAGCGTTGGGGGGTAGATATAGAGCAATCCAGTGATTCTACAAAATGGCATTTTATTTGTTACACCTGGTTTGCACAGCCTCGTCGTCTTCTTTCTTTTAATGGGTGATCAGCGCCAGGTAGTCCTCGGCTCACCTTCGAACTGGAACGAGCTTCAAGCTGACTGTCATTCGGCAGGGTCGAAATCGAGGCCAGTGTTTCTCCTCGCCAGCATGCCTACAACGTCGTCCTTGCCGGTCTGACAGCTCTTTGCCTCGGCGCATCTGGTCACAAACTTGCTTACAACAGCAGACAGCTTCCAGCGATCACTACAATAATATACCCGACTTCGATTTGACTTTTTGCCTTTCACATGTGCCCTGACAACGGTATCGGACAGGTTTTTTGTCCATGGTATAGGAATCCGGACGATACCTCAAAGCCAACCTCCTGATCATCTGTCGGAGCATGGACAGACGGTGCAAGCGAATCGTGGTTCCTTGTATGAATTGGATCAAACAATGAGCATTGGGGGGTTGCGAGTAACGTAGAAAGAATATCCAACCGTCGGAATGATCAAATTAATCAAAGAGCCTCTCAGGACTTCCATTGTCTATGCATTACCAGAGCATATGCTCTTTCTCAAGTCAACGCTGCCGCCCCTTGATGGATCCCAAGACTGGTCGAAAGTCACATTCTATGCGGCATCACCCTCCTTGCCCCATCTTGAAGTCTCATCGCCGCCTTCCCACGACTTCTCGACATAGCCCAGCTCCTCTTTGACTCTCTTCACAGTGGCAGAATCGCCAGTGTTCTTGCCAATGTTGTCGCTAGTGGAGGAGAAATATGTCAGTTGTTTCCGGATGGCACTTCGGGGAAATGAAGTTGGGCTTACCTGATCTTGACGGCTGGCCGTCCATGAGCAGAGCTCAACTTGATCACAATGTTGAGGGGCACGGACTTCTTGCCCGTCGAGAGTTGGATAAAGTCGTTGGTGAGAAAAGTGCCAACACCGAAAGTTGGCTGGAAGCCGGCCTCCTCCGATACCTTCTTGTACTCTAGGCAGCGGTCTATGTTGAGTGAGTCCGAGAACACAATGACCTTCTTGTCCTTGATGCCGTTGGCGTCGTAGAAGTCGCGCATAGTCTTGACAAACTGGGTCGGGTCGCCCGAGTCCTGACGCACGCCCGTGAAGCACTGGGCGTAGCTTATAGTCTTGTGCGACCCGTCGTGCGTGACCGGCTCGGCGCCCTCGGCGGCGATGAAGGTGTCTGCTATCGAGCCGTGCTTCTTGACCACCTTGGGCGCGTCGCCCAGGGTCTTGACGGGCTTGCTGAAGGCCTTGAGGAACTCGGGCGTGCCAAAGGTGTCCGTTAGGGCGATGCCGAGCACGCCCTCCCCGAAGCAGTTGACCCAGCGGCAGAGGGCCTCCTCCGACGCCATGGTGTAGTTGTCCGTGATGGCGGCGATGCCCATGAACCACTCGTGGGCGACGGTGCCGACGGGCGGGATGTTGAAGCGCATCGCTAGGTGGACGTTGCTGGTGCCCGAGAGCTTGCCCCCAGTCAGACCACGCTTCTCTGCCTCCTTGCTTGCCTGTACGAGCCCTCTGAAAACGAGAGCTTGGGTGTGGTAATCCCGGCGCCGTCTGGTGCCAAACTCGGAGAACACGCAGCCAGCCTCGAGGAGCTTCATGCCCTTCTCAAAGGCGCGCTCTTGTTGCCCTTCATAGGACCAGTCCGTATCCATGAACTTGAAGTAGGCTTCTGAGGTCAGGGCGAGAATCGGAATCTCGTACAAAATGGTGTCGACCCAGGTGCCCTTGATCTGGATGTCGACATCGCCAATGTCGGTACCAGCGCCGGTGTCTTGGCCGACCGGGATGAAGGTGATCTCCACCTGGTCTCTGGGGTTGAGCCTGAAGTCCTTGAGGAAATCCAGGTACTCGGGCGTGAGGTAGTCGCAGTGTCGCTGCAAGAACTGCAGCTCTTCGGTCGACAGAGAAATGTTTCCCAGCTTCCTGATCTGGTCGGCGAGCCAGAGGTAGGCGGTGCGTGAGAGCTTCTTCTCTGGGGTGCGATTTGTGTAGGCATACGTCACTGGCACATCCCTGTAATACTTGAGGACAGCGCATTGCATAGTCAACTTGTACAGATCGGTGTCCAGGAAGGAGATGACGCCCTCCGGATAGGGCGATGAACTGTTAAAAGCCATGTCGGTGGCTGGTGGGTTGCAACTCCCTTGTGAACTTGTGACAGCCTGGTGTAATGAAGTGAGATGAGACGAGGTGGCTAGGTGTGAGAGCCTCGTGAGCGAAATCACGCAAGGCTCTTGGGAAGCGTCGAGAATGCAATCCAGTTGCAGGAAACAATGCAAGTCGGTTTCGAAATTGATAATGAGGTAGACGGATGATACAGCCTCACTGGCAGGATAGACCTTGAGTTGAAGAGTCGCAGGTTGGTAATGCTAATGATGTGACTCCAGTCTTGGAGAGATGTGAACCATGCGACCCGGCTGGCACGTCCTTCCTCCTTGAGTTTTGGACCTTACTCAGACACTTCTAGTCGCACGAATAGTGGTGTCTTACTCGCAGCTGTTGGATCAAGTACCCACAGACTCTTCAATCTAATAAGGAGCTGGCTGAGCGACAAGGTGGTTTTCTGTAAGCGGGGTGAACGAGGGAGTCATGAACCCTGAAGAATGAAGAAGAGAGAATAAAAGAGGGAGAAGTTTGGAGACGAAAGGAAACTCGAGAATTGAGCGAAAGAGTCACCATTCTTGTCTACCTATATCCGCAGTTGTCTAGGTTTGTTCCATTGCGCTGCGAGCACGCAGATTCAGCTGCTTAGGCTCCGATGTTAGGAGCTTGTCATTGGCTCCAGCGCTTCAAGCACCCTGGATGCTCCCTGGATTTACTGGCATGACCGGCGGCACTCGTGGGGTCTTAGTGGGGTGCTACAGAAGCACAGACCCCACCTTAATCCCCTGTCGCTCGCCTCTGACCGCATGGCAGAAAAAAATCCCAGCCAGAAAAAAAAGTTTGGAGCACCAAGCATCTCGATAAGTCGATTTGGCCTGCGATTGCATTTGCAGCAAAGCCAAGACAGCACAATCTTGTTGTTGCGGGAAATGCTACACATACTAAGCCCCAGACACTTCTAGGGAGGCCATTTTACTCTACGGCACTGGGAATTGTTCGCATCCTTCTATCTCGCTCACGGCAATTGCCGCAGTTCTGCCTTCCCAAGATGGACATTCATCGCTGCCGCTTCGTTCCCTACCCTGCCTCCGCAATCAACGCCGTTGCCTTCTCCCACCCTCATCTGTCGACCTCCAAGAAGTCAAATAAAACTGCTCCCGCACGTCTTGCTATCGGCAGGGCAAATGGAGATATCGAGATCTGGAACCCTCTCAACGGCGCCTGGCACCAAGAGACGGTGATCCACGGTGGAAAGGACCGGAGTGTGGACGGCCTGGTATGGACGAGCGCTGAAGATGAGGAATTGGCTGATGGGAAGATCATCCACGGAAAATCGAGACTCTTCAGTATCGGCTATACCTCTACGGTTACAGAATGGGACCTGGTCAATGCCCGAGCAAAGAAGCATGCGAGCGGTCAGCACGGCGACATCTGGTGCCTGGGCGCTCAGCCTCTGGCACCTGGAGGACAGGCTACACAGAGGCTGGTTGCAGGGACGATTGATGGTGCACTGGTACTCTACTCGACCGAGGACGACGACCTGCGCTTCCAACGTATCCTCACGCGCCAGGTGAAAAAGGTCAAGATCGTCAGCATCGCTTTCCAGTCGAGGCACGTCGCTGTGGTCGGGTGCTCCGACAGCACCATCCGCACCTTTGATCTCCGAAACGGAACGATACTTAGGCAGATGACCCTGGGTCGCGACCTTGCGGGTGGCTCGAAAGATATCATTGTCTGGTCGGTCAAGTGCCTGAGCAACGGTGATATTGTCTCGGGCGATTCGACTGGGCAGATCTGTATCTGGGACGGAAAGACTTACACCCAGGCACAACGCATTCAAAGTCACACGCAAGATGTCCTTAGCTTGGCTACGAGTTCCGACGGCTCGGCCATCATCAGTGGTGGAATGGACCGAAGAACTGTGCTCTATCGCCAAAGTCCTGGTCAAGCGTCGCGATGGGCTAAGGTTTGGCATAGGAAGTACCACAGCCATGATGTCAAGACTATGGCTTCATTTGAGGGCCAGGGTATGAGCGTTGTTGTTACTGGAGGTGTGTGCTATTGGAAACAGTATCCTCTTTTTGATATAGAGCTCAAGCTGACAAACCTTACAGGGCCGGATGCTAGCCCCATCGTAGTTCCTCTGCGTAAGGCAGGCATGGAGCATCATCGAAACCTTTCCCATCTTCCTCAGTCGGTCCCTCTGCGCAGTGCACCAAAGGTGCGGCTGCTTATCGGGTGGTGGGACAGAGAGGTTCACATTTGGAAGCTGAGGAAGCCGATGCGCGATCTTCTAGACGGCAGCAATGCTGCGGAAGCCGATGTCGAGAAGAACCGCAAGCTTCTGGGCCGTGTTCTGATCAAGGGCGAGTCCAACATCACCTCAGCCTCAATCAGCCACGATGGGTCCATCTTGGTTGTGGCTACCGTCTCGGAGATTAAAGCTTTCAAGCTGAGCTTACAGGATGGCCCTGACCAAGAAAAGCTGAGCATTACGAAGATACAAGTCCCGTCGCAACTGGCATCGAAAGGAGCAACCAGCGTTGCGATCTCGCCGGACGGGCTTTGGATCTGCCTGGTCCAGCATGGCGGCAGAGTGGTCATGGCGAGAGCCTTGAGGGACACGTCATCGGGAGGTGTCGGACTCGCCATCCACTCGAGATCCCACGAGCTACGACGGATCAAGCGCACAGTTACCAAGAACCTTCTTCTTGGCGGCCTCGGACCTTACGATAGGCATATTACACAAGTCGCCTTCTCCGCTGACAGTAGGATGCTGGCAGTAGCTGATCTGGCCGGCTACATCGACACTTGGATCCTGCACGGCCCCGCAGACAACCTGCAGAACGGTGTGTCTGCGGGAGATGATGACGACGACGGCTCAGCTTCGTCATCCTCGTCTTCGGACGAGTCGTCAGACGAGGAGGACGACGATTCGGAGGATCTAGGCTACAGATGGGTGCGCAACCCCAAAGCGTCACTCATGCCGAAGCTCTCAGCTGCCCCCGTGGTGCTCTCCTTCTCGAATGACTGCCCAGAGACGTCCGGCCGGGATGCTGAAAAAAGTCAGGATTACGTGCTTTTGACTGTGACTACTGCCGGCAGCATCTTCACTTTCCACCCGCTGCAGGGCAAGCTCACGCCGTGGTCTCGTCGTGCGCCTGCGGCGAGGCTCCCGGAGCAGTATCAGAACATACGTGATCTGGTCAAGGGCGTCCTGTGGCAAGGCCCTCGGATCTGGATCTACGGCGTATCCTTTCTCTTCATGATCGACACCTCCATCGAGACTTCTGCCAAGGAGATGGCGGTTATCGTCGCCTCTGAGCAGAGCCAAGGCGTCAAACGTAAGCGTGGGCTCGAGACTGGTGCTGGCGGTAAGATGGACCGTCACGCCGTCGGACTGCAGCAGATCAAGGTCAGCAAAGGCGAGGGGCCCAACAAGGAGTGGGTCGACGTCGAGATGGTGGATGCAGACGACCTGCAGAGCAGCGGTCAGGACGACGACGAGGACACGGACGGCGGCGAGCTCCAGCTGCTGCGGGACGAGCAGGATCAGGGCGACGCTAAGGAGGGCGGCGGTCAGGATCGGCGGAAGCGCTGGTGGCATACCTTCAAGTACAGGCCGATACTGGGCGTGGTACCTCTCGAGAGCGGGCAGAGCGGCGTGACGAATGGCGTCGCCTCCTCTTCAGAGCCGGGAGACGACAGGTACCCGCCCCTCGAGGTGGTGCTCGTCGAGCGGCCGATCTGGGATGCTGACCTGCCTGCGCGATTTGCGGGCGAGGACGACTGGAACAGGTGAGAGCGAGCATCCCGTCACGGGGTCGAGACGAGGGCTCCAGGCCCAGGCCTAGATAGACCGGACCGATGATGGGCAGGTTTCAAGAGGAGCGGGAGGTGGGATGTAGGTAGCTTACGAAGCCAGGCACGGGCTTTGGGTGTTTTGTTTCGGCGACCAAGCGAAGGCTAGCTCTATGGTCGATGAGTTGCGTCTAGATCGTCTCGATGATATCCGTTTAAAAAGACAAATGTGAATATAGAAGTCTACAGCCGGTCTCAGTCGCTAGTTTATGTCCAGTATATCTATGTGTGGGCAGAGCTCATGGTGGTCTCTTCCTTTGGGTCAACCGATTTATCTAGAAGAATATGGCTGCTGAGTTTGATCTTATGCAACTCACGGGTTGACTAGCTATACGGGTTGCTTGGATAATGTTACAGAAGACATTGTGATCTTTTAACTGCAGGTGAGGACCCGATCTACTTGGCGACCATCGTATTGGCAAGTTCTTGGCAGCGATTTTCTGGAGTCGTCTCCTCGTACGTCCGTGCATGTACAGATGGCGATCTACAAGGGATCCATCACGGCTGCATGGATAGCTCGGCCGGTCTGCGGGTAGCTCACACGACCATCGCGGCGTGCGGTATCATTGTGACGCGCGTTCCCCCGATTCGACCTGGCAAGGTGAGCGGCGAAAAGCCCGGTAGGATGTGTGTACGGCAGCTGGCCTCTACCGCGTCTCATTGCCCCCCGCCCCCAGAGAGATACGAGAGATCAACGACGGTGAGGGCCTGCTCCAGCTGGCAAGGACAATTCTTTGAGCCTCTGCTGCTCGGCCGGACGAGATATCGAGGGTTGGAGATGGGAGCCACTCGGCGGAGCTGGGCCCGCCATTATATGCAGTTGGGATGGCATTTGATAAGAATGGCATATTGGGGGACCAGGACCGGGTGGCTGCCGAAACAAGCTTACCAACAAGCTCTCCAGCCCGGTTTCCCACGAACTCGATAGGGCATTGACTGCTCCTGGAACGAACATTGGATGGAAATGACAGCCGTTCTGATAGCAAAAAGGCCCAGCTTCCTCACCTCGCGATATCAGGTACGTACGTGGCACTTCATCCATTCGACGAGCAGCAAGTTCAGTCTGTTCGACCATCCATTCATCCATCCCTCTCCGTTTAGCGCACTGGCAGTTGCTTGCCATTAGTCTCCCTTTTTTTTTCTACTAATGCCACATGCAGTCCCGACACCCGATCCGTCGCCCGGAAGGCAATTCGAGGTGTGAGACCCCTGGGATGTCCCGAGCAAAAGAAAGAGTGGGACCGGTTTCGGGGGTGCGCGTGCAAGACAAGACACAAAGAATTTTGCTTGGCAAACACGCAATCCCAATTGAACGGCGCAGAGGAGGCCGCGCAATCCTCTTGATCCTGTGTGCACACACGCACAAGCACGCACCCCCTGGGTGTCTCAAATTGGCAACTTTGTGTGTCTGTACTACTACGACATCGACGGCAATGCTATGTAGGTTGATACATGACCATGGCCATGACCGGCCATGACATGACTGACCATGACTACGGATATCCTCAGCCAAAGGCATGTGCTGCATCTAGTCCTCACGATTTTTGCACCAGTCCATGGTCTTGACGAACCTTGACTCGTCCCTGGATGCCTTTTTTTCTTGCTTAGACTTTATGTAGGTGGGTGTGCTGTAAGCGCCTTGTAAAAGTGTCGTCCCTTTAGCAGCCGCCTGTTGGACGATGCTCGAGACTGTCGTGGGCGGTTTGAGATCTAGACCGAGTGCGGGATGACGAAGATAATCACATGGCAGAGAGCCAGCACAAGTGGATATCACTGATGATGCAGACTGCGGTTGACTACATGTGCATCCTCAAGCAACACGCTTGGCGAGATAAGGGGACCAAGAGTATGGGCCTCGAGGTGCTGTGGGTTAAATCTGTAGAGAGAGAGGCTGTAGGCCGACGATGTGGTGCATCTTGGAGGCACACGCAGCCAAATCCCACGATGAGGCTCGCACACACGGGCCGCAGAAAAGGGTCCCGAAGTGCGCGCCGGGGGCCAGTGCATCGGGAGGTTCATTTATACATAAAGGAGCAACCCTGGGACTGGCCGTAATACCTAGCCGTGGGGTGAAGGTGGGTTGAAACAGGTACGGACTGGAGATAATGTCTTGAGGCTGAGCTTGGTTGGTCGCCTCGGACAGAGATATCTCCTACCCATGGCAAGCATCCCCTCCAGCCTTTTGCCTGATGTGCCTCGCCGGCTGTTTGGGACGTAGGGCCAATAAGGGTCGAACTTGCAAGGCGAGTGGGCGGTAGAGTGATTGAGCAGGGCACTGAGTAGATTGCTCCATGATACGTAGCACCGGCCCCGTCCACTCAGTCCTCCGGTGTGCCTTGCTCTTTCGCAACCCAAGACGGGAAGAGGCGAGTTGCGATTTGAAGGTCATCTGGAGTCGGCGAGGTCCAGAACGGGACTGATACCACGAGGCGGTGCCGTGAAGGCTGCCGCCGTGATTCGACTACTGGACAAGGCGGTTCCGTGGGGCTTCAGCCACCTACCTGAGTGCTGAGCCTATGTACAGCCACGCCTAGTCAGCCAGCACTAGCAAACACCCAATCCCTCACACGCCGCCTCGTCCGGTGCCTGGTCATCGAGAGGCTTTCCTGAGAAATGTCATGTGCAGCAAAAGAAGGGGTCTCCCCATCGATTGCTCTCTCCTAGAAGACTGATCTTGTTCCGGGTCGCACGTACGGAGTAGGTAGGCAAGTAGGTAGACACCTTTACTTGTAGACCCGTCTGCAAATGGTCACCGGCAGAATTTGCTAGCAATCAAAGAGATGCGCAAGCGTGGTCTTGGCAGACGCTTCGCCAGAAGAGCGGCGATACACCTGAAGAAGAGAGGGACAGAAGAGAGACTCGGCCGGGCGTGTGCTGCGTAATGGTGAGAAAGGTAGAGGGCAGCGCAGTGCGAATGTCGAGGTACCTTGGAGAAGTCGGAGTAAGAGAATCCACTCTGGCTCGAAAATGGACTCGAGGCCTTACCATTTAGGCCACCCGCGACCCAGCAGGCATCCCCATTGGTCGTCAGCCTCAATGAGACGCGCGTTCCCAGGCCCAGCCCGTCGATTGCTGGCGCAGACTTTGGACATGTACTGTACATACTCACCCCGACCAAAAGACGTTGCGTTTGGGTAACGTAAGGGCGATGAGACGCTCGCTCTCATCCTCGTCGCCACACGAAGACGTCAGTCAGTCGCTTTCTCTCGGAAACGCAGCCTCAGTGCAAAGCACTCTGTACTCGATCGCAAGCAATTGTCCCTCAATCATCTCACCTCTGTGAAGAAAAAACAGAGAACGGAAAGAGGCGAGCATTCGACGTACGTATCCAAAGAGACAAGGTGCCCTCCTGCGGAGTAGGCTGTCCCAAGGGTCTCGGTCCAGAATCGTGGGTCTTGCACGCACTCGTCCATTAAACTATTCTCGTCAGCTTCCTCCGATCGATGGATGTCCTCTTTTTGTTTCATTGCCGCTGATTACGCTCGCACTAGCCAAAGTCGGTACTTCGACGGCAGTGGATCGGGAGCTTTTTGGGTGACGAAGTGGGACGTGGGCATGGGCGGCGAGGCACACGCAATACCCACACCCACTCACACACCCTCCCACGCCTCCTCCTCCTCTGTACCTCTTCTCCCTCCTCCTCACTCATCATCGCTCGTTACCTACCTCCGTACCTTAGTCGTTCGGGAAGCCCACTCCTCACCCCAAGCCAATTTACCTTACTCTTGTCTCGCTGCACCGGCGCCCCTCCACCACCCGCCGCCCACCCCGGTTCTTGAGGGACACGCAACACTGGCGTCGTCCTTTTCCTCCTTGGGCCTGGCACCTACGTACACACATTTGCCAGACTGTACAGTACATCCCATCCCATCCCATCTGCTCATCAAGCGAGCGAGAGGGTGCGAGAGAGAGAGAGGCCGTCAGTTAGCACGCGGAGGCAACGAGAGTACTCTCTTTCGTCGTCAACCTCGCACATCTATCTCTCTTCTCTCTTTCCAACGCCCCCCATTCGCCCACTGGAGAGAGGTTCCATCCTAGGTACCTTTGGATCGAGCCCGCGCCAGACCGCACCTTTCTCAGACTCTGTACCCGTCCCATCTCTTTTAGAACGCCCCCCCTGGTCTCTCTGTCTACTAGGCCGGGCTTGCACCACGCAACGCACACGCACACCCCATTCCACTCTACCCAGGCTTCCGACAAGCATATCCGCATCTTCTCCCTGTCAACTTTGTTCTCTTCCACGTCGCATCAACCGCCTTAAGACGACAACGAGGACGACAAGCGACGGTATTGTCGTGCGCCGGTAATTGAACAACACCGTAGTAGAAGCCGATCGATCACGACTTTCGATGTGGACCCTGCAGGGAACCGCATAACGAGCGGCAAGAAGGGATCCTTCGCGGCTGGACGACCCTCTGACGGAGCAGTCTGTTCTGAATCGTCAGCACCACCGATCGATTCTCACACGACCAAGAAGGTTGTGCAAGCGAGCGCACCGAGCCTTGTCGATAATCTCTCGACAAAGACCAAAACTGATTCAACGCTGCGGCCTGTTGTGCAGCGTCACTTGGCATTGACCAACCCTGCCTCACAGCACGACTGGATCATAGTAGCGGGTTCATCACCACTTCCACCACCACGACTCAACTACGCGGCGGGTGCTGGGAGAGTCCCATCGAAGACATCGCCGACTTCGACGCTCTCCACATACAGCTTCACCTCATCATCGACGGCACCATGGCGCACGATCGAAGCACCGATGCGCAGACGGATGAATGGGGCGAGGAATGGGCGCACGATCTGCGATTGCGGTTTGAGCAACTCCTCCGCACACGGCGGCTGAACGAGCTGGATCTGTCCAGGTCACGGCAAGGATCAAGATCGCCGGCTCCCCGCGAAGCGACGCCATCGAGCACTCCGCTGAGCCCTCGACCCTCGCAATCAGATTCCCGGCCATCTACGTCCTACAGCGGCCTGCAAGGGTCGAGCAGCACACCTCCCACATATTCATCCTTACGAAACCTCCCCAAGATCCCCACACCGCCCGCCGCCCACGACCGAGAGTCGCAAAAGTTTCGCAACTTTCTCATCACACTATCGTCGACCCCAACAAAATACGAGAACCCGGGTCTGCTAGATGAAGCATTACAGGTCATTCCACTCGACCGGATATATGGCGAGGCAGAAGAAGAGAGCCAGGTGATGCAGGCCGAGGCCGAGAGTTTGGGCAATCGGAAACCCGCCTGGGGCTACCAGGATTGTGTCATCAGGGCGTTGTTAAGGTAAGTCTGCAGACTCCAAATCCCTTCGTGCATCTCTCTGCACCCGTCTGGAGGCCATGTTCTGACCATGCTCTCCCGCATCGTTAGGTGGTTTAAGAGATCATTCTTCACATGGGTCAACAACCCGCCGTGCCCTGTATGCTTTTCCCCGACCATTGGGCAGGGCAAGACCGCCCCGACTCCAGATGAGAACGCCTGCGGTGCGCTCCTCGTCGAGCTGTACCGGTGCTCGAGCCCCAACTGCGGAGCCTATGAGCGGTTCCCCCGATATAGTGACGTTTGGCGTCTGCTGCAGACACGGCGCGGCCGTGTTGGAGAATGGGCCAACTGCTTCAGCATGCTCTGCCGCGCGCTCGGCACCCGTGTGCGCTGGGTATGGAACGCTGAGGACCACGTCTGGACCGAGGTCTACTCGGAGCACCAGAAGCGTTGGGTCCATGTCGATGCCTGCGAAGAGGCCTGGGACAACCCTCGTCTCTACACCGAGGGCTGGGGAAAGAAAATGTCGTATGTTGTGGCATTCTCCATCGACGGCGCGACCGACGTCACCCGGCGATATGTACGAAAGTCGGAGTTTTCGGCGGAGCGAAACAGGTGCCCCGAAGAGGTCATGCTGTACATTATGCAGGAGATCAAGAACCTGCGACGGGCCAATATGGACAAGGACAACCGATTCCGGCTAGAGAAGGAAGATTCACGCGAAGACCGCGAGTTGCGACAGTATGTCGTCAACTCGATTGCCCAAGCAGTCACTCAGCTTGTGCCTGGCTCCAGCACCGCCGGTCCCAGCAGCCCGGCCCATGTCGGTAGCGGCAGTACCTCACCGAGTTCCGAAGACACCAAGCTTCCTGCCGAGCTCCCCGGCCAACAGAACGGCAATGCTGAGTGGATAGCCGCGCGCAGCGAGAACGATAGGAGGCAGCAACAGCCTCCGCGCGATCCCCGCGACCCTTCGTTCCGATGAGCGGTCACTATTCGGAGCCGATACTGTTCAGGCCCATCGGGCTTTGAATGGACGCCTACGATCTGACGGCATTTGTACGAAAAGCATCCCATCATCCACGACGACCTTCCGACTGTCAATCTTCTCTTCTAATTCTTTCACTATTGTTGCATAGATAGGAGTTGTCGCTTCCCTTTGCTTCGTTTAACTATCATGCATGCAAGCGCGCAGCTGTGTGTACCTAAACCTTAAACCTTGCCTTGGTTTTCCTTTTGTTACCTCTTCTTTTTTATGGTTATATACCCTTACCGGGGTCTGCATATCAGCATTGGATCGAGATATTACATATTATACATGGGGTCCACGACCGCTGGGGTCAGTGGTTGGAGGAAAGCCTTTTGTGGCTACGGCGTTACGGGGGTCTTTCTAGGCGAGCATGTTGGATGCGAAGCTCTGGGGCATGAGCGAGGTCTGAGATGAAAGGCAGGGCTGCCACGGGACACGGCGACAATGAGGATGGGCTGGGATGGGGGGAACCAGACACAGCTTCGGGAATACCCACGGCCCTTTTTGGAGGCCCAGCAGCAGCGAAACATCCGCAGTGTTCTTCCACTACTGTGGAGGCTGCGGAAGAAATGAGATGATACCTTTGATTGTTCAATAGTTCTGTGCCCTTGGACAACGTGATGGCTTCTGATGCTACATGGAAAGGCCTATTGCCCATGGGTCAAACTGTCAGTCGGACCTTCGGACTTGCCAAGGTCGGCTATATATGCACGATGATGAGCCAAGGCAGGCCCTGATGACCTCGAGAGAAGCAGAGAGAGTCCGTAACCGGTGCTTATCGAATCCCGCTGGCGAGAGGACTGAAAGCTATTCGGGGACCTTGGGAGGTCTGTGTATCAGACTCCTTTTGACTGCATTTTATGCTAGTTATCTGTTAGAATTGTAGAAGCCGGCTTTGAGATTTATTCTTGAATTCGGCATCCTATGTCTTGATTGAAACAGCTGAGCACTCAGGCCATGGATGCAGTTGACGTCGCCTGATAAGCCCCAGTGTATTGTCATGTGGCGGCTTGGCCAGCCAGTTTGGTGTGTCGTTTCACTGGTTGGGGCCGGTCGGGCGATTGAGGGTGGTGCCTCAGGTCGCCAAATTTAGCGCCGCCTATCCTTTCCGTTCAACTTGAGCAAATCCGGACACACACCTTGAGTGACTGAACGACTGCTTGACAGGCAAACCACCAACCCGTCATCACGACACCGTGAACTTCCCCCCTCAGCTCCCCTGCCAGTCTGCTTCACAGCGGTCTCGGCACCCTTTGTGACCGCCTGCGTCTGTCTCGGCCGATAGCAAGTGAGCCATGTTGCCCTCATCGGTGCGGCGCGTGGCCTCGGCGGCGGCTCAGCAATCACCGCTCATCTCGACCTTGGCCGCCGGTGCCTCGAGGCCGATAGCCACCTACACCCTCGCCTCCCGACCCATCAAGCACCAGCGGAGATGCTCCTCGTCAAAACCTTCGAGCTCGGACAACGGCCCCAAGGACCTGCCCGCGGGCCAGTCCGTCCCGGCCTCGACCCAGTCGGCAAAGTCTTCGGGCGAGAAGCGCAAGAGGAAATCCAAGTCCTCGCAGGCCTCGGCGCAAAAGCTCCCCAGCGTGCCCAGCACTCAGCACCTGCCCCTAGAATGTAGGCCGATGCCATTACGTATGCTTCTCTATGTGTCTCGTTACGTTTGCTAACCAGCGGCTCCTTTCCCTTCAACAGCCCTGGCTCTGTCTAGTTTCTTCTCCCAGCATCGGCCCATCTCCATCACCCACAGCCTGCCCAAGACGATCAGCGACGATGCATTCGCCTCAATATTTGCGCCCCGCACCAAGGCCCAGAAGAGTTCGGAGGTGATGAGCACGCTCTCCAAAGCCGTCGACGAGCTCGAGGCGCCCTTCTCCAACCTCGGCCTCGGCGCCGCCCAACAGGCAGACGGCGCCGAGCTGGGCGAGGACAACGTGCACAAGATCGAGCTCAAGCACCCCGACGGCACCGAGTCGAGCCTCTACGTCCAGCTCAACGCCATGGCGGGCCAGTTCCTGCCCTTCCAGCCCCCGCCGGCGCCCCAAGCCGACGCCGCCGAGACCGGAGGAGCCGCGGCGCTCGCCGCCGCCGCCGCCGAGGCGGCCGAGGAGGACGTCGACCGCGAGCACCATCGCGTGTACAAGGCGATCCTCACGATCGAGGAGCAGACCGACGCCCACGGCCAGATTAAGATTGTGGCCCACAGCCCGCAGCTCATCGAGGAGCCCGCCCCGCCCCGGACCTTCCTGGAGCGCATGGCCGTGCGCCACCTGCGGTTCGAGGACGCGCTCCGGTGGCGCGAGAGGCAGATGGAGCGGGAGCGGGAGGACGGCGGCGGCCCGGGCATGCTCGCCATCAGCGTGCGGCGGCAGAAGAAGCTCAAGATGAAGAAGAAGAAGTACAAGAAGCTGATGAAGAGGACGAGGAACCTGCGCCGCAAGCTCATGAAGTAGAAGGCGACCCCGCCAAGATGCAGCGGCAGCACAGACGGGCGTGGGCAATGGGCATGGGCAGTGGCATCTTGCTGCTCATGTAGGCCTGTAGCCCAGCTGCTTCCGGGCTCTTCTGCTTCTTTGTCCTCTGCTGCATCGCATTTCCCTGCAAGTCCCTTGTTTTTTTTCTTCTTTGGCTCTATAGGCATCGTGTACGGTGTTTTTCCTCTTTACTGTGGTTCCTCTGGACCCGCGCAGGAAGTTACCTCACATAGACCAATGTCCCTGCTGGCCAACCGTATGGCTGGCAGCGAACACTTTCCACCTAAGATAGTCATCTGTATACTATTCTCAACATGCATGCATGTCTCGGTTGCGTATTGTGAGGTGATCTAAAGGGTTTCTTTTTTGTCCTAGCGATGTTTGCTATTGGTAGATTCTTCCTCGAGTAGGAACTCATAGAAGCGTCTTCGTAAATATAGAGACAAATGTATAAAGGATTCTGTCTATACATGGCGAGGTAACCTTCATGTACTCGAATACGATTTGTACAAGTCTACTAAAATAGAACGGCTTCAATTAATACACAGGAAGATTGGTTATGGATACCTCACAATGCATGTCCTGAAACATCCATTTGTAAGAAAGATTTAACTTGAGAAAGATAATACTTCACCACAGAAATTAGGTAAACTACTAGGTAGAACTCAGAATATCCGCATTCTCCATTTGGCGGTGAGGCTCTAAAGGTGCAATGGGGCTACAGTGGGTTGTCGTACTACAAGTAGAATGCCGCGAAAAGCCAGAGCTGACCGCCCGGCAGAAATTGAATCTCCGCCAAATTTTTTGGATGTCCATACTGCAGCTATTTTGGAGCACAGAGAGTTCCAGTTCTGCCAGTTTAGCGGCGATATCCTCGAAATTAACTGCACACCTGCGAACTCGGCGAGGCAGAACTCATCATGTCGCGCAAGGCAGTGTAAGTAATAAATTCTTCGAACCTGTTTGAAGAGAATTGGACCGTCCATACTGATTATATCCTGCTTATAGAGACTCGCGGATCCCCGCGCTCATGCGCAATGGCCTCCAAGAGAAGAAACGCAGCTTCTTCGTGGTCGTGGGCGACAGGTCCAAGGACGTCATTGTGAACCTGCACTTCCTCATGTCCCAGTTCGACATCAAACAGAACAAGTCGGTGCTGTGGGCTTACAAGAACAAGCTTCTGGGCTTCACCAGGTACGTTATGTGTGCGACTGGGGCGCATGGTGCTGTTGCTGCTGTCTGTCTGCCCTTGTGTTCGAAATGCTGACGAGGCTTGCTTTCTGTAGTCACCGCAAGAAGCGCGAGAACAAGATCAAAAAGGAAATCAAGCGAGGAATAAGAGAGGCCAACTCCGAGGATGCCTTTGAGCTCTTCGTTTCGCTGTACAACATCCGATATGTCTACTACAAGGAGACGGACAAGATTTTGGGTAACACGTACGGAATGTGTATCCTGCAAGATTTCGAGGCGATCACGCCAAACATCTTGGCGCGGTGTATCGAGACGGTCGAGGGTGGTGGTCTCGTCGTGCTGCTGTTGAAGGGCATGAACAGTCTGAAGCAGCTCTACAACCTTTCCATGGATGTTCACTCGCGGTACCGGACGGAGGCCTACCACGACGTCGTCGCCAGATTCAACGAGCGTTTCATCCTCTCTCTGGGCAGCTGCGAGTCTTGTCTCGTGATTGACGACGAGATGAACGTGCTGCCCATCTCTGGCGGCAAGGATGTCAAGGCCCTGCCACCCCCCGACCTCGACCAGCCCAAGAGCGAATCGCAGAGGGAACTGGAAGATCTGAAGGAGTCGCTCCAGGAGACACAGCCGGTTGGAGCGCTGATAAATCTTGCAAAGACGAACGACCAAGCAAAGGCGCTGCTCACGTTTGTGGATGCGATCGCCGAGAAGACGCTGCAGAGCACTGTCGCCCTGACGGCAGCCAGAGGTCGTGGTAAATCAGCAGCGATGGGTGTTGCTGTCGCGGCAGCCGTTGCGCACGGATACAGCAACATCTTCATTACTTCTCCGTCCCCCGAGAACCTGAAGACCCTGTTTGAGTTTGTGTTCAAGGGCTTCGATGCGCTGGGCTACATGGACCACGTAGACTACTCTATCATCCAGTCGACGAACCCAGACTTTAACAAGGCGATTGTGCGCGTCAACATCCACCGACAACACAGACAGACCATCCAATACATCCGGCCGCAAGACGCACACGTCCTCGGACAAGCCGAGTTGGTCGTCATTGATGAGGCCGCTGCCATTCCCCTGCCCCTGGTGCGAAAGCTCATGGGCCCATACCTGGTCTTCATGGCCTCCACCATCAACGGCTACGAAGGGACGGGCCGCTCGCTTTCACTGAAGCTTATCAAGCAGCTTCGAGAACAGTCTCGAGGTGGCGCAAACCTGGCAGCCGACACCGAAGTTGCGGACAGGAGCACCGGAAGGACAGCAAAGGCTCAAGATACCGCGAGCTACTCTGCCAGGAAGCTGCGCGAGATTACGCTGTCAGAACCTATCCGTTATACACAGGGCGACTCGGTCGAGAAGTGGCTAAACAAGCTCCTGTGTCTTGATGCCACACTGCCGAGGGCCAAGGCTGGCGTGCAGGGGTGCCCGGATCCTGCGCAGTGCGAACTTCTCAATGTCAACCGTGACGCTCTCTTCTCCTTCCACCCCGTCCCCGAGAAGTTCTTGCAGCAGATGGTGGCTCTCTACGTCGCTAGCCATTACAAGAACTCGCCCGATGACCTGCAGCTCATGAGTGACGCCCCTGCCCACGAGCTCTTTGTCCTTGTCCCTCCCGTCTCGGGTGACGGAAGCCGCCTTCCCGAGCCTCTCTGCGTCATCCAGGTCTCCCTAGAAGGCAAGATCAGCAGGCAAAGCGTGCTCAACAGCTTGAGCAGAGGCCAGAGGCCAGCGGGTGACCTCATCCCGTGGCTGGTCAGCCAGCAGTTCCAGGACGACGAGTTTGCCTCGCTCTCTGGCGCGCGCGTCGTCAGGATAGCGACCAATCCCGACTATGTCAACATGGGATACGGTTCAAAGGCACTACAGCTCCTGGTCGACTACTATGAGGGCAAGTTCACCAACTTGTCGGAGAACGGCGCTGCCGCAGCAAACGAGAAGATGACTCGTGTGACCGACGCCGAACTGGCCAACGCCAGCCTGCTCGTCGACGATGTCAAGGTGCGGGATCTTAACAAGATGCCGCCCTTGTTCTCTAGGCTCTCCGAGAGGAAACCGGTTGGTCTCGACTACGTTGGTGTGAGCTACGGCCTGACGCAGCCTCTGCACAAGTTTTGGAAGCGCGCATCTTTTGCGCCCGTGTATCTGAGGCAGACGGCCAACGATCTCACTGGCGAGCACACTTGCGTCATGCTGAGGCCGCTGGAGAACACAGACGACCGTTCCTGGCTGGGCGCGTTTGCCCGAGACTTCCAGAAGCGGTTCCTCTCCCTGCTCTCTTACCAGTTCAGGGTCTTCCCTTCCATAATGGCCCTGAGCATCGACGAGTCCGCCAATGCCGGAGCCAAGCTCGACCAGGCCGAGCCCAGCCCGCTCACCAAGGCCGAGCTGGACAAGCTCCTGTCGCCCTTCGACCTCAAGCGCCTCGAGTCGTACGCGAACAACATGCTCGACTACCACGTCGTGCTGGACCTCATCCCGACGCTGGCGAACCTGTACTTCACGGGCCGCCTCAGGGGCGACGTCAAGCTCTCGGGCGTGCAGCAGAGCATCCTGCTGTCCATCGGCCTGCAGCACAAGGACATCGACGTCGTGAGCGAGGAGCTGTCGCTGCCCGTGTCGCAGCTGCTGGCCATGTTCATCAAGATCCTGCGCAAGATGACGGCGCACTTTGGGTCGCTGGTCGCCGCGGCGGCCGAGGCGGAGCTGCCGCGGGCGGAGAGGCTCGGCGTGAGCATGGCGGACGCGAGCGGGGCGCACGACGACGAGGTCGTGGACACGCGGTTCGTGCCGCTCGAGACGTCGCTCGAGGAGGAGCTCGAGGAGGGCGGGGACGAGGCGCTTGCTGCGGTGCGGAGGAAGCAGCGGGAGCTCATTGACTCGCTTCCGCTGGACCAGTGAGTCCCTCTTTTTTTTTGTTGTTTTTTCCCTTTTTGTCTTTTTGTAAATGCGGTTTTCCCCCCTCCCTTCTGAAGGGAATGTCCGGCACACAACATGTCATGTTTATTTGAGGAGGTTTTACTGACTGGGGCCCCCGCTTCAGGTACGAGATCGAGGGCGACGCACCGGCGTGGGAGGAGGCGGAGAAGCAGGTGGCGAGCGCGACCAAGGGCGGCAAGGCCAACCCCGTGGTCAGCGTCAAGAGCAGCAAGGCGAAGCGCAAGGCCGGGCAGACCACGGCTGCCGAGGTGTACGAGGAGGCGTTTGGGGACAAGGGGCGGAAGAAGCACAAGAAGGCCAAGAAATGAGAGAGAGAGACGTAGCAGAGGGTGGGGATAGGAGTGAGTGTGTGGTGTACGTTGACGTAGGCAGCATCTTGATGTGTCCCCTCTCCGGGGGGCCAGAGGAGTTCATGGAGTTGAAAAACGGAGGGCGGTGTCTTTCTTGCTTCTAGATGTATATAGAGAATTAAAACTATTTCTGCCTACAACCTGTGGGTTTGAATTATTATGCTGGACGGCCGGCGTGGTTTTTCTTCTGCTGTGTTTCTGTACGAAGCTGTGTCATATGTTGTCGAGATAAAGACTACCTTATTATGTCAATGGACTGCCCGTGGTACGGTCTCACATTTGATGAAGAGAACAGCAGCGAGTCACCTATACAAGTACTTGCTCGCTCATGGGCGTGTACACACGATGCATGCACACGTTCGTTTGCTTTTACAAGTACGTGAAGAATGCCCATGCATGGGTGCTGAGTGTGTACAGTGGATCCTCGGGGGAGCTGATCAACAGCCTCGAGGTGGCAATCCAACCAACCACAGGCGCCACAATGGTGAGACGACCACTGTAAGTTCTGCACCGGGGGCTCGCCATCTCCGCTGTATTCCCCATTGAGCGCAATCTCGGCAGCCCGAAAGCCCCCCCCGAAGCAAATCACTTCTGCAAAGCTTGGAAGCCTGTGGGTCGAGCTAAAGTTAAACTATGGCCCCCTGCTCAAGCGCGATTAACTAGGTAAGGGAATACGCGATTGCGATTTTTTTGGGCGATCCGTTTATGCCGATGGTTGATGAACCTTGGACCTTGAATTTCCCCTTCTCCATCCTTTCCACTCGGTCCCAGTCGTTGTGCAAAGGGGAAAGAAGCAGTCTTGGCGGATATACCACCCTCGTTTGCAACACTTCGCCTAGCTAGCTCCCCGTTCAATCGTTTATCGGAGAGCTCTGCTGTCGTTTCAATTGGCAATTCTACGCGTGGACAGGAACTGCTCCGCGTGTCGTCTCAGTTCCCGTCTCCTATCCGGGCCATCCATCTATCTCCTGCCCTTCCTCGTGCCTTGTCCTCCCAGAGAGACCACACAAGCCACTACACACACCCTCTGCCGACCAAAAGATGCACGCATCGCCTTCTCTCAAGGCCGCCGGCGCCCTGGCGGCCGCCCTGCTGCTCGGCACCGCCTCCGCCGCGCCCCGGATCGCCGTCCCGACGCTGGCCCCTCGCGCCGACCCGACGGACCTCTGGGTCACCGTCGACGAGTCCGGCAAGCCCGTGACGGTGACGCCCGTGCTGACGACCATCAGCGGCACGCCGACCGTCGTCTCGGCCGCGCCCCACGAGATCACGGGCACCGTCTTCACGCAGACGGACAACGGCAACGTCCGCACCTCGACGGGCGACGCGCCCCCGCCCGAGGCCACGGGCAAGGACGGCAGCGGCGTGTTCCCCGTCTGCAAGAACGTCGACGGCGCCAACGCGCCCTTCTGCCAGCCCGAGAAGGGCGACACGCTGACGCCCGGCAAGACGTACTATGGTGAGTGAGCCCTCTAGACTTCCCGTCCCTTCTCTTCCTATCCGAGCCTAGATGTCAGAAATCCCCGAGCTAACTCGGCCGCACAAAGTCACCTGGGACCCCAAGTTCTTCAACGGCACAAACACCACCGTCGTCGTCACCGGCTCCTACATCAACGACACCACGGGCGCCATCCTCAGCCAGGCCTTCTCGTCGGACAAGATGGCCGCCGGCTGGGGCTTCTACGCCTGGTCCGTCGACAAGGCCATCATGCAAGGCGGGAACCCGACCAACGTGACCCTCGTCATCAACGCCCTGTCCCCCGGGTCCCAGGCCATGAACCCCTTCGCGGGCCCCACGGTGCGCGTCGCCAACCCGGAGCCCTACCGGCAGCCGCCGCCCAAGGCGCCCACGGGCCCGGCCCTGTACATCGGCCTGCCCACGATCCTCGGCTTCGTCGCGCTGTGCCTCATCGGCACGTGCATCTGGAACCGCAAGACGCGCCGCATCAGCCTGGGCAACATCATGAGCCGCAGCCGCCACGGCTACGGCGCCGGCAAGTCGCGCGCCCAGCGCCTCGGCCTCCGCTCCAACCGCAAGAACAACAACAAGGACCAGTCGATCCACCTGATGGAGCGCGAGGTCGGCAACGGCAACGGCAGCGGCGGCCCGCGCTACCGCGACGAGGACATGCACGCCGCCCCGGCCCAGCATGATGATTGGGACCTGCCGCGGCGCGACAGCGACGCGCTGGGCAGCCTGGCCGGCACGCCGACCGAGGACCGCCACATGGACTTCCGCCGGCCGGGCGCCGGGGCGGCGGCGGCGGCACCGCAGATCCCCGCGCAGAACACGGGGAATGCGTTCCGCGACGAGATGAACCGGCAGCAGAGGGAGCGGGAGTAAAATGCCCGGCATCCAATGTGAGAATGTCGAGGGGAGGGGGGGGCTTTGACCCATGATGCTGGGGCAACGGGCTGAGAGTAAGAGAGGGGGGTAGGGGGCCTGTCTTTCAAGATGAGAGGGAGTAGGATAGACCGGGGGCTCGGTCTAGCAAAGCATCGAAACGAAAATTATAGAGCACAAGGGCCATGTATACGTATGTGCGTATGATCAGTGTATGACATGTATGAAAGGGTGGGAGGGGGGGCGGGGGGCGGACCCAGACATGACAGCCGTTGATGACTGTAATATACAGAAAAATAAATATATTGTAATGTTCCAAGATATCTTGCGGTTTGATGAGAGCGAACGGCGGTTGTTGTGTAGCCCCCTATTAAAGAGGAAATTTGCACTTGCTGATTGTGAAACGGACGAGGACATATAGACTTGGGCCCTGGGAAATCTCGAGGGTGGTCTCGACGCATGAGAACGTGTACATATAGAGCCGTAATGCTGTAAGAAAGAACGTGTTTGAGATACTGTTGGGGAGACTAGAGACTGACTCCCAAGTTGACGTCCTACTGCTTGGGGGCGATCATCGAATAACGAAAGGATGACTTGTCCTACAAAGAACCTCTTGCCATAAGTAACCAAGACATTAGCGAAATCATAGCTCGACACAACACTGTCAAAACCAACGGGACATTCATATCAATCCACGGGGTTCAAGTGTCATCATATACTGGCGAACAGTCCATGATTCAACACCCATCTTGAGAGAGTTGCGAATTCAATCTGAAGGGGATAATCAACCGACCACCTTAAAAGTGCATCACACAGTCAACTCGAAGCACTCATTCAAGGTAACAAGAAACCTTTGAATCAAGACTCTTCAGATTTTGGAGACTAATACGAACACCCGAGCCTCTTCCAGCCCCAGGGCATACTACCGCGGTTCACCATCCCCAACCCGAGCCAAAGCCGTACATAATAAAAAGAAAAGCTGTGCCGTCGTAGGGCGTAATCCTCCACACTCTTTCGGAGATGGTGCCTGAACCCCATTGCGCCTATCATATCCTGAAAAAGTCCCAACCCCGTCCCACCAAATATGCTGTCCAGTCTTGTTTTGAAAGAGTCCTATCCCATAGAGATCCGGATTCAGGATCAAAAGAAAAGAGGCTCCATTTCGGCTGAGCACCACATATCCCATAGTTGATAGTCCCCAGATGAAAGAAGAATAAGCGAGTCCCGTAAAGGGGGGGAGATAAGAAAGAATACAAAAAAAAAAAAAAAGACACCTAAGAGGATTCAATGATCATGACCTTGGTAATGAACCTCCCTGAACCCGATCCCCCAGTGATATCTGTCGACCCGTAAAACTCCGTCACTTCAGAACTCCGACGCTTGTGAAAATCAAAATGATAGAAAGACAGAAAAGGAAAATCCACCATGACAGGCTCGGGTGTGGTAAGCGGTATGCGCAAGTATATATGCGTTTGTGGGTTGCGTGCGAGAGAGGGGATATCAATAACTAAAATCGACATTATTCATAGTGGCCAACATTTTATTATCCTGGTCCGTTGTCGAACTGGACGAGGTTGTAGATGACGTTGAGTGGCCAGTGCCGTGAGTCGGGACGTCTGACTGTGTCGTCTCGGTCTGGTGTAGCTCGTGATCCTCGGGAGGGACGCCGCTGTCCGAGTAGCCCAGATCGCGCATCTGCTGGAAGCTCCAGCTGGGCTCGAAGCGCTTGCTGTGCCACGCCACGTTGACACGCTCGTACATCTCGTCGATCTGTTCGAGACTGATCTTGCTCGTCTCGTAGACCATAAAGTAGACGAAGAAAATGGCTAGCACGCAGAAGGCACCCCAGACGAAGAAGACCTTGGAGCCGAGATCTGCCGCTCCCTCACCGTCCCCGACAAGGTACGGGGTGCCGTAGGCGATGCCAAAGTTCAGAAGCCAGTTGGAGGCGGTGGATACCGACATAGACTTGGCTCTGACTTTCAGGGGGTAGATCTCCGAGGTGACGACCCAAGCGACGGGGCCCCACGAGGCGGCGAAGAAGAAGATGAATATCGCGACAAAGATGATGAGTATCTGATTAGCGGCCTGCTTCATGTTCTCGTGGGCGGCGGTCGTGAAGGACGCAATGAGGAGCTCGCACACGGCCATGCCGGTGGCACCAATCATCAGGAGATTGCGGCGACCCCAGGACTCGACGACCAGCAGACCGGGCATGGTTGAGACGACGTTGACGAGGTTGAGAATGAGGGAGATAAGGAAAGGGTTGTTGATACCGGCTCCTTTGAAGAACCAGGTACTGTAGTACATGATGAAATTGACACCAGTTAGTTGCTGTAGCATCTGCAGGCCACATCCAGTCAAGAGCCGGCGGCCAAGATGAGGAGAGCCACAGAAGATGTCTTTGTAGGAGTCGGGACCCAGCGCGAGTTCATACTCGTGGTTGGCCTGAATCTCTGCCAGTTCTTCGACCAGAGCCGGGTGCGTGATGTCGAGTCGTCGTAGACGGCTGAGTGAAAGAGCAGCGGAATCTCTGAGGCCGCGCTTGACCAAATATCGAGGAGTCTCGGGAAGAATGATGAGACCAAGAGACAGAACGCACGCCCAAGTCAATTGGAGACCCATGGGAATACGATAGGCCGCAGCACCATCGATTTTGTAAGTCAACATGTTGGTGATCGATGCGGCCAGCAGACCCATGGTGATGAAGAGCTGGTAGGCACACACGAGCGTACCACGAATCCATTTGGGTGCCATCTCGGACTGATACAATGGAACCAGAACGGAAACAGCGCCCACGCCTACGCCGGCGAAGAACCTACGGTTGAAACGAATTAGTTTCGGATACCTGGCGAGGGGTGAAGATGGGACGAAATGGAACCGAAACTCGACGCCGGTCCCTGGTTAGGCTTACCTTCCGACAACCAGCATCGGGATATCAGCTGAGCAGACTTGGAATATGACCCCGAGACAGAAGATACCGATGGCGATTATGAGAGATATCCGGCGACCCCAGAAATCACCAGCAGGCGCGGATATGACTGAGCCGATTAGGGTGCCTGCGCTGAGAATCGCCACAATGAGCGACGATTGGTTGATCGACAGGTCGAGTTCTCCGTCCTTGTTATGATAACCCGTCGAGAACTGTTCCCTGAACGACGTCATGGCGAGAATGCCATTTATACTCCTAAACACGTCGAAAGTCAGCGAGGATGCTCACACGACAACGATGAATGACACGCCTCCCAATCCTGCAATCCCTTCGGCCACCCCCCCCTGCTCCGGCCGCGACGCCTTCCATGCGACTCTTGCACATCTCGTCGACATCTTTCCCCCTCTCTTGCATGTCCGAGTCGTCCTGCCTCAATTCGCCCGCGAAGAAAAGACCTAGTTCCCTTACCCTGTGTCGTAACCAAAAAGAAGACCACCCGTGGCGACGAAGAAACCGACCATGATGGCCGGCGCTGAGGAACCGGCGACATTGTCGGGCTTGTGCCAACCCATGGCGATCGCCATGGTGAAGGAGTTGGGACCGTCAGGCCGGGATAGGCTCGGTTAAAGTGGTTCTATCGCCAGTTTGTCGGAATCGAGAGCGAGACTCGACGACGGATGGAATCGCGTTTGACGACCATTTGACAGGCGATGTGGTCGTTGTCGTCGCTGCACCGTGGGTGTTGGTCGTCGTCGTCCCGATCGGTGGATGGAATGTCGTGACGGCTGGATTGAGGGTGATTGTGATTGATTAGAGAGACGGGCAGAATAGGTAGACAGAGTTTGGGGTGGCCGTGGGCGAGCGTGAAATCTGGGTGTGGGTAATAAAGAGTGGAGAACAAGGGAAGAGGAGAGACAGGACAGACTGGTGGGATGGGGAGAGAGAGGCGCGAGAGAGAGGATGGACGAGGGCGGGAGGGCATCGAGGATCAGCAGTTTTCTGGCTGGGACTGGGGGCATCACGCCCTCATTGGCCCAGCTTCGACTGTGACCGTGTGCCCGTCCCAGACCCGCACACACTTTCGCTCCCTGCTTCTTTTCCCAATCCGGACAAGAGCCAAATCCACCTCCTCTTCTTCTGCTGCTGGACGGGGGCCCTTTTCTTGTCCTCCCCAAGGCCCAGGCGAGCCAGGCCGAGTACAATACAATGCCAGCTAGTGGCCCTTCCCCCCTAGCCAAGCACGCCAAAAACCGCAAGCCACCTCGCTTGGTTGGTGGTACTTGGTGCTCAATGAAGGGCATTCGACAGAGGTACTTGGCTCGAGCCGGCCGCTTACCCGGGCTGAGAGGTAGCCGATACTTTGGAGGAACTCGTCGTTCCATGTCAGCACCCAGACTGGAAGGCGACACAACGGCGGCCACTTTTCGAACAAGTGTTGCTCGCGGATATCGCGAGAACCATCGCACTTGTGTATGACAGTTGGCTTGATGAGATGTGAACCGACCCATGCGTTGCGGCCGCTTCCTTGTACCCAGGTATGTACATTTGGCCCAGGAGATGACCGGATGCCTATCGCAAAACCAGAGGCAGCGACTGTTGTTTCCGTCACTGTCAAATGGACTGCGTGCCAGTCCACGCGCTACCAGAGTGGACGGGAGAATGGCCCCCAGCACGCACGTTCTTTTGGCGTGCCATTTTGTGAGACAGATGGTCAGGGCAGTGGCTGATTGCCTCGTCCACCCCAGAATCTGGCCCCCCCTTCTCCTCACAAGGTTTCTCGGGGGTCACAGCGCCGGGGATGCCTGACTACCTTACCCAGCCTAGTACGGAGGAGGAGAGATGCAGTCCCTTCAAAAGTACTGCCAGGTACTCCGGACTTGTTGGCGAAGTCCATGCACCAGCCAAAAAAGCGGCGAGCAAGGTCAATCCAGCGACCGAGTTTTGCAAGCCACCTCAGCAAGCGAATGTACCCCTTGGCCAATAAATCGCCAGAAGAGGTGCATTAGGACCGCAGCAGTCTTGTCGTTTGGTGTTAGAGTTTTGGGGCCATAAGCTACTCCGTATGGTCATTTGCCATTAAGGGGCTACTACCCCGTATTCATCAGCTGTCAAACCGTTGGTTTCTTGGGACGCTGGGCGATGACGATGTCGACCAGAGAACACCAGTGCTTTCTGCTTTCGAAGTTATTGGTCAAAAGGTCTGTTGGATGAGCGATCGTTCTGGACTGGTCCGTGTCGTGTCGATCCAAGGAGCACGCAATGGGTGCAGTGTACAATGGCAGAGCCCTGGCCAGGGCGGAAGGGCGGGCAGTAGGGAGCCAAGGAGGGCCATCACCCGCATGCACACTCTGCCCGATCCTAGCAAGCCTGGGGCCAAGTTCCAGCAGGGGTCACTGAGAGGCCCTTGTCCGGCCTGTAGCCAAAGGCAGGTGTATGCGCTGTGGCTCGCCCCCAGGCTAATGAGCTGTATTTCAGGTGGACGCCACGTTTCTCAGACCACCCTTGGCTGTCGTAACCGAGATAAAATCGAGAGCATGGCAGGTATGTCTCGGACAGGCTAGACACTCTCCCAGGAAGCCGTCTTGCGATCTGTGCTCATCATCTCTGGAGGAGGTATCGCAAAAGCAGGAAAAATCAATCAACCAAAGATTGACAGGCGGCTGTTGTCTGACCCAAGAGAATCGGCAACAACGGCTTTCTGGGATGGCCGCCGAGAAGTGTCAATGATCCTCTTGGGTGCTGCTCCACCTCCTTGCTTCAGCACCATGTATGGATACTGCAAATTGACTGGATTTTAGGTCGACTGGAGCAGGAAGACGGACGGGCTTGACCGTTTCCGATCGACAGGGAAGACGTCTGGAGTGGTCTTTCTTGGGCGAGGGTTTGCGGGGAAGGGGTGACTCCGAAGAGGCAGGAAAGTGCGTGCTGAAAGTGCAGGCCACAAGCTCTTTCCCTCCTTTAGCTACATATTTGGCGCTAGCTAGCCTGCAGGAACCCCCCCGGGCCCCGTCTAAACGACGTGCTTTCCACGACGGGCGGACGCTTAGCTATTAGTCCAATGCTGTTCCATTGTTGTATAAGGTCGAAGCATGATATGATGGCAACGGGTATCTGGTTCCCATGCTCGCTAGATGCTTGACAAGGTGACAGCACAGACAGTGCAGTGCAGCCGCAGAGTCGTGGTGGAAATCCTCCGTGCCTTGGCCTGCACAGACTGGCGGCCCTGATTGCTTCAGAGGTACTTTTAACAAGAAAACACTGTCTCCCTGTAGGCCTCGATGGGAGACTGGAAAGAGAAGAAGGATTGCCATGTCACCAACAAGCCATCTCTCTTCTCTCAGTCTCTCGAGACAAGACGAGTGCGACGTCTGACCAGGAGAGGCGCGCAAGGCAAACCAAAGAAGGGCACCTGCATTGGCTGGTTTGATCTCTCTTCTTGTCTGTCGAGACAGGACTCTACCATGCCATGGCCTCCGTGGGCGGGCAGGCCGCCTGCCTCATCTCGGGAGACTACAGGATCAAATCTTAGCATGAGAATGACAAAGGTGTCGCAACCGGCTGTCGTTGTGACTCTCTGCACTTGTCATCGACGCATGTGCCTGCCCAGCCGAACTGGCCTTGCAGTGCCGGTCCCCGCCATCGCAGCTCTTGTCAAACAAGTTGGTGTCTTTCGATCGAGCTTGTCTCACAACGATATAGCTTCGGCCAGACCTTGGTCAAAAGCTAGGGTTCGCTCAAGCCCTCCGAGGTCTTAGCTCGCCTGCACGATCTCCGTCATCGGCTCTACCCAGCTTGAGCCTTCGCTCTCGGACCAGCAAACCACATTATCTTGACATCACTCTGTTGCCTCATCAGCCCCAACAACACCCCTTTGGCCTGTTCCCCCCCGGCTCCAGATCTCAGCGTCGTGGCATGACCTCGGGGCAACCTGCGGCCTATTCGGTACCAACACACCACTTGGGACACTTGGGTGTTGGGGCCAAGGCCTGCCCAGAGCTTCCCCAGGCTTCGGAATGAGATTTGGTGCCCACTGCCGCAACCACATCGGCGCCTTGCTGCCGAGACGTCGCAATCCCGTTGACAGGAGTGCCTCCGTTGAAGGCCCTTTTTTGTGATTCGAGCTAGTTGATCAACGCGTGCGTTGGTCTGAATGAATGGCAAGGCTCTGCAACTCTGCACGGCCGCACAAAGCTGACCTGCGGCACGGTCCTTAATGGCCTCAATAAGAGGCCGGGACCTGGGTCTCTCTCTGCTGGTCCCGGCCGCCTTTACCGCTTTCCAGCCCCGTGGACCCCAGCTTGGGGTCCCAACCAGTCAGATAGATGTTTGTCACTTACAAGCTGCCTCACCGGTAGATCTTTGCTTTTGGTACATGTGCTTTGGCGATGCATATCTTGGTCCTTTGTATCGAAGGGCGACCCGCAGGTCTTTCCCTCGTACCTGCAAGCAAGATATCTATTCTTGACCAAGCAGAAGCGGCGTTTGGCGACGAGGGGGGGGAGAAAGGTGTGTACGAGGGAAGTACAGCACTATTTCTTGGCTCACATGCATTCCCTTACAAGGAAATGCCCGGCGCACCTCCCGTCCCAGGTCAGATTCTGACAAGAGTGGTGGGAGATGGTACCCAAAGGACGATTCGAGCCGGGGTGAGATGATCCCGGCTTGCCCTCCCCGACCAATGAGCTTCAGGCGGGCAGACGTAGGTAAGCGGCACAGAAGCAAAAGATGGCGCAACAAGTTTTGCGAGTGACTTGTGATCCTTTCTCGTCTGTCACTTCCCACAAGATTTGAGCATCCACTGTGGCCTTGTAGGTAGTGGCTTACTGTCCAGAGTGCAGGACGTTGTCGCCGCTGCCCACAGATTCACCGCCGGTTTACATAAGAGTGACTCCCAACGAGAAGCCCAAACCCCGCAGGCATCGAACGATGGTCCGGTCGCTGAAGACACTGTAAGACGTGCGTCTGGCTGTACGGAGTACACTTCGTAGGTAGTGAGCAAGGAGTCCACCACAACCGCCCGAGGACGAGCAGGCAAATAGGCTACGCCAAGCTGTCTCTCCGTTAGTTATGTCCCAAGCATTGAACCCGAGGTAGGAACCTCCCCTTTCGGCCCAAAGCCGCCTGTCGGCAACACCCGCCTCGCCCATGTTTATGACGATGTCGGCTACTATCCCGACAGCCTTCCCCGGCTATCAGCCCTACGGCGGGTATTTCAAAACGCCCTCGACATGAAGAGAAAAGCACGAGATACCGGGGAGAAGACGCCATGTATTTCCCCGGCCAGAAAATTTTGCTGCTCCGCTCCGATCCGCTTTGTTAAAGCCGGCCGCCGCTCTCCGTAGGGAGAAGTCGATGGAAGAGTGAACTCGTGTCATCGTGGTGTTGCTAGTCGTAATTGTAAGACAGATACCATGAGCGGGTCCTATCTCCTGTTTCTGAGTTTGTGTTTGCCCTGAGCACCCTGATTGCTACGTTTCACAGCGTACTTGAACAAGGCTCCAGTAGCCGAGCCGAAGGGGGTGAGAGGGGAGACAGACTACAATGTCTTTGGTATCCCGCGAGGAGTGTCTTTTGAAGGAAAAAAGTTCGAGGACCTTGCCATGTGTAGCAGCTTAGACACTCTTGAGGATATAAGCTCGACCAAATGACCCAAAAGCTCTCATATCCTCAGCAACGGGGCAAGAAAACAATTTTTGGAAGATCATCTTGTAGATTCCAAGAATACAGAGCCAAGCAGATGCCTTGGTACCTATAACATATAATAAAGTACAGAGTGTGATCCAGTTCTGCAATATTCCAAGCAAACAACGTCGTGACACAGTAATCCCTTTCCAGGCACCCTCAATTTTCACCCATCACCCATTGGTGTGATGCATCTAGAACTCCAGAGTGGGCTTGACGCCCTTAACTCGGCCAATCACCTGCTCGGGGGCGTACTTGGGGATGACCTCATCATCGTGCAGCATCTCGAACTCCTCCGTGGCGTCGCGGCCCATGAAGTTCATGATGGCTTGGGGACCACCGGGGTGCTCCTCGAGCCAGTTGCTCAGGTCCATAACAACGCCCTTGACAACGACCCACAGGTCCTCCTTCGTGTTGTGCTTAGCAACCTCCTCCATCGTGTACTCCTTCTCGGGGATCTCAAACTTCTTGGGGTTGTTGGGCTTGGCAGCAGCCTTGCCCTCGGCAGTCTGCGGAGACGGGCCGGCGGCAGAAGTCTGCTGTGACTGGGGAGCAGATGTCTGGACGCCGGAGCCAGAACCGGAACCCCACTCAACGGAGATCTTGCCGGGCTGGGATGGGTCCAGGTGCAGCGAGATCTGGCCGAGTCTCTGCGTGGCACTAGAAGAGCCCTTAAGGGCCTGCTGGAAGAGGTAGTTGCTGGCAGTGTCACCAGCGACACGGCCGTAGACGACGCAGCCAAGCAGTGATGAACCACCCAGACGGTTGGCACCGTGCACACCACCAGCAAGCTCACCACAGGCGAAAAGGCCGTCAAAGGCCTTCTGCTCAGAGTTGAGAACCTGGGCCTTGTCGTTGATCTCGATACCACCCATGGTGAAGTGGAGAACGGGCTCCATCAGCGCGACGTGGAAGTCGTCATCGATGTCGAGGGGCAGGTTGTGGAAGAACTTCTTGCCCCAAGGATCCTTCTGCTTACCATCGGCGATGGCGTTGTAGGTCTTGAAGGTCTTCTGGAGGTGGTCGGGAGAGCAGCCAATCTCTTTGGCGAGCTGCGCACCAGTCATCTTCTTCATGAGGCCGCGGCCAGAGTAGTGGCGGGTGTGGAAGTCGAGGGTGTTGGAAGCCTTGGAGTTGAGGATGAGGCGGATGGGGAACTTGCCCTTATCCTTCTCCTTCCACATCATGCCCGACACGTAGTCACGGTGGCCGAGCTCGTCACAGAAGCGGTCACCGTCGGCGTTGAGCAGCAGACCACCCTCGCCACGGAGAGCCTCGGCAGCCAAGAACTTCCACTTGGAGCCGGGATCCTTGGGGTCGACCAGACCCGTGGGGTGAACCTGGACCTTGTCCATGTCAATGCCGTTACCACCAATGGCCATGACCATCTTCTGGCCGTCGCCAGTAGCGTGGGAGCCGTTGGTGGTAGCGAGGCCGAAAGTGTCGGGTCTGTGCTTCTTCAGCAGTGACGAGTCACTGAAGTCGGCGGCATAACCGCCCGTGGCGAGGACGACAGGGCCGTCCAGGGAGTGATGCTCGCCGTTGAACTCGTACTGAACACCGGTGACCTGGTTGCCCTCCTTGTTCAGACCAGTGACACGGGCCTTCTTGATGATCTCAACCCGGTCGGGTTCGGTCTCGGCGAGCTCCTCTAGCCTTTGCATGAGGGCGTAGGTGATAGCCATACCAGGGAACTTTGCATCGTGTCCTCGGTGCGTCCGGGGCTGTGAGTGGCCACTGGATTGGTGTTAGCAAATGCTGCAGTCTTTATGCTACAGAACGGGAAAAACTCACCCTAGCCGGGAAACCAGAGTAAGGTCTAGGTTGAAGACGTCCTGCAGCCACTCGACGGCGGCAGCGGACTTGTATGTGAGGACCTTGATGAGGTCGGGTCTGGCCTTGTCACGGGCCGACTTCAAGGTATCATCGTAGAACTGCTTGACGCTGTCTGCGATGCCGAGATCAACCTGTGTCCTGGTCAGGGCACCGTTGATGCCGGACGTGGCCTTTGTGGAGTTGCCTCCGAAGAAGCCTGCGAGTCGAACGTGGTTGTTAGCATCATCTGTTCCGGGGGATGGGCGGCAGGTGGTTCGGAATGGGATAAGGGCGTGCGCGACTCACCTTGCTTGTCCAAAACGACGACATTGCCACCGTTCAGGTAGATAGTGTGCGCGGCACTCAATCCGGACACTGTAAGGGAGAATTGTCAGTATTCTCATGACCTGATGTGATGCGAGCATATGCTTGCGGGGTTCGGAAATCTTACAGCCGCCGCCAACGACAATGACTCTGGGTGCCATTGTGCGAGATGTGCCTCGAGATATCAGTGGACAGGAGAGGGTATACGGATGACAATGGCAAGGCTAGGGAAGGCAATGACAGAGAAGGAGACGATGGTCTTTGGCAGAAGAAATGGAGGAAGAAGGGAGAGAGTCTAGCATGTGCGCAACCAAGGAATGGAGGCGTAGTTATTCTCTGCCAGCAGTGCCCTTGTTGCTCTGGTGCGGCTTCCGAGGGACTGCACTAAGCCGAAACGCTGGCACGCTGATTCGTGGTTGTCCACTCCACTAGCTGTGCCGAGGTCGACCTAAAAATGGGGTAAGCAATGGGTTTATGCCGTCAGTGAGACTTGCCCACTGTTCCTGCGGGGGCGGCACTGGTCGCCGCGTTGGGATGCGATTCATTCACGGTAGCTGCGCTCAATGTCGGGCATTGCGCGTTGAACAGCAGCACTTTCATAATATGTAGGTATCTCACGATGGCTTTGTGCACCTATTAGAGCCCCATCTTGACCTTTTGCGCCCCGTACAGCCAAGAAAATGCTGGACTTTGCGCGGGTTGTGCTTCGTTTAGGTGTGTACCGAAGATACCTCGCTCCCTCGTTGGAGTTAGGCCCGAGATCCATTCGCCGCAGAAGCCGGAGGACAAGGACAACACACGCCCGTCCAGCTATGTCTTTCGTTGTACATAAGTACCTAAGTGAAGCCCATCTTAGCCTCCTTGAAGAGTTTTACAACCTACCTTACAGAGACTTCATATTTTGCCCTTGCAGTGAGGGATGAATTGCAGGCGACGGCTCCTACGCCCGAGTCACGAGGTCCCTACAGTTGCCCCTGGTGGTGGGAACAGCACATCATGCTTCCCCACAGTAACCCCAAAGCTAGAGTCGTCCCACTGTCCCATAACTACCAGCAACGGGGTTTTCACATGTGAACTTCCCCAGCCAGTCGACTGCATCTGTAGGTCATCAATCACCGGCCTGGCATCCAAATTGGCCAGATTTGTCACTGTCGCCGGGCTGGCCGACCTTCGCCGTGTCACATGCCTCCGCCCTCGCCTCACTCCTTTTCAGGCCTTGTGAAGGGTGAATCTTTTGGATGTGCTAGAAAAGAAGAAAAGAGGATTGGTAGCCCAGGCAGCAAAACGTGCATAGCAGCAGATGAAAGTTGTCCCGGCTGGAGCAGAAGGCCTATCCGCCAGCAACCTGGGGTGTACTTCGCACAGCTCAAAAGGAAGTCCTGTATCGGGTCGGCCAAGGCCGTCAACATTTCCAAATACCTACTTTCCCCGTGATTGGCACCCCGTGGAGAATCAGTGCAGTTCCAAAAAGTTGGGGTCCGCCTTGAGCATGGCTTGGCTCCTGATGTGATCCGCTTTGAAGGGTCCGCCACATGTTTGAGTCGTTCGCATCACCAGGTCTAGAATGTGTCAAAATTTCGCATGTGAAAACCAATCTTGCAGTAAGAATGGGACGCGTGACAGATGAGCCGCATAGGCGTCTCATGCAAATGTCTTTCTAAGCCAGATTGGCTAGTTATCACAAGCAATTCCCCGGGTGTGACTAGCCAGCATCGCAATTTGCAAAAGATCGCTGAACGCATCCACTGACTGTATCGTTCAGGGCAACGAGCAAAGCTTGAAGCACATATGGAGTGCCGCCTTCCCTAGACTTTGGCATAGTGTACATAGAATTACAAAGGGACGAGCCAGTCTACGTGCGACATGGCAGGCGGCTCATCTTCCCCGGGCGATGAAGGCTAATCTCTCGCAGCTGTCAGCAGCTGGTATCATACGTCATCAAGGCTGAGGCAGGTTTGGTTTGACTCCATCGCACGGCACTACCATCATCGCGCTCGCCTTGAATATCGATCTAAACGCCCATGTAGCAAGTGTTTTGTCAAAATACCAATATGAAGTCAACACAGATATACATCCTAGCAAGCTTGACGTCTCTAGCCTGCTCCCAACTCATCGCTCTGCCCTTGTCCTTCAAGAGGCTGACCCCGCACTCGCTCTGGAACCGCCCAGAGCAGCAGCCCATCATGGACGCCGTGAGCCCTGCTCTGCCGCCCGGCCAGGGCAATCCAGGCTCTGGTGGTGGACAAGGAAGCGTCATACTGTCTGATGTGATGGGCCGAGATAGGAGTATCAACATCTTCGCTGGGTTCACACGCGACATCGAATCAATCTCACGGCGGCTCGACAATTCTGCCCAAAACTCGACTGTCCTTGCGCCGCTGAACTCGGCCATCGAGAACCTTCCGAGAAAGCCGTGGGAGGACCCGGCAGACTACGACACCTTGGGTGCCGATGCCTACGAGGGCGAGGACGGACAGGAGAGGGCGCAACGGAACATCCGACGCTTTGTCGAGGCGCATATCGTTCCCTCAAGCCCTTGGCCAAAGAATGAAAAGGTCAAGCCCATAGGAAGCAACACACAAGCTTGGTGGGAGGAGAAGGATGGTGTTCGCATGGTATGTTGAGCGTCGCCACGCCCAGAGGAGAATACACCACTAATGAACTACTCCCAGATTCAACCTGGAAACATAGAGGTGGTCAGCATCGCTAGCACTGTCGCGAATGGAGAAGTGGTATGTTGCAATGAATCCAGCAGTCACCCAGAGCAGTAACTAACACATGCGTCTAGTGGATAATCAAGGGCGTTCGCAACTACTGAGTAAACTGACTTATACTGGGTTGAGCCGAGCTGATGTTTGCATGGTCTCGTTTGGCGTTCCGGCGTTGCTCTTCAATGATATATTATATGCTCTTTAATGAATCCATGAATTTCCAGACAACTGACATCCTTTCGTGTTGTTTCCTGTCCTCGTCCTACTGGTGACAGAAGTCATGATGAGCTTCATGCTGCATACCGAGGTAGTGATCCAACACGCAACACTGGATAAGAACACCCCAGCCTCGGGTTCCCCCTGGTTGGAAGCTTGGTGGAAATGTCTCATCACCAACCAATTGCCCGGCAAACTTGCTGCAGCTGTACTGTTTTAAAATGTAGAGTGTGCGCATCATGCCTCTTCTTGTTAGTATCTTAGGGCTCGAAAAGCCCTTTACGTTGTTCAACCACTCGATGTATATAAAACATTCTTAGCTTTTGTTTGAAATCTGTGGCCGCTAGAGCCTCTTGTCCTATTGTCATTATGCGCCCTGATTTCCATCTATTGACCCTATTGACGTGACCGTCCTGAGAAGCCATTGATGAGAAGAAGGACTGTCGATGATTGGCCATATTGCGAGTTTTGATGGGGCTTATCGGAACACACATCCCTGAAATAATCCGCCCTTATCTTATCGCCCACGGAACGGCAGCGGCTAATTCCGTAATCGGGCATTGTCTGGTAGGTCAGTTAGTCGTGTTGCCCTTGTCTTTGCGTCCGCGCTGCCAAAGCATCATCAGCTTCTTCTCGTTCATGACACTCCAGCCGACGCTCCTTCGTTGTGTCCCCTATGTTGCACCGGGCGCGAAGGTAATTCGACTATATCACCGCCATAACCCTACTTCAGAAGCCTCTCGATCTCTATTTGAGACCCTTGAGAGCTGTGACGAGGTACGTGGGCTCCTCTCGGCCTCCCTCCTGAGGTTCGGCTCACAATTCTTTCCCGCCCGGCCCCTCAATCCAACCCACCTTGACCGACCTTCGTCTCCGCGTCTGCGATGTCGCGAAACGGTTTTGGGTCTGATTCTGACTCTGTTTTAAAGCTTGCAGGTTTTTCGCAGCCATGAACGGCCAGCCGATGCACGGCGCTGGCTTCGATCGCGACCGCGATCGCGACCGTGAGATTGAAGAGCAGCGTCACCGAGCTCTTCAACAACAGGACGAGATGGCGCACCGAGAACGTGAGCGTGAGCGCGAACAGTATCCTCCTGGTGCACCACCGCACCACAGCAGTGCCGGGTCGATCCCCATCCACCAGCCGGTAGCATCGAGAATACCTGGGGCTATCCACAGTCCTGGTGGGCTGTTGGCAAACCATGGTGGTGGCCCGAACATTCCCCTTGGCCCTCCGTCCGGACCGCCGCCTCCTGCTGCAAACTTTGGCCCTCCGCTGTCGAACGAATCGAGTCGGCAGATGCAACACGGCGGCCAAGCTGGCCCGCCGCCCTCCCAACAACACATGTTTGCCCCCATGCCGCACGGCCCTGTGCCGCCCAGCAACTCCCTGGGAGCTTCAAACGGACCAGGAGCTGCTTTCGGTGGCCCCCCACAACCCGAGCATGGCCGTGGTGTTCAACAGATCCCCTTTGGAGGAAGCAACGTACCCCCAGCCCCTCAAGGGCCCAATGGCCAAGGAGGTTTGTCGCAGGGCCAGCAGCCCATCCTCAACGTGAGTTTAAAGTGAAATAGTTGTGGGAGATGCACTATTCTGAGGCTAACATGATGCCAACCAAGGATGCCTTGAGCTATCTTGACCAGGTCAAGGTTCAATTTCATGAGCAGCCCGATGTCTACAATCGCTTCTTGGATATCATGAAAGATTTCAAGAGCCAGACGTGAGTTACCAAAACGTCGAAATGACTATTGTATCACCAACTAATCATCTTTTATACAGTATCGACACACCTGGCGTCATCAGCCGCGTTTCAGATCTTTTCGCAGGCCACCCGAACCTGATCCAGGGCTTCAACACCTTCCTCCCCCCGGGCTATAGGATCGAGTGCGGTCTCGAGAATAACCCGAATAGCATTCGGGTCACGACCCCTTCGGGATCTACAATTCATTCTATCGGCCCTGCGAGAAATCTGCAGGCCGAAGGAACCCAGGGCCCTCCCGGCCCTAGCCAGCCGTACATGGGCCAGCAGCGGCCTGCGAACTGGCAGGTTCCCATGCAGCACAGTGTCGAGAGCCCCGAGGCTCAATTCAGTGCTCCTGTTCATGGCGGCCCAGGCCCCCATCCCAACCCAGGTATGCAATCCCTGCGAACATACCCTTCTCCAGACGATTCTCGCAACTAACTCGTTCCTGCAGTCCCAAGAAATGCGCACACTCCGACACCGTCGGCGGCACAGGGTGCCCTCAATGGAAATGCTGCCCAGCAAGCGAACATGGATGCGAAGCGTGGCCCCGTTGAGTTTAACCATGCTATCAGCTACGTGAATAAGATCAAGGTAAATCTCTCTACGCCGCGCAGCACGACCAAGCGGCACGAAACAGTTGACTAAAATCTATTGCAGAACCGGTTCCAGGACAAGCCCGAGATCTACAAGCAGTTCCTCGAGATTTTGCAGACGTATCAGCGGGAGCAGAAGCCCATCCAAGAAGTGTATGCGCAGGTTACCACCCTGTTCAACAGCGCGCCGGACCTCCTGGAAGACTTCAAGCAATTCCTCCCAGAATCAGCAGCTCACGCGAGAGCCGCCGCTGCAGGGCGTCCGAGCGAGGAGGGCCTTCCGCAAAGTAGCACTCCGCAAAGCGCTCAGCCCAGCCATCTGGGGCGTGACTTCAGCAAAGGACCGCCGGTCGGCACGTTCGCGCCTCCATCGAGCGCCAGCAAGGAGTCCAAAAAGAGACCCAAGACCGAGAAGCAAGCCCCTGTGCCACCTCCGGTTCTGGAGCCGATGAACTCGTCTGTTCGCAATACACTGCCCGGTGGTTCAGGCAGCAACAAGCGAGCGAAGCTCTCACACAAACCTACCGCTGAGGGTCCATCGATCGAGCCAACCCTTACCCCTGTTATGCCGGAGCCTCTCGCCGGATCCGCCTACACCGACGATGTCACTGAAGCCCTCAACTTCTTTGACAAGGTCAAGAAGTACGTCAACAACCGCACGACGACCATCGAGTTCCAGAAGCTTCTCAACCTTTACACAAGTGATCTGATCAGCCTGAACGATCTCGTCACTAAGGCCTACCACTTTATCGGGGGCAATCCGGAGCTGTTTACCTATTTCAAGTCTATGGTTGGCTACACGGGTGACGACGAGCAGATCAAGAACACTCCTCTTCCCCCAGATGAGCGCGTTTCCCTCAGCAACTGCCGTGGCTACGGTCCTAGTTATCGCCTTCTGCCCAAGCGAGAGCGCCTCAAGCCGTGCAGTGGTCGTGATGAGCTGTGCCGTTCCGTCCTCAACGACGCGTGGGCCTCGCACCCGACATGGGCCTCCGAGGATAGCGGTTTTGTCGCTCACAGGAAGAATGCCTTTGAGGAAGGCCTTCACCGTATCGAGGAGGAGCGTCATGACTATGACTTCCACATCGAGCTCAACCAGAAATGCATCCAGCTTTTGGAGCCTATTGCGCAACAGATGCTGACAATGACCCCAGAGGAGCGAAAGCACTTCCGCATGCCTCCTGGTCTTGGCGGCCAGTCGACCTCAATCTACAAGCGCGTCTTCAAGAAGATCTACGGTCTCGAGCATGGCCCCAAGGTCACTAACGAGCTCTTTATGGACCCGTTCGTCGTTGTCCCTGTTGTCTTGGCCCGAATGAGACAAAAGGACGAAGAATGGCGCTTCTCTCAGCGCGAGTGGGAGAAGATCTGGCTTGCACAGACCGAGGCTATGCACTTGAAGAGTCTCGACCATATGGGCATCCAGGTCAAGTCGAACGACAAGCGCATGTTCTCTGCCAAACACCTCGTTGACCTGATCAAGACGAAACATGAGGAGCTTCGCAGGGCACGAGCCCTGAAGCTGAAATCCACTCGCCACCAGTTCCTATGGACCTTCCCCGACCAGGACCTGCTCCTTGATCTTCTTCGCTTCATGGTCCTGTATGTGATGCACAGTGGACAGCACGGAGCTGCTGAGAAGGAGCGCATCTTGGACTTCTTCGAGACCTTCGTGCCCCAATTCTTCGATCTGCCAGAGGATCAGGTCCAGCAGCGCCTTGCTGACATTGACCGCGACTCCGGCGAGGAGGACGAGGACCCCACGCCCGCCGAGCTTGTCAATGGACGGAGCCGACGCAATGGCAAGAAGTCAGATCTGCTCCGCGGCGTTCTCGACCCCGGCCGAAACAGCAGCAAGTCCCGAAATCAGAAAGAGGGCAGCGCCGCTTCGGGATCGAAAGAGACGACCCCGGATAACGGCTCAGCAAACGAGGAAGAGATGGCCGACGCGCCTGAAGAGACTGCCGTTCCAGACGTGTCAAACGAGCGATGGCTCCCCACTGTGCCTCGCCCTACCGTCATCGCCGGCGAGAACCCCTTCCTTGACTCGGACAATGAACTCAAGGCAGATGGTTTCTTCCCGCGCACCTGGTACAACTTCTTCTGCAATCAGTCCATCTACATCTTCTTCTTCGTCTTCCATGCCCTCTACCAGCGTCTCAAAGATGTCAAAGAGAACAAGAAGACTGTCCTCGAGGAAATCGAGCGCGCGTCAGCGGAGACCCCAGCCAAGAAGCTCAACATGGTTTCCTCCGAGCCCAAGTACTTTGAGGATATCAATACCGATACCTTCTGGCCCCGCACAATCGAGTTGATCGAGGACTTCATTGCCGGCGACTTGGACGAGAGCTCGTACCAGGACGTCCTCCGTCATTATTACCTGACGACGGGCTGGAAGTTATACTCGATGCCCGATCTTCTCAGGATTCTCTGCCGCCAAGCCCTGTCATGTAACAACTCCGACTCCAAGGAGAAGACGGCAGAGCTGGTCACGCAGTTCCTCAACAACAGGCAACAGGAGGAGACCAGCTACCAGACCGAGATCAGCGCTCGAAAGTTTGCAGAGAAGTGTGTCAAGGACGGCGACATGTTCAACTTGTGCCTAGTAAGTCGATCCGCAATGAATTCAGGCTTCCAGCAGCTAACAATATGCTCCCAGGTTCCCAGCAAGAATGAGGTCTCAGTCAGGTGGCTACCCAAGAACGAGGCCACGTTCTCCACAGACGAGATGGAGATCCGCGAGCGATGGAAGTACTACATCTCCAGCTATGTCCGCGTAGACCCGACCGAGGGCGTGGCGCGTTCGCGCTTGCAGACCTCGGTGCTCAACCGCAACCTGCCCAAGGCCGGCAGCGACCACGACTCGGAGGACGAGGGCGCCCCCAAGCCCCTGGTCTACAACGAGGGCCTGGTCCTGCGCATCTGCCTCAACTCGTCCAAGATCGCCTACGAGAAGGGCACCGCGGAGCACTTCATCTACGGGCAGCCCCGCGAGTCGGAGGACGCCAAGCGCCTCGACGCGCGCCGGCACGACCGGCGCATGGACCGCTTCCAGGAGAAGTTTGTCATGAACACGAGCTGGATGCGCGACATGCCGGCCGACGGCGTGCAGAAGCGCAAGGAGGCGTTCCAGAAGTGGCTCGACGACGGCGTCCTGCCTACGGAGCAGCAGCAGCAGCAGCAGCGTGGCGCTAGCTCGTCTGCTGCCGCCTCCGCCCCTGCGGCTGCTGTGCCGGCTGGTGGTGCCGAGGACGTGGAGATGGAGTAGAGAGGCTCGATGTTGATGTTGCCCAAAGCATCCCTCAGCGGTTTGCCGATTCTCGAGCTGCATCAGCGTCACTTTGCTCAGCTTCCAGAGTTGCTTCTGTTTTTTCCTTGTCTTTTCGGACGGGTTCACATTGCAGTGTTTGGCCATTTTAGTCTTGCAAAAGAAGAAATCTTTGTTTCTTTTCATCGTATCAAAAACCTCGTCAAGAGTTTTGTTTCAAGGGTGGCGGCCATTTTGAGCTTTTGCAAAAATGCACCACCGGGAATGATGGCGTCAGGAGGAAGAAATCCGGGGTTGTTCACAGAGCCCCCCCTGTTTGTATCATAGCAAAATCGGAATTCGTCTAGCTTTTGTTTGTTTGTTTTCTCCATTCTCCTTTTTCATAGGTCATAGGACAACAATCCAGCAGCACCTTTCTCATAAATAGCCCGTTTGGGCTTCATCCAGACTCGTTTCGTTGGAATTGTGAGACAACCATTTGTGGTTCATTATATTTTTGATTTGGCACCTTGTGTATCTTGGCGTGATCTATGTAATCATTACGCTTTTGTATTAGACACCCATCTGGCTCTCGTTCATGATCGCATGAAAGGGGGTACAGAGAAGGGAGGAAAAAACCGCTGACGATGGGCCGCAGAAAGACGACATCCTCCTTTTTTTCTTTTGTTTCTCTCTCTTGGGAACTCGACAGCGCGCCGAGCCCGCCGACACAAGATGATGTGCCTTCCGTAATCAGACAGGCAGACCAGAACACTTACTGCAGGCTCTCAATGACCAGGGCGGAGGCACCGCCGCCGCCGTTGCAGATGCCGGCGACGCCGATCTTGCCCTTCTTCTCGCGCAGGACGGTGGTCAGGGTGGTGACGATGCGGGCGCCGGAGCAGCCGAGGGGGTGGCCGATGGCGACGGAGCCGCCAAAGACGTTGACCTTTTCCGGGTCGAGGTTGAGGATCTTGATGTTGGCGAGGGCGACGACGGAGAAGGCCTCGTTGATCTCGTAGTAGTCGACGTCCTTGTCGGAGAGGCCGGCGTGCTTGATGGCCTTGGGGATGGCGAGGGCGGGGGCGGTGGTGAAGCGCTCGGGCTCGCGGGCGGCGTCGCCCCAGCCGAGGATCTTGGCGACGGGCTTGACGCCGAGCTCCTTGACCTTGGCCTCGGACATGAGGACGACGGCGGCGGCGCCGTCGTTGATGGGGGCGGCGTTGGCGGCGGTGACGGTGCCGCCGTTGGGGATGAAGACGGGGCGGACGGTGCGGAGCTTGTCGGCGTTGAGGTTCTTGGCCTCCTCGTCGCGGTCGACCTTGACGGGGGGCTTGCCGCGGCCGCCAGAGACCTCGACGGGGACGATCTCGCTGGCGAAGACGCCGGCCTCGGTGGCGGCCTGGGCGCGCTGGTACGTCTTGATGGCGTACTCGTCCTGCAGCTCGCGCGTGAGGCTGTGGTCCTGGCTGCAGAGCTCGGCCTGCATGCCCATGAGCTCCTGCTTGCCGTAGGCGTCGCGCAGGCCGTCCTTTTGCACGCCGTCGACGAGCGAGCCGTCGCCGTACTTGACGCCCGTGCGCAGGTTGGGCAGGTAGTGCGGCGTGTTGGACATGGACTCGGTGCCGCCGGCGACGACGACCGAGGCGTTGCCCGTCATGATGGTCTGGGCGCCGAGGATGATGGCCTTCATGCCCGAGGCGCAGACCTTGTTGACGGTGGTGCAGACGACCGAGTTGGAGAGGCCGGCGTTGATGGCGCACTGGCGGGCGGGAGCCTGGCCCACGCTGTTTGGCGGGGAGGAAAAGAGGTTAGCAAGAGGTGATCTGGGCTGCTTTGTGTTTTCCTTCGGCTGGAACATACTTGGCAGACAGGACATTTCCAAAGAAGACCTCCTCGACATCCTCGGCCTTGATCTCGGGCACCCGCTCAACAGCCGCTATCCATGGAGGGGCACATTGTAAGTATTCTGGCCCTAGATTGCCGCGATCGGGGGACACGAGGTAAGTAAAGGCGTACCCTTGATGGCGTGGGAGCCCAGCTGAACAGCAGTGAGGCTAGACAGAGATCTGTACCGGGCACAATGTCAGTGATCGTGAGCTTGACCAGCAGCACTGCGATGGAGGGGCAAGCAATCAGGGGTCCCATGGAACGTACCCCAGGAACGACCCCACGGGCGTTCTGGCGACAGAGACAATGTAGACGGGAGGAAGGCCGGACATTGTGAATAGTTCGATCTGCTGGGTTGGGTATTCGAGAAGAGGAGCAGCGGGTGAGGATCGGGAATTGAAGTGCAAAACAAAGAGTCTCTCTCTCTCTCTTTTTTTTTCTGCCTGGATGATTGCGCGGACAGAAAATGTTGGGAGCTCTTGGTATTGAGGGAGGGAGTCGTCAATTTCTCACCGCTATCGCACAGCGCAAACCCCACCCCACCACCACCACGCGAATGCACTGCGCGGCGCGGAGCATGCAGGATGAAGTGTGCTGTGTCAGGGGTGCGCTCAGGGTGTGCCAAGGGGATGAACGAACCATCCAATCCACCGACTTTGCTGCTTGCGCCCGCTAGACAGTTGACTACCGTGGGAGCTAGTGCTCTCTGGTCAATCAGGATTCCGACTAGGTACCTAGCCAGGAACGCCGGGTTGCGGTGTCACTTCCCACACTAACCCTCCGAATTCTGGGCGGGACGGGGGCTCCTTGGGCGCTGGGCAGTGGAGACGGCCGTGTCCCGAGACCGGGCTCCTGCTTTCACCGAGGTGGTTCGGCAGCCTCAGAGCCTCTGCGCGGGTACCATGCCGTGCTGATCCTCTGACCGCTGCAACGAAGTACCTAGATACCTAGGTAGGTAGGCTATAGCTACAGAGACGTCACATTGCTCCTTTCGTCTAAAGTGAGCTGAAGTCGATTATGCTGCTCGTGGGTTGTGCCAGAGCCGATGTCATGTCGGATCAGGTACGGCTGGATATCCAGGGCAAGGACGGATCTTCAGTCCCTCCGGAATTATGCCTCGTCTTTAAATGTCCCTGCAGTCACGCAACAGCTCCTTAAGGAAACATACGCCTCCTTCGTCTGCAGGTTATCTCCAGAGTGAATTACTCAGGGCTAGAGACCAATGTCAAACCCAGTACACACATGACATTGGTGGAGGCAAACAATTCTCAACCCATTGTTTCCCTCTAGAGGATATTGCCCATAGATGATATGCCCATTGCAATGTAGGTACTTTGTTGAGCATCAGACTCGGGCTTCTAGAGCCTCTCTCTTGGTTTATGTCAAGATCTACGACAAGATACAGATCCTGATGGAAACAAAAGGGCCTCAATTGAGGTAGTGGAGGACTCTGTATTGAAACAAAGCGACTAAAGGGGAATATATTTATTATGAGGGTCAGTGTAGAATACTTGAAACATCCATATCCTTATGTCCAAGTAAAGTAGTGCATTGTTTTATCTTGGGGTGATGGATGAAGCTTGATTCGCAAAGAGCTCGTGCACTCTCCTGCCTGTAGCAAGCTGGTCCCAGCAACATCGATTAGTGCGGCTGTCTAAAAATTTAGCATATTCCAACCACCAAAAAGTCGATCCCCAAGAGCACTAGCCCACGTGATGATAACAAGGCTTCCTAACAAAATTTCCCAGAACAGCATCATCGGTCGCGACAGCCTCAACTGGTCCCGCCAAACACCTTGAACCAGTGCAATTCCTGCGAAACTGCTGTCGCTGACCATGGATGACCTCTATGACGAGTAAGTTCCGTGCCCGCGCCCCTCGCGCCTTGCCCACCAGACTGACCATCCTCGCAGGTTCGGTAACTTTATCGGGGAGGAGGCCGAAGCTTCTGAGGAAGAGTCCGAGCGCGGCATTGACGCTGGCAACTACGTCTACGACGATGATTACCCCGAGGAGGCGCCCGAGGTGACGGGGCAGGAGTTGATGGAGCTCGATGGTAGGTCCTCCGCGCGTTACTTCTGGCCTGGCGCGCCCACATCCTGACTGATAATCTCGAACCAGATGAGGGCCCTTCCAATGCGGTCGTCCTCCACGAGGACAAGCAGTACTACCCGACAGCGCAGCAAGTATACGGCCAGGATGTCGAGACCATGGTGCAGGAGGAGGATGCGCAGCCCCTGACAGAACCCATCATCGCCCCGGTTGAGCAAAAGAAGTACACGATCGAGGAGGCCGACCTACCACCCGTATTCTACGACCGCGAATTCATGGCCGATCTCCTCAACTATCCCGAACAAATACGGAACATCGCGTTTGCCGGCAATCTGCACCATGGCAAGACCGCGTTCATGGACATGCTGGTCCTCGAGACGCACGACATCAACGAACGCCTCGAGAAGCGGACGGGAAAGAACAGGGACGAGCAGCTGAGATACACAGACGTGCACGTCCTTGAGCGCGAGCGAGGACTGTCCATCAAGTCGGCGCCCATGAGCCTGGTCCTGCAGAGCACAAAGGGCAAGTCCCACCTCTTCAACATCTTGGATACCCCTGGACATGTCAACTTTGTCGACGAGGTCGCCGCCGGCCTGCGCTTGGTCGATGGCATCTGCTTGGTGGTGGACGTCGTCGAGGGTGTGCAAGTCAACACGGAGCAGATCATCAAGCACGCAGTGCGCGAAGACATCCCCATGACTCTGATCATCAACAAGCTAGATCGGCTCATTGTGGAGCTCAAACTTCCGCCCAACGACGCCTACTTCAAGTTGAAGCACGCCATCGAGGAGGTCAATACAGTCATCACAGAGGCACTGCCGGCCAAGGCAGAACAGAACCGGCTGAGCCCCGAGAAGGGCAACGTACTGTTCGCATGCACCGATATGGGATGGTGCTTCACGCTGCAGTCGTTCGCCAAGATGTACTCCGACAGCTTTGGGGGAGTCAACACGGAAGAGTTCGCTCGGAGACTCTGGGGAGACGTCTATTTCAACCCCAAGAAGCGCTCATTCACGAGGAAGGCAGTGGAAGAAGGCGCCAGGCGGTCATTCGTCACATTTGTTATGGAACCGATCTACAAGCTCTTCTCCCACACGATCAGCGAGAGCCCTGAGGATCTCAAGAAGACGCTCGCCAGCTTGGGCATCTCCCTGAAGCCGTCTCAGTACAAAGCCGACCCCAAGGTAGTCTTGAAGCTCGTTTGTGAGCAATTCTTTGGCCCCTCGACAGGGTTCGTCGACATGGTCGTGGAACACGTTCCTTCCCCTGTCGAAGCTGCCGAGCGCCATCTGCAGAAGAATTACACAGGTCCACTTGACACCAAGGTGGCCGAATCAATGAAGGCCTGCGACCACGACGGACCCCTTGTCATCCAAGTCACCAAGTTGTACAACACGGCAGATGCCAAGAACTTTTATTCTTTTGGCCGTGTGATGAGCGGCACTGCCAAGGCGGGCGCCGAGGTTCGCGTGCTGGGCGAGGGCTACTCCATCGATGACGACGAAGATATGGCCATGGCTACCATATCCGAGCTGTGGATAGCCGAGACCAGGTACAACATCCCGACGGACGGTGTTCCGGCCGGTAACTGGGTGCTGTTGGGCGGCGTGGACAACTCGATTGTCAAGTCGGCAACGATAGTGCAGAAGAAGTTTGAGGATGACGAAGATGCGTACATCTTCAAGCCCATCTCGCACTTTACCGAGTCGGTCTTCAAGGTGGCAGTGGAGCCGATCAACCCTTCTGAGCTACCCAAGATGCTGGACGGTATAAGGAAGATCAACAAGAGCTACCCCCTCATCACCACCAAGGTCGAGGAGTCCGGCGAGCATATCATCCTGGGGACCGGCGAGCTTTACATGGACTGCGTCTTACACGACCTGCGTCGCCTCTATGCCGATATGGAGATCAAGGTGTCGGATCCTGTGACGAGGTTTTGCGAGACAGTCGTGGAGGAGTCAGCAACCAAATGCTACGCAATCACGCCCAACAAGAAGAACAGAATCACCATGGTCGCAGAGCCTTTGGAGGATGGGATTGCACGCGACATCGAGACGGGCGCCGTCAGGATCCGGGATCCAGTTCGGCAAACGGCAAAGTTCTTCCAGGACAAGTATTCATGGGATCTCCTGGCTGCGAGGAGTATCTGGGCATTTGGCCCGGAAGAAATGGGGCCGAATATTTTACAGGATGATACCCTTCCTGGCGAGGTAAGTTCGGAACCTATCTTTCTCACAATACATTGTGCCGGCAATGCTGCGTTGACAGTGGCGACTTCTTCTATTCGGCCCGTCGCTGACATGATCACCAGGTCGACAAAAAGCTGCTCAATACCGTCAAGGAATCGATCCGGCAAGGTTTCAGCTGGGCTGCCCGAGAAGGACCGTTGTGTGAGGAGCGTAAGTGTTACCCCAACCTCTCTGCTTGCAACCGTTTCATTTTCTTCCCTCCCCACGGGCACACACACACCACACCCAGCCTTCCCCATGACCCGACTAGCAAGAGGGCCGCCTGCAGCTTATCTATGGGAGAGCGGCCGTGTCCCCGGTGCTGTTACAAGGGTCCTACAGGGATTCGAGCAAGGGTGTCACAGACCGGCCACAGTAGTTGGACAAGGATTGGCTAAGCGCTCACTTGGTCGTGTTTGGCTCTGAGTCTTTACGCCACTGCTACTGACCGGCTTGTGACTGGTAACTAATGTGCTCTGGGGCAAGGCACCCGGGCTACGTACGGTTGGCGGTCGTGCTTCCTACTCACTCACTCCCTGCCCCTGCGGTGGCTGCTGCCGCCCTTGTCCAAAGTTCTTCGCATGCGCTAACGCAATCCTTGGCAGCCATCCGTAATACCAAGTTCAGGATCATGGATGTCTCGCTGGCATCCGAGGCCATCTCCCGCGGCGGCGGTCAGATCATCCCCACGTCGCGCCGCGCCTGCTACTCGTCCTTCCTGATGGCCTCCCCGCGCCTCATGGAGCCCGTCTACGCCGTCTCCATGACGGGGCCGCAGGACTCGGTCGCCCAGGTCTACAACAGCCTGGCCCGGCGGCGCGGCCACGTGCTGCAGGACGGCCCGATCGCGGGCACGCCGCTGTCGCGCGTCAGCGGCCTCGTCCCCGTCATCGACTCGTTCGGCTTCGAGACGGAGCTGCGCATCATGACGAAGGGGCAGGCCAACGTCAGCCTCGTCTTTGACCGCTGGAACATCGTGCCGGGCGACCCGCTCGACCGGGAGATCGTCCTGCGGCCCCTGCAGCCGGCGAGCGCGCAGGCGACGGCGCGCGACTTTGTGCTCAAGACGCGGCGCAGGAAGGGCCTGAGCGAGGACGTCACCGTGGCCAAGTTCCTGGAGCCCGAGTTCTACAGCGAGCTCATCAGCAGCGGCGCGCTGGGCGAGCCTTGAGAGGTTCCCTTGGTGGAGGAGGTCACATGCGCGAGCCAGTCTATTGCAGCACGGAGGTGTTATCCTGTAGCAGGGGGAGGCTGAGGGACCGTGTATTTTACTTTTTCTTCTTCTACATAAGGAGTTCATTGGCGCCCATGGATAGGGGGGGAGTTGAGATGCTGTCTTTGGCAGATGGGTTATAAAAGCATAAAGTAGACCAAAAAGACGGGAAGAAAGGGTTAGTCTAGCCCCCTGAAGAACACACCTGTCCTTCCGTACCTTTTGTTCCTTTTCGAGTTGAATGACAAGGCCACGACGGTCTTTTGATCCGCCGTACAGAGCACGTACGATGATGGCTGGGATGGCCTGTGTGCCGACCGTGATCAGAAGAAGGAGTGTCCGTGCTGTAGCATCCCGATGCCACGCGCCAAGCAGGGGGGGGAGGGCTGCACAAGAACCGGCGCGGCGGGCTTCTGGGATCATCCACGTTCCTCCTGTCCCTGTCATTCTTGGGAAAGAGAGAGAAGGATTCATTCATTTCTCTGCTACTCCGTACTTCTCTCTTCTTGGGCCCCCCTGGTCGGATTTTTTATCCACCCGCGGATGCAACGCCAACTGCCATGGTGCTTTCCCGCTAGTTAGGGATAGATGGCATGGGTGGAAGGCAAGGCAAAGGCAAGGCAAGGCAACAGGACCCCGTGGGTTGCATTCGGTGATCATTTCGAGAAGCATTGCACGGGATTGCTGGAAGCGAGCGCGCACGTCAGCCCAATACTGGGACTCGAGAGAGTCTAGTGAGTGTATCTCTCGTCTCGAACCGTCACTTTTTGTTTTGTTTATCTACTTGTAGTTATCTTGGTAGGTGCCTCTATCCATCATCCCACTGACCCAACAAATGCAAGCTGAAGTGGGGGAATTCGTTGCCAGCGCTTGAGGGGCGGGTGGGTGGTGATGTGTTGCGATCCGTGTACCCCAGGATAGTGTCACTTCATAACGCCCGAAAGGGGTAATGAGATCGTGATGGTGAGTGAGCACCAGAAACAAAATGTGGGAAAACATCCCTCTCTGGTACCAAGAGGCCCGTGTTGACATAGACATAGCAAGATACGAAGACACGTGCGTGCAGGGGCATGAAGGGGAACCCGGAACCGGCTTGGACACCACGAGTACAAGTAGTGGTCGAGGCAGTTAGGCGGCCTGTCCGGTAATTAAGCGCTGTGGCATAACTATGCACGCATTCAACGGAACCGAGGATGTGACCGGCAAGGCTCTGGCCTCGCAATGTCTCTTCTGCGGGTTCTATGCAAGACAGAGGTTCTATCACCCCGTGCTCGTCCTGCAGGTGCTGGCAGTGGTATCGTGTAGCCAGCGAACGGGACTGCCCATGTCTCTCTGTCTTGCAGGGTCCCTTTACCCCCCCCCCAATAACTCGCTTGCAAAATGCCAGTCTTGGCAGCATTACCAGGTCGCAGCGACCACACTACAAGTACCTAGTTATGCAGTTGTTTGCCGTCTCTGTGAGTAGCAAGCGGGATTTCCTCGGCAGGTCCAGAGATCGACGGATGGGCGCGCATCCGGTCAACGTAATTGATCCCACGTGCTCGGGCCCTCCCAACGTGGGAGAGCAACCCCACGCGTGGACGGATTGCTTGATACCGTGACACCCCCTGCCCTATCACCAACGACAGGGAGGAAGAAAAGAAGGAAGGGGGGACCGACCGCCCTGGCCACGAGGAGGTCTCACTTGCAGGTCTCGAGCATCTTCTCGAGGACGCCCTTGAGGGTGTCGTTCTCGAGGGCCGCGGCGACGCGCTCCTTGTCCGACAGCTGCTTCGTGACCTGGTCGTCCTGCTTGTGCGTGCCCTCCTTGACGCGGATGTCGACGCGGTAGTTGGGCGGCAGGGCCGCCTCGAGGCGCACGCGCACGGCGAGCCCGATGACGGTCGCCAGCGAGCAGTGGTCGACGGTCGGCTCCAGGTCGACGAGCACCTGCGTCAGGGTGTCTGGGTCGCTGGCCCCTGCCGCGCCGGGAGGGGGGCTGATGTGGATGTCCTCCAGCTTGACGACCGAGAACTGGCCCAGCGTGGCCGGGTGCTCTGGGTCCGAGATTGTCGAGATGAGGTCTGCAGGGCGCGTGTTAGTCTTGCGAGTTTCCGAGAGTGTCTCACGAGGGAGCGTGAGATGAGACGCAGAGTTGCTAGTCTATACAGAAATTGTTGAGAAAAAAGAAACATACCATAGATCTCTTGCTCATCGATGGGCTCCTCGGTGAGTTCACTCTCCCTTTCGTCCTCATCTGATGACGGCCATAAGGACGAGGAGAGGTCCAGTGGCGCAGAAGAGTGCTTGAGCGACAGGATGTGATCAAACCTGGTCTCAGGGCCATTGCTGCCGGCGGCTGCTCTCTTGCGTTGCCGGCTTGGCAGCTGATCCAGGCTCAAGAGCGTAGGGTTGGCGTTGTCCAGAGCTGGGCCATCCATTGCGATATCTTTTTTTGACAAGGGCAATTTGGTGGTGATCGAGAGACTTGGAGCCTGACCTCCAAGACAAGTTGAAACGCGGACAGAACGGCTTTGAAGTTAGTCACTACTAAGCTTGTAGTCCCAAATCGCAGGTTGTCTGTACCGTCGGTGATGGTTTACAGCAATATCAAAAGTGATCCTCAGCCTTGAGCAGATGTGCCGCCACTTATCGCGGCTTTCGGAATTAGTAATGATATCTTTGACGGCTCTGGATTTGTCCACCGGAAGGGTGCCAGGTGGTGGCGCACGTTTGGCAGTTGGCAGTATTAGTCCAGTACAATACAGAGGTACCCCAGCTCTTGATGGTCCAGTTGGTGATCTTCTGGCGATCGCTACAGCTCAAGGAGCTGGTGTGCCCTGTAACCGCGCCAGTCAGAGGGAGTGGTCACTGGCTGTGACATGAAATGTCCTTGAATGAATCCCAAATGGTAGGGACAACGCGCTTCCCTATGAGAAGTGCTTTGGCCATTTGCATTTTTCAATTCTTCCCTTTCATTCATCAAGTACGTTACGGCCGGATAACTACCTAGGTAGACCACCACGACAAACCTTCTCAGCGCCGTCCCTGCAAACAAGGCGAGGCTATGCGCGGTTCTCTTTAGATTCGCCGTCCATCTTCCAAAGGTCCAAGGTCAGGCGACCTCTGCCCGCAGAAGAGGCATTCCACCTCACCACCACAGGCGGTACGTGGAGGTACATTGGCTGCCTCGCGCTCGCAAGTACCGCGCGAGTCTGGTGGAGACCTTTAAAGTTTTTGGCGACGCTACGAGAGACACTTGATGCTTAATCATATATGATTGATTGCAGAGAGCTGGGCTGATGGTGGTGAACGAGGGAAGCGAACTGGGCCGGGCAAGAGAAGGTGAAGGGGCATGAAAATCCGCTCCCGCGGCGGCGCTAGGGGTTAAACTTCGATGATCGACGCCAGCGAGCGGTGGTTCTCCTCTCGTTCGGACTCTTGCATTCCCTCCAAGGGCTCCGACTAGTGCCTTGCTCACCGTTGCAGGTCTAGACTGTTGACGGCGCTGAGCCCAACCCACGCCATACCACGGGGCCTGATGTCATGGTGAGAGAACTGCCGAGGCTACTTGGCACGTCCGACTTCAATGTCAAGCACGCAGGTCGAGGCTGTTCGTACAAATTTCTTGGTATCAACCAAGCGATGCTCGTTCTTGTCTTGGACGATGGCAATCGCCCTCCACAGACTTCCGAATCCAAGAGCCATTTTTAGAAGTGCCTCCAATTTTGCCCCAGTTCCAATTTCCAGGGCCAGGTTCTAGTGCCTTTCCAGAACGGAGATCACCATTATGCTCATGCGGCAGAATGTCGGAAAACTTTGGTTGTCATTTTGCGCAGCCTATGCGGGTGATGGACATGGGTGGCTCTCTCTGATCTGACTCGGATCGGTATGGGACGTGTAAGCAAAGTCAAAGAGGCCTTGAATGCTCCTTCAGCTCTAATTAGTGAAAGAGAGATTTCCATTGCATACACGACCCCTGATAAGCCCTACCCGCGTCGTTGCCCGCGCGAGGCCCGTCCCATATGCAAGGCATCGCATGGGATGGCCTGGTATTGGCTATTCAGACGTGACTGATCCACGAAGCAGAGAGGAGGGAAAGGATCATGCCGGGGCTGCCCTACCGGCTGTCGCCACGGCCAGAAACCAGGGACCAAGTGACCGGTAATCTCCATGTGTGTGTGTGTGTATGTGTCCGTACTTGTAGTGATGTGCCGGAGGGTGGTTACCAATGGGGAGGTTCTCTGTCGGGCAGACCTACTCGAAAGGGCTAAGAGCACGGCGGCGGAAGCCCTGGCGGGTCTGGATCTCCCTCCGGGCACCGCCAGCCTAGCGGTGATGGGTGCGTGCTGCACGTTTTTGTCGGACGGCACAGTGAGGTAGCCTGGATGGAGGCAGTTCAGGGGATTCGGCAAGCTGCTAGAACGGGCTTCGAGAAGGTGTTGCAGAACAGAGCGCTCGGCTCCGGGGACAAATGGAGCTTACACAGCCGCGCGAGCCTGGGGGATACCCCTACCGAGAATGGGCCACAGATCTGCTGTGGTGCATGATTCAGCCTGGCTAGCGAAATGCGCTGTACGGAGCCTGGGTGCGCAATCACATCACCACCAACCATGCATGGGCTTCTCCTTCGAGCCTGGGATCGAGCGAGCGGTAGTGAGGCAGGGAGACATCGTGGCGCCAGTCCCGTGTCATTGTTCAGACGACGCTTAGATCTTGGGATCGCGATCCAATGGCTTCTGGATCGCGAGACGAGACAGTTGTCGTCTATTAGTTGTCGCCGCAGGATTCTAGCAGCAGCCAAGGTGTAGAGGCTTGGACGAAAGGGGAACAGCGGGGAGATTAGTTGAATTACCCCGCGAGTCGGGCCCAACCGTTGGCATGTGATTAAGAGTCCTTCGCTGCTTATGTCAGGTCGTGCTCACCACCTCCTTCGCTGCAATTATCGCCATCCCGGGCAATAGAATAACCACAAATGGGTAAGGTAGTTTTCTGATTTACCGCTGGAAATTGCGCCGCCCGATGTGGCTGGCGCTGGATCGCCTACGGAGTAGACGGGTTGACCAAGTCGTGGAGCGTTGTGGACCTGCAAGAGTCGACCAGTCTCGCCGAGGAGGAGAACGAGCATGCACTCCACAAGGGATTCTGCACCTCTCTCCCTCTTCTCGTGCTGTCAAACCCCATGGCAGAAATCTTGGCTTGTTTCCTGTGCAGCTTCTGCTAATGCTGCGCCGAGGATGGGCTCCCGAGAAAGGGCCACCAGTCAGGGACAGAGTAGCATGATGGGCGGTGGATCGTGCAGGCCCCTGAAAGGGCCCTATCGACGCTAGCCTTGGGCACTAGGGGCGGTTGTTGACTTGAGCTCCTCCCACTCCACCCAACCATCCCGGCAATATCTGACGACGCCCCCTGTTTGAAGCTCTTTCGCACCAGAGCATTGTGAGACCCGGATATGCTCCGTTGATGCGCGCAAGGGCAACAGACGGGAGACGGGAATGGGCAAAGAGGAAGGATGGGGTCGGCGGGGCAGGGCGTCGCATTGAGGAAAACCCTGGGAAACGAGAACCTGTTTTCTCGAGAGGGCCAGGGTCCGGAAACAGTCGCACGATGATGTAACGGATCCCAACGCCCATCTCTGCGTTAGTGATCCCAAACGGCGGGCTTGCGTGCAGCGAGTGAACCATGGATCGACATCTCAGGGGGCCGGTCGCCCTCCACGGCCCGTTACACTCCGTGGTGTTGTTTCTGGCGGTTTAAAACTTCTTGGCCGGGAATTGGACTACGGCGAGACTTTTGAAACTTTGGTGCCGTTTGGGGAGTTTTCCATCACCGGGATCAGACAACAGGACCTCGAGAAGGGTTTACAGGTAGAATGCCCTCTCCTGTGTTTGTCCAGTCGCAGCAGCACTAATCAACTTGGGTAAAGGCCATATGCACGGAAGAGCAGGGAAGGCAAGGCAAGGCTAGGTACCCATTGCTTCCCTTGCAGCTGTCGTCCTGTTTGGCCCTGGCGGCTAACGACTCCCCGGGGAAGATCACCGTTTGTGCCGAGCTCCGTCATGGTGGAGATAGGTACCTACGGAGTAGGTAGGTAGGGACAGTGAGCTTCGAGCTTGTTGACCATCTCTCTCCAATCCTGGTATTCCTTAATACCTCACTTTTATTTGTACAATACATACACCATACCGAGCCCGAAAGGGACATATGAAGTATTGACAAATCATCTAGCTGGCACAGCACACCACTGCGCGGCGACTGGTGTGGCACAGATGGGGTAGGTCTGTCTCCCAGGGACATAAGGCAATCAATCAATCACATCAACACCCCTATCAGATCTCATCGCGGGTTGGCACCGTCAGACAGATTGAAATTGGGGGTGTGGATGGGGGTGTGGATGCCTGCTTTAGCTTCTGGAAGGTGGTGCCGCCTGCCAACTTTTGACGGCATGCGCACGCGTGTAAAAAAACGAATATCCTTCTCAGGACTGGCTTGTATTGTACTTGTACGACTCGCTCGACGCAAAAGTACGTAACCCTGGTTCTTTTGCTCGTTTACCGGTCCGGCTCCAGAACACCCTCCCTCGCCTGCCTTGTCTCGAGTAAGGTTGCGGAATGGTGTTCTCGTCGACTCGGGCGCCGAGAAGAACTGCCCCCAACGGACACCAACCACATACAAGTATTGAATCTCGCAGGGTGTCTTATCCGTATCTTCTCATCAGCTTACGTGACCGTAACCGTACCCTCAGTACCTAGGTACAACACACCGTCAGCGGGTGCCGACGAGATGAGGCGGGCAATGGCGGTGACAGGCACGGGTGGTTTCTCTATTGCTACTGTTCCTGGATCAGATAAAAGAAGTACAGTATTTGTCGCTTTGATTTTAGCCAGATTGACTACCTACTTAAAAACCCTTGCTGGTCCTCGATCTTGGGGCGCACAAGCAGCAAACATTGCGGCTAGCGAGGTCACTAAGACCGTCTGATCTCAGCCAGCAGAGACGCCAAGTCAGGCTGGGTAAGCACATCGCATCGGCAAAGCAGGCTTCAGTGCCTTACCGAGCGACCGTCTGGAGTCTGGACGGTGGGCGGCCCCTGCTGCTGCACCCTTGGAAACCAGGGGAGGCACTGAAGCGCCACCATAGCATGATCATCTTGATGGTGAGAGACGTCTGTGTTTCCGTTGACGGGCTGTTCTCCCATGCGTCTGGTCTTGTCGGCCCTTTTACCACGGGAGGGGTTGCTGACCCTCGCTCGCCACATCGTCCTCGCAGACGTAGGTAGTTGGACGACGGGAGCAGCATACGTACGAAGTAGAGTCTTGGGAAGTGCCGGCCCTTGTGGTCGCTGGGTCACCTCTCTCTCCACGGTGCTCCACGGACAAAAACAGGGTATACGGTCTGAACCTGTCTCTCAACGGTAGGCATACCTTGGTCCGGAACCTGCCCCGACCTGGCCCAAGACGACGGTGGAGCTGAGTGCTCATGTATGAATGATGATGTCTGTTTCCACTGGGATAATCGACTGCGCAAGGTAGATATGCAAGTGGCTGAAGGCATGGCCAGGTGTCTCGAGTCGCAAGAGAGTGTCTTGATAAATTACAAGTCTGCCTAAGCACCTTGAGTCGGTCAGACAGAGGCATGCAAAGTGGATGTGCTACATGCCTATCCGGCAAGAGTATTCTCATTCTCTCACATACCTGCCTACCTACCTACCCAGTGTTTGCAAGTAAACCACCAATTTTTGCTGCTTATGTTCGTAATGGGTGTGTAGTGTTCATTAGAATCCATGGTCGCGTAGCTTGTCGTCTCTACTAGTCGGGGAGTTTGAATAATCCCCTTCGCCCACCTGCCTAAATTAGCTTCTGGCTTGAGGATTGGCGCAACAACTCGACCCGCCTGCTGGGTCGAAAGTAGGTATTTCGTAGAACAAGAGTGGTGTGGCTTGGCTGGACCTGTTGGACCAGTAATGGCCCACGGCAGACAGACCGGGATCTTGCCCCCCCCCCTCTCCTCCAATTCCTGGATACTGATCAGTTGTCAATGTAATTCGTCCCTTCTTCGCTGGAGCCGCTGTACGTAGGGTCGAGCCTGTAAATGAAGCCCTCTGAAGACCTCCAATCCAGAGCGAACTTAGGTACCTCGAGTACCTGGGTACCTGGGTAATGTACCTAACTCAAGTGCCAGACAGCCCGCCCGCCTGTGGTGCGTTGGTTCTACCGTTCCCCCCCAAAAGTCTAAAAACCCACTCCCAAGCGTTGCCAACGTCTCCAGCTGTGTGAAGGGGACGACGACCCAGAGAGGAGAGACTGGATGTTGGGGGGTGTGTGTGCCGGGATCCCCATGTACCTGCATCTACATGACACTCATGACATCCTCAAGTACCTCGTCTCCCTACGAGAGAGCACTCCATGCTTGCTCCCCTCATACCGCTCTCTCCAGTCTCTCCCCCTCTCACTCAACCCTATGCGTTCATCTCCCGACTCCCGACTCTTCTTGCCCTGCCTTGCCTTTCAAAGCCAGACCTCGATGAAATAACCTTGTCTCCCATCCTTTTTGTCCATCTCCGAGACTCAAAGTTCCATTCCTCAATTCCCTCCCAATCCCACCTCGGACCCTCTCTCTGAGTCGTGCTCATGCAGGCAGGTATTAGCCCCATGCCCCTGGCCCCTTGCCCATGTCGCGATTCTCCGTCCCCTCCAGGTGCTGACTGGCCCATTGCCGCTTCACTAAAGCTTGCTTGATCGATTGACACTTGGTCCCCTCCGCTCCTAACACCGTCGCCCCCAAGTACCTTGGCTCGATCCCGCTGTGCAGACATACCTACAACCACCACCCCGTCTGTCCGCCGCCACCTATTCGCATCCTTCGAATTTCTCCAACCTACCTCAACTCGAACCCTTCCCATCACGTCGGGAATAGACACGTTCAGATCTAGTCGACTCGCATAGGCTAGCTAGTTTACATTCGTCCGGCGGCTTTGCGGTTTGCGAGACTCAATCCTTCGCCTCCTCACGTCCTTATACGAGTCGCCCTTCCTGGTGGATGACGGCCGTAGGCAATCCCTCTTAACCGCCCGAGGCTTCTGCCTCAAAGGCACCATCCTGCGCCCTCCCACAATATGTCCAACGACCCTTCTCGCCGAGTCCTCCCTCAAAGCTCCCAAATGAATAACTTTTCGTTTGCGCCGCCCGCGTACCAGCAGCCGCCGCGGGAAACCCAGAAGAGTGCGCCTTACGTCCTGCAATACCCCCACCAGCTCCCTTCCCTCGAATGCGCCGGTTCCTAACGGTTTTCCCTTGGCAGATTATGTCTTCGTCGACGAACACAATCGCCACAAGCGATTGAAAGGTAAGGGCTGCGTAGATTCTGCACCATCCGAGAGCGCCCCGTGGCTGACTTTGGCGCGCTATAGTCATGAGAGCATGCGAAGGCTGCCGGAGGAGAAAGATCAAATGCGATGCCGCCACCACCAACACCTGGCCATGCTCGGCCTGCATCCGCCTCAAGCTCCACTGTGTTCGCCCGAATGGCTATGATGGTTCGACCACCGACGGGCAGGTTTACGAGACATCGGATTATGAGACCTCAACGCCGGTCGCTGGGGGTTTCCAACAGCAAATGCCCATGCAGCAAGCGCCGCCGCAACAACAACAGCAGCAGCAGCAGATGATGGCGACCTCGCAAAAGGGCCAGCCCACCATGTACGCGCCCCAGCCGCAGATGCCCTACTCTGATCCCGCCAGTCTGTATCAGCACGTGCAATATCCAAATGCGCCCTCAAACCTGCAGTATGCCGGCGTTGCCACGCCTATGGGCTTGGTAGATCAGAATTATGCCGCGCAAAATGTCTTCCCTACGCCTCCGCTACAGTCGTCAAGTTCTCAGCCAGATTCTCCGCCCAGCTCGTACACGCAAGAGCAATATGGCCAGGCGGATCTTGCAGATCTGCTGGGTGAGCTCAAGATGAACGAAGCAGGAACAGGTCGGTTCATTTTCATGAGAACCTCACGTTTCCAAGGCGCCACTAGCTGACGTTGTCGTAGCACCGTATTTGAACAGCAAAATGAGAGCCAAGATCGGTATGGACGAGGAACCCGTGGTAGGGGACGACGATGATTACAAGAGCAATCTTCCGCCGCTGGTGTCTGGACCCGGGCTCAAAATTCGGATTCCTCCGGAACTGATGCCAGACGACGAGACTGCAGTTCATTATTTCGATCTCTACTTTACGCACGTCCATCCGTATGTTCCAGTCCTGGATAAGAACATCTTCTATCAGCAATGGCAGTCCAACAGGGAGGCGATATCACCGCTCCTCTTTGAGGCGATCTTTGCTATAGGTGGTCGTCTTGATGACGATCCGGCTCAGGGCCAGCAGTGGCTTGCGCTCGCGTCGAGTATGTCTTCCGCCCCGATTTTGAGAGTGCAGTGGTGTAGTCGAGACTAACGCCAATTTCAAGAACATGCTGATTCCTTCATGGATGTTCCGCGCTTGAGCACGCTCCAGGCGCTCCTCATTGTGCTCAAAGCTCGCGAAGCGGCTCCCAAGCGAGGATACTATTACCGGTCGTGGATGGCCATCGTGCAGTGTGTGCAGATGGGTAAAGATCTGGGTCTGGACGAGCACTATGCGGATCACAAAGCTGGGAAAAGCTGCGGATCAAGCCCCGCAGAGTGCTTGATGAAGACGCGCATATGGCAGACAGTTTTCGTCTGCGAGCTCATGATCGGGTCTCCCCAGGGTGAGTACCAGCCAAGTGCTAGTCCATTTTGACCTTACTACCGCCCTCTGCGTACACGGATAGGAACTAAACAGAAGGCAGGACGCACCGATCTCTCTGTGGACATTGACACCGTTGATCTCAGAGTACCTCGCGCAGTTCCTGGGCTTGACGATGCCGAATACAATGTCTCGCGAAACTTCACCTACTTCACCAGGGTGGTCTCCAACGTTTCTGTTCTCAACCGTGTCTATGGTAATCTTAAGAAGAATAAGAGCAGAGACTGGCAGTCCGATCCCGAAGTGGCCCAGCTCAACCCGTCTTTCGAGGCATGGTTAAACGATCTGCCTCAAGATTTAGCCGTCACTTACAACCAGGATGGCTCGCCGCCATGGCTACCTTCGCCTTTCATCGGCAACCTGCATTCTTACTACCACCTCAGCCTCATCATGCTTCACCGGCCTCAGCTCCAAGTCTTCAATCCAAACAGCGGCGATGGGCAATGGAAACATCACATGATGATATGTTACTCATCTGCAAAGCAGCTGTGTCGCCTTGAAGAGGCCATTCTGCAGTCCTTTGGACTTGTCGGGTTGCAGTGCATGCAGCGAGGTGTCAATTTTACCATCTACGCTGTCTTGACCTGCATCGTACTGCACCTTGTATGCAATTTCCACCCGCCTCCCTCCTCTCTGACGGAATGATCACTGACATCACCCTCCAGGTTGCCATAACCTCACCCGACCCAGATTTCAACTCGGATGCTCGGGAATACTTCACACGGCACATGAGGATTTTGGAGAAGTGCATGAGCGCATGGCCGATGCCCGATATGCAGAAGCAAATTGACGCCGTGCGCGAGGCCTTCTCGGCTGACACCAGGAAACCTTTCGTTCTCAAACCGAGCTTCCCGTACGGAAGCCCGCACCCTGCAGGCAACCCCAGCCCTCTGCGACCAGATACGGGCTTCCAGCCGCCTATGCCCCGGCACTCCCCCCTGGACAACTCTCTGGATAGCGCCGTTCAGAACTCTCATGTTAGTTATACCAGCCACCCTATTTCACCCCCCATCTCGGCCGGCCCGGTGGACTTGAAGAGTGACCATTCTTCCATGGACCAGTCGCTCGCCATGATGGCATCACAAGGCCCTGCGATGCAGCAAGGTATGCCCTTGTCAGAAGCGCCGACATGGAATCCTTCGCGGATATTTGAGTAAGTTCACTTGAAGAAATGAACCCCCCCCCCCCCTACTTCTCACCTCGGCCGCATATATGCTGACAAAGAGCTACAGACAGTGGAACTCTACGTTCGGTACGCCCCAAGTCCAGTCGCAGCCTCCCCAGACCAGTTCTCTAAGTGTCTCTCCATCTTCAGGTGCCTCCGAGGTCCCCACGATCCAGGATATTCAAGCCGTCCAGGCCAGCCTTCCTCAAAGTCTACAGGCGCAGTCGATGCCGACGTACTCTACCGCGCCGATGCAGACTTTTGTCACCCCAGCCATGTGGCAAGAGTCGGTGGCTAGCGTCTACGAGGGAGGTCTGGGAGGTCTCAAACGGGGCTGGGACTATGACATGAATATGCCGATGGCCAAGCGCCGTTGATCCGGAGTCGAACGCGGAACATTTCACGACTTGATGCACAACGATATGACGAATTTTATTTTACTCTGTTGCGATATGTTTGGATGTATTGACCTCATTGTCGGTCGGGCATTGGAGGAAATGACCTATAGTCTTCTGTATGGTTCTGGGAAACTGCAGACTGGCCGGAGAAGGGCGGTTCTTCTCTCCTGATTGACATCGAGTTGTATAGCAACCCCTTTGCACGGCGAGCTTTCCTGAGCTCTCCTTCACACGTGCATGAGGCATCATGCTCTACAGCTCATGGTCGCGAGGCTGACAGCTCCTACAATCGACATGCCCCTTTTGGTTCACGGAGTTGGATATTAGGTACGGTGGAATCCACAAGGGAACAACCGCCGAGCGGTGGAGACAACGACGGGTGTTTTAAGGAACAACACAGCACCCTGTGTGGGCGTTTTGGAGCGATGGAAAATGTGATTTTGGGGGGGAACATAACGGGCCCGGTCAAAACTCTTGCGCATGTGTACAATACTTGGACGATTTTCTTTATTGGCATGATATGAGGGCACATCGTTGTCTTGTAGCTTGTGTGTATCGCATACCCTGATTCTTGTCGCGAGGTGTGTGTATATACGATATGGAGTGAATGCGAGCATAAGAGGGCAGATGACCTGGTCTCTCTAGCCATACAAAGGGGTTTGAGAAGAATGTTCATATTCCTGATGAACGAGAGATGCCTGATGCATTCGATCTCTCTACCTGTCTGGGTACTAATGTATAACCGACCAATGTGTGCCACTGGAAAGCTTTGCCTCTCGCTCAATTCTTGAAATATGCATGTATATAAAGTCGCCGTAGGATATACTATGCCGGTACCAGGTACTATCCCTACATGTATCTTACAGTAGTGGTATCAGAACACATTTTCCATCCTTGCTGAGAGGCTCGGTGCTAACCATAATAATAATAATCTCAGGAGGTTCTTGCAACTGCCACTTTCTGACCTGGCCAGGCGAGGTCTGGTGAGGGCCGACCAGGTGTTGCATATAGGAATCGGGGGGTAGGGACTCATCGCGATCAGTTTTACCGTGGTAAAACATGTCGATGATCCCCTCGGGTCCGAATGGCTGGCAGTTTCCGATCCTCCGCGCAAGTGCCATTGCTGGGAGTGGTAGCCGCATTGGAGGCATTCTGTTATGGGACAGATATTCATCATAAGAAGAACGTCCAAACAGATCCAGGTCGTCCGTCACCCTCCTTGAGGGGCCATCACCGACCACCACCACCACCACCACCAGCCCTCCTCTCGATCCCCGCCGCGATCTCCCTCCACACCCAGCCTTCCTTGACCTCGCCCTTGGCGCCCTGCTGCAGCGCCTGCACGTGGAACTTTGTGCTCGGCGGCTGCGCCAGCTTCATCCACCAGGGGGCCGGGCCGGCCGGCGGCGGCGGCGGGTCCCGCGCAAAGTTGACCATGCCGAAGCGCTCGCGCGCGGGGCGCAGGTCGCCGACGCGCAGGACGCTGACGCGCGGCTTGCCGATCCAGGTCATGGTGGTGACCTCGAGCAGGGCGTCGGGCGGGGCGCCGCCGCGCGCCCAGCGGCGCAGCAGGTCGCGCGACTGGCGGGCGAAGGCCGGCAGGCGGACGCGGACGTCGGCGACGAAGGGGGTCGTGCAGTAGGCGACGAAGACGAGGGGCGCGAGGCCGCAGGCGGCGACGCCGGCGGCCTTGGCGTAGCGGTCGGGCTCGGCGTCGGCCGGGGCCGAGAGGTAGGCCGGGGCGGCGACGAGGCCGAAGAAGGCGAAGGTGAAGAGGGTCGTCAGCTTGAGGCAGGCGAGGAAGGTGGTCTTGCCCGTGCCGGCGTGGTAGATGAGCAGGCGCTCCGGGAAGGCGGGCTTGCGGGCCTGCGGGGGCTGTTGTTGTTGCTGCTGCTGCTGCTGCTGCTGCTGCTGTTGTTGCTTGCCTGCCGCGGAGGAGGTGCTGGTGCTGGCTGGGCGTTTGCATGGGAGGGTGGATGTGAGTTGGAAGGGTGATCTTGAAGAAGTGGTGGGTTTGACGGGGGGTGAGTGTGCGAAGAGGCCGAGCCTGGAGGCGCCGTAGAGGTAGTGTGAGGGTAGCCTGCCCCTGTGGAGGAGGCTTATGAGAGCCATTTTGTAAAGGAGCGTGTTTGAGTTTGATTGTGATATGTGTATAAGTTCTTGGCTTGTATTGGTGAGAAAGTGGCATGGAGTTGTGAAAATTGTAAGTACATCTAGTGGTCATGGCCCGAGCTCAAGCTACTAAACTCTCAAGCTCTCAAAAGCTCACAACCGCTCAAGAGACTCCGATTCCCACCCCCCTTTCTCAACGACGCTCAACAAGCAGGGGCAAGCAGGGACTGTGTGCAGATTCAGTGGCTGAACCCAGTCTAATTCATGTATTGATCTCTTCATCTATGGCATCTAAGCGACATTCTTCTCTAGCCACTCCAGCCACTGATCCGCTGTCCAGCTCGAGTCGATGTTGGTGACAACGCCATCAAAGATGACGGTCGGGGTGACGTGCACGCCGACCAGCCTGGCCGTCTTGACCAGCACCTTGAGGTCGTCGGTGACCTTGTTGCCGCTGTTGAGGCCGCCGTCCGGGCCCGGCTTGTCCGACACGGCCAGCAGGTCGTAGACGGCGGCCTCGTCGACCCCGGCGCTGCCGGCCGCCAGCCGGGCGAGGCGGCGGTAGGTGTCGTTGCGCTTCTCGTTGGCGACGCTGGCGTCAAAGTAGTCGGTCTGCGCGCGGAAGAGCGCCTCGGAGAAGCCGTAGAAGCGGTCCGGCGCGAGGCGCGCGACGGCGAGCCCGGCCTCGTGCACGAGCGTCGACGACGGGTGCCACGGCTGGATCTGCTGCCGGAAGATGACCTGCAGCTTGGTGGCGAGGCCCGGGCTGGCGCGGACGCGCGGGACGACGTCCGAGTAGAGCGTCTTGAAGAACTCTGCGACAGCCAAAGGGCGTTTTCTTGAGTAAAAGTGATGGTTGAGATTGAAGTTATAGACGGAACTTACTTGCTGAGAAGGGACAGACGTAGTCGAGGAACACCTCGATGGTGTGCAGGGGCTCCTGGAAGCTCGCTGCTGAAGCCTCTTTGGAGAAGAGCAGCCTGTGGCCCTTGAACTTGGGTGCGAGCGCCATGGTGAGGACGATGATCAGACAAAGCGGTGTCTTGTGCTGGACTTGTTTCCCCGCTCCTCTTTTACGGCTTTCGACCCCGAAGTCTTTATATGCACGTCGGAAATGCCAAGTACGCAGTTCGTGGGAGTGATGGCGAGCTCTGTCATGCCATGAGTTGTCGAGTCAAACATGCATGTCGTATGTCGAGTCAAGTATGACGCTATCTCGCTCACTGAGATAGCCGCAATACCTGCCTGAGCTGGCTCGGCCGGTTGGTTGGTGGAGATGGCGCTTCGGGGGCAGCGGGCGGTGGGGTAGCTCAGCATTCAACGATCTCTCCAACCAAGACCATTCGGCCAGTGCCAATGATGGCCTATCCATGGCTGTCAAGGAAGGGTGAGAGCTACTGCAAGTTTGTTCCGCGTGCATAAAGTCTTGCGATCCACGGAGAGACTTTGTATTTAAACCCAGCCCAAGAGTCGTCGAGCTGCGTGTGGATTTCATGCTGTTCTAGGTCAGAGAACTACCTAGATACACTTGCACAACACATGGACGGTACAACAAGGTTAATAACCATCAAAGGAGTCGTATGCATCGCAGGAGGGCCCTTCATACGACGGTATTCTTGGCCACAATTCCCCTGGCAAACTCGCCAAAGGTGATGTGCTGCGAAATATCCACCTCTTCGCCCAGGTTGGGTTGTGTGAACACGGCCAGTGTGTTCCTCGCAATCTTGCCCTCACTCATCGCTGCACGGGCGCCCCTCACGAAGTGCGGAACAGCCTTGAACCTGCCCGCCGTGATCCTCTCCAAGGCCTCGCCTGTCTGGAATGCAATGCAGTCCTTAGGGATTTTGACCTGCACCGTCTCGCCCGTCCTGGACTTGATGTACAGTCCTGCTGCCGGGTCGGGGGACGTTGCGAGCTCCTCCAGAGCGCCCAGGATTGGCGGCACAGTGGGCTCGAAACCGGGCTCCTCGGGGAAGAACCTCTTCTCATCGACAAACATGGCCGACGTCAAGCCAGTCAGACACCCGTGGTCGAGGTGCGTAGCGCACCAGTCGTCCTCGTCGGCTCCCTCTGCAGTGGCGCTGCTAGATCCAGTCTCATCTGGGAAATAATGCAACAGGCGCGCCTTTGTCGTCGTCGAAGTCGAGACCACGTGCTCGAGATACGCCTTCGGATAGCCGGTAATCTCCTTTTCGGCGAATCTGTCACAGGCCTTGGCGACCAGCACGGCGACGTCGATGATGAGCCTGCACAGCCGCTCAAAGGTGACCTTGAACCCCGGCAAGGTCGCTTCGTCGGGCCAGATGTTTGGGGAGAGGTACTCGGGGAAGTTATCCTCGGAGAACTCCTCGGTCGGTTTGGCGCACGACAACTCTGGATCGACGTAGAATGCGCAGTTTGCATAGAACGAGCCCTTCAGAGTGTCCACCTGGCCATTCTTGAGCGTCTCCTTGCCAAGGGACCATCCGGTCAGGTACTTGGCCTTTTCATTCTCGAGTTTTGCTACCCGCGGTATGAGCCTGTGGCATTGGACTATTGAAAGGATTGTTCATATCCTACCTAGTTCTCCTGAAGGAAGATTGCCGAGATAAGAAGAGTAGGAGAGAAGGTGCCTCCTCAACTGAACGAACTGAGACGGGACATCTTTGACGATGAGTATGCCCAGAGAGTCGGGCCCAAACGCCTGCTGGAGTGTCTCGAACGAGACGGTGCCTAGTGTGAGGATTAGCGACTTACATCGACCGCATGAGGATTCCATGACTCGATACCTTCTTTCAGGTCCTGTAAGGACACCGTCACAGCTTGTGCCAATGGCGCCATCTCGTCGAGGAGATCCCTGATAGTTGATTTGGATATGATAGAGGAATATTGTTATTGAGATGCTGTCGTCTGACAATTTCCTGGCTTGTGATTTGCTTTGATCGATTCGTTCTCGATGCAGTCTCCGACGGTAACCGCGGGGTAGCAAACGGTTTAGTGACTGATGTCACTGAATTCTAGCTCATTGGCTGGGCTGGTCTTCTGTCCACACGCTAATGCTGTCCCTAATTTACCTAAGGGAGGTACCCACCAATGTTTGGATGTCAAGTCAAGCTCAGACTGGAGAACGAGAATATAGACTCTTCAGGGCTGCTTCTCCCAGTCCATTGAACCCCGTCGCTTCCAGCTCACCAACGTTCACCCCCGACGGTTGAAAACTATGGTCAAACCCCTCACATTCAAGGGCGACAAGAAGCCCAAGAAGCGCAAGCGCGCCGCCGACCCAGACGCCCTCGTTGAGAAAGCTGAGCAGGAGCTCGCCAGTCGCGCCGAAGGCAACGCCGAAGATGTCGATAACGACGACAGCTGGGTCTCAGCCGAGGGCGTTCCCGACGTCGTCGGCCCCGTCATGTTTGTCCTGCCCACCGACCCGCCGACCTCGCTGGCCTGCGACGCCAATGGCAACGTCTTCACCCTACCTATCGAGAACATGGTCGACGGCAACCCGGCGACCGCAGAGCCGCACGACGTGAGGCAGGTGTGGGTTGCGAACAAGATCGCCGGCACCGAGAACTTCCGGTTCAAGGGGCACCACAACAAGTTCCTCAGCTGCGACAAGTTCGGCATCTTCTCCGCGACGACAGAAGCCGTGTCGCCGCTCGAGACTTTTGTCGTCATTGCTACGCCGGACACGCCGGGGACGTTCCAGATCCAGACGCTGCGCGAGACATATCTCGCCGTCAAGGAGTCTACCTCCTCCAAGGCGAACGCTATGCCCGAGGTCCGGGGCGATGCGGCCGATATCACGTTCGACACTACGCTACGTATCCGCATGCAAGCGCGGTTCAAGCCTCGACTCAAGGCTACCAAGGAGGAGAAGGCTCGGGAGAAGATCAGCAGGAAAGAGCTGGAGGCAGCAGTAGGGAGACGGCTGGAGGAGGACGAGGTCAAGCGGCTGAAGAGAGCACGGCGGGAGGGGGACTACCACGAGCAGCTGCTGGACCTCAAGGTCAAGAACAAGCACGACAAATACAGCTGAACGGGGTATCTTATTGCGGCAATGCGAGGCTAGCCAAGAATTCAAAGGACCTCATCGGAGTGACTTTCTCTAGGACGTAGGCCTCCAAGCCTTGATTTGGCCGTCCTCGCCACCGGTGTACACAACCTGCTCGTCATCAAAGACGCAGAAGCTTCGCACCACCTCTTCGCCATGGGCACCGGGGAGATTGACAACATTATCGCTGTCGAGGCCCCAACCTGGCGTCTTTGACAGATGGATAAGCTGGAATCGGTGCTCGCTACATCCCAGCCTCGTTAACTTGGTCTTTTACGGTTACGCGGGATCAGACTCACTCTTGAGCACCGGCACCGATGACTGCTGCTGAGGGTCCCTTTGGATGTACGCTTGCGACGTATTGGCACTGGATGACTGATCTCATGTCGCTGAAGTCGAGGGTGGCCGAACCCTTTTCTTGCTGCTCGGCCATGTCGTACAGCGCGAGCTTCTCGTCGTTGGACAATGCAAACACCTCGGTCTGGTTGAGGAACCCCGCGCGGTGGATGGAGGCACCGTGGTTGAATGTCTGGACGATGACCTCGTCCTCATCCGCTATCCTGATGTCACAAATGTTGACTAGGCCGTCTGTTGAGCCAGATAGTAGCAAATTAGGATCTGCAGGGCTAAAGTTGAGCTTCAGGGACTGGGTTAGCCTTCTCAGACAGCCGAGCAGTGCGAGACATCCGCGACTCACTTCCGTAATGTCATCGCTGTGAACTTCGTTATATTGGACTTTGGGTTGTGACAATTCTCTCGCATCCCTAGGCTGGGTTAGAACTGAGCTTTAAGACAAAGCAGTAATGATGAGGTCATGCCATATGATAATCGATGCCTGGTGATTGCCATATTCCGTGCCGACAGCTATCGAATGTGACCGAGCATCAGATGCTAGCGACAATATGCTAGCATCACACGAGACTGTTTTACTCTGACAATCAGTAATAGAACTGCGCGATCATCTGCACAAGAGATACCAACCTGCTGCTGAGCTGGAAGAGGTGGCCGGATCTCTCAAGTCCCAGACCGAGACTGAGCCGTTCTCACCCGCTGTTAGTACTACAGGGGACATGGGCTCCGAGGCCCTGAGAGCCGTGATGTTGCCATGGGAGGTGGTGAACTGTCGAACCGGACCTCGCTTCAGCTCTGTGGCATTGAAAAGACTGAGTGTCTGGTCTGACGATATCGCAGCCAAGCCCGCATTTGTGGGTAGAATGTCGAGGACGTAAACCTCCCCGGGATTCGCATACTGATGTGCGTCGGTGCAGGTGAGAGAATACATGTTCTCTGAGTGGTGATCTGGCCCGACGGGGAATTATTTTCAAAATTAATATACACAGAGTTGGAAAGAGAGTGAAAAAGGCGGCACCACTCTCTGGCACTTATTCTTGAGGCTATTCAGACAGACTAATAAACTCTTTCAGCACGCAGTGCCATCCACCACTGTGGCAGCCCTGAGTGGAGCTGACTAAGGAGCTGGATGGAGGCACGTCGGAAACGCCCTACAGGCTACAGGCACGTTGGAGCTGTGGGACCCCATCCTCAAGCGAACCGCGCCACGAGCTGTAAGCAGGTACCACTGACGACACCTGGCTATCCGGGCAATTACGTGAAGCTCCCGCAATTTGGACAGCTTGTATTAACCAAGACGAGAATCATGACAACATAACACACACACCTTCCACCCCACGCCTTTCCCACTTGTCCGACAGCATACTAAGGGCAAGAGCTGGAAACAATGACACATATTCTCTCTTTATGAGGTCGTCTTAGCTGCTGTGGAAAATGAAAGCCTCAAGTTTGTGGCTGGTCCGTAAGTATTGACAGTCACGCTATGAGAAGGGCAAGCTACTGACATACGATCTCGGATTCCACAGTGCTCGCGCAGGTCGTTGCCTCATCGGCTGCGCAATACCCACGGGACCGACACAATGCGCAGCCGCCCTCAACGGGACGAGATGTTGCCCAGGGGGGCGAGCCGCCCGAGTTCTCCAGACAGCCCGGTAGGCATTACAACTTGTCCGCCGGACAAGCGCAAGGGGTATCATGCTGACACTCCGATTCCCTAGGTGCGGATCTCGTCGACGCTGCCATGACCGAACTACGCAAGATTCACAATCCCGCCCACGAGAAGAAACACCGGCGCAATGGCATTTTCGGTCTGGTTGTGCGATATGCATGGAAGGTTCTCCCCAGTCTCACCATCAGCGCGCCACCGCAGCAAGATGCGACGCACCGAGAGATCAGCGGACCGTTGCTCGAGGCAGTCAAGCTGCTGGAAACTTCCGCACAGAGCAACAACTCTGATGCCCTCTTCCTCTTGGGACAGATGAACTTCTACGGCAACTACTCGCACCCGAGGAACTTCGAGAGAGCGTTTGACTATTACAATCGCCTAGCAGACTGGAATGGAAATAGCTCTGCCATGCATATGCTTGGTCTCTTCTACTCGACCGGCATTGGAGGGGCGGTGAAGCCGGATCAAGCCAAGGCTTTGCTCTACTATACGTTTGCTGCCATTCGAGGCGAGACGAGGGCGGAAATGACGGTTGCTTTCCGACACCATAGCGGTATCGGTACGCCAAAGAACTGCGAGGCAGCGGCCAAGTACTACAAGAGGGTCGCGGACAAGGCTATCGCGTGGCATAGATCCGGCCCTCCCGGCGGGAGAGCCTGGTCGCATGAGACATACCGCATCGCCGATGAAGCTGGGGGCGTGTATGGCGAAGGAGCCAGTGCGTCTAGCTCTGGGATCAATGCCATTCGGGCTCACCCGGGCTCGGAGAGCTACGCTTCGATCGAGGATGTCATCGAGTTCTTCGACCTCATGTCGCAGAAGGGAGACTTCAAGGCATCCTTCAACCTGGGTCGTCTATACTATGAGGGCCAGCGAGGCCTCGAACCTGATCTCAATCTGGCCCGGAGATATTTCGTGATGGTTGTCACCAAGTATTGGAAGAAGGACGGGAGGGTCGTCGAAAACTTCAAGCCTGGCCTGGACAAGACCGCAGCCAGAGCAGCTGGGTACATCGGGCGCATGTACATGCGGGGAGATGGTGTTGACCAGAATTTCGAGAGGGCAAAGACATGGTTCGACCGTGGCATTGCACATGGTGATGCCCAGTCTCAGTACTGCATGGGCCTTTTGCTTATGCACGGCTATGGAGGCTTCAAAAGCATGAGTCGAGCAGCTGAGCTGTTCAAAGCAGCCGCGGACCAGGACTTCGGCCCGGCACAAGTGGAGCTTGGTGCTCTGTACCTGGACCAAGGCACCCCCGATGACGTTCGTATTGCCAACGACTATTTCGAAGGTGCCGCGAGATACGGGAACGTTGAGGCGCAATATTACCTAGCGGAAATGATCCACCATGGCGTAGGACGCGACAAAGCTTGCGGTCAAGCCGTTGCGTTCTACAAGAATGTCGCCGAGAAGGCTGAGCCATTGGTTTCATCATGGGTTGAAGCCAATATTGCCTATGCCGAGGGTGACTACGAACTTGCTCTTCTCGACTACCTTGCGGCCGCAGAACAGGGCTACGAGAAGGCCCAGACCAACGTCGGGTTCATTCTGGACCCCCAAAAGTCATCCGTATCTCTGTCATCATGGCTGTTCCAGCAAAAGCCCAAGTCCGGGCTACTGCAAAACCCTTCACTTGGGCTGATACACTGGACGCGATCCTCGCGACAGGGCAACATCGATTCCTTAGTCAAGATGGGCGACTACTACCTGTCTGGCATCGGCGCGGAGCCAGATGTCGACAAGGCTGTGCAGTGTTATACGGGTGCGTCAGAATACCACCAAAGCGCGCAGGCCTTGTACAACCTCGGGTGGATGCACGAGAACGGCGTGGGCCTCAACCAAGACTACCACTTGGCAAAGCGCTACTATGATGCTGCCCTAGCTACGAATGAGGAGGCCTACCTGCCGGTCACCCTCAGCCTCCTGAAGCTCCGCGCGAGGAGTGCATGGAACACCTTCACGCACGGCCGGATCAACTCTATCCAAGACGAGCCGGGTAAGTTTAGACAGACATGCCCTTCGCTTCCTTCAGAGACAGTCGCACTGACCAAATTCTGTGTAGCCGTGAAGAAGGACTGGTCCTTCAGCGAGTGGATTGCAAACTTCCTCTCGGACGAGAACCTCTACTGGGACGATGACTTTGACGACTATGACAGCTCCATGCCCGGAGGCGACGGAGGAGCCATGCCGGAGGACATCGACGATGGCGTCATGGAGAGTCTGGTCATTGTGGGGCTGGCTGCCGCCCTGGCGTTCCTAGTCTACTACCGACAGCAACGGCAGCAGGCGCACCAGAGGCAGGAGGAGGAGGCGAGACGCCGTCAGCAGGGGGACCAGGGGGGACAGGTTGTCGGAGGAGGCGGAGCGCCGGCGCCGCAGCAGCCCGATCGGGGCATGTTTCCTCGGCCCGGAGACCCGGAGTTTGCGAACTGGGTGGCTGGAGGGATTGGGCATTGAAATGAAGGGATGATGATTTGGTATCCACGAATTATCGGATGAGGAAGGGTAAAAGGAAGATATGTATGTTTTATGAAATCAGTTGCCTGAAGCGTTGACCCCAAGAAATGCTTGCCAAGAAGCAAAGTATTCTGCAGCGAAAGATCCTTCGATGCCTTGCAAGTCTTGCAGCTGCTTCTAGTGTCCCCCTGGATGCGATTCGACTGTCTGCAACGTGTGCCAGCCTAGGCCTGCTCGTCGAAATGAGACAAAAACAATGGAAGCTCAAGGCACAATCGGCATTGTGTTGACTGTTTCTAGGCTTGTCCTGCATTGACAAAACAAGGAGTCTCGAGCGAAGGGCAAGGGGTGTGGTTGGTTCTCTTGACGCCCCTGAATGAACCATTGTCCAAGAACATGGATTCTGTACGCATTGGGTCAACTGATTGAAAGAGGCACAACTTTGAGAAGTCAGGGCCAAGCTGCGACAAAGGGTTTTTCATTGCAGTGATGTGTGTTTTCATTGACGTTATTGTTCGCCAGTGACGACTGGCATCCAGTTTCTTTGACCGAGACCACATTGTCCTAACACTATACACTCGTCCTGGACAAATACCCTCTGTGCCTGCACAATTTCAAGCTTCTTCACAGGCGTATATAAAGGTGAACCTCCCAGCAGGAAGGGGAGGTTTCTTGCATCCTTTTTCTCATGCACAACACAAGCTCAGCATCTCCAGAGCACAAAACATCACAGAACCAACCAACAAAACAGCCAAACCTACACGAACACATCACAACTACCATGGCGGCGACTGAGGGCACTCACGAGCATATCGCAGCCACCATGGCGGCGACTGAGGACACTCAGGAACATACCACAGCTACCCTGACGGCGACCGAGGACAGTCACGAAGATACCACAGCTACCATGGCGGCGACCGAGGACACCGACGAAGATGACACAGATGCCGTGGCGCCGACCGAGGACACTCACTTCAAGGTCTATTTCGCGGCCTACGCGGCACCATGGTGGTCAAATCATGCCATCTACATCGACACCAAGGAAGAGGTTGGAGGAGAAAAGGGCGGCATGCTTTACCGCGTCGTGGGGAGCGTGAAAACCGGCATGATGTTTGTGGCCGAGAAGAAGCCCTTTCCCCTCAACGACGTTCCTGATCATCTCAAGGACTGCGGCGGCTACCTGGTGAAACCGGTCGGCTGGGTGGCCAAGGAGGACCTCGACGACGTGAAGGAGGTGTGCTCGGGGGTGCCGCCTCCCCGGAAGCAGTGGAACGGCATGGGCTGGACGCGCATGTATCCGGGCGTGCGCATCTACCACGGCCAGAGCTGGGTGAGAGAGGCGCTTGCGACCCTCAGGGATGCCATGGTTCTCGAGCCCCTCGGCCCTGAGGACGACGAGCCTGAGCAAATTAGGCTAGACAGGGTGAGAACGTTCCCAAAGATCGAGAACCATCCGGAGACGGAGGACGCGGACCTTGGGGAGACGGAGGACGAGTACTCTTGGGAGGAGGAGGACGAGTATTCTTGGGAGGCGGAGGACGAGTACTGTTGGGGGGCGGAGGACGAGTACTCTTGGGAGGCAGAGAGCGAGAACTCTTGGGAGGCGGAGGACGAGAGCGCTCAGGAGGCAGAGGATGAGAGCGCCTGGGAGGCGGAGGATGAGAACGCTCAGGAGGCAGAGGATGAGACCTCTCGGGAGGCGGAGGATGAGAACTCTCAGGAGGCGGAGGATGAGGACGAGTGGTTTACTTGGAAGGTGGAGGACGAGAGCGCTCGGGAGGTGGAGGATGAGAACGCTCAGGAGGCGGAGGATGAGAACTCTCAGGAGGCGGAGGACGAGTGGTTTCCTTGGGAGACGGAGTACCCTTGGGAGGTGGAGGACGAGAACTCTCGGGAGGCGGAGGATGAGAACGCTCGGGAGGTAGAGGATGAGAACTCTCGGGAGGCGAACGATAAGAACGCTCAGGAGGCGGAGGATGAGAACGCTCAAGAGGCAAAGGAAAAGTACTCTTGGGAGGAGGCGGATGAAAGCAGCACGATCTGGTAGTAAAATCTCAATATACTCATGGCCGTCTTGGTCAATTAAGGCGATGACAGGGTATACAAGATAACGCGATCATCGCAAATTTGTAACGTCGCAATATTGTGGAAAGAGACAAGGCTACATGCTCCTCTGGTGTTTATTCTTTCCATATGAGCTGGTAGTAGAATCCGATTTTACTCATGGCGCTCGAACATACAGCCCTTGTCACTAATCCTTTGACGGCTGTAAGAAGACCAGTTGCGCCTTTGTTCCCAGAAGATAGGTAGTGTTCTCAAAGGGAAATGAATGCAAATCACCTGGCAAGCTCAATGCACCCAGCACTAAGCCAGTGTAGGCCACTACCTACCTGTACTTCTCTTTGATGGGGGTTTGTCGAAACCGGGCAGCTCTTCTCACGATTGTCTTATACCAAGTCAGTGAAGGAGGATGAGTGATGTTGTGAGTACATAGAGGGCCACGTCGGTTAGGTAAGCGAGGTAAATAGAGTTGATGATCTAGACCACCCCTCACATCACCATTCAATGTTGTCATACCTCTCTATCTTATCACTCGACGGATAGTTGAGACTCGTTGCCGTGCCGGGTTACGTGTCGGCCGTTGCCACTGGCGAGGGAGCATTTGAGGGGCGTTGGCCAGGGTTGCAGGTCGGGACGGGGGATGCATGAAACGCCATTGTGACACTTTCGCTGCCGCACCTCTTCGTCAGCCACCGCGAAACGGGAGGGACAGGTGTCGGAGGGCTCCCAGACCTGCACTCGGGAGTGTTGGAACGGAGCACTGGGCGCAGAGATGGAGATCCATGGACCCTGGTCGATTGCTGATCATTGGCCATTGGCACTTTGCATGCAATTCCGTAGGGGGACTTGTCAAACGAAGACCGAAAGGGAGAGAGAGAGAGAGACAGAGACAGCCGGTATTTAAAGTGGACGATCTTCCCTTTCCAAGACCAAAAGGCTTGGCATTGCTGGCTCAATCCTGTCTTGGTCGCATCGTATATTGCTTGCGTGTCTGGGTGTCTGGCCCGTGTGTCTTTTTACTTTACGAGAGGTAGTCACTACACTCCTCCCTCCGACAGCACCTGATCTCGTCCTCGCCCCCCCCCCCCCATTCAGAAATACCAGGGGCTGTTGTGTCCAACCAACCTCGACTTCCTAGACTTCACTTCTACAATCACAATCATTGCACTCTCTTCTACAGTTGATTCCTTTCAAAGCTCTCTTTTACCATCGAATCTCAAGTTTTCCCCTCGCCTTTCTTCTAATTCAACGACTTCTCGCAACCCGTCATTTTCCATACTCGACGATTCTAATACATCCACACACGATTGGCGATTACGACGACGCTCGCAGACAGCCCGCCCGACATGGCTGCCGCCATGGCCAACACAATCGTCTCTGAAACCCTCAAGCCCAGGCAGTCAGTGCGCTTCGACGACGATGTCCCTTTTTGGTGGACTGAGGTGAGCATTCGTAACTCGGGTGTCCCGTCGCATATATGTACTGACACACACCATAGAAAGGCTACATCGTCAAATGGGCAATCTTTGCCTCACTGTTCGGCATCCTCACCCTTTGGATCTGCATAGGCTACGTCCATGCCCGCGCCCGTCTCCGGAAGGGCCTGCGACCGTTGTGGTATCACAGGGTACGTATTCGCCGGCTAGCTGCTCGCATACCCTCCCTCCCTCCCGTGCCATCCATCCACCCACCACAGTCGATCGTGCTAATGACTCCCTTTCCATCAAATAGTGGCTGGTCAGCAGAGCAGAGCTCGCCCGCGTCGACCCCCGATACGCATACCCCCGCCCGACCGGCTACTACACCTACCGCCCCCACGAGCAGGACTACTACGCGATGAACAACATGCCGCCGCCGCCCGTCTACGACGCCGCCGCCGCGCGCCCGCCCGTCTACGAGGGCCCCTCGGGCGGCTCCAAGGTCGCGCCGTCGCAGTGGGCAGAAGGCGCGCCGCCGCCGCCCGGACCGCCGCCGGCGGCGCACCAGCCGCAGCGGACGGGCGTGGACGACTTTGCGCCGCCGCCAGGACCACCACCCGCAGGCCGGTCGTGAAGAGAGTTCGAGGCCCGCGATGACGGTGGCGGTACGGAGAGAAGAGTTCCTTCGCTTGTAACAAAGCAAAAAGAAGAAAAAGAAGGAATGATTATGCAGGCCAAAAGAGGCTGGTCTTGTTGTTGAGTCTAGGTCGCTCGGTGTTTATGGTATGGCGCGGCGTTTTCGAATCATTCTTGCCCGTAATAACTCCTGATCCTCTCCCAGACAAGAGACGGGAAGCACACTTCACCTGGATGTCGCTCTTGTTAGGCACACCTGGACGGTCATTTGCATGTACAAGCAGTCATCCTATCACTTCTGAAATGGACATCTTTGAACTAGACTGCGAATTTCAAAGAGCTGTATACCTTTTGCCGAAAGGAAATGCATAAATGTGTGCTAAAGTACAGGGTTTTGTCATCAATATTGCGCCGTATAACACCGTGCTGAAAGACAAAAGACGTTGGGTATCTTGGTTCGTAAATCCGCGGCTTTCCGCTCTCTCCCCTCTGGCGACAAGTCAGTCAAGCTCCATTGCGTCGTCGTCTGGGTCGTCCTGTTGTCTTGCAAACATAGCCGAAGCGTCGTCGAGTCCCGGGACAGTTGGAATCTGCATCGGCTGGCTCCAGAATTTACTGCCGCTATCTTGCTCCCGCTCTTCCCTTTGCCGCTCTCGGACCCGGGCGCGGGCCTCGATGATGGCCTTGCGCACACTGTCCTGCTCTTCGGGCACAGTCAATGAGCTAGGCGCGGCGCTGTACAAGACGAGCTGCTTGCCTGCCAGCTCGCCGTCCTCGTTGGGCAGGATGGGCTTGGGAATAGGAATGCGCGTGTTGTGCAGGTGCTTGTCTATATCGGGGAGGAAGACGAGGCGGCCGTTCTCGGCGTCGCTGCTCTCGGCGTCGGAGGAGGAGAGCTCGTCGTCGAGGTTGTAGATGTACACCTTGTACTTGGAGTCGTCCAGGTGCATCGAGTCGTCGTCCGCGACAGGTGCAGCCGCCGACGCAGCCGCCGCGTTGGGAGCAATTGTAGATGGAGAGGCGGAGACGCTGTCGAAATTCGAGGAGGCAGCCGCCTTGGGGTTTTCGACGGGGACGTATAGCTTTTGCCCGCCATGTTCTGGTGACGTTGGAATCGTGTTAGTACAGTGCAGGCATCTCGGATCCAGACGATCATGGGAAGCGGTGCGGCCGGGCGGGGTCGCCCGAACGGTGGTGTCTACACAGCTGGAACATGAACCGGGGGCAGGCGTACCAAGGTTTAATAAGCTCAATCGTTTTGACAATCGCTCGTTGTGGTCCTGAGCCTCGGCCTTCCTCTTGCGCTGCCGGGTGTTGGGGTAGCGGTTCTGGTGGTCGGCGGCCTGGATGCCGTCCATGCCGGTGCCGGGCATGATGGCCTGTGCCTGCTGGGATCGTAGCATGGTCTCCATCTCTCCCTCGTTCAATTAACACGGCAGAACCATCAAACTCGAGCCAACACACCACTCCTCGTGCGGCGGGAGCAGTCGCGTGCGTAATCGGGCGACTTTACAACGGATTGCCGATCGGGGGACTTGGACGGAGAGAAGGAAGAGACTAGGCGGTAGGTATTGAGGAATGAGGGAGGGTGGACGAGAAGGACAGAGACCAAGTCCGAAGGGGGTGAGATGCGATTCGAAGCACACGACTGGCCGCCTTCCAGTGTTAGCACGTACCTAGAGAGCGACGCTAAGTACCGCGATACTTCGTCCTAGGGGGCCAATTATAGTGAGCGTTTGAGAGATGCTAGTGGCATTGCTGGCCAGAAGCAGCTGGAGGCCGACCTGCAGGAGCGGTAGCGGCCGGCCGACTTTTGTAGCAGCTGCAGGGCCGGGCGCGCGATTGAGTCACCTCCACCTCCACCCTTGTAGAAACTTCTACCATACCATCGAATTTCACCAACCCCGCCACCATCTCGACGCCGACACCAGCGACGGTCCACCACGTCCACAACGACACCGACACCGACACCGACGTATCTCTCGGCAACACGCGAGAAACTCAACCACGGCAGCCCCCCTGCTTTCGACTGCTCGCTCGCGGCTCTTGAGGAGCTTGGCACCGAGAAGCTTCACCCCGCGCCGACTGCACTCGGCCTCTCCTGCATCGCTGCCCGCCATGGTCGAGGGTCAGTGGACGGGCCTGAAGGTCCGCCAGACCTTTTTCGACTTTTTCGAGAAGCACCAGCACAAGATTGGTATGTCGCCTGGGACGAGATCATCAACACATCGGGCCGTGAGAACTGACGTTTGCCTCCCCTGTGCGCAGTGCCGTCCTCGTCCGTCGTCCCGCACAATGACCCCACCCTGCTCTTCACGAACGCGGGCATGAACCAGTTCAAGCCCATCTTCCTCGGAACGATTCGCAAGAGTGATCCTCTATACGGGGTGAAGCGCGCTGCTGATTCGCAAAAGGTATCTTTTGTCTAGGGTATTGTCATGGCTTCGGAGAGTAAATTACTGACTTGGGCGCATAGTGCATTCGTGCTGGTGGCAAACACAACGTATGGATCTCTCCGACACTTGGAGATTGTATGTCTGGTGAAAGGTACAGACTGGCTCACATTGTACCATAGGACCTCGACGATGTCGGCAAGGACAGCTATCACCATGTGAGTTCTCCAGAGAGCAGGCGGTGCACGTGCAAGAGGCAATCACATGTCACTCTTGGCTAGTGTTGTAATTCGATATATGCCATACTGACAAGGAAACCAGACTTTTTTTGAGATGCTGGGTAACTGGTCCTTTGGCGACTACTTCAAGAAGGAGGCCGTTGAGATGGCGTGGACCCTCCTGACCAAGGTTTACGGCCTCGACCCCAAGCGACTCTACGTCACCTACTTCGAGGGTGATGCTAGCATGAATCTGGAGGCCGACCTCGAGGCCAAGGAGCTTTGGCGAGCAATCGGTGTACCGGACGACCACATCCTGCCTGGAAACATGAAGGACAACTTCTGGGAGATGGGTGATCAGGGCCCTTGCGGTCCCTGCAGCGAGATTCACTATGACAAGGTTGGCGGTCGCAATGCTGCCCACCTTGTCAACCAGGATGACCCTCTTGTGGTTGAGGTAAGTAGCTTTTCTGCTGTCCCTGCTGTGACTTTGTCTTGAGATCATTTCTGCAGAGGAATGTTCTCCCTGTTGCTATTCCGATAACTAACTTTTTTCTCCTCAGGTGTGGAACCTCGTTTTCATGCAAGTAAGTTTCGTGTTGATCAAACCCGGCCATTCTTCAAATGATACTAACAACCTCATTAGTTCGATCGTCAGGCAGACAAATCTCTCAAGTCGCTTCCTGCAAAGCACATCGACACGGGCATGGGCTTTGAGAGATTAGTCAGCGCTGTAGGTCTGCCCTACTCTATTTGACTAATATCATTTCACTGACAGCCACATAGCTTCAAGACAAGCAGTCCAACTATGCTACGGACATTTTCTCGCCCCTCTTCACGAGGATACAAGAGGTCACTGGTGCTCGCCCTTACACCGACAAGTACGGCAAGGATGATGCCGATGGCATCGACACTGCTTACCGTGTCATTGCCGATCACATTCGGCTGCTGAGTTTCTCGATTGCTGATGGTGCGGTGCCTAACAACGAAGGCCGAGGTTATGTCGTCCGCCGCGTTCTGCGACGTGGTGTCCGGTATGCCCGCAAGTACTTCAATGCCGAGATTGGAACCTTCTTTTCCAAGATCCTCCCGGCTCTCGTCGAGCAGATGGGCGAGCAGTTCCCCGAGCTCGCCAAGAAGCAGGTGGACATCAAGGAGATTCTCGACGAGGAAGAGGAGGCGTTCGAGCGGACTCTCGACCGAGGCGAGAAGCAATTTGAGAAGTATGCTGCCGTGGCTGCTAAGAGCAACAACGGCAAGCTGTCCGGATCAGATGTGTGGAGGTTATACGACACGTTTGGCTTCCCCGTGGACCTGACCAAGATTATGGCAGAAGAGCGCAATCTGACTATCGACGAGGCCGAAGTCGCAGTGGCTCAGGAGAAGGCTCGGGAGGCCAGCAAATCTGTCAAGGAGTCCGTGCAGACTTTTGCCAAGCTCAATGTCCACCAGATCTCCGAGCTCGAGAACGATTTGAAGGTCCCGCGACCCGACTCCGAGGCCAAATACATCAGGGGCGACTCTACTGGCAAGGTTCAGCTGATCTACACTGGCACCGAGTTTGTCAAGACCAGCAAGGACATCCCTCTCAAAACGCCTGTTGGTGTTCTTCTGGACAAGACGAACTTCTACGCCGAGTCAGGTGGTCAGGTCGCTGACACGGGCCGTCTCATCATTGACGACGTCGCCGAGTTCAAGGTTCTTGACTGCCAAGAGTTTGGAGGTTACATAGTCCACAACGGCTACTTTGAGTACGGCCAGTTGGCTGCTGGTGACGAGGTCATCTGTGAGTACGATGAGCTCAGGAGGCAGCCTATTCGCAACAACCACACGGGCACCCACGTTCTTAACCATTCCCTGCGGGAGGTGCTGGGCGACGACGTGAACCAGAAGGGCTCCCTGGTCGACCAGGACAAGCTCAGGTTCGACTTTTCCCACAAGGCGGCTGTGACCATCCCGGAGCTCAAGAAGATTGAGGACATGTCCAACGCTTACATCAAGCAAAATTGCAAGGTCTTCTACAAGGATGTCGAGCTCGAGCTCGCAAGGCAGATCGAGGGTGTCCGTGCGGTCTTCGGCGAGACCTACCCGGACCCTGTCCGAGTTGTGTCGATCGGTATCGAGGTCGACATGCTGCTGGAGAAGCCCAAGAACCATGAGTGGCGCAAGGTCTCTGTCGAGTTCTGCGGAGGCACTCACGTGGAACAGACCGGCCAGATCAAGGACCTCGTCATCGTGGAGGAGGGTGGTATCGCCAAGGGAATTCGTCGTATTGTCGCTTACACCGGCGAGGCTGCACACCAAGTGCAGCGCGAAGCCAACCTCTTCTCGGAGCGCCTCGATGCCCTTGACAAGCTGCCCTTTGGTCCGGAGAAGGAAGCCCTGATCAAGACGACCGCTCACGAGCTCAACCAGCTCACCATCTCGACGCTGACCAAGGAAGAGCTGCGCATCCGCTTCGCAAAGATCCAGAAGGATGTCGTCGACGAGCTGAAGAAGAGGCAAAAGGCCGAGCTCAAGGTCTCCGTGTCGACTGTCCAAGAGTTCTTCGCTAAGCCCGAGAACAAGGACGCCAACGTCTTTGTCGGCCGTCTGCCCGTCTCGGCCAACGCAAAGGCCATCTCCGAGGTCATTAACCATTACAAGTCCAAGGGCAAGGACAAGTCAGTATATGTCTTTGGTGGTAACCCCGACGAGGGCGTCGTCCATGGTGTCTACGTCGGAACTGTAAGTGCTTCCCGCTCAGAATTACGAATATCGAACTACGTTGCTAATGCATGGTACAGGACCTCGCGTCAAAGGGCATCACTGCCGAGGAGTGGACTGGTCGCGTTAGCGAGATCATCGGAGGCAAGGCTGGCGGCAAGGAGCCCTCCCGCCAGGGCGCGGGCACCAAGCCCGAGAAGCTGGAGGAGGGCTTGGCCGTCGCCGAGAAGTTCCTCGCGGACAAGCTCGCAGCACTCAAGATCTAGGAACAATTTTATTCCTATTGAACAGCATTTCTCTCACGACAGGGTCACGCTTTCCCTAGACGGGGGTTGGTTTCCAAAGGGTCTGTACTGGTGGATTTACGATGAATTGTGATCTTGGGGAAACATGGTAGCAAATGCAAGAGACCATTGGAGTGGTGTACTTCTAGATTTTGTTCAAGTCGCCCTTTATGAACTATTGATTTACTGGTACGAGGGTACCTAGGTATTTTGTTGCGACTCCACCGACCCAGCTCGCGCTGAGTTTCTTCTTGGTCAGCCTCTCTATCCAATTTGATCGTGTTATACACAGTCCAGGGTATCAAGTCCATGACCCCTTAGACAGTAGTCAGGACGCTGGCATTCTTGTACCAGCTGAGGAGCGGGTTCTCGCCGCTTCTGGTCTCGGTGTCCTCGACATAGGCCCAGCGGCGCATGAACTCCTCGTGCGAGGTCAGGCGGGTCAGCTTGCCGGTGATGGCGCGATAGACGGCCTCCATGATCTGGAAGTCGGTCGGGAACATGATGTCAAAGTAGCCCTGGTGCACCTTTTGTCATGGAATGTCAGTCCCCAAGATACGCGTCGGGGGGAGAAAGGGAAAAAAAAAAAGAAACCTTACCAGGGGCGTCGTCACGGGCACGGGCCGCCTCTCGAACCTGGTCTGGACGATGGGGGCGTTGAGCCCCTTGATGGCGTCGGGCAGGGAGTGGAAGTCGCTGGTCAGCAGGCGGTGCTGGGGGAAGTACTTGTCGAGCACGTAAAAGAACTGCATGAGGCGGGTGGGAATGTACTCTGGCGCGCTGAGGTTGGGCGCGAAGGGCCGGAGGGCCTGCAGGAGGCGGCCGGCGCGGCTCGTCGGGTAAGGGAGCGGGTAGCGGCCGCCCGTGGCGGCGTGGCGGACGCGGAAGAAGCGGGCGGCGACGGGGTCGAGCTGCGGCGTGTAGAACTCGTAGAAGTCGCCGGCGCCGTCGACGAGCACCGTGCCCTGCAGCGGCTGGCCCGTGGCCGCGTCGTAGCGGATGCAGTCGTGGGCGAAGTTGTCAAAGACCTCGAAGGCGAGGAAGAAGCAGGGGCTCGGCACGGGCTCGTCCCAGTCGAAGACGGAGCGGTTGACGATCTCGACCTTGGAGGCGTGGCCGCGCGAGGCGGCCTGCCCGCCGATAGTGGTGGTGGCGGCGTTGACCTGCTTGGTCTGCAGGCTGGCGAGGTTGGACGAGATCTCGATGACGCGGTACTTTGTGCGGGCGTAGACGTCGGGCTCGGCCTCGCGGATGTAGTCGAGGATGTTGAGCATGAGGGTGCCGCGGCCGGCGCCCATCTCGTAGATGATGAGGTCGTGGTAGGGATACGAGGTCAGCAGGTAGTTGGCGACGAGGTAGCGGGCGATGGCCTCGCCGTAGTGCGGGCGGAAGAGCTCGGTGGGCGTGTACCAGAGCTGGCGCGTGTCCGAGTGGCCCTCGTCGCGGTCGAGGCGGTCCTCGAAGTCGGTGTAGCGCGCGGCCAGGCGGTCCTGGAAGTCGACGTCGTCGCGCAGCGAGTTGAAGTCGAAGGGCTCGCCGGGGCTGAAGATGACGACCTGCTTGGAGAAGTAGCCGTAGTGCGGGTTGTACAGGCTGTCCTCGATGAAGTCCCGCATGAGCATCTTGACCTTCCTGGGCCGCTCGCGCCGCGTCCGCAGCTCCGTGGCCGTCACCATGGGGTACTTGTTGAACTCGTCCGACTTGTCCTGCGGGAAGATGTCCGTCCGCTGCTGCCAGTCGGTCTCGTTGGGCGCCAGGGCCTGGGCGCCTCTCGCCCGGGACGCATAGCTCCTCTGCTGTTGAGGGTGCTGCTGCTGCTGCTGGTGCTGCGTGCTGCGGGCGTGCTGGATCGAGGTCACGAGCCGGGCAAAGTTGCGCCTCGACTCGCAGGCAGGATGGCGGAGCAGCTGCCTGAAGACCCGATTAACTATGGGCGAGTCCATTGTGAACATCTGGAGGCGAGAGACGGTTCGGCTTCTCGAAAAGCGAGGGTCGACTCGACGTCCTGGGGCTTGGCGCACTGAAGACGAGGACGAGAGGTGATCGAGAGTGGAGAGAGAGTGTGTGTGAGATATGCGTTGCTGGATCCATCCAATGCAAAACCGTTCGGGCGGCGGGTAACGCTGGAGCAGATGGTGAGGCCCCGAGCCAATGGGGAGCTCGAGTCGATCCAGCTCTCGCCGTGCAGATCAGTTCAGGGACCGTGGGGCCCGGCCTAGGCCTTTTTCAGAGACTCGGCCATATGACATCAACCCGGTTCTTATACCAACTTTGAAAAGTTCACTGTTGTTGTTGCTTGGAAACTCATGATACGCCTTTTTCCTCATAATTTATACAAACAAGCAAAAGGGTGTCCCTCATTAAAACGTCGTTACTCAATTCTACCTACAGAGCACATCAGCACGGCCTCAATTGACCATGCGCTCATGAGACACACCGAGCCATGTCTCTAAGCGACCACCCCAAGGCCTACGGCACGGCCGCCGTGGCCGTGGCCTTTGTCGCCGGCGTGTGTGTGACGCTCGGCTTCAAGGACCTCTACCCGGACCTCCAGCGCCGCTACGAGCAAGGCTCCTCGCGCCGCGCAGCACCGGCGACAGCAGTGGCCCGCCGTCGCCAGAGCACCGCATCCACCGCCACCACCTCGTCGACGGCGCGCCGCCGCCGCTCCTCCTTCTTCTGGGCGCCCGTCCGCCTCGAGGACCACGAGTCGCCGCCCTCGTCCGTCCCGCCCGCCGCCGGCAGCGCCGCCGCGTCCTCGGCCGAGCCGCCGCCCATCGCGCACGGCATCGAGGCCACGATCGGCAACACCCCGCTCGTCGAGATCCGCTCCCTGTCGGCCGCGACGGGGCGCACCATCCTCGCCAAGGCCGAGTTCCTCAACGGCGCCGGCAACAGCCCCAAGGACCGCGTCGCCCTCAACCTCATCCGCGAGGCCGAGGCCGCGGGCCTGCTCGTCCCCGGCCGCGGGGACACCATCTACGAGGGCACGTCGGGCAGCACGGGCATCTCGCTGGCGACGCTCGCGCGCGCCATGGGCTACCGCGCCCACATCTGCATGTCGGACGACCAGTCCGTCGAGAAGGCGCAGCTGCTGCACCACCTCGGCGCCACCGTCGAGCGCGTGCCCGTCGCGCCCATCACCGACCCGGGCCACTTTGTCAACCGCGCGCGCAGCCGGGCGCGCGAGCACTGCGCCGCCGCCGACGCCGCCGCCGACAAGGCGACGGCCTCGCGCGGCTTCTTCGCCGACCAGTTCGAGAGCGCGGCCAACTACCGCGCGCACCAGGGCACGACGGGCCCGGAGATCCTGGCCCAGACGGGCGGCGAGATCGACGCCTTCGTCGCCGGCGCGGGCACGGGCGGCACCGTCACGGGCGTCGCAAAGTACCTCAAGGAGGACGCCGGCCTGCGGCGGTCGGTGCGCGTCGTCGTCGCCGACCCGCACGGCAGCGGCCTGTACAACAAGGTCAAGTACGGCGTCATGTACTCGCACACGGAGAAGGAGGGCACGCGGCGCCGCACCCAGGTCGACAGCGTCGTCGAGGGCATCGGCATGAACCGCCTGACGGCCGTCCTGGCCGAGGGCCTCGACCTGATCGACGACGCCGTCGCCGTCAGCGACGAGCAGGCCGAGCGCATGGGCCGCTGGCTCGTCGAGAAGGACGGCATCTTCGTCGGCAGCAGCAGCTGCGTCAACTGCGTCGCCGCCGTGGCCACGGCACTCACCCTGCCCGAGGGCAGCAGGGTCGTGACGGTGCTGTGCGACTCGGGCGCGAGGCACCTGAGCAAGTTCTGGAAGAATATTGCCGAGGCCGGGCTGGAGGAGCAAGAGGACGCCGACGAGGACCTCCTCAAGATCCTGGGGCTGGAAAAGAAGGATTAATAAGCCAACAGTAGATGCCAAGTTGGCTTTGCTGGTTCACTGAAGGTGTAGGGCCATCACTTCACCAAGCTACCGATACCAGGTCGCATAGTTTTTATCTGAATGGTCTCATTGTAATACCATCACGTAGATGGAGAGACTAATAAAAGGGCCGCTCTTCATGCTGGCCAACTGCGATATCTGTCGTCTAGTGTACAAGCAAAACTCTAGGAGCCCTTGGGTCCGTCCTCTCCCTCAAGAAAAAAAAAATCAAGATAAACCGGAATCTTCACCTTGAAAAAGAAAAAGGTATCTCTCTGAGCTCAGCAGGAGAAATCAAGCCTCCTTTCGCAACGCATATCTGCAGTAGGAGGAGAGAAAAATCAACGCAAGCTGCACAACCATGTGCGTGAATATGCTATGCCACCTGCCACCAACTCCGTGACGTTTTTCCATTCCCTAGTATCATGTTCTCAACAAGGTCGAGACTTCTTCTTTGCTCAACGCCGATGCCATGTGAAAGCTCGTGCCGAGACTAGAAATCGAAGAGAATTGCAAGAGGACTGGAGATAGTCCGAGAAATCCATAACGTCGTAAAAAAAATAAAAAAAAAAGGACAAAGACAAGAGAAACAACGACAAAGTCGAGAAGCTTGCCATAGGCTGGCAGGCAAGCCAGGAGGTTCCCCCGTTCAAGAGAACTGAGAAGAGAGTCAGCTGATGAATACTGAACCAGAGGGAAGAAGAGAATGAGGAAGAGGAAGAGAGGATAACTTACCTTCCAGCGGTTACCGCAGACGGTACACTCGCAGAAAGTGGTCATAGGCTCATCAGCGCTGCGAGTCTGCGCCTGGCTGTAGCTGACCTTCTTCTGCTTGCACTTGCCGCAGGTGAGGGCGTCGCTGATGGACTTCTCAGCCATGGGGACCTGCGCCTTCTTCATGTTCTCGGCCTCGTAGTCCTCCTCGAGCTTCTTCAGATCGGCCGACTTGAGCTCCTGCGAGTCCATGATGACGAAGCGCTCAGCAGAGATCTCGCCCGACATGATCTTCTGGCCCAGCTCGACGTTGTTCTTGTGCTTGAGGTTCTGGAAAAGAGACCTAAGCTTGATCTTGTAGCGTTTAGAATCGAGCTTGTACGCATCATAAGCGGCCTTCTCGATCTCGACAGCCTTAAGGACAATGTTCTCGACCGGCTCTTGGGAGCGGTAGGCGAGGCCGTTGTACATCAGACCGATGCAGTTGTTTCGGGCGGTGTCATTGGTGCGGTTGATGTTGGCGTTGTCATTTTCGAACTTGCGGAGCAGCGGGTCGCCGGTGAAGGGCGCAGACGAGCTGCTGGAAGGAGCAGGAGAGGCTCCCTGAGCGGTGGCGGACGAGCTGCGCTCCTTGACCATGGGCGAGCCGCCCGGGCCCTTCTGGCGCCTGGCCTTCTCAGCCTCGACGTGCTTCTTCCACTTGCCGACAATCTCGTTCGCAAGACGCTTGACGTCGCTGTTCGCATGGGAACGAAGCTTGCCGATGACGATTCCGGCCTTGGTAGACTGGTGTAAATTTTGTCAGTTTCATATTCACCTTTGTCGCAAGTCGATGAGCAAGAATGAGTGACCAAGCTACTGCGAGTTCAGCAGACCTGGGCTGTGAGACACATCGCAGAATCTGGCGAACACGCTGGTAGGACGGTTTCGGCCATACATGGGGCACATATGTGTCGCAGTGGGAGTGAAGAGTGTAGCTTACCCGGAGGAGGTCCTCGGAGGGAGGAGCAGCCCGCTTCAAGGGCTGCATGAGAGTGAGCATGGTCGAAGCCGGCTCGTTGCTCGAAGCGGCCTTGTTGATGACCTTGATGGTGTCGGCGAGTTCGCGGTCGCTCATCTTGTCGGCCATGGTTGCGGTTGAAGGTAAGGTCGCTTCGGGGTGATCTGAAGGTGAAAAAGGACTGAGGCGCAAAGTGATCCAGTAGTGACTAGCTGAGGGACTGCTGTCGAGAGCAAGAAAGACAGGCGGATCGCTGGGGTTTATGACAGAGAGAAGAGCCGAGAGGAGAGAGGAAATAGAGTCGCGGTGGTGGTCCAAGTGGTTGGTGGGCACGCAAGAGAAATGGGTGCGTGGTGGGAGGTGGACGGGAGAGAAAAGAAGAGTTGTAGCTGGATGGGTTGGAGGAAAGGTTCAGGCTCGGTGGATGAGGCTGATATGCGAAGCTGGAATCGCCTTTAAGTGGTGGCCAGCGGGGCACGTCGCAGGGGTCCGTGCTTCGCTTCTCCAGCAGTTGACGCTAGCGCAGGTGGGAGTCACTGCCTGGCCCGTGCCTGTCTTCCCTTTGTTCTACCGATCGACTTATTGAAGATGGTTGACGTGAAGTAGATGGAGAGCAGTTTCTGAAATGGGATGAAATGTTGTCACCTCCAAACCACCTATGCATTCTTATCAAACCATTGTGTGTCACTTGAAAAGACATGGACCGCAAACGGGAGGTGTGACATTAGAATGGGCGTTTCAATCGTCTCACAAGAAAGGATGCCAAAGGCGTATATAACAGATAAACTAGAAATATAGTGGTACAGGGAGCCTGGAACTATCCAAGTCCATGGGTCTATGGTCCTTATTACATTAACAACTTGTACATGGGTGTTATACAAAGCCTGCTCGCTTCACAAGCACAGCCAACTCACATAGTTTGCCAGCACCATCTGGTTACTTTTGAAGGGCTAGGTGGTACGTCTCCAGCTCCTTGTCTGTAATGGCACCAGGGCTCTTGGCAAACAGATCCTCTCCCTTCATACTCTTGGGGAAGGCGATCACATCCCGCACAGAGTTTGTGCCGCTGAGAACAGCAACTAGGCGGTCAAACCCAAGGGCAAAGCCAGCATGTGGAGGGCATCCCGCTCTCAGGGCCTCTAGCAGGTGAGAGAATTGAGCCACGCCTTCATCAGTCATCTGAAGAATGTCCCTCATGACAAACTCTTGTACTTTGGCGACATGGATACGCCTGCTACCACCACCAAGCTCAATACCGTTGACAACCAGATCGTAGTGGTCGGCCTTGGCTCGTAGCGGATCCGTGGCCAACAGCTCAAAGTCCTCAGCCGTTAGAGGGGCGGTGAAGGGGTGGTGAGTTGCAGAAAACCCAGCTTTGCCGCCTTGACCAGGGTCGACATCGTTGTTCGGAGTGAAAAGCGGGAAGCCCGTCACCCACAGGAAGTGGAAGTTGGGGTCGGCTTCGAGTAGTCCTGCTGCGAGAGCTTCCTGGTAGATCATGATCCTCAGAGCGCCGAGAGCGGTCGAGCCTCCTTGGAAGGGCTCGTCCTTCCGAGCCTGAATTAGAAGGATGTCGCCACTCTCAAAAGGACCCAGCTCGGCAAACTTTCCATCTTGGTTTGTGAGCTCTTCAACAGTGTCGTATCCCAGAGCAAACAGCCCATTCATCGGTTTGCTCGAGTCGTAGAACAAAATTGCAGGCGCGCCGTCAGGATTATCGGTAACAGAAGTCGGGAGGGACTTCCAAAGCTGGTCGATGAACTTGAAGCTTTCTCTTGGATCCCCATCCAAGCGGAATTTGCAAACTTCTACGACTGGATTTTCCAGGCCTGAAATCTTGCTTGTGAAGTCCCGCGAGACTATCGAGTCGATACGGTGAATCTGCTTGGTATAAGCTTGCTGCCGCATTATGTTTGGCTAAATCGAGATACTCACCTTCCCTGGAATACGAAGATCTGGCTTGTCAGATCCATACGATGACATGGCCTCCTGGTAGCTCATGTGGCGAAAGCTGGTCTCGGGAATGGCAGGGTAGTTCTCTAGGCCATCGAGCGTTTCAGTTGACTTCGACGTGGACTCCTGCTGTCGTAGCCACTGTTCGTTAGTCCAAGCCTGCTGAGCAACAGTAGTTTAGTCATCTTACCTCTTGTCGTTCTCGGTGAACGGGATACCATCCCTCTGGGCTGGCCTTCTTGACAAACTTGCCCGAGGTCTCTTTGTAGATGTGTTTGACTAGCGATTCGACGTAACGCATGACATCCCGCCCAGTCGCAAACGACATCTCAAGATCGAGCTGTGAGGGGTGATCAGTAGGAGCCAGCACATCAAGTCACACAAATAATAGAATGACCCACCTGAGTAAATTCCGGTTGCCTGTCTGCACGCAGGTCCTCATCGCGGAAGCAGCGTGCGAACTGATAGTAGCCGCCGATGCCACCCGACATGAGCACTTGCTTGTACTGCTGAGGGCTCTGTGGGAGTGCATAAGCTAGGCCGGGTCTCCTCGTGGGCACGATGAACTCCCGAGCTCCTTCCGGCGTAGACTTGAAGAGCACTGGCGTCTCGATCTCGGTGAAATTATGCTCCTCAAAAAAACTCTGGCCGGAACGTTTGACGTGATCCCGAAATTGCAGTCGTTTGCGCAAGTCCTGGCCGAACCTCATCTGAAGGTGTCTAGAGGAGGCCGGGAATTGCACGCCCTCGGAGATGATGATGTCTTTTGGGAAAGGGTTCAGGGCCTCGATGGACACTAGCTCGAGCTCCCAGCTGATGACATTGTCCGGGAACTTGCCACCATATGACTCCTCGGTGACGCCCTCTGTCTTGTTGACGATGGTGCCTGTAAGGGCGACTGGGCTCCAGGCAGGGATCTGCTTGAAGGCTTTGTGTGCCTGGTGGGCCGGTGAGTCGGCCTCGGACCACTTGGAGGTGACCTTGAAAGTTGGGCCCGAGTCCATGAGAATCTCGGTAAAGGAGAGCTTCGAGGACATGTGCTTTGGCTTTCTCAGAAAGCCATGCACTGTCACTGTCCTTCCCAGATCGAATTCATCCCGGGAGGAGCTCGGTGTGAAGTGGACTGTGAGCATGTGTAAGTGGGAAGGCCGATCGCCGACGAGTAGGGAGGTGCAGAGCCCGTACAGTGTTTCTTGTAGTCATCCCATCTCTCGGTAAAGTGACTTGGGGTGCTATAGGCTCTGCTGAGACGCTGAGTGCGGCCTTGAGATGCTGATGCTGACCATGATATACAGCTATTGCTTCTCAGGCACAGACAGGGCAGTGTCACGATCGGTCTGGCTGTGATGCGAGTGGTCTGCCGGGCCAGTGCCGCCCTCAGGAGTGCCATTGGTCACATCCAGTAGCTTTTCAGCTATGAGGAGCTCTGGAACGCTCAGTGTCGGTTTGACGTAGAATGTATGCGACTGTGTTGTCTCCGTCTTAAACTCATCAGGTGAGAAAATGGACGGAGCTCAATTCTGTATCGAGGTACCTACAAGGGTATCCAGACACTGGGAAGGACCCTGCAGCTGGCACTTCAGTCGTAACTACTTCCTCAGGAGCTCCTCCGTACAAGGTGCCAAACCGGACCCGCCTAAAATTTCCAGCCTGTAGCAAAGCTCGGTTCAGTTACGTTTCTGTGGGGCAGCAGCTCGACGTCCGAAAAAATATATCAAGGCGCATTTTCAATGGCGACAAAACCTTTCCCTTCTCTTTTCTCTTCATCCTTCCAATTCAAAACAATGTGAGTACCTACCTCGACGCCACGGCATGGCTCTACCGAACAAGCTGCTGACAGTTCTACCTAGATGATGAAAGCCAGCGTGTTTAATTTGATGCAGCTCCCTCTCTCCAGACCTTGCGAACTCTCCCCGTTTGGGGCTTAAGTGGTTCGTTTGGGACGGTGGGCTGGGATTATGAAATGAGCGTTCGACACACCGACCTTGTTTTATCATCGGACGCTATCAAGGCAACTCTGACCATTTTGATATCTGGAAGGCGAGCCATCAGGACTCCTTTTCCCCTTTATTTTCCGTTTCTTTCTTTTGGTCAGCATTGATCCCGCCCATGCACTTCTTTTCTCCAAGATTGGCCCTAGTCTGAAGACTACAGCAATGACTGTGCTGTTGGTCCGAAGGCACTCTGAGCCATAGAACCGTCTGCCCTTATTATTTTCTCCCAGCACCGTTTGGAACCATCTAGTTGTCTATACCTTATTCTAAATCCTTCCCTGCTTGACATATCGAGCAAATTCAGACTTCAAAATACCAAATGCTACAGGTAAACCCTTGTAACGAAAGAACGTTGTGCCATGTGGGAGTTGTTGTATGTAGGCACATGAGTTATGAGATGGACACGCAGTAGGAAATTGATAGCTAGCTGTAGCCTCGCTGCATTGCATCCTTGGAGCCACGCAGCATGAGGAACACGGCAAGTCTAGGTAGGTGATGTAGCGCATTCGTGAGATCTCGGGCTGTCCACGGGTGTGTGCAGTTCGAATTCGGGCTTACGGTAGTGGGTGCCCGACGGCGACGTCAGCGCGCCAGCCTCCACCAGGCACGCCCCAATTCTTTAACCAACGGGCCAGTGAGACAAGCCCGCCCAAGGGGAACGAACCCGTCGGCCAGCGGGCCTCACCACCCCCCGGCGGCCCATTCCCACCCAGCTGCTCACTCTTTCATACGTACTTGTACTTGTTCGCCCTCATCACTGTCGACAAGGGCAACGTCGCATTCATTACAACTTATCGACGCGGAAGCGCGCTTCGTGAGCCGTTCTTTGTGCTCCCCAGGCCGATTGCCAAAGCATTTTTTATTCCTCATCTTGTCATCTCGCATGCTCTCGTCCACCATGACCCCGCTGTGATGGCTGCAGCTCGACCCGTCACTCCCGTTCCTTGAAACAGCGCACCCAAACAAGCTGGCTGCCCGTCCGCGACCATCTGTCGCCTCGATCCCGACACAACCGCCACCCCGGCGCCGATCCTCTTTTGCCTGCCCACTAATCCGGGTGAAAGTACTTGGTCCGAGCAAACGGGCCTTTCTCAGCCTGACCTCTAGCCGCTCGCTCTGGCATTGGTCTGCCCTGACCAAGGTCACGCATCTCCAGAGCTTTGTTGACGACGACCTGAAGAGCGCCCATTCCTCCGGCAGCGCCTTCAGAGCGCTCGTAAACACCTCACCATGGCGAGCTCCTTCGAAAAGTCGGTCAAGGGCGCCACCAAGATCAAGGTCAGGATGGACGCCCCGGCAGCAAGGCTCCAGCCGTGATTGATGGAGCTGCCCTGCAGCGCCCAAGCATGCTAACGCCCTCCTTACTACAGGCTGCGCCGCCGAAGACCAAATACATCGAGCATATCCTCGTCGCGACTCATGCCGGCGAAGCAGGAGTCGCCGAAGTATTCCGAGCACTCCAGTATCGTCTAAGGGACTCAACTTGGACAGTGGTTTTCAAGAGCTTGATCACGGTGCACTTCATGATCAGAGAAGGGTCCCCAGATGTCACCCTATCATACTTAGCAAGGCATCGGAATGCCCTGGCGATAAGCATGTTCTCGGACGGTGGGTGTGTTCCTCTACATACGGCGAGATAGACTTGCTGATTGAGATCGCGCAGCACAAACGCAAGGACGGAACATCAGACACTACTCAAATTACTTATCCGAACGGGCGCGGGCATACCGAGACACAAAAATCGACTGGGTCAGGGGCAGGGAGACTCGCCTAGAGAAGTTGACAGTGGAAAAGGGACTGCTGCGCGAGACCGAGGCGGTTCAGTCGCAGCTGACTGCTCTCCTCAAGTGCGATGTGAGCGATTATCCCTGTTATGAAATCCATCTTCCAGAATCTGACAACACTGTAGGTCATGGACAACGATCCGGAAAACGAAATCACCATAACGGTCTTCAGGCTGTTGGTGCTTGACCTTCTGGCCCTGTTCCAAGCACTGAACCAGGCCATGATCAATATCTTGGGTAAGTAAACCTGTCGTAGACGATATCCTTGCTTTCTAACCAAACTTGAAGGACATTTCTTTGAGATGTCAAAGGTGGATGCGGAAAGAGCTATGAGTATCTATCGCAAGTTCACACAGCAGACGGATTTCGTCGTCCAATATCTGGGCGTTGCCCGGCAGTATGAACACCACACGAGGGTGGAGGTGCCCAAGCTCAAGCACGCACCGGTCAACCTAGGAAAGCAACTGCAAGAGTATCTTAGCGACCCAGACTTTGACATGCACCGGAGACAGTACCTTGCGGAATTGGATGCGAAGAAGTCCGGCAAAGGTGGTTCGTCGGGAGGCTCCAAGATGTTTCGCACCGCCAACGAGAGCAAAGCCTCGGCAAGCAAGTCAGCTTTCCCATCGGTCAACGGTTTACAATCAGATTCCAAGCCTGCAGCACAGCCTGCAAAGGGTCCGGACCCGGACCTAATTGACTTCTTCGATTCCATTGAGCAGAACCAGACTACCACCACTGTCCAGGCGAACCCACAGATGCAGATGAGCATGCAGACGGGCATGCCTGCCGGCATGACTCCGTGGGGAGCGACCAGTTCATTCCAGACCCAACCTACAGGTCAATTTCAGCAACAAAATGGCTTTGGGATGCAACCACAGCCGACGGGTTTCCAGGCCACCAACCCTTTCCAGCAGCAAACGATGGGTGCATTCAACCCACAGCAGCAGCAAGCGCCCCAGCCTATGCAACCAAACTTCACTGGCGCTGGGTTTGGAGGTTACACGCCACAACCGAGCTTCCAGCCCAATTCCTTGGCGCCGATTCCCCAGGACTCTGTCGCCTCTTTCCCGAGCGGCGGTCTTGCTGTGCCCGGCATGCAAATGGGACAGCAGAGTACCAACCCATTCAGGCAATCGATGCTCATGTCCCAGCCGACGGGCATGCAGCCCATGCAGACGGGATTCCAGGCTCCCATGTCTGGCACCAGCAGCCCCCCTCAGTCAACCAACCCTTTTGCCCGCTCGGCTCCTCAGGGGGCGCCGCAGAGTTTTGGCGCGCAGAACACGGGCTTCCAGACGCAGAGCCCGCCAGCCGCGGCGCCCTTGCAGCCCATGGCCACGGGCACGAACCCGTTCGCGAAGAACTTTGGCGGGTCCCAGCCGCAGCAGCGGCCGGCCACCAGCGCAGGCCCTCTGGCCCCGCAGCCGACCGGCAGCACGAATCCCTTCCGCCAGGGCGACTTCATGAACCACAGCACCGGCCTGGGCTGGCAGCACAACCAGATGCCGATGGGAGGAGGCCTGGACCAGCTGGAGACTATCCCCGTGTTCCCGAGGCCGGCACAGCAATCACCATGGCAGCAGTAAAAAGTATTCACAGGGAGGAGCAGAAAAAGATACCACACTTTTTTTTTCAGAATAGTACACGCATTGCTACAAACCTTCGCTTCTTTGTTTGTTTGTTCCATCTACCTCGATGTGTTATGTCTGAGAAATTGCGGGGGTTTCTCGTTCTTTTTTCGAAACTCCTTTTCTAAAGCGTGGCGTTGCTTGGTTTGCGAAGGTATACTCATTTTTATCTCTAGGTAGTATCGTGAGTGTCTGCTGAGAATGCACCGAACAGGACGGAGGGGATGGGTAACCAATGACAGACATAAGAGCAGCAGTAATAGAGGGATACCATCATTCCACACTCACAATGTTCTGTTTTCTTGAATTAAATCACTGTGAGAACTCGTATTATTATGTTCCATCTGCAAAGGATTATCTAAATGCACAAATATGGGTTGATCCCCGCCCAGGGGCCGTATTCCGAAGCAAACGCCAACGCTATGCACCATTTTTGAGCTGGACTGACTGAAAAGCAAATTCCCCCCCTCCCCTGACTGTCCTTAACCAAAGACATCGTCAACCTCCATGTTGATCGGCCGGCTTTCGCTGCCTGCGGCCATCGAAGCCCCCAGCGTGGCCACTGAGGCCGCCGTCGTCCCTTGGCCCGTCTCCTTGTCGTCCTCGATGAAGACGCCGAGGCCGGCAAAGGCGTCGAACATGGCCCGCGCGTAGTACTCCTTGACGCTGTACCCGCCCGACGTGTGGCTGTAGTGGTCGCGCGCCCGGTCGAGGAAGGGGTTCTTGTACCCGTCCTGCAGCACGTAGCGCGTGGGCGCCAGGTCCGTGCCGCCAAAGGGGTCGTACGGCCCGTCGGCACCGCCCCCGGCGCCGGCGCCGCCCTTCCTGCGGTTCTCCTTGAGGCCGCGGATCGACAGGCCGCCGCCGGCCGCGGCGCGCCGGAGGGCCGCCTCCTCGGCGGCCACGAGGCTCTCGCGGCGGTGCTGGCCGCGCTTCTTGAGCATGATGCGGCCGGCGGTGCCCTCGGGCGCCGCGGCCAGCGTGTCCAGGTCCTCCTCGCGCTCACGCTCCCTCGCCAGCCGGTCCTCCTCGTCCTGGCGGGCGGCCTCGAGCCGGCGCTGGCGGGCGGCCTCCTTCTCGGCGGCCAGGCGGCTGCGCGTGACCTCGTCGGCGCGCTCGCCCTTGCGGCGGTTGCGCTCGATCTCGGCGCGGTGCGTGGCCTCCCACTGCTTGAGCTCGGCCTCGGCGGCGGCGCGGCGCGGCTCGTCGCCGCGGCAGACGAGGTCCATGGTCAGCTGCTCGACGCGCTCGAGGTACTCGTTGTAGGCGTCGAGGCTCTCAAAGTCGTCCTCGACGCGGTTGAAGACGCGCGCGACGCGCTTGCGCACGTCGACCTCGCGCTCGACCTGCAGATCGCCGAAGAAGGCCTCGCGGAACTCCTTGCGGCGCAGCGTGCGCCCGCAGCCGGCGTAGGGGCACTGGTTCGGCGCCGCGAACAGCCGGTTCACGCAGTTGGAGCACATGGGGTGGTAGCAGGCCGGGCTGATGAGGAAGACCATGTCCTTGTTGAGGTAGCGCATCGTCTTGCACACGGGGCAGACGTCCATGTCGGAGCCGCCCAGCGTGGGCACCGCCGTGGCGCCCGCCGCCGCGGGCCGCGAGCCTATCGGTGCTGCCTTGCGAGACATTGTGCGCTGTTCGGGGGGGGGGGCGACGGGAGGAGGGCGTGGGTTATCGGAGAGGCTCTTTTTCTGTTACTTCATGAGTGGGACTGTGGGATGAGACGTAGGTACGTCTTTGTGGCAAGCTCCCGGTCGAAGGGATGCGTGTGGCTTCGTCGAAGCTGGTGACAGGTTCGAATGCTGGGGAGAGGGAGTAAGGTTGTCTGATGTAGCTGGAGGTGAGGTCAGAAACAAGGCTGCCAGGGAGCTAAATTGACACAGCTCAGTTATCGATTGGGCGCAGATAAAGATGGTGGGCAGCGGCCCCCACCAAAGCTCTTTTGTCAGCCTTCTCGTCCTTCGATCAACTTCCAGAGCTTGACTCTCAGCAGCGACCAACACACCACACCGCAAAATATGACCGACAAAGGTGAGTTCCCAAGATAAATTTGGGATGCTGCACTATTATTTGATTCACTCTCAAGCATAATCGCTCTTGCAAGCCTCCCTTCTACTCCCACCGAAACCGCCCTTGGACCCAACGCCATTTGCTACCCCGCCACTAACACATGTCTTCGCTACCAGAACCAACGCCTGCAGAGGAGGCCGCCGCCGCCGCCAAGGAGAAGGCAGAGCAGGAGGCCCTTCCCTACAAGTGGTCCCAGACCATCGGTGACCTTGATATCAGCATCTCGATTCCCGGCAACCTCAAGGCACGGGATCTGATTGTCGACATCAAGAAGCAGAAACTACTGGCACGTGTCAAGGGCCAGGAGCCGTTCATCGATGTAAGGGAAAATGAATTGGCTCTACAGCTGTTTCAATTATGAAGAAAAGTGTCCCAGCCACTAACACTTCTCAAGGGCGATCTTCCCCACGCGGTCCGTGTCGACGAGTCGACCTGGACGCTGACCTCTGCCTCCGATGGCACCAAGCTGCTCGAGATCCACCTCGACAAGGTCAACAAGATGGAGTGGTGGCCTCACGTCGTGACCAGCGCACCCAAGATCGACGTCACCAAGATCACCCCAGAGTCTTCCAAGCTCTCAGACCTGGACGGTGAAACCCGGGGCATGGTCGAGAAGATGATGTTTGATCAGCGGCAGAAGGAGCAAGGGCTGCCCACGTCGGACGAGCAAAAGAAGGCAGACATTCTCAAGAAGTTCCAGGAGCAGCACCCGGAGATGGACTTTAGCAAGGCCAAAATCAATTGATATCCGTCCCTGTACGGCGCGATGCTATGTAGATTAGGGGAAACAGCGGTCATTCGTCGCCCTAAATCCAAAATCCAAAATGAAGTCATGATATTATCCGTCCGTCCCTGCATCAAACCAATCGATACACAAGGCGGCAGGAGAAGTAGGAAATGTGAGGGGTGAAACGAATCGCCTAGACCACGGGAAACTCTAAAGAGCTTTTAGTCATGGCGTCAGAGGGCCCATCAATTTGATATTGGAATCGCTAGTAATGTGGAAGCAGATTGCAAGCTGCAGCACATCAATTGTCAGATAGTAAGCGTTCCGTCTGCTGGTACCAAGCTAGGAAATCTTGTGTATAGGGTCCCAGTCCTGCTCGGGCTGGGATGGAAAGGAGAAGAGGTTGTAGCCCTACCTGAGGCGTACTGGCGTCAACGAGAGACTACAGGGTATTGGCATCATCAAATGGAAACGAGCACACTCCAATGCTATGACTCCGGTCGCTTTGGTGGCACAGCTTTGCAGTATTGATTGGCTGATTAACCTGGTGATCGCTTAGGTCTAGTGTAAACAGTTGATCGATACGGATCGATCTACTGCTTGGACAGACGAGCGGCCTTGAACCTGCTCACCCGCTTTGGCTCTTCGTCCTCTTCCACAGGAACAGTTGGTGACTTGTCCTCTTTCATGAAGCCTCCTTGGCTATGAATGAGGCGGTTCCTTTTCCGATGGTACTCAACAGCTGCCTCCTGGTGGAGCAGAGCGGCATCCATCTCGTCTGGTTCTCTTGGCTTCGTTGTCTCTCTCTCCAGGACAGAATCCGCGATGGTTTGGCCCTCCGGTCCGGACGGTGCAATCCTCTGGTCGATGTCCTGGTCCAGAAATCGCACGGGTGCCTCCTCTGGGCCCTTGGGGGTTGATGTCGTTCCTTCCTGGGTCGATACGCTGGTATCTTTGTTGTCAGTTCGGCTTGACTTGAACCTCGAGGGTTTCCTTGAAGTATTTTGCGTGGGTGCTGCAGCTGGCTTGGTCCGCTCAACAATGTCGCTCAAGGGTTCAACTAACGGTTTAACCGGCTCTGTCTGTTGACGTTTTGGTCGTTCTGGCAGAGTTGCTATACCATTGGGGGCGATGTCAAGGCTCTGTGCAAACTGAACCGATTTCTTCTCGGTCGTATCAGGTGTCTTGCCTTCAGGTTTAAGGCTAGACTGCTGGATTTCAGGCTCTTTTGCTGCATCAGGAGACACAATAGAGATCCGTCCAACACCTTCGTCAGGCACGCTACCCCGCGTGAATGTTGACTTGACACCCAACTTCTCCTGCAACTCTAACATCCGCTCGCGATAGTCGGCATCCACATGGAAATTGGATCTTCCATAAGCGTCTTCATCCTCTTCTTCGTCGGTATAGTCGAAGTCTATATCATCATCCTCGTCGTCGGTGCCGTCTTCCAGGGAAAGCTCGGCCACGACGGGACCAATCTCGGACATGCTGTACTCAAGCATTTCCTGGCGCAGAGCAGCGTCCTCTGCCGATTCGCCCTCGGGGATAATGGCAGAGGATGACTTCTGATCTTCTTGCTCCTTTGCGGTCCGCATGATCTGTGTCAGTCGCTGGGCTGCTCGTGATTGAGGCGGTGTACCGTTGTTCTCATCATCATCGTGGCCCAATTTGGTATCTTCTGCAAATGAGACACCTTTCTTCTTTCTTGGTGAAGAAACTTGGCTTGGTTCAGAGGTGTCCTCTCTTGCGTCCTCTCGAGAGGTGGGTGCAGTCTGTTGAGCCGTGTCGTCTTCCTTAACTCGATCCTCTTCATTTTCATCAGACGCACGTTCCGACCCCGGCTCCTTGTTGAGATCCGGCAAGTCCTTGATGCCAGCCTTTTTCAGAGCCTCCAATATCTGCGGTTGTATGTCGCCCGGGGTCTGCACACGGTAGGAGACGACATTATCGTCGTCGTCCAGCTGCTCCACAATGTCCATGACCTGCTCGCCATCTTCGTGTGTGTAGTCGGGTTGCGTAAGCACAGTCGCGGCGGCGAGTTTGTTCTCGGCCGCCTCGAGCTGCTTCTCGAGCGTTTCCACATTTTTCGTAGAATAGTCGATCCGCCTTGACAGGACATTGACGATCTGCTCAGCAGGCTTCACATCGACCCGACCAAAGATCTCGTCGACTTCCTTCTTGGTAACCACCTGGCCATCAAAGTCCCTGCGTATTCTTGCGAGGTCTGCACGCTCCACAGGCTTTGGGAGCGACGACACCTCCTCTTTCAGAGCTTCATACTCTAGGTTCCAGAGCTGCCACTGCTGCAGGGATTGCCTGAGCTTCTCGACGTTTTGCTCTAGCAATTTCCGGTGTCGCTCTAGGTCCAGGAAGCTGTCCTTGACTGAAGTCATGTTGTCGGTGTGCTGTCGCTGTTGGCGCGACAAAGTTGGTGCGTTGGAAAGCGGAAGAAAAAAAAAAAAGATGTCTGCAGGTGGAGGCAGGAGAAGGGTGCTGGGCGGGTGACTACTTGCACGAAGTGAAGCGGGGCGCTGTTAGGTACTTGTAGTTGCTTGGGCCCTGCCTGGATCATTCAGTCGATTCAATCTCAACCTCCCAAACAATGTGAATAAGCGATTATTCATCTGTGTATGTCTACATGAAAGACTATATGCCCTCCATGATCTATAGAGCTAGAGTCAACCGCTCCGATATTCTTCGAGAAACTCTAGCACGATTCCCTACTCAACCACCCGGCACTCATCCCCGACAGAGGACATACGCGGCAAAGCAGGCCCTTGTCATATCTTGGGCTTGAGAATGACGAACAATGCCTCGCCTTGCGCTAGTTTGTTGGAGTCCTTGTCCCATATGGCAGACTCCATGAACAACTTGCGACCTTCGAATTTCTGTAACCTTCCAGTGACTAGGATGACACCCGGAGTTATCACTGGCTGGAGGAATTTGGTGTTGAGAAAGGCCGTCATCTGGTCCTTGTCTGGGACACCGCCCAACTTTCTATTGACCTGGCCAAGAAGGCCCATGATCTCGTCGAGGATGGCAATGACAATGCCGCCGTGGGAGGTGTTTGGAAACCCGTTGATCCCCTCCTCTAATCGGAGGAAAGCCTTGACTTCGTCAACACGCTCTCCCGGTTTCGACGGCCGTTCGTAGAACATCAGGAACGCGGGGATGGTTCTTTCCGTGCTCAATGTTGTTGCAAAGAGTTCGTCTTCTGTCGAAGGCTTGCGAACTCTGCATATGGGTGTCTCCACGACGACCTTGGGATCCTGCAAGTGCTCATTACACCATGGAATACTCTTGAAGTACTCATAGTTTGAGTCTCCCGGTGGTGGTCTGTTTACTTCCATTTTAGACTTGAACCATGAGCTGGCGTGCTTGATGGCTTGTGGTCGAGGTGAACTGAAGCCTCGCCTGGCGATTCTTGAGACGGCACTGATGTTTCGAGATATGCGAACGCTCATAGAATGTAGAGCAGAGTGTCGATGCAATGAGCGCTGTTGTTGGAAATGCAGTATGCGATGCAGTCGATAATCTATAGAGGATCCCTTCTTAGCCAAGATATTTGTATGATTCACTCTACCCCAGATATTGGCACGGGTTGAGAAGAGAAACAAGCCCGAGGCGGCGACGGCGACGGCGGCGGCGGCATCCATCGGGACTCCATGATGGGGCAGCCTTGCGTGCCTCGGCAAAGGTCCAGGCACTAAAATCAGGGGTCTTACTGGAATAAGCATCGCGTTGATTGGCAGCTGGAGCCCCCGAGTTTAGCAGCTCGCCAAAACGCTAGCCTCACTGCACACCGTGACATTTCTTAATTACTTGTAGACGTGGACGCGTTGCAGCAAGAACACCTTGGCGGCCGCAGTTTCATCGCACTTCCGCCCTCTCAGCCCGACTTCGAGAGAGAGCCACCTGACGCTCTGTCTGGCTGTGCCATTCATTCACCAAGAACCCCTCACGGATCATGCGCTGACTTTGTACTCTAACATATCTTATTCGGCCATAATGGGCCCCCTTTCTTTCCTAAAGAGTGTCTATGACATAGACAACCTCGACACTCGCTTCACCACCCCTTCCTCGGTTCCCTACAAGACAGTCGTCGAGTCGCGAGACACTCTGACGGGCAAGAGAGCCGTCAAGCCAGATCCGAAAGCACAGCCGCCCAAATGGAGGACCCCGGAGTTCTTCCTCTACTACATTGTGTTCTTGATCCTGGTCCCGTGGATGTTCTGGATCGCATATGATGTATCAAGGCGTATGCGACCCTGGTCTTTGTCTACCATGTAGCTCTTGTTCCTGACAGTTGTGGTAGCCTCCGATCCTCGTTATTCAAAATTCGAACAATACCTCTCTCCGGGGTGGATTCCAGGACGAAAGATTGTAAGACTTCTCTAAACCTCCCCTCCGCCGGGATTACCTGAAAGAGGCTCACGTTTGGCGCAGGACGTTTCCGATGCCCAATACCATAGCTTTCGATCCAATCTCCCTTATATGGCCATCCTCCTTCTTGCGCATCCCTTTTGCCGGAAGGTCTGGAACGCTGTATATCCTACGCCCCAGCATAGCGGAAAGGAGGTCAAGCCCGAACATGCCGAAGCACGATTGAACCAGCGGGTCTCCTTTGACTATGCTTTTGCCTTCGTCTACCTTGTCGCCCTTCACGGCTTCTCCGCCCTCAAAGTCCTTGCGATCCTCTATACCAATTATCAGCTTGCGACCGGATTGCCGCGGAAGTATGTGCCGGTTGCGACCTGGGTGTTCAACATTGGCATCCTGTTCGCAAATGAGCTCTGTGAGGGATACCACTACAAAAGCATTGCCCTCCTCATTTCCGCACCCGACTCGCCGTTGGTGCAGTGGGGTTCATGGCTTGACAGCTGGGGCGGTCTCATGGCCAGATGGGAGGTGCTTTTCAACTTGACGGTTCTGAGGCTGATCAGCTTCAATCTGGACTATTGCTGGGGCCAAGACGGAAGAGGCTCAAGTCCCGTTGAGGTATAAGATACTCGCTCCCCGTCCATGCGCAAGAGACAAAGCTAATATTCCAAAGAAGAAACAACTGGATCCCGCCAACCTCTCTGAGCGGGATCGCGTGACGATCCCTGCAGAGACTAGGGACTTTTCCTTCCGGAACTACATGGCCTATGCTGTGTATGCACCACTGTACTTGACCGGGCCGATCATGACCTTCAATGACTACATGTGGCAATGCCGCTACAAGGCCGCGAGCATCGAGACCCCGCGCACCGTTCGCTATGCCGTGCGCTTCGCCCTATGCTTGCTGGCCATGGAGCTTGTGTTGCACTACGACTATGTGGGCGCCATATCCAAAGCCGGCCCGGACTGGTCGTCGTATACGGCCGCGCAGCTGTCCCTCCTCTCTTTCTTCAACCTGCACCTCATCTGGCTCAAGCTGCTCATCCCCTGGCGGCTCTTCCGCCTCTGGTCTCTGATCGACGGCATCGACCCGCCGGAGAACATGCTGCGCTGCGTCAGCAACAACTACAGCACCCTCGCCTTCTGGCGCGCGTGGCACCGCTCCTACAACAAGTGGCTCATCCGGTACATCTACGTGCCGCTCGGCGGCGCCAACTTCCGCAGCTGGCGCAGCGGCGCGCGCTCCGTCGTGACCTACCTGCTCGTCTTCACGTTCGTGGCCCTGTGGCACGACATCCAGCTGCGCCTGCTCATCTGGGGCTGGCTCGTCGTCTTCTTCTTCCTGCCCGAGGTGCTGGCGGGCTTCGCGTTCCCGCGGCGCAAGTGGGAGTCGCGGCCGACGGCGTACCGCATGCTGTGCTGCGTCGGCGCCGTGGGCAACGTGCTCATGATGATCAGCGCCAACCTGATCGGGTTCGCCGTGGGGCTGGACGGCATGCAGAGCATCATCAAGGGCATCTTTCATGACTTCTCCGGGCTCATCTTCCTGGCTACGGCTTGCGGCGCGCTGTTCGTCGGCGTGCAGGTCATGTTTGAGATTCGCGAGGAGGAGCTGAGGAAGGGCATCCGGCTCAAGTGCTGAGCGGTGTCTCTTTGGTGTACGATATATATATCTCTATATGTGTGTGTAAACAAAACACTTCTTTGATGGCTGGCACGGAGCGAAGGCATTAGCATTCTGTGAGGATATAATGAGTACATGGAACGATTTTCTCCCAATGCAGAGCGTCGTCCCATTTCTAGACCAGAAAGATTGAGTAGTGGTACGCAATCTCACGTCGGAAATCAGGGGTATATAAATCTTGTCAATGTTCTAGCACCAGGATCGCAAACATCCAATGCCCAACATCAAAAGCACCATTCGAAACTCCAACGCTCAGGAGAAAAACCTTAACATCTCTCTCCCACAAGCCCTGCACCTCAGCGCGAGGATTCCTGCACGGCCTTTCCCCTTTCGGACCACGACTCCTGGTGGTGGCCCGTCATCTCGACGTCCTCGTCGTCGCGCCGCCGCCACTCGGCCTTGGGCGACATCTTGCCGCGCATGCCCAGCTTGTCCTCGGTCGCCCACCTGCGCAGCCAGATGGCGGCCCAGGCGAGCGCGAACACGACGGCGCAGCCGACGGCGATGCCGAACACGTAGGCGGCGACGAGGCCGCCGTTCCTGCGCGGGTCGAGGAAGGAGTAGGTGTAGAAGCCCTTGGTGGCGCGCGTGACGTACGCGAGCGCGAGGTACAGCGCCAGCCCGACGACGAGCCAGAGCAGGTGCAGCCAGGGCGGCGGGGCCGTGCGCGGGACGAGGATCTCGAAGAGCGCGAAGCCGGCGTTGAGGGCGTGCTCCGACACGTTGCTGAAGAGGTCGAAGGGCGCGGCCAGGGCGCCCGGGCGGAAGAGCACGCCCCAGTAGACGACGGTGACGATGAAGGGGTAGACGACGACCGAGGTGTAGTAGGCCGAGTGCAGGGCCTGGAGGGCGCGCGGCAGGCGGTCGAGCAGCGCGCGGCCCGTGGCGGCGTAGGTCAGGGTGTGGGCGGCGGCGGCGGCGAAGTAGAAGGCGAGGCCCCAGTAGGTCAGGACGGTGAAGTAGGAGAAGGTGTTTGCCGCCGCGGCGCAGCCCCCGCGGCGCTCGTGGGTGCAGTAGAAGCCGATGTTGTAGAGCAGGACGACGAACTGGAAGATGGACTAGGTAGGTTTTCGAGAGAGGTGGTGAGCAAAAGCGATGCCCCTCCCCCCCTCCCCCCGAGGTGTATGCGAGCAGCAGTGTGAAGAGGCAGAGGGCCAAACTTACGAAGAGGGCGCGGCAGAGACCGAGCACGTAGGGCGGCAGGATCCAGGATGTCTCGAATCTGTTGGTCGGATCCCACCTGTCCTTGCCCAAGGCGAAGACGCGGGCCATGATGCGGGCGGCCGAGCGAAGAGTCTCAAGAGACAAGCCCGAAAGAAGGTGAATAAATTACGGAGCAGAGCACGCAACACGGTCCTGTTTGTTAAGAAAGGGAAAAAAAAAAGGAGCGGGGACTGGTGTTGAGAGTCAGTCGACCCGCGAGATGGAGAGCAGATTACTAGGGTATATTATGCGCGCATCCAAGTACGAAGTGTGGTTTTGTGATTTGCGTAGCTCTGCGATGGTTAACACGGCCACCCCTGTTCTTAATTTTCCATTTCTGGAGCTTATGAAGCCCAGGCCTGCCTGGACACTTTGTTGCCTACGTCAATGTACAGGAATATCTGTGGCTTGAAATGCGAACAAAAGGAAAAGCCCGATTTGTGTGGTTGGGTAGTTGTTGTTTGGAAGAATGGGCAGAAAGTCCGGAGTAGTCCAGCGGAGTTTGATCAGTTGGCGCCTCCCAGCCAGCCCAGCTTCACACGAGTACCGCGTGGCTGAGAGCTAAACTGGACGAGAAGCAATTCCCATTCCAACCACGAGTAAGACACGGCACAGCCCAGCCAAGCCGGCGGATCTGGTCACCGAACTCCCACTGCAAGATGGTGATCAGCGCCTTTTGTGTGAAACCAGTCTGACATTTAAGCTCTTTGAGGCGGAGGATCGACCGCGCATCACTAAGAGCAAGAGGTCGATGGGCAGGAAGAGTTGAAGCTATCTAAACTGATCGCCTGGAAAGGGAGTGGCCAAGACTTATCGTCGCCTGGGCTTCGCTTGTCCCCTCGGCGGTGATGTTGTCTTCTTAGGTCTCTGAATCCCTGCAGAATACCCTGTTTTCGTAGGGTCAATGGATAACCGCAAGTGGAGGTTGTTGGTACAGCCTACTGGAGAAGGGCGTACTTGTACTTGTAGACTGGGATTTTGCAGGTTGGGGATGACGATGTCTATGTATGTTGATTGCATTGGGCCAAGGGTCAACGAGCTACACGGTTCGCAATCATGGCTTCCAACAGTACGTTCTGCTCCTTTCTTCTCCTTTCTCATCGAGATTCCTAGGCATGTCGGCGGTCGGTTTTCCTCCTCAGTAGCAGATCAACCTGAAATGCCAGCCCCGGGGTAGCGGGTCGATGCAACCCTACGATGCTGCACCGCTCAGGAGAAGAGGCGCGAGGATCGAGCAGAGATTTGTCAACTCTAGCACACCGCGTAGGCCAACGGCCCGGAGCGTTTTGTTTCTCAGTTCGTATTGTCGTCCACCTGAGACTCTGTCGTTTCAAACAGTCGAGGAAACAGGCGATCGCGAGCAGGCCAACGGCTCCTAGCAAAGATCTGCGCGACGAGGGTTTCACGGGCCTGTCTAGGCATGGAAGGGTGTTCCTTGCGTGCAGTCCAGGGTCGGGTCCCACGTACAAGGCTTGGAGAACAGAGTCAAGTGATGGCCAGATTCGTTGACGGCCTGCTAACAGAAGTACTTGACTGTCCATCGAACCCGTCGGATTTAGGTAGTGGGATAGGTCTTTCCGAGTTCTAGGGCAAGGACATGACAAGGATATTGATTGTTAAGATTGAGGTAGCTCCTGATGAACTTCCGTCCACCATTCAGACGCCCACTTGGGAGTCGAGGGGAGTAAAACACATCGGCACTCTCTCCATGCAATGCCCACCTACGCGGCTAAGCGGCTGGAGAAGGACCCATGGGCGATCCTGGTTGTGTCTATCCCAGATCGTTTCGCGATTCGACAACAATCTCCAGTTCTTGGTCATCCTGACGCTTGAAGGCCAGGCCCATGGCCTTCCTCGTAACGAGCATGTGCGGACTTGTGGCCGAGCAAGTTGCAGAAAAGAAAGGAGGCCAGGGCTAGTGTCAACCGGCTCGAAAGCGGACACGGCAAGGGATGCCTCCCCCTCCCGTGCGACAACGTTTCCCGGGTTCTAAAAACGCCTTTGCTGGAATCCTAGATGAACGCGTGCCGCCAACAGAATAAAACTCGTCGGGATGAGCCTAAAGACCCGCGGTGCCGCGGTGGAGAGAGAGACTGCGCGGAGGGTCCCAGGCCCTGATGATAGCAGAACCAGGTATTGGGCGTGTGGGTTGAACTTCCAAGAACTACCTTACCTGCCTGTATGCTCTGGCCCGTCGTTTATTGGATTTTAGTATCATTGAGGCATTCCGTAGGCCACGCTCGCATCTCATCCCGCTTTGGGTAGCATGAGTCGGGATCCATCCCATAGGTAACTTAAATGGAGTTGCGTGCAGCAACCCGGCGGCTCATTGTCCCGCGTCATGGCTTTCTTTTTTTTCCCTCTCTCCAGGATTCATTCCTTTACGGAGTACTCGCATCACACAAGATCCAAAAAGGAGGGGGGAGGGAGTCTGGACCACCGTTTATCACTGGCCAAAGAGGAGGAGAGCCCAGCCGCACACAGCATCTGACAGACTGAGAAAGCCCAAAAGCCTTGAAGACCTCCCGACAGGGATGATCCAGAGATTTGACCGGGCAGGGGTCCCGGGCTCAACCTGGGCTGCCACGGCTGTTTAGGGAGCTAGACTGCCCCTTAGGGAAACCCCGCCAGGGGCTAGTGAGCTAGGCGTTGCTAGGATGGCCGCTCGCGGGCGCTGGTGGATGTGGGCTGCTGCAGGTGGGTGGCGTGCTAAAAAGGCTGCAGCGTCGAATCCGGGCGGCCAGTCACATCTCCTTTTCCCATCCGTGATGGATTGATAGCTACCTAGGTACATTACCTGCCATTTCTCCTATCTTGTATTGTAGGTAGGCATTGTCTGGGTGTACGAGGAGCGGGGGGGAGGACGGACACGGCTGGACTGGCATGGTTACAATACTCCAATGTATCGATGAATGAACGAGTGAATATCAGCAGCCTGCACTGCAGGACAGAGTCCATCAATATTACAGCTCTGCCAAGACGACCAAAGAACGCATAGAGCCCCCCCGGAAGGTCGAGTTACGGGGTGTGTTTGTTCAAACAAGACCAGAGATGTGACCAGTCTCGTCGCTTATCCGTAGCGAGAGAAACGGCCCCTAGACCGGGTAGGCCTGCTCGCAGAGTAGATGCCTACCGAGGGATCGTGCTCGACAGTGGAATAGCAACGTAGTCAGATACAGATACAGATACAGATCAGATCAAACCCTCTCCCCTTATGCTCCTTCATGTCTACCTTACGAAGTTAGGTACTCGTCTCTCAGCACCAACTGGCGGTGGGTGTACCTACAATACTTACAAGTAGATTCGCATTCGCGCTACGGTAGCGTCCGGCCGGGTGTGGGTACAGTCCAGCTTTCTCACCAACGCCAAATCTCCCTCTCCGTATCCAGCACCGCACCCTTTCTCCCAAAAGATCCTACCCTCCCTCCAACGCTTTCGGCTGGCTTCCCCCTCGCGCTCTCCTGCTCCCTCCCTCCTCCGTCCTTCGAGGTCGGAAGGTCGTCGTCGGCAGGGTATTCCAAGCTCAGTATTCCAACACACAAATACCAACCAACATGCGCACCAAAAACCTGTAGCACGCTACTGAGACATTGCTGTGTCTCCTCCACCGAAAGAGTACAATCGCCAGGCACGACGACAGTCCCTATTTGCAACTGCGCCTTGGGTCGAACAGGCGCCTGAATCGGCATCCCCAGATCACCAACACGACACGCCATATCGTCGTTATCGTGACTCTTTCGAAAGCTCAGAAGGCATTGAACTCGGTAGTTCGATAGGCATAGCACGGAGCAGCTCGTTCTGTGGACAGTTCTGTTGTTCGTTGAGGACTCACGGTCTTGTCAGCCGCCGTGGCCTGGAGAATCCTGCTACCCAAGTACCTCGCACTGCAAGATGCACATGGGCCCAGACCTGGCTTCCTGACATCTGTCTGCGGTCGCTGGCACTTGAGATAATCCTGCACGCCAGCAAGAGCCGCGCCGCTGTCGTGCCTTCCTTTCGCTTCCACTGCCCGGCTCGTACCACCCAGTCAGCAGCAGTCACAGACTCTTGCGCGGGTGGCTGCAGCGCGGAGGCCCGTCTCGAACGCGCCGCCGAGAAGTCCTGCCTCACCCTGGGTCGCACCGGCCCCGTGCTGCCCACGACGACTAACCCCCCCTTTTCCCCCGAGACGAAAGCATGTCAGCCGTCGCGATGTCGTCCACACGCCCCCAGAACCAGACGTCGCTTGCCCGCGACGATCACGTTACACCTGCGCGATCTCCAGCCCAGCCACAGGATGCACGTTCCACGAGCCGGCCAGAAGGCGAGGCGCGCCGGACCCCGAAACCCAGGCAGGGCAACATACCCCTACACCCGATCCCGACCATGCAGGCCGCCTTTGCCGAGTCACTGCAGGAGGTCACATCCGGCACCCTCGCTTCCAAGCCCAAGCTGCGCCCCGGCGACGCCAGCTTCCGCCGCGAGCAGCTGCTGGATCAAGATAAGTCCGAGGGCCCCCCGGCTCCTCTCTGGCGTATGCGCCCTGGTCAGAAATGCCACGAACTGCGAAAGCTCATGGCCCAGATCTCCTTTGGCGTCTATCTCCTCCTGAACGGCTTGGCCAACAGCGATGCTCAGGTCGTAGCCATACTTCAGGAGCACATTGACGAGGTTGACGAGTTCCTAGAGGTGACGCTCGAGGATTTCCAGCTGGCCATCAAGGAGCTGACCGAGCGGATCGACTACCTCAAGCTGCCCATGGAGAACATGACTGTTTTTGAGCAGATGCTCGAAGATCGGAATTTCCGCCTGCAGATCGTCGAGGGCAATGTCAAGATTGAGCACATCATCTCCCGCACAACCACGGCCCTGGTGCAGTCCGTTCAGGACGTTTCTGAAGGCCTGAAGTGCACGCGTGAGTTCACTCTATACTTGACAGAGCAAGAAAATGGCCCTTGGCGGAGGAAGAAACCAGATATCGTCAGCATCTACGACGCGATGCGCGGCAACACTGGCGGCTGGTTCAACGCTTTCGTCGACCTCCAAGCAAAGAGCAATACCATGAACGCCTTGATTGGCAAATTGAACGGTATGACTGCCGAGATGGATCGCAGAGCTGGCGAGGTCAGCCGGCGGACTAGGTTCAGCGTCCGTCCCTACACCAGCCCTGCGCACACTCCGAAAGAGATCGGAGGGGCCAGTCCCCGAGAGACTCTACGGGAAAGTCCCGTGGAGAGTCCAGGAGCCAGCTTGGAGGGCAGTCGCCCATCTTCTCAGGGTTCTGCCGAGGCTACACCCCCGGCGTCTCCATCTCCCAAAGTCTCTGTCGCGCCCCCGAGGCTGTCTCTACGGTTTAGTCGGCTCCCGGAGGAGCGGCCGGAAGGACCTACATACTTCGACCTACCCATCAGGGATTCTTTATTTGTTAAAGACACCCTCCCGTCTTTCCAGTACACGCCAGCACAAACGCCCGAGATTCGAAAGGACGACTCACCCAAGGTGATTGTTGAAGAGCCGGAGACAAAGCCAGAAGAGCCGGAGACGAAGGCTGAAGAGCTGGAAACGAAGGCAGATGAAGCCCAAGTTGAGCTACCCAAGCAAGATCTATCAGATCCAGCATCACCCGCCTCCGGGGCATCGCCGCCTCCGCCGACGTCGCCAAAATCGCCAAAATCACCAGCCGAAGACGGACCGCTGTATATCCTTCAACCGCGGACATACACACCGTTGCCGCCAGCCCCGCTACCTTCGCCCCGTATCGTTGAAGAAGCCGCTAAAAAGCACAGCCCAGCTGGGAGCAGGACAGAGGTGGTTGAGGAAAAGAAGAAGCCTCGCAACGATCCGAGCCCACCGCCACTTCAGGAGAAGTCAAGTCGGAGGCGGCTCTCCGCCTCGCGAAGGCGAGAAGCGCCAGAGGCGGTACGGAGCATTTCCTCGCCGCTCCTCCGGGACAGCGCCGAGAAACAGAGCATAGCCATACAGATCGAGGGAGAGGCTGCAACAGACGTCAGGACGGAGACCGGGCAGCCCACAAAGAGGACCTCACTGCGCCAGCGTGTATCTCTGAAGACGACTCCTCCGCAATCCATCCAAGTGCCTCCCCGCCACGACCCTACTCTCCAGCGTCCGACGTTTGCTTCCCCGAGGACATACCAGAACTACCGCACCTTCACGGGCCCCGACTCCGCTTACGGGTCCGACGTTGACCGGGCGGCTGTCCGCTCCATGGCGGATCCTTCCGGCGTTGACTTCTCGCCCCCTGTCATGCCTGGCATGGTCCCATCTCCCCAATCCGATCAGCAGTACTTCCGGCCCGTGAGAGCCAGTCCTCACTCTCCCCTCCAGCAACGGCCACATACCGCCGGGAACCAGACTCCAGCCTTTGCCTATCACCAGCGCAACGCGCCCTCCCGCATGGGTGGCATGAGCATGCTCAGCACTGTGTCGACCCTAAACCCAGATGCGCCTGGGGATCGTACTTTGAAGAAGAAACGGAGTGCATTCGGCTGGCTGAAGAAGGCCTTCTCGCTCGACGAAGAGGAGCGAGCCGCTTTTGAGCAGCGCAAGCGCGAGCAACAACATAATCTTTACTACGACGGCCGTAGCCCACAGTTTTTAGACGGCAAGCGGATTCGAAGATGAAACACGCGTCAGATGGACGCCCCATCACCCTCAGCTATCAGCCATACCCGATCTGGCGGCCCTTTGATATAGTACTTTGTGGATCAACTCCATGATGCAGACCGTTTCTGCGTGCCAGTCTCTACTACACGTCACACACTACACTATCCCAGATGCCTTGAGTTGCATCAGCGATTTGGATCATTCATCAGCGTCTCGCCTTCGATACCCAAACATATACCCACGGCACGAGAACTCTTTTACGCCATTGCATAGCGCTCCACATCAATGTATTATTATAATAGCTCCTATACTCTATTCCCCTTTGCTTTGGTTTTCTTTTCTTGTTGTTTCAAAGCCCATGTTTGCACGTCTTGCAAACAGATCTCCTGCATATAAGAAGGAAACCAGTGAGGCTTTTTTTTGTTGTCAATCTCTCTATTTAGCCGTTGATTTCCTCTGGCCACATTATGCGAGCGTTGGAAGTCTTTGATGAGATGAGAAATGGGCGGGGTGAATACACCCAATGCATGGTGATGTGTTTCCAACGCACAATATTGACATTCTCCGTCACCATGGCTGAAGGAGGACACGGAGGAAGGGTTTCCGTTTTCATGGACGGCATTTGTGATGCTCATGGACTAATGCGGGATGAACTCGGGGAAGGAGCATAGAAGGATAGGAAAACCATCGAAAACAAATCATTGGCAAACATTCTTCTTTGTCATTGTATGTGACATTCATGTGTTGCTGTTGTCAAGGTTGTGTGTCAGACGTAAGACTTAGGAGGGTTTGGCTCTTTCGTCCTGCCTGTGCCCCGTGGAACACATAAAGTAGTGGGATAGGCCTAGGGGAGTTTGTAGGGTCTGTCCAATTTCTAGAGACGAGGAAATGAAGGGAGTACGGACCCTCAATTAGCAACCAGACCGAGACTGATTCTGTCATGGATGGGATGAGAGACTTTCTGTGGTGGGGGGCCATGTGGTCTCCCGGGACGGGGCCGGGCCACAAGAACGGTGCCGATGTGGACCCGCCGCTTGTTTCCGGGGGCATGCACCATTTAACTCGGAAGATGGAAACGAGTAGCTGTCTTCCCGTGAGACACTCTGACTGTACACCACACGGTGTGCTGAAGGTCCATTCAGTGTTCCGACGTTTTTGGGGTTTCCCGGACGTGCTCTTGTCTGTTTGTCAAGTCCAGTACACTCACTCTAGGTGGTTTGCCATCAGTGTGCTTTGTAAAGTTGTAGGTCATCCAGCTGTGTGCCTCCCATCTAAATAAATACTTGTTGGTGGGAGATACAGCAATGAGATCCTCAGAGCAAAACTTTCATTAGCAATGGCTACTAATGGAGGCAGTCAGGAAATCAGAAGAGAAACAATGACAAAGTGTGATAGATGAGAGGGGTTGAATGGCCAAGGCATTCAAAGTCTTCTCGTGTTCGCGTTTCCACTCCTTTGCAAACAAAATGACATTGCAACAAGGTCTCCAAGTCCAAGGGCGGACGATGCTGACTGTGACAGAACGCAAACCGACAACTCATCCCACAACGGCTCTTCCCTGACATGACATGACAGACTGACTGACTGACTAGATCGGTGGACAATGGCTTGTTTGTGAACCATGTGTCTCCAGCAATCAGAGAGGCAAACTTGTTTCTTCAACGGGGGACAAGGCTCAGAGATTGTGTATAAGAGGGTTTACATCTGGACATTCTCAATGCCCTACTTTCTCTACTGACTCCCATTTAAAATTCCCAAATCCATACAGACTGTACTGTCCCTTGGCACACCTTCCTTTGTTCAAGAAAAGACAACCGGGACCGTACTCTTCCTCGCCACACTCACTGTGTGTGACCCTTTCTGAAGCAGCAGACCATACCTCTCAGACTACAAGAGAAGAGAGAAGAACTATGTGCCTCCAGCACATCCACGTCTGCCCCATCTGCGCAGACTACATCGTCCCCGTCCCGCGCTGCGAGGCAGCCGAGGAGGCCGACCGGGGGACCGCACCGCTCCTCGCACTCCCAGCCCCTCCCGGACCACCGCCGGCCGCGCCGTCGCCGCCCTCTCTCAACAACGGCGGCGGCGGCGGCGGCGGCAGCCACCACTATGACCACCACCGCCACGGGTCCAGCTTCTCCGACTCGGACGAGACGGCCGTAGATTCGGACACCGACTCCTTCTCCTCCTCCGCCAGCAGGCGCGGCCACAGCGGCCGCCGCCCCGCGCGCTTCTCGACCGCGAGCGGCGAGCAGGCCCGGCAGCGCTGGGCCGGCCTCGTCACGCGCATCAGCTGCCCGGCCTTCGAGTCGCGCAACAAGGCCGCCTTTGCGCTCTGCGACGGCTGCAAGGCCGACATGGCCGCGCTCTTCGGCGGCGGCGGCGGCGGGGCCGCGGGCAGCGTGCAGCCGCCGCACGAGTTCCCGATGGTCCGGGCGGATGGGTATGTGGTCTGGGGCCTGATCAAGGCTGAGTGAGAGTAGAGTGGAAGCTGGGCTGAGCTGAGCTGAGGGAGAGAGAGTCCATGTCGTTGGGGGATTTTCTTTTTTGGAGGAGAAGACAAGGGGAGGATAAGAAAGGGTGAAGGGGGGGGGAGTATCATCTTGACATTCTTGAATAGAGTTGATATGCCCTTGCCAAGTGCATGTTCGGCCTATGTGTGTGTGTGCATGAGCATTGCTTGTACTTCTACACTGGTGAATCCCCATTCCCTTCCCTCTGTGGGTTTATTCAAATACATATGAAGCAGCAATCCCTTTGGATTATTCATCTTGGTCCAACAAACTCAAATTAGCACTTGAGATATGAAACCCAACATTGCTCCGTTTTGGCCAACATATAATAGTCCACCGCTCCACTGTAATAGAAGGGCAACGATTTGTCCCCGCATGTAAGAGCTCAATGTGAACATCTCGTATAGATGAATCAAGGACACAGAGATGGGCCAGTGCAGATCTGGCCTTCTGGAGCCGTATTGATGAATCTCTGTATCGGAAAACAACACTTTTCTTCATTCAGCAAAGATAATTACTAAGCCCTGTTCCATAGAACTACGTACTCCCTGCCCTTGACGGCAGCTCGCCGTCGAACCAAGGCCCTCTTGCCCGAGAAGACGGGTCGTCAGATACCGACTGACAATTCAGAACCGAAGAACAGCACCAGGATGAACACAAACGCTTCGGTATCATCTTTAGAAACACGTATTTGACTTGACAATCGAAGTGAAGATTAGGGGGGGTGGGATATCAAGAAAACAAGGCGAGGAGTACATAGAGAATAAGGGGAGACAGCTCGTGCGTGCCTGCATCTTCTTTTGTGTTTCAGAGTGCATGAAAAAAAAATGAATAAAAAGATAACCTGTGTTGGTTGGTAAAGGGGGTTGTCTAATGGTATCATTCAAGTAGTATCGCAAGAGAAAGTAAACCAACAATCAGAGAATCGTAAACTCAAAGCCAGCTGAAAGCCAGCGAGCCCGAGATAATGACGAACAACTACGCAGCAGTGCAGGACACAGGCCGGACCCGTTTCAATGCAGTGAGCATTTTACCGGCGGACAGGGGGCGTACGGCTGCCAGGGCCACTTGTGCCCTCCATGTTACCAGTGAGCTCAGCAACGCGAGCCTTGATGCGGGCGACGCGAGACTCGATGGCTGTTCATCACAATTAGTACAAGGTTCACAAGCAAGCCGTGGGGGAAATCCACTCACTCTCTTCACCGCTCGTGTCGTCATCCCCATCCGTGGTCTTGCTCTGCCCTCCCCGGCTCTGCTCCTCGCTCTGGCGCTGAGCCGCGCGGTTGGCCGCGTTCTGGCGGATCTGGGCCCAGCGGTCTTGCATCGGCACGCCCGGCTGGGCCGCAGCCTGCTGCCTCTTGGGCTCCTCGACCGGCGAGTGCTGAACCTCGACGACCGGCGAGCGCTGACGGGCAATCGGCGGCGGAACCGCATCTTCGGTCTCGGCATCCGAGTCCTCGGGAATGAAAGCAGGCTGGTCCGCGAGCGGGCCCTGGTCGAAGCGAGAGAACTCGTGGTCGGCTTCGCGCTCGTCGGCGGTGTCAACCCGCGAGACTGAGTTCACCGAAGGCTCGTAAGAGGGCTCGGGAGCGATAGAAGCGACTGGGGTTTGCGAGTAGGAGAGCGGCTCTGCTGGCTCCGCCCTGGGAGTGAGGCTTTCCGGAGCGTCGTGCGCCATGGCCTGTTGCTGCTCCATAGCAGGCTCCGCGTGGTGTACAGGTTCCGGCGAAGGAGCGCTCGGGGCGGTGGGGGCCTTGGCCAGCATGTTGTTCACATCGGCAGCGGCATTGTCCGGCAGCTTAGACTGCCTGTTCTTCCTGCCAAACAGCTTGCGGAAACCGCCGCTCTTCTCCTTCTCCTTGAGGTCCTTGTGCAGCTTGTTGGCCCGCTTCTTGCTCTCCGGGCTCAGATCAGGAGCCGGAGTCACCATGTTCTCTCGAGCCGACTCCGACGCCTTGGGCTCTTCGTCCTTCGGAGGGGGCGGCAGAGGAGTGCTTCGGCCACCTGCGTCGGGACGGTCAGCGGGATGTACGTCAGCAGGTGCTTCAAGCTCTTTTTCGGTGGCAGGCTCTGGTCCAGGCTCGGCCTTCTCCTCAATGGGAGCGGGGTGGTGCGGTGCGGCAGCCGATGGCTCCTTTGCGGGCACCTGCGGAGCGTGGTCGTAACCGTTCATAGCGGAATGGCCATTGGTCATGGCCGGTGCTGTGGCCGAAGTCGGAATGCCTCGTCCCGCGCTCGTGTTGGAGAGATATGCCTCACGGATCGTCTCCTTGTCATACTTGCTGGCCCACTTCATGGCTGGTGAGGCTTCGCTCATGATGACGGGTTGAAGGGTGAGAACACTGTTTGTCTTCTCGTGCATCACCTCGTGGTCGTTGCGACCGCGGCGAGGCTTGGCGTCCTGCTGTGCTGCCTTGGCTTGCTGCTGGAGCTGCCTTGCCTGCAGCTGCTGAGCGGCGGCCTGGATCTTGGCCTGCTGGTCTGGCCCGATACTCGTCTTGCTGAAGCCCATCGTGCTGCTTGCCTTCAGCGAGTTGCTCCCTTTGTCAAGCGCATGCTGACCAGTAGACTTGCTGCGAGAGATGCCCTTGTTGCGTCGTGTCCAGCTGAAGAAGCCCTTCTTCTCGGCAATATATGCCCCCGCATCCGGTTCCGGTGCGGCGCCCTTGACCATCTCCTCCATGACGAGCCAGCGCCCAGTGCGGATCTTGGTCTCGACGACGGCGCAGCGACCAAAGGCAGACTTCCTCTCAGGTGTCTCTTCAGGGGCCAGACTGGTCATCCAGACCCACCAGAAGGCATCGTCCAAATCAAATCGAGAGATGCTGGCGAGCTCGCCGGGCTCGAGTTGATGCTCCGTCTCCAGCCTCGGTCTGTGGGACTGGGAGCTCCGCTGACGAACAGCAGTGTCGATGGGAGGCAAGACCTTGTCAGGTGGAAGAAGCAGGTTCGTCGGGCTGCCCGAGCCGTCGTCAACGAAACCGGATGAAAGGAAATCGGCCCAAGATGGAGTGGTGGGCCGGCCGCCGCCGTTGCCAGACGCGGGCGCGGTCCTGAGGCCGTTTTGCTGGTGCGGTTTGCGCGGCGAGAGTGGAGCATCATCGTCGTCCTCCTCTTCAACGAGGGTGCTGGTGAAGCCTATGTCTTCGAACCGCGACCACGAGGCATCCCGAAGGCTCGTCGAGTGCTTCGAACTGGACACGGCTTGCGTCTGATTTGCTGCCGAGATCGACTTAAGAACTCTGCGGCACTCTTCAGTCAAGGCCTGGACCGGATCTTCAAACTCGGAGAATTCTCTGAGAGCCCTGTCCTCGTCACGGTACTGGAAGTGATTCCCGCGTCGCAGCAGAGCAAAAGGTGTAGGCGAGACCGAGTCGACGATCATGACCACTTTGTAAGTTGTCGACATCATCAGAGACGGCCTCTGAGGAGGGTACTCGGTTTCCTGTAGAAGCTTCTGCAACGACATGGGGAGCATGGAGATGCCTCCTTGACTCTGCTGAGGGGCGAGTGACCTCAGGTAGGCAAAGAAGAGATGGCTTGTAGCATCGGCCGCGCTGAGCCAAGCCTTGTAACCGCCCTCAAATCCATTACCAGTGTCCTTCTGCTCAAAGGTCCACCACGCAGCCATGCGCGAGACCTTGCGACCACCGAGACCGTTGGTCTTGCCGTGGGCGGAGATGGCAGCCAGAAGGTCAAAAAAGTCGAAAATAATGCATGAGCGAGCGCCATTCTCGACACTCAGGGGAATAAAGGTCTTGAATGAGTCTCGTGCAAAGCTCGAGTCTATAGGCGGTCAGTTGCCAGGTTCGAGAGGTAGAGAAGCTGAAGAAGACTCACCCTGCTCGCCGACCTTGAAGAGTTCATAGGCATCCCACCCCACGAGACCACCCTGCAACCTGCTCCAGCACCACTTTATCACGCCCGAGATGACCTATCATCCAGGTTAGAGTGCGACACCGGACCATCCAAGCTGTGCGAGTACCAACCATTGGCTCAGCCATACGGAGCTCTTGTATCAGAGCCTCCCCGCGCATCGTGGCATGGCTATCAAAGAAGTGGCGCACAAACGTGCGCACAGCGCTGGGATCGGAAGTCGGACGGAAGGGCAGAAGAAGGAATGGGTGGTCGAGGGCTGTCGCAAGAGTTCGGTTTAGCTTCAATACCAAAATTTGCAGGCCACATGTAGAGGATGTAGCAAGCAGTGCACAGCGGGAGAGAACAATGCGCATATCGTACCTCTGGCCTTGAGCTCCTCTGTACATCTCCGGACCAATTCCTGGATCTCCTCGGGCTCGACCGTCTTGCGCGCGTAGGCGTCGTCCCATTTCGGCTTCTGGGGTAGCTGGCTCGCGAGGGCGTCGAGGTGGGCCTGCTTCTTGGACTTGGCTTTCGAGGAACCGTCCTTGCCCTTGAGGCGGGAGAAGAAGCCGGCCATGGTCGGGCTTCAATCACTGCTCTGGGGCTACGATCGAAGAGGCAGATATCGAGGGCTCGAGTGCGTGCTGTGGAAGCGGCAGTGGGAAGATCAGACCAGGCTGGGTCCTCAGATGGAGACGATTTCGATAAGTTCAGGATACGTTACGATCGAAGCGGGATCGGCCGACAGGAAGAGGAAAGGAAGAGAGGGTAGGATTTCAAAATTGCCCCTGGTTCAGGGGGCTATAACAGCTGTGAAGGAAGTATAAAGCTGCGGGCAGTGAAGTACGCCAGAGCATGGACCGTGACAGCAAGCAGGAGCGCGCCTGGTGACTGTCCGGGGCGCACGGCAGAAGGGTATCGCAACAAGAATAATGGCAAATGCTAGGCAAGGAAACGATTGTAGGGGTTAGAAGATGGTGAAAAAGAACTGACGAGGTCGAGAAGAGGGAAACTTGGTCGAGGTGCAGTGCGCTTTCAGGGGGAAGGAGATTGGAAGTCTTGAAGAAGGGTGGGGGGAGAGGGGGGAGGGGCGTGTGTGCAACAACGGGTGGATGGAGAGATGGGAGATTTGCATGGGTTGGCAAGAATTCAATTGGGCTTCAAACCGTCGTGGATCGCTACAAGTAGGTAACTACAGCAGACCAAGAATTCCAACGTCGGGCAGGATAGTATAGTTACCTAGTTATTAGATTGGTAGGTTCAACAGAGTGGTGGTCGGTGCGCTCACGGCCCTCGGAGTCCAGCGAGAATAGAATACACATCAAAGACTGCGGTCTTTGGCCGACCTGATTCCGACGGGCGTGATGTGAACCCGGGAATCACCATTGAAGGCTTCTGGTTGTTATCCACCGCATCGTGAGAGGGTATGGATCGTTGCAAGTCTTGGTGGCATGGATCTACAAGTACTTGTATTGGGGCAAGGGGCCCTCCTGTCCGTGCTGCGACCCTTGCGCAACTTAGGTAGTTAACTACCGCCGCGACGGGCACGACAATGTCAAGGCCGATTCGATGAGGGATGAGGGATGAGGGATGAGGGACTCGACCGAGGGAGGAGCTATGCCCGGAGTTTATGCATGACGCACAGAGCACCCGCATATCATACCAGTTGAACGACCTTGGCTGGGTGCCACCGTGTATCGATGTCGATGTTGTCTCCAGCCTGCTCTCCCCTCTAACTACGGAGTACTTGTACCGGCAGAAGACGCACGCGTGAGAGGAAATAAATGCCAGTTCCAGACCAGCCAGGAGCCAGGCCAGGGTGGTGGTGGATGGGTAATACAAGTAAAATTGGGCAGAGGGCCATGCCCCCGACCAACTGGCGTGCTAAAACGTCCAGTCAACGCGCATGTTTAAGATTGAAGGATTGTCGTCGCCCTTTCTGGCGCGCCTCTTCAGATGGCTAGCGCCCTGGCCAGCCCCTCCCAGAGTCCCAGAGCGGACGCTATGCCTGCCGCTAGACACCCGCTTGGGCGGCGCTGGCCGCTAGTCTTAGACCCTTTTCCGCTGCCCCCCCGCGAGTAAAGTTTTAGTGGAGAGCTGCCAACGGTGGGCGGTGGGTGGTGGTGGACCACAAGCTCCTAGCTGGGCTGGATGGTGAGACCCTAGCTACGGTGGTAGCATTGTAACTACAAGATTTGTACAATAGAGGAGAAGGACAAAGCAGTAAAAGAGCTGACTGGTTCGTACGGCACTGGGGGTGAAACATTTCCCAATCCAGCAGTCCATCTGCTCCGTAAATGCGATGCAGGATTTGATGATGGGACCGGCACTGACAGAGTGCGTGCAGCTGCTTAATTTTCCGCCCTCTGCCGACATTGCCGTTAGGTATCATCAATCGTCGTGACCCCTTCGTCTCTCGCACCTATTGAGCCTCGAGTCCTCAGCGTCGTGTTCCAGATCTACCATTCCAATGACGGTCTTTGGCAGGGACCTAGTCCCCATGGCAAGTCTGGTACCTACCTCTCTGTGCAAGTGCAAGTATGAAGTGGATGTAGTACTTGTACATAAATTGAGCGTCTCTGTCAAGAAGCGGATTCTACTTGTAGGGTCCACTCGCTACAACCACCCCCCTCTCTCCCCTTTCCCCTTGTCACTAACACACCAGGAGCCCATAATATCGGGCCAATGTGCTCGACAGGCCTGTCGGTACCCAGACCAGATTGGGACGCCAATGACAGCATGCGCGATCATGCCAGCGCAGAAAGAGCCAACTCAGCAAGTGAGCAGGCCGGTCCTCTCCCCATCTTTGAACGAATACCGATGTCATCACGGGCAGCGATGCACGCAAGCCCTCAACCCAGCTGAGGTCCCGGGCCCTGCTCTCATGGACAAGCAAGCCATTGGCTGTGCCTTGCTCCCGACTCCCGAACCAGACCGACAACCCACCCCCTTCAATGAGTTGTCGTGGCGTTCAATGCGCAGCCAGACCGACGACAAATCAGAACCTCGATGCGCGGACAAGGGCAATGTGATGCGGACGGACGGTCAGCCCAAATACAAGTAGAGATAGATGGCCCAAGCGTTCGGGCTGGAACTCCAATTCATGCTTCTTTTTTCGTATCTACTCCTCGTCCCCACGACCTGAGACATGTATAATGTGAATCCACCTCGGACCTTTGCTTATGGACGTGATACATATGTTGTTCAATCGTTTCAAAATTTCCGGAGCGAAAAAGGGGGGGGGGGGGTATTATTGATCCCAGTGCCACAGAACGACGGATGGGGCACGAAATTGCCCGAGAGCGTTCGTGTAAGACGCTTTGCAGCTGCACAAGACTCGATCTTCATTATGTGCCGCTCGAGCGACTGCTGCTTGTGTGTCTGCATCTTGCATATGGAGCTGCAGCCCACGGAGATCAGGCACTCCCCTCCGTACATTACATTAGTACATACTTTAGTAGCCAACCCTCCCATGACTCCTGCAGCCACCCAGAAGCCGCATCTCTTCGCTTGACCTTTGCTACCTACTTCGAGGACTGTCTCTCGCGATACCTACCTCGAGGTAAACGTCGAAAAAAGGGCCAGGAACAATCAGAGTCCGAGACCCTTCGCACGTCCTCAGACCATACACGGCACACTTCCCGATCATCTGGTACACCAGCTCCACATTATAACATTTACCCGCTTGGAGGTGATTGACGACGGACGAGCAATCTCCCCCTCCTCCCCGTCCGAGTCGGGGCCGTGGCCATGAGTATGGGGAAGGGGGGCCCGTGTGTGTGTGTTTTTGATAACAGGCCGCACTCCCTCCCGCCCTTGATCCGTGTAAGTGCAAGGACCTTTTGATTTTATCGTATATTTTTGCCTCAGTAGTACCAAGGACTTTTTTTACTCTTTGCTTTTTCGCAACGGCCTCCCATCTCTTTTCCCCTTTGTAGAAAGGTTGCCACTATGGCAGCCGTCCAGTCTCGAAACGCCACTACGAAAGCACGAGCGTAGCAGTTTGACATGAACACAGCCCATTGGCAAAGGTCCCCCGGCAGCAAGAACCTGCCGTAAAGTCTCGTATTGACTATTGAACACACCTGTGCCACGCAAGAAACGCATGTAGCAGTGCTTCCCTCGCAAATCCCAACGCCATTAGGAAAACAACAGATCCAGTATCGCCCTACAACCTTTTTGGAACGAATACACATGGCTTGTCACGAGAACCAAGAACCCTTTCAGGCCTCGGTCTCGGTCTCGGTCTCGGTCTCCTCGGGGTTCGTATTCTCGTCGACGATCTGAACCTTCTTCTCGGCCTTTGCTGGTGTGTCCACGGCCTTCCCGGCCTCTTTCTTACCCACGCCTGCCTCCGCCTCCGCCTCTTCGAGCACCGCCGCCAGAGCCTCCTCCTCCTCCGCGTCCACAGCATCCACAGCAGACCCAGGGGCAGAGGAGGCCGCGGTAGGAGCGGGAGCGGGAGCAGCAGCAGGAGCGGGAGCGGGAGCGGGCGCCGCAGCCGCAGCCTTGGTCGACGTGCCCGGGCTCAGGCTCCAGTCGATCTCCCCCTCGGGCCCGTACCGCTTGACGAGCCACTCGTTGGCCGCGCGGAAGTGGCGGCAGGTGAAGAACCCGCGCGCCGCGCTCAGCGGGCTCGGGTGCACGCTCTTGAGCACGAGGTGCTTGGCCCCGTCGACCCTGGCGACCCTCTTGCCGGCGGGCGTGCCCCACGCCATGAAGACGACGCCGCGCTGCCGCCGCGCCGCGACGAGGTCGATGACGCGCTGCGTGAACTTCTCCCACCCGCGGTTGGCGTGCGAGTTGGCCTCGTGGGCCCGCACCGTGAGGCACGTGTTGAGCAGCAGGACGCCGCGCTCGGCCCAGGGCGTCAGCAGCCCGCCGCGGTTCGCCGGCGGCGTGAATCCCGGGTAGTCGTTCTTGAGGCACGTGTACATGTTCTTGAGCGAGGGCGGCGCCGGCGTCGGCGGCCGCACCGAGAACGCCAGCCCGTGGGCCTGGTTGTGGTTGTGGTAGGGGTCCTGGCCGAGGATGACGACCTTGACGTTGTGGAAGGGGGTGTGGCGGGACCTTTATTTGGGGGGAAGGTTATACGGTTAGTACCTCGAGAGCCAATTCTGCATGTGGTATCGTATCGAGACCATTGGGGGGGTTCAAGTTGCGTATGTGTGCATACCAGGAGTACACATCCTCCTTGGGAGGGAAGATCTTCTTGCCCGCGTTGGCCTCACGGTCGAGGAACCGCTTCAGTTCCAGGAACTCCTTGCTCGTGACCTCGTCCTTGAGGTGGGCCAGCCAGCTCTCGTCCAAGGTCTCAATCTCAAGCTTGAGCAGTCCCTTCTGCTCCGGAGTCAGCTTGGCTACCCATTTCGCCTTGTCAAACTTGGGCGCTGCAACTTCGGGCCCATTCTCGGAGCCTGCTGCCGCCCCAGCCTTGGCGGCCGTATGGACGACCTTGGGCTGGCCAAAGAAGGAGGTGATGCTGCCGTTGGGCTTGGACTTTTTGGCATCCGAGTCCGGGAAGTTGCCGCCAGCCTTGCGCTTGAACGAGGACATGGCCGCCGTCGAGGTCCCGGCAGGAGATGTGATGCTTGTGGGGTGTAGAGACAAAAGGACTCGGAGGAAAAAGAGGTTGCGGGAGGGCGGAGCGAGCAAGGGACGTCTGATGGGTTTGAGGAAATGAATCTTGAAGAGGCAATGTGGAATAATGGCACAAGAAGACTCAATCAGGATCAATTCTGTGAGTGATCCAGGCAAACAAACGGCGGCTGCTCAACCAAATTGTACAGAAAGGGTGCCACTACAATGGAGGAGGTCGTGTGTAGCAGTAGAAGGACGACTCTCAGCAAAAGCTCCTCTAAACGTCCGATTGAGGCCGACTCGCTAAATTAAACTCCTTTAGGGAGGAAAAGGGTGCGCGAAGTGCAATGGGTCTTACAGCTTCACGGGATAACGCGTTTCAAGACGCCCTTTTTAATAGGAGAAGGCGTGTATTTTCGCGTAGCAATTAAGCTGCAGTGGACCGGGGGGGGGGGGGGGGGGGGGGGGAGCCGTGTCCAGTGCTTGCTTCTTCTAGGTAAAAGTGGCGCCCTGCTGCCTCCAGGGCTGCGAATAGCGCCAACTTCCCCTCACCTCAGCTCGCTGGAGAGAAGATCCAAAGACTGGGAAAGAGGAGACCATGCAGGCACCAATGTCCTTCGAGGGCCAATTCGACTTGCCTTGGCCGCAACTGGTGTCCAGTTTATGAACAATGATCCCAATCGCTCTCAAAGGTCCTGCTACAGACGGAAGCGCCAACTGGAAGACGTCATGGGGGAGAAAGAGAGTTTGATGTTATCGAAAGCGGAGTACCCGACCTGAGCTGAGGTCCCGCACCAAGGGTGCTGGTCGAGGCTTGTGTCCTATGCCAAGGGCAATTGCATGGTTATCGGGTGCAATGTGGGTTGGGGAGAGATTGATTCATTTGTGCTGTTGGTACAGTTTGTCTACTCTAAGGATTTTCGTGCTCCTCTATCCGTGTTGAGTGAATGGTATCTGTGACCCCGTCCGTCCAGGACCAATGTTGGCCCAAATCCATGCGCTCGCTCTACAAGTAAAACAGTGGTATAACTCTCCGATAAACGCCAAGCCCATGCGAAAAGTAGATGCATACAGTACAAGGGAGAAGGGCCTTCTCCCTCAGTCTCGGTGTTCGTCACGCTCGGCATGCTTCTGCGCTGCCTTCTCGTTCACGTCCCGGAAGAGCCTCTTGCCCAGCTCGTAGGTGCTGATCATGATGGCGCAAGAGGGCGCAACCTTGAGGGTGCGCGGGATCCAGCCCCTGAACAGTCCTTGCATGCCCTCCGTCCGGAAGATATGCCAGAGCAGCCGGGCCATCCTCTGTTCTTCGGGAACCTTGGCCGGTGCCGCCTTCGCTTCGCCACTGACGGCGGCCTTCTGGGCAGAATCACGGAACACCTGGGTTCGCGTCTTGCCCACATCAAAGGGCGTAGTAGCGACGGCCGCAATGGCGCCCGACATGGCGCCCGCGGTGAAGCTGTCCACAAACGTATCGGTGTGGTTCTCGCGGCTCTGTGACATGCGTCTCGCCCGCCCTCGGCCGCTCCCCATATCTAGATGGGCGCCGTGATGTCTCTCGCGCGCATCCGTCAGCTTTCCGCGGATCGTCTCGTAGCCCCACCAGTACATGCCCGAAAAGGGCACATCTCTCCACAGGGTCAGATTCAAGCCTCGCCATAGCGATCGGTAACCGTTCAGTCCAACCATCTCTCGAATGCTGTGGAGGGTGTCAGCGACATGGCCTGCCGCAGAAGAGCCGTGCGACGCCTGGAGTCTCGTCCGGAAAAGCTCGATCGGGCTGACCGCAGCAGCAGCAAGGACTCTGGCCACAGAGCCTGCCACGAGCGGGGCATACAGGTCGTTGCAAGTCTTCGCGATCGGGCTCAGATGGTTGAAACGAAGCCATTCGTAGCCGGTGAAGTAGATGATGTTGCCAGGAATGGCCATGAGGAGGGTGGGAGAGAGCCCTCTCCAGAGCGTGGTGACGCCCTCATTCCGAGCAATCTTTCTGAGCCCGTCCAGCGTTGAGCTGTATGTCCTCTGCTGCGTTTGTTCAACCGCGCAGTCAATCCCTCCGACTGGGGCGTGGATCCCCCCCAATCTCGTGCCAGCGATGCAAACCTCGGCAGTATTGTTCATAAAAAAGACCTCTCGGCAGCATTCAGTGACCCCAAGATTGGCCGGTCGAAAGGAGGGCGCCGAGGCGGCGATCTTCTGTAAATCGGCAGGCAGCTTCTGGAAGTCGGTAGCCGTTTGCCTGACCCCTTGCGCTTGCCATCGGACGCGCACAACATCTAGAGGTGTCACTGTAGTCCGCATTAGCTGTTATGTCCGACCGGGCTCGGGGCATGTATAAAATAAAATGGATGCCATACTGAGAAATCCGGTCAGGAAACTACCCGTGGTGGCAGAGAGCATCTTTTGCACGGCAGTGATCTCGACAGGGCCGCTCCCCGCCGGGCCGGCATCGCTTGACGTCACATTTCGGATCTCGACTGAATCATCGTGGGCGACGTCGTGGCGGCGATCGCCTCTGGATGACTGTAAGGTAGGCATGACGCCTATGGTGACATAATGCCGAATGCGCGCAAGTCCGAGGCAAAAGACCGAAGAGGGGATGGTTCTCGGAGATGAAGCCGCAATGATAAGCCTCGGGACTGATTTGGTTTAAAAAAAAATTAGGGAAAAAGGTCGTAGAGTGTCACAGATGAGGGCTTGCAAGGCAAAAGGCAAGATCTGCCCTTGTGCCAGCCTCTGACTGTTGGCAATGGAATCCTTCAAGGTTGGTGGTAATGGACGAAGTCGGAGCTCTCAAGGTGCGTCAGGGACGAAAAAGATATCGGCGAGAGATCGGGGCTCCACTGCCACTCCAGCAGCAGCAAAGGCGCGCCCCAATGGCAAAATTATGAGCAAGATTTTGTGGGACCTACAGGCATTCAAGCCGTCAAAAGCCGTCATCATTCGTTTTGCAGTTGCAGGGAGCTCCCGATACATGACGGTGACTCCACAAGGCCATGAACCGAATTAGTGACAGCTTCAACCATCATTGACTGTACGTACATTTCGGTGCTGATACTGGAATAAAACAAAAAGGCACAGCAAATACGCCCTTGAAACCTGATAATATTGCTCTAGCAATGATGGCTGATCAAGTGATACAATCCCTGGCAATTCAGTGCTCTTCATTCATTCAATGCGGAACTGACACTTAGAAGGCTCTGGCTAATATTTGTCAGCGTGACGCGTAGGGGAACTGTATTGGCGTTAGGTACCTCTTTTAGCCTCCCCATATCAGTCATTCGGTGGATAAGGTACCTAACTACATATCAAGCAAGGTTCATGATAACATACTCTGGAGATTTATGAAGAGAGATGTCCTCATAGTACCTTACTCGGCTCCCATCATTGGAATGGATTGGTTCTGAGCTTGTCCTCATTCTACGTCGAATTTCCTCAGAAGGGGATCAGAGACAAATCATAGTCTCGGACTTAGTGGTATCTACGGGGCCGGGGATGCATCACCGCCGTTGACTCTCACCTCTTTCACCGTTGTCAACTAGCCGCATGTCATGGACCAGTCAAAAGACATAAGCTCCGAGCTCGAGTCCTTCAGGGAGCAATGGCGGGCAGAGGTCAGGGCCAAGAAGCCCACCGGCACTGCGGGTCAGGCCCAGCCGGCTCAGCCCGGACCCTCATCATCCACACCGGCGGTACCTGCCCGCTCGCACCACCGGACGTCAGCTCCGCCCAGGCACCTCGTTGCGAGCCATCAGAAGCCCGTGGCGAAGGAACACGACGACGATGATTTCCAGGCTCAGAGCTACGACCTACCCAGTGAGGACACCGGTCCTGCTCGCCCCTCGGCCGCCGCTGTGGTTGAGGAACCCGTGACAGCGCTCGAGCATTATGAGAAAGCCGTGGAGAGGGAAACCCAGGGGAGCCTCGGGGACAGCTTGCAGTTGTACCGCAAAGCATTTAGAGTGAGTGAAGATACCACACTAGTAGGCTGTCGGACCCCTTTTACTGACGTCCTTCTCAGATGGATCCTGCAGTAGACAAGAAATACAAGAACAAGCACTTTCCAGCACCGCCCAAGCCGGCTGCACAATCCAGCCATGAAGGCCAGCCAAGCACAGCGCAAGCTGCTAGTACAACTGCACCAGGTGCAACAGCAGCCAATCCCTTGGACGCGCAGCCGCCGACGATGAAGGAGCTCATCGCCAGCTTCCAGGGCCTGTCCATCGAGCCCGCTGTCCCCGAGGTGGAGGGCATGCCGCAGCCCCCCTGCCCGATCGCAGACCTCCCGCAAGAGATCCTCGTCCACATCATGCACGACGTGGCCGTCGCCGACGTCGCCGACTTTGTCCGCCTGGCCCAGGTCTGCAAGCGCCTGGCCTACCTCGTCACCACCGAGGACCAGATCTGGCGCTCCGTCTGCCTCGAGTCCGACTTTGGCTTCCCTGCCATGCACCGCACCTGGCAAAAGAGCATCTCATGGGGACCCGCGGACGACGACGACGACTGCGACGAAGAAGAAGAAGAAGAACTCGACCCGGAGAACGGCGATGACGACGCCGCCACCGCCGCCGCCACCATCTTCCTCACCCCCGAGGCCCGCGCCGCCGCCAGCCGCGCCGCCGCCCTCGCCACCACGGCGTCCCTCCTGCGCGGGCCCCGCTACCGCTCCTCCTGGCAGCGCATGTTCCGCCAGCGGCCCCGCGTCCGCTTCAACGGCTGCTACATCTCGACCGTCAACTACATCCGCTCGGGCCAGGCCTCGGCCTCCCAGGTCACCTGGAACAGCCCCGTCCACATCGTCACCTACTTCCGCTACCTGCGCCTGCTGCGCGACGGCACGGCCATCAGCCTGCTCACCACCGCCGAGCCCCAGGACGTCGTGCACCACCTCGCGCGCGACGCCCTCGCCCTCCACGCGGGTCCCGGTGCCGGCGCCGCGGGTGCCGGCTCGCATCTCCCGTCCGCCGTCATGCAGCACGCGCTCCGGGGCCGGTGGCGTCTCGGCTCCGTCGACGCCGCGGCCGCGGCGTCGGCGTCGGCGGGCGACAAGGGCGACGACCCGGAGGCGGACCTGGTGGTCGAGACCGAAGGCGTGGGCAAGTATCTGTACCGCCTGGAGCTGGCGCTGCGGAGCGCCGGGCGGGCCGGCGGCGGCACGCGCAACAACAAGCTCGTGTGGAGGGGGTTCTACAGCTACAACCGGCTGACGGACGACTGGGCCGAGTTTGGGCTCAAGAACGACAAGCCATTCTTCTTCAGCCGTGTCAAGAGCTACGGACGTGGGGACTGAAATGGAGAGGACCGGACCATTGGGGAGTTCAGACAATCACTGACCGATTCGAGAGAAGAGAGAAGAGTGCCTCCTCTTGCGAGACCATAGGTAGCATTTCGCCACACAGACTCATTAGAGATAACAGCTCGGAGGACCCCATGCGTCTTTTAGACCGAGTCCTTCCAGTATCGCTGCCGAAGAAGAGGAGACTTGGAGATAGAAGGAATTTGCACATACTGTGTATGGTATTATTGCTAATGACTGGACCTTAACAAAGAAAAGGGACTATCCTCCCCGTTGAATCCGATTGCCTTCTTCGACAAATGTGATGAACGACCGTGTGTTGGTACATTTCAAAGCAAAACAATCCCTTTCCCAAACGCTGGGTGATAAAACGCCTGCCTGTACCTGTACTGCGTGTAAGTTGATGTCTCCCATGCCGAAAAGATGCAAACGCGGCCCGCCAGACGTCTCCGTGAGTTCTCCTATGCCAACTCGCTCGACACGAAATCAGCCCTCTATGTTGTTTCGTACAATTACACCTCCCCGTCCGCTGCACATCACACCCTACCCCACGTAGTCGTTTCAGTAAATCGGATCATCCAGCCCTCAGATGACTCCCAGCCAGCTCTAGTGGCTGTGGTCATGTCCATGGCCGTGGCCTTCATGGCCAGCGCTCTGCGTGGAGTGGCTGCTCGTGGGCCGTGGAGATCCGTTGGGGGAGCAGCACTTCTGGGCGGCGCAGTCATCGACGCACTCGAGCAGGCAGCTCGCGCCGCACTCAGACGAGGGCCCGAAGGTGCCGTCCATGTTGCTGTGCACCACTGCGTCCTCCTGATGGTCGTGCGCGCGGTCGAGACAGAACTCGGGCTGGATGGTGGCACTGTGGATGCCATAGGCGTGCAGACACTTACGTGCGCGCTTGGCCAAGTCCATGTAGCGCTCGCCGTTCTCAGCCGAGATGGGGAAGGCGACCTGGATGTGCAAAGAAGCGACAATCTTGGTGTCGGAGAGCTGCCAGATGTGGACATGATGGCAGCTAACGACTCCTTCGAGATCCTGGATGTCTTCCTTGATATGGTTCACGTCGATATGGTCAGGAGTTGCCTGGAGCAGAATCTTGCTTGTTGCCTTGGTCAGGGGCAGGGCAGATTTGAGGATGATGAGAGTGATGAACAGGGAGACAAGCGGGTCGGTGTAGAACTTTCCAGGGATGTCGGTCTTCCAGATGACCAAAGCTGTAATGATAACACCGATGTTGCCGAGGGCATCGCCAATGACGTGGAGGACCATAGCGTTCATGCCCATATCACCATGGCTATGACCGTGACCCTTGGCTGCCTTCTGGGGGTCGTTGTGATGGTGTCGGTTATGCGTCGTGGAACCCCGTCGGGCTCGTCGCGAGACAGAGCGATGCCGGCTGTGGCTGTGGCTTTGACCGGAGTGACCCTGACCCTCGTGGCCGGCGACAAGACCATTGCTGGTCTCATCTCCCTTCAGAAGCGGCGTGTGCTCGCCGACATCATCGGCGACAGCAGTCTCGTCCAGGCTGTCTTCAGCGCTGGTCTCCTCGTCAAACTCCTGAGGTCGGCTCACAGCGATGATATCATTGCGGAAGCTGGCGGGATGGATGCTCATATCATCGATGCTGGTGAGCTTCTTCCGTTGGCTGTTAGCGCGGCGTCTCTGACGGCCTACAGAGCGCGCCGAGGCCCGGCTATCGGATCGCGAAGCGTTGCGCGTGTTGTCCGTCGACACGAACGAGATGTGGCGGTTTGACTCGGTGTCCGGTGCATTCTGGTATTGCGCCACAACGGCCTCGGGCAGCAAGTCTGCTATCCTTGCCTCCTCATCAGCGGGGTTGCTGGTCGAGCTCCTGCCTTCCTCGGCGGCTGTAATCTCGTCGCCGTGTGCATGCTCGTGATCGTGATCGTGATCGTGCTCGTCGTGTGCATGACCGTCTCCTGGGCCATGCGAATGGCCATGCCCTCCCAAGACCCAGAATCCGACCAGATTTGAAGCCAGACCGAAGGAACCGACAATAAGGATCAGCTCCGGGTTTGTGATTTCGGGTGGCTCGATGAAGCGAGTGATAGCCTCGAGGATGATAGAAACGCAAAGAGCAATCAGAAAGACAGCATTGAAGAATGCCCCGAGAATCTCAGCTCGAAGCCACTGCGGACCACAAATTAGAATTCAATCTACACAAGGCGGCTTTTGATCTTAGGCGGGGATGACTTACGCCGTAGGAATACTTGTCTGTGGTGTCCTTGCGAGCCAGCTTCACTGCCCACAAACCGACTGCAAGGGAGATGATGTCGTTCAGCTGTGCGCGTGAAAACATATGTCAGCCGATCGAAGCTCATAGCTGCGAACTGGGGTTCTGCGACGACAAACCGGCGGGGAAAGCTTACCATATGGAAGGCATCTGCCTGCAGGGCCAGGGAGCCAACCAGGAATCCAGATATCAACTCTACCAGGAAGAAGACGGTGTCGATGGCGATCATAACGCTGATGCGCGTTGTCTTGGACCAACCCATGGCTGCAAATCTGATGGAGCTCTGGAGCTCCGACCCGACTGCTGGACTGACCGGAGAGAGAGTGAGAGAGAAAACGGAGGTTCACCGTAGCAACACGACACCCAAGGACCAAGCTGGTGCCGGCCTGGCTCCTATTTTGTATGAGGTGACGCTGGACCGGAGACGCGCTGGTGCTCGGCACAATGGTGGTGCGGTTGTGCGCTGTGTGGCGTTCAGAAAAGAGCTGGAGCCCCTGTTTGTCCCTTATCGGAGCGCTTGTGACGTGCGGGCAGGGGTTCGGGTTGATTGTGATAAGCGGCAAATTCCATCAGCTCGCATGGAGCCTGTGGCTGCAGGTGAGGTCGCACCAGTGAACAGGGAAATACGAGACTGGGCTTTGGAAGGCTTGATGCAGAAAGGGAGGAAGAATTGTTGAAAGGAAAGCGATCGAAAGGAGAATCAGACGGTAAGAGTCGTGTCTAAAGTAAAGGAATGTACCTACCTAGGTAGTGAGGGGAAAGTTGTCGCCTTTCTCAACCCTTGAGAGCTACCTAGGTAGCATTTGGCGCGGTACTTCGCCAGAGCATTCTTCAGCTTAGCTCTCCAAGAAAGAGAGGCTAGACTAGGCACACCTCTAGCTCCGAACATCGCTCCGAGTCCTACTTGTACTAATAAGGGGGGCAAATCAGGTATGGCGACCAAGTGATGGTCAGATTAGTTGACGGACTGCTAACAGAAGTACTTGACTATCCATCAAGCCCATCGGATTTAGGTAGTGGGATAGCCCTTCTGAGTTCGAGGGCAAGGATGTGACAAGGATATTGATTGTTAAGATCGAGGTAGCTCCTGATGAACTTCCGTCAACTATTCAGACACCCACTTGGGCGACATCCCAACACACCAAACCAGCACGACTAACAACCAGTGGAGACCGGCAATGGGGTCTTTTGTTAGCGCTTGCTGGCATGGCCCGCTCCCTTTGGATGTGTGGACAATACCAAGGTAAGGTAGGTGTGGCCTCCAACAACATCATCACCCATCAATCAGCTAGGGACCTGTCAGCCTTACCAGTCGCCAAGACTAGCAAACGCATAACTATATGGATATGTCAAAGCAGGAGAACAGACAGGATAGAGAACAAATAGGCTGGGATGCTCCGCCTTTTATATCTTTGCTCTTCGGACTGAGTGCAGTGGTTCTGGTCCGTTCTGTCACACTGTCAAAAAGAAGGCCATCAAGGTGTCATCGGCGTGATCACCAAGGTTCTCACGACTTGCCCCATGAGGAAGCCCTGAAAACAGCGCAGGGAAGCAGAATTTGCTAGGGCTCAGTCTAGTGAACCGCTAGAATTTCCATCAGTCGTTCATTTTTCCGTCAAAGGAACTGCTGGAACGCGGCTGATGTCCATCCTTTTGCATCTAGGCACATTGCAGACTGCAGAGACAAGTGTGTCGACAGTCAGCACAGCAATCCCCTTTCTGTCCATCCATCTCGGCACCCGAGCAATTAATAGATTCACATGGTTGCCTCTTTCACCCTGGGAGTCCCAGAAAGCTGGACTCCATTGGCCAACTGACCCATACTGCCACATATCACACTTCCTGAGAACATGTTTCATGTTTTGTTTATCGTGAATTATTGAACTGCACATGCTGTCGGTGGCAAGACAATCAAGCCTAGCTAGTCGGACATGTACTGATGTACATTCAGCATTGGGGCCTTGAGACAGACGACAGACAGCCTTCCCGCTGAAGCTCCACGATGCCAAGATGGGCGTCGTCCTCTTTGATGCTGGATCCTCTGATGCTACGCCAAGCTATGACGGCTTTGGGCCTATCCTGCCTTGGATTTCGAACGGGATTGCCTCTCTTGATGGGGGGATGCGAATAGTGTAGTGCTGCATATCGCTGATCCCCTTGATTGGTTTTTGACGCCGACGCCGACGCCACACAGCTCCAGGGGTTGGTTGCATATCTGGCCCCGGGTGGATCGATTATGGATGTTCGACTGGGCCAGCAGACCAAGTTGATCTATTTCGAGTGGTCTAAGCAAGTGTCGATGCCCGTGCTATAAAGTAATAACCGAGCCGAGACCTGAATACCCAGAGCTGAGGCGTTGTTCTCGATACTTCGTTTATCCGCCGGGGCAGCAACTTGGTGGGCCGTTCGGCACGGTTCATTTCATCACTTTGTCATCCTCCGATATTGACTTGCGTGTCCGTCACGCTGTGTCACAAGTCGAAATGACCTTGGTCCGCGCGCCACGGCCAGAAGGTCAGCATGCAATGCACTCCAGGGCTAACCCGAAGACAGAGTGCATGATTGTGTCTTGGTGGCCCAGTGATCGTGAGACACACTTGAGCTGCCATCTTACCTCGAGACCGGATGAGCTAGGCAATTGACTGTTGCACTACTTCTCAAGAAGAGACGGGTGCCTTTGAGGATTTCACGACATCGATGGCGACGAGGAAACCAAAGAAAAGGCCCGTGATCTAGCCCGTTGCTGTAAGTCATCGAGAAGAGAGTCGCTTGGAGCAGATAGCCGGGGCTCTGCGATCGGACATTTACTTACCACTAGAAAGCCCACGGCAATAGACATCATCTCCCAGCCTCCTGACAGGGCTTTGCCGTTGATCAGTGCTTTGCGGAACCGCCAGGCTCGTGCAGTGCCGAGCAGAATGGTGACAATGGCGGCAGAAAAGCATACACTGGCCATCGGCTTGCCTATGGCTGAGTATCCAAAGCCTTCATCAGACTGCTGCAGAGCAAACAGTTGGGCAACTAGAACACCGACGTTGGCTAGCATCACAGACGTGCGGAGATAGGCCAAGTACGTGCGCTCCAGAGCTGGTTGGGAGATCAACGGTCAGCAAAGCAAAGCCCTACAGGTGCTATTGGACGGCGTGGGATACTGGAGGGCTTTTCACCTAGGTGGTCACGACATGCTTTGTGATCGACCGCAACATTGACGTGCTCACGCCATAGCCGTGCTATTGCAGAGCGATTCTTGTCGCTCCGCACGGTGGCGGAGGATGTCCGCCGGGTGATGTCCGTGCCAGGGAGGCTTGTCTCGGAGGATGAATCCGAGTCCGTGGAACTCGATGATGGGTGTGCGTGCTCTTGCAGGCTCCGGGCATCTGGGGTCCTGCTACCACGCGGTTTCTCCCTGTTGGTCGGCTGGCCCAGCTGATCCAGCTCGTGCGACGATTCGCCTTGGTGTGCATCTTTGAACATGGCTGCGATGCTTGACAGGGGTCTTCCGAACACGAGCGGCTCCGCGGACGGTCTTGATGTCTGCGGAGTCGGTATGATTGTTCTGTCGCAGGCATTCGAAGCGGTTCAAAATATCAATTCACGATAACATTCATTTCAAGAAATGCGTGTAGGTAGTCTGTATTCGTCACATGGAGCCCTGACTAGTGAAGGTGGGCCTCAACATGCTTCTCCAGAAGCCAAGACCAGGGACAAGTGCGGTTGCCGGTTGGGCTAGTGTCCAGAATGGAAAGGCAGTACCGATATCGTTACCGCCCCGACAGCCGACATTCATCTTTTCGTCCATCATCATCCCATCATCAAACATCAAAGTGTAACACGCTCGTCCTCGTCATCCCCGACAATATACTCCGTAAAATTCTGATGCGCCACCAACAACGCCTTCGCCCACTCCTTCGATGCTGTCGAAGTCGTTACTTGCGCATGCGGACCTGGATCGGGCAAGCCTCGGCTCGCTTGTCGGAATGTTGCCGTTTCGTCCGTCTTGTTTACTTGGATGCAACCAACCTCCGGAGTATCTACGAATGGAGAGCCATCCACCAGGCCTCCAGATGGCTACGATGAGCACGTCGAGCTTCTTCATGCCCTTTGCGATCCACAGAAACTCGCGACCAGTGCTGACCTGTGTCCGAGCTTAGACCTGAGACAGGCAAGACAGGCTCACGGGCAGTCAATGCCTTTGCTAATGTCATGCAGACGCAGATTTGTAGGGAGCTTGCCCGAGGCATACGGAGTAGTTAACTACTTGCATGTCCAATCTCGATCTTCGCAGAAGCGGGACTGGCCAAGTGCTCTAATAAGCTTGAGGACCCTGGGCAGCCAGGGTGTGGTGACCTTATGCACGGAGCTGGTTCATGGAAACAATACTCTCCGAAAACCTGGTACGCAAGATGCGATGTTTCATCGCAGTCCTATTCTCCGCGACGTTTGTTGTACTGCTTCCGTTCCCCAGAACCACAGAACAGGACTAGACGGTTCGTATAGCACCCACAGCACAACCACGAGTTTGTCAGGTGTGGAACCTGCTTCTCGAAAGATTCCACGTGGGGTAGAACGCCCCGACGGAAGCTGTTCCTGTGATGTTGCGACAGCACTTTTCTGTCATGGCTGTCTTCCTCCATCGGCGATCGACGAATCATTGCTTGGTGTGAACTCGCGAAGGCCCAAGGCCGAGGGTGTGTTTTAGTCATGCCATCCTGATAAAGACGGTGTTGCAATGCACGCAAAGTATTAAATCAGTGACAAGGCTAATCCATCTAGTCTCACCATGCAACCAATCCGAGGCGATCTTGCATCATGACCGGCCCGGACTCCCGCAGCCAACAGATCCAACGCGAAACCTTCGGGGTTCAAAGACTTGGCCCTCCTTGGAATTCGGGGCTCGCACGCCTGAAGAGGTAACATTTTCAGTGGCTGAGTTGTGAGGAAGCCGCTTCAACTGCATCAATTATCGCTGCGGCTGGGCCTTGTTGACTGCCGATCTGTAAAGCCCAGTCCTGCATTTCGGCCACACTGCTCGGAAGACTCGCCTTCTTGATACAACGTAGCTGCTTCATTAGTGCAGATCACCAGCTTCCAGCTTTTCGGTTTCGCCAATCTTTGGCCCATTCAAAGAAGGCGACCAAAAGAGAGACAAGGATCAAACACTTTGTTTTCACGGGAAACCGGCCAACATAGACTGACCAGACTGAAGGACCTTGGCACGTGCATGCTCATCTCTCTGACACGCTGGGCACTCCGTCTTGTTCGTGTCCCCGGAGGATCTTGATACATAGCGGTCAACCAACATCGACAGGGCAGGGAAGGATATGCAATCGGCCAGGGGAGGTCAAGGTGGCGTCCCGGAGAGACCGTTACTAGCCTGGTCTCCGTTCTTCCATATCACTTCCAGACCCCACTTACATACATCGCATCGTACCTGGGCTGGGAAAAAGCGGGCAGAGTAAGACTTTCTCCATGCCAAATCCGCCGGTTTTGGGAGAGAGGAACGGGAACTTTTTAGTAGGCACTAAACCCCTAACAACTCCATATTGAAAATCCTGACATCTGGCCTAGGTAAGCCTAGGATATGATCTTCGTTTTAACTAGATGCCTGGGTGCCTACAGTTCTGGCGCGATATGCAGAACGGATGCAAAGGACCAACCGCTAACTGAGCGTCTTGTCGGTATTCCCTGGACCAAGGGGACAAGTCCATACGCAAGAGGTCCTGTCCGTCATCTGCAACCCGACCTCCCCGTTGATAAGTTCCATGACCGACAATCATGTCGAAACCCACCAGCCCAGTTTCTGACCCCCACATTGCCAAATGAGGTCTGCATGACCGGTAGGAGGTGAGGAGGTAGGTACCGGCAGCTCAGAGGACGCCTCATGCTCCCTCCTGGCACACGAGTAGGCCCTCTCGCCGTCCGGGATACCGTACCACCGCTCACACGGTCCGTCCCTACCGATATGGCTATTTCTCCTGCTAAGATCCATAATCAAGTCACCATTTAGAGATCAGTCAAGTGACGACCGCTGCTGCTTAGTTTCAGGGCAACGTCGGACAACACCTGTCGTGGTGTCTCCACTCCCTCACTCGTTCGGCGGCTCTCCGGCTTTCCCACTCTTCTGCTTGCTTGCTTTTGATCAGAGTTGAGCGTTTCACTGCGCCTTCACACGCACATCTTGACATCTGAAGCCTGGTGAAAGCCTCATGCCCTATACTCCTTCCACCTCTTCGACCGTTTTAAACCTGGATCACCCGTTTCTTATCATCTTCCTTTCATCATACGTGATGGTTGCATATCTTCCACACGACCAAAAGATTCAAAGACAGCCTGTGCTCTGACTCGCGTCTGCTTCCCGCCCCGAACTCATATTCAGCCGCCCAATATCGGTAGACGAGCAGTCCCGCGTCTCGGCCTGCCGATCCCAAACATCTGTAAGCCGTATATAGGGACCAGCACGGCCAATAACCTTCTCCTTGTCTGCTGGCTGTCGAGCCATGAGTCTGACGGTTGTTGTTGTTGTTGTTGAAGACTCAAATTGTCCCCTTTATTCTTAATTCAGACGACATATCTGCTTGTTGCCAGGTAACTCAGAGTTCCTGTATCTTGTCGCCGCATTAGAAGTCTGAGACCCTTCCTTGTCGAGTTGACAGAATGGCAGCGAATACTGTCTCTCTGAGAGAGATGGATCTGGACTCAGGCATCGACCCTAATGCGTCCCCCCTGGACAGCATGGGAATCAGTTCAACCCCGAATACGGAACTATCGCCGCCAGAAAGCCCTTTCGAGGGGTTCAAGGGGAACCGGGAGGCGGCTCAGGCAAAGTTGTCCAAGTTGACACAGGAGGAGAAAGTATACCGCCACCATGATCCCCTTGGACACGTAGACCGGCTCTGCTGACAGGCCAAAAAGGTTTCCCTTCTCACAGCAGCAGACTTCTGGCGAACAAAGTCGATTCCGTCCAAAGGTGTACCAGCTGCCAAGACCAGCGATGGTCCGAATGGTGCCAGAGGAGGCATCTTCGTCGGGGGCACTAAGGTGAGCAGCCAAGCAGCCCCTGTGCTGGAATTATCGTGCTGACTCTCTGGCCAAGGCTGCCCTCTTTCCTTGTGGAGTGTCATTAGCTGCAACATGGAACAAGGACCTCCTGTACGAGGTTGGCCAGCATCTTGCAGACGAGGTCAAGGCAAGATCGGCCAACGTCTTGCTGGCGCCGACTGTCTGCATGCATCGTCATCCCTTGGGCGGCAGGAACTTTGAGTCATTTTCGGAAGATCCCCTGTTGACAGGCAAGCTGGCTGCGCAGTACATCCGAGGCATACAGCAGAAGGGTGTGGCGGCCACAATCAAGCGTAGGTGGCCCCGTGATTCGTTTTCCCGCGAGACGACCGTCCTCTAATGCCTGTTCCTAGATTTTGTTGGTAATGAACAGGAGACCCATCGGTTGACCATCGATTCGAGGATCGGCGAACGTCCCTTACGCGAGCTGTATCTCCGCCCGTTCGAAATCGCGATTCGAGAGGCTAATCCGTGGGCGGTGATGTCCTCGTATAATCTGGTGAATGGAGTCCATGCTGATATGCATGAGCATACCCTGAAGGACATCCTTCGGGGGGAGTGGGGTTATGACGGGTAAGGGGCATAGTCAAACCCGAGCGAAATGAGAGATGCTAACAGCGTTCTTGTTAAAGTACTGTCATCTCTGACTGGGGCGGCATCAACTCAACTGCCGAGTCCCTAAAAGCAGGCTGTGACATCGAGTTCCCCTTTTCTACCAAATGGAGATTCGACAAGGTCCTCAAGGCTTTGGAGGACGGCGAGATTGATCAACAAGACATCGACCGCGCGGCGGAAAATGCATTAACATTGGTTGAGAGGGTGAAGGGCAGCGACATGTCCGAAGAGCTACCTGAGCGGGAGGACGACCGGCAGGAGACGAGGCAGCTTATAAGAGAAGCAGGCGCCCAAGGGCTGACCCTCCTCAAGAATGAGGGGCAAATCCTGCCGATCAACCCAAGGACCGCCAAGGTTGCTGTCATCGGACCCAATGCAAACCGGGCAATAGCCGGAGGCGGTGGCAGCGCGAGTCTGAACCCTTATTACAACACCCTGCCACTCGCGAGCATCCGGAACGCCTCCCACCAGGACGTCATCTATGCCGTTGGATGCCACATCAACAAGTGGCTGCCGGTAGCATCGCCGTACTGTGCGGCCAAGGACGGCAAGCAAGGAGTCACCCTCGAGTGGTTTGCCGGCGACAAATTCCAGGGTTCTCCTGTCGTCATTCAGAGGAGAGCCAACACCGATCTGTTCTTGTGGGACTCTGCACCACTAGCTCAGATCGGGCCCGAGTGGTCGGCCATTGCGACAACGTATCTCACGGCTTCCACCACTGGCAAGCACACCGTCAGCTTCATGAGCGTAGGCCCCGGAAGGCTCTTTGTCGATGGGACGCTCTCTCTGGATCTTTGGGACTGGACCGAGGAGGGCGAGGCCATGTTTGACGGATCCGTCGACTATCTGATCGAAGTCGACATGGTGGCCGGCAAGCCGATCGAACTCCGGGTGGAGATGACGAACGAGCTCCGGCCGCTGGCCAAGCAGAAGCAGTTCAACATGACGCACAAGTACGGCGGCTGCCGCATCGGATTCAAGGAGGCGGACCAGATTGATTATCTCCAGGAAGCCGTCGAGGCCGCCAAGGCCGCAGATGTCGCGGTTGTCATTGTTGGTCTCGACGCAGAGTGGGAGTCGGAGGGCTACGACAGGCAGACCATGGATCTGCCGTCTGACGGGAGCCAGGACCGTCTCATCGAGGCTGTGGTCAAGGCCAACCCGCGCACTGTCGTTGTCAACCAGTCTGGCTCTCCAGTCACCATGCCGTGGGCAGACAAGGTGCCGACCATCCTCCAAGCCTGGTACCAAGGGCAAGAAGCCGGCAATGCTCTCGCCGACGTCCTCTTCGGACTGAAGAACCCCAGTGGGAAACTACCGGTAGGTGGCAGTCCATGTCTTGGCCGTTCCAATGTCGATTTGATCTCGGGTACTGATCCTCGTGGTTCTCTCTCCAGTGCACATTTCCCCGCCGGCTCGAAGATACCCCGGCCTACCACACCTGGCCTGGCGAGAACCTGGAGGTCGTCTATGGAGAGGGCATGCACATTGGGTACCGACACTATGAACGCGTCAAGGTCGCTCCCCTCTTCCCCTTCGGCCACGGCCTCTCCTATACCACGTTCGAGTACGGTCGCCCATCGCTGAGCTCCAAGGTCTTGACTCAGGGAGGCTCCTCGAGCACGATCGAGATGATCCTGGCCGTCAGCAATCTCGGCGACGTGGAGGGCGCAGAGACGGTGCAGGTCTACGTCCGCGACGAGAAGTCGAGGCTGCCGCGGCCCGAGAAGGAGCTCGTGGCGTTCGAGAAGGTCTTCTTGGAGCCGGGCGAGACGAAGCATATCCGCATCTACCTGGACAAGTACGCGGTCGGGTACTACGACACGTCGATCTCGCGATGGGTTGCGGAGGAGGGCAAGTTCAACGTCCTCGTGGGCGCCTCGTCGGCTGACATCAAGTAAGTCGGCTTTCTGTGACCCCGCGTCGCTGCCGTCCTCGCCCATGTCATTCGCAGTTTAAGCGAGGTAATAGTCTAGGACAAGACAAGCTGACGTATTCGTGTAGGTTTCAAACGTCCTTCGAGGTCAACGAGTCCTTTACTTGGGTCTTTTACTAGAGCGGACCAGGTCCCTTTGATGCATTATTTCTCGGGTTTTCCTTCACTTCAGTCCTTACTTTGCTTATTATACCGTTCTTTTTCCCCCCTTTTCAAACTCTCAAATTTTAGACTGGCTGGGCATATCATGGTTTGGGGAGATGGGCATATGAGTCTTATGAATTTCCTTTCTTCACCGTCCTGGAAACTGACTACGGCCTTTGATGGCCGCGGTTCAGCATTAACATGTGGAATTCGCTTTTTCCTGTTCTCGGCTACTTGATACTCATTTCATCCCCGCAAGATTACGCGACAAGCAACAGTAATGATATTTAGTGTTCAAATTGAAATAGTAGGGAAAAACTATCCATCCCCTACGGCAGCAACGCTCGCAAGAATAAGTGTACCATTGATCTGATCTCTGTGAAGGGCAGACTCATTTGGTCACCTTTCTCCGAGGTTGGACACATAATATCGAGTTCCTCAGCGGAAGGATGAGTGATCATCAATCTCTGATTACCTACCTAGGTATGCAAATGCCTGCATTTCAATTGCCTAGCGTGATACTGCGTAAGAACCCAGACAAGGGGGGCCTGAACCCACAAGTCTTGTTTCGAGGCTTTTGACAGGGCAGGGCGGCAGGGGAATTGATGGAAATCGAGTCAACTGCCGTCGTGCCGTGTTCCGCACGCGCTGGGAGTCAGCGATGGAGGTATCAAATGATTACCTAGACCAAGCACCAAGAGCCCATCATCAAACTCACCAATGTTTGCTCTCTGCCCCCCTTTGCACTAGCGAGCTGCTGCACGACATGCTGCATTGCAGGTGCATGCTTCTTGAGCCCCTTTTCCCCAATTACAAAGGACCTAAAGTGTCAGGTCTGTCATCCTCGGGATGGAAGGGCCAGAAATCTACAAGTAGTGAACACCCCAGACCCCAGTTGGACTCGTGGCATTAAAAAAGGGCAACTAAAAAGCGGCGCGTGGTGGCCGCAGCGTTCCAGCCCGCTAAAATAAGCCCCATTGGGTGGAGGAGAGCTCCGTTATTCTCTCGCTGTCTTCAACCTAACACCAATGCGGGCCATCCATCCCAGCGCCATCCTCCACAATTCGAGATCGTGGCGTCTTCCCCCCCCCCCTTGCCCCTTTGTCCATTCATCCATTCTGTGTTCAATACCTGCCGAGCTTCGCCTGCAGCGCAGATGACGCTGGACCACACAGTCCCCCCCTTCTCAGACTGCTCGTCCTCCGAATCCCGCGCGTACTTCACAGTCTTTTCCTGATCTCCTGGTCCGGCGCCGCTCCATCTCACCAAGAGGAAGGACGAGTAGTGGGACGGACTTCTTGGATTACATATACCCGGGCATGGCTGCCGCAGCAGCACCCTACCATGGCGTCTCCGCATAGCAACGGCTTTCAGTCCTCGTACCCGTACCAGCCCAAGAGACGCCGCAACGAGAAGTCCTTGCTAGAAGACCTGCCCGACAAGGTCGAGCGCGCCGCCCGCGTGCTCTGGAGCTTTGCTCGTGGCCGCGGCCGCCGGATGGCCCTCGCCTTCGCCATGGACGCCCTCCACCAAGTGCGCCGGAACCTGACGGCCCGCAGGATCCTGAGCTTCCCGCACCTGCTCGTCGTCCTGTGGGTGTTCGTCATGCTCTGGGGAGAACGCTGGGTATTTCACAGCACGGTGGAGCGGTGCGACTGGAGCAATTGGGAGAGCTGGGTAAGGTCCTAGCCCTTGGTCTACATAGTTCGATTCGAGTCGCAAGCACGAGAGCTAACCAGTCGCTATGTCTTGCGCGCGCGCAGCCAAAGGAAGCCCAGCCTCATCACCTCGTCTTGCTTGCCGACCCGCAACTCATCGACCCTCATTCCTACCCTGGCCGCCCGTGGCCCTTTAGCTCCCTGACCGTGACGATAACGGACAACTACATGAGGAGAGCATATAACCAGTTGCAGCAGCAACTACATCCAGACACGATATATTTCCTTGGCGATCTATTTGACGGGGGGAGGGAATGGAAGACGGCGCACGGCGAGTTCAAGGATCCTGAATGGGGACACCGGCCGAGCCACGAACAGAAACATGCAAAGAGCTGGAAGAAGAAATACGGGGAAGACTTCTGGTTGCGCGAATACGCGAGATTTGGCGATATCTTTTTCGACCCCTGGTCCAAGTCTGGAGCCGCCGCCGGGAAGGGCCAGCGGGGAAGGAGACTCATCGCGAGCTTGCCCGGGAACCACGACTTGGGCTTTGGCTCCGAGATACAATTGCCTGTCCGAGACCGATTCGAGGCATACTTTGGAGATGGCAATCGGGTGGACGTCATCGGCAACCATACGTTTGTCTCGGTAGACACCGTCTCGTTGAGTGCGGATACGTCTGAGGACTCCCAGGTCACCGATTTGAGAAAGATTTACCAGCCGGCACAGTGGTTCCTGAACGGAGTGGACTGGAACAAGAGGAAGGCTGTCGCCCGGGAACTCCGTTTTCAGAAGGGCGAGACGGAAGAAGCGCAGTTCAAGCACCGGATAGAGGATCTAGCAAAAGCCGATTTCTCCGACATGCCGAACCTTGAGGGCGAGAAGGGACAGGCGGATCTCCCCACCATTCTCCTCTCGCATGTGCCCCTATACAGGCCGCCAGGCACGCCCTGCGGGCCGATGAGGGAACACTGGCCACCGACGAAACCGCCCAAGGGCCAGAAGGAACCCGTCAACCCGGACCATCGGAATGCCATTATAGTCTCGAAGGGCTATCAGTACCAGAATGTCCTCAGCGACGAGGACTCGAGGAAACTCGTAAACAAGATAGGCAACGTGGTGCACGCTTTCTCTGGTGACGATCACGACTACTGCGAGCTCGTCCACGACCAGACTCAAGGGAACGTGAAGGAGATCACGGTCAAGAGCATGAGCATGGCCATGGGCGTGCCGACACCTGGCTTCCTCATGGTCAGCATGTACAATCCCATCGACGGCAAGGGCAACCCCTTGCCTGGCGCGCCAAAGCAGACGCTGCAAACGCACCTGTGTCTCTTACCCAACCAGCTCTCGACCTATTCGAAATATGCCGGGCTCATCTTTGTCTCGCTCGTCCTGGTCGGCCTCCGCGCCTTCCTGGTCCCGATCCTCGGCCTGCAGCCGTTCGCCCTCGAGCCGCAGTCCGCCACTCGCGGCGGCAGCCTCCTGCCACTATTCAGCAAGGCCAAGGCCGAGGACAGCGACGGCCGCGACCACCACTCCTCCGGGGCGTCGGGTTTCTCTGCCGGCGGCCACCATCAGAATGCCTACGCATCGACGCAGTCGCGTGCCTTCTCCAAGGGCGGCGGCGGCGGCAACGGGTACCTCGGGGCCAAGAACCACCACCACCACCAACACAAGGGCGGCAAGCACGGCGCCGGCAAGAGCGAGAACCGGTGGGGCTGGGGCGCCGCGGAGGACAGGGGGCCCAAGATCGAGATCCGGTACGACGACGACTACATCTACGACGGGGGCAGGTGGAAGGCCGCGTCGCGGGTCCGGGGCCGCGGCGGCCGGAACGTGCCGAGCTCGACGATACGGGCCGTGGGGAGGGAGTTCTGGACGTCGGCGTGGCGGGTGGCGTGGATGGTGGTCGTCTTCTGGGGTTACCTCGCTTATAAGGGGTGAAGAGAGTGAAACCGAAAGAAGAGCGAGCGTAAGGCGTATACCACACACACATATATATACACACACAAAACTGGGTTTCATTAATATCGGGGAGAGGTCATGGGATATGCATGGAAGGATAAACGGTGATATTTCTCTTCAAAGACAGACAGCATGGTGAAATTCTCCGGTATTTGGATCATGCGAGACAGAGCGCGGATTTGTTGGGTCAGAAGTGAGCTCTAGCATATAACAGCGGTCGACTCATGGGTGTAATTTATCGTGTATCATAGAGAACTGGTATAAAGTATGGAAGAATAGGGTATTGCGTGAAGCACGTCCTTGAAGGCCCTTCTATGATGTCCGGATATTGTGTAGAGTTGCATCTCCGAAAACAGGATAGGCATTCAACAACTATCAGTTTTCTTCTCCTGTGCGGTCGGTCTTGATAGAGTCGACGACGGCCTTGTTGCCATTCTGCCAGGCCAGGTTGACGGTCTGGCCCCGGATCCTCCAGGGGTTCAGGCCCTTGGCCTCGAGCTCCGGCACTCGCACCATCTCGAAAGTCGCTTGAGCCTATCCGATTGGGATTAGAATCTAGTCGAGCTACGATTTTTTTCAAAAAGAAAGAGAGTACTCACCCCATTCTGCATGATATGCCCACCCGGCACCGCCTGCACGACCATGCTCGCCCCGCCCTGCGAATAGGCCTTGCACGTCTCCGGCCGGGCTTGGCCCGCCCCGGGCTGCGGGAGCTCAGCGAGCACGGCGCTGCAGCCATGTCAGAATCAGTCTTTTCTTCTTCTTCTTCTTCTTCTTCTTCTTCTTTCCCCCCCTTCTTTTTTCCCTTGCCCCCCCCTTCGTGGCTACACTATTGCTTGTAGGGGGCCGTGTTATCGGACGGAAAGAGAGGGGGAGAAGGGGAAAGCCTGTTACGTGTACAAGTGCTGCTTGCCGTCGAGGCGACGCAGCATGCCGATGAGCTGCGTGGTCCAGGCGCTGGCGTCGATGTCAAAGGGCTGCCCGCCGAGGATGGAGGTGTAGTCTATGTGTAGGGTCCCGGGGGCGAAGACCTCGTTCGTGAGGCCGGCCTCGTCGACGGTGTCGTAGTACCAGGCCTTCCATTCACGCCAGGCCCCGCCGGCCCCAGGGTTAGCATCTATTTGACTTGCAGTGATAGAACAGTCTAGGAAAGGTGACAATCTGACGAACCATTTTGGTAATGGTGTCGTGGACGTTGGCTCTGTCTAGCAGATAGGTCTGGATGTCGTAGGACGAGGCCATGGTCGGTCCAACTGGCGGCAAGGAAGCTCAAGTCTGGAAGGAGGGGATGATATTGCAGGATGACACGAGGGTGGCCTTTGAAAATATGTTACTGGAGTGAGACAGCGCATAGTGTCACAGAGGAAGCGCGAGACGCCATTCCGGTCTTATATTTTCTCCCCCGCATCATCCTCCCGGCAGAGACTTGGCACGCTACTGCTGCTGCTCTGCAGCACCTACTGTGGTCAACCTCTCCTGATACTTTTTGCGTCTCTCTTAATGCCATCAAGGCCTTGTGGAAGCCCTTTGACACGGAATTATGCCGGCCTGCCGAGCGTGAGACCGGGAGATTCCCCAAGACGCCGGCCCTGTTAACTCCGGGCGTTCGGAGGTTTAGTGGGGCGAAATCGGGCTGGGGTTGCGCCGTGGAGTCGGCGGTCCGAACCAACCAGACCGCACGAAACCCATCTAGCTCAAATTCAGTCAAAAAAAGAGCTGCGTCGTCATCGGAAGAGGTAGATGACTGGTATTAGAAATGAGAAAAAAAACCAACAGAGAAACTATTCCATCTACGGATTTAACTCTGTAGCGACGCAACCTCCGAGTGGTAAGTTGTAGCATGGAATGGCCAATAAGAAGCTGAAGGAGCGGGAATGATTTTCCTATTTTGGTTCGAGCCATGACTACTAGGATCTTGGCCATGGAATGACTTTCGGGCCATCAGGAGGTAAAACATTATATCTTCACATACATATATAAGTTTCGTTCCAGTCGAATCTCGAATCTCGACAACAAACCCATGACCTTATCATCGCTCTCATCAAACTTGCTCGTCTCTACCGCTGAAACCTTCCGTACACACTTTGACCCGCCATCGCCCTCCATGCCTTCTCCAGCGAAGCGCTACCTCATCACCGGCGGTACCGGCAAGGTCGGCAGTCGCGTCGCCGAGCAGCTCGTCACCTCAGCCGGCGTCCCGGCGGCCGACGTCCTGGTCGCGACACGAGACCCGGCCAAGACCAAGGTGCCGTACGGGACCCTGGTCGCCTTCGACTGGTTCGACGAGACGACGTGGCCGGGGACGCTGGCCGGCGGGCCCGCCATCTACATCATCAGCCCGGGGACGATGGACCCGCTGCCGACGGTGCGGAAGTTTGTCGGCTTGGCTCGCGAGGCCGGATCGCGGCGCTTCGTGCTGCAGAGCGGGAGTCCCGTGCCGGAGGGCGGCCCCACGACCGGGGCCATACAGAGGTACCTCCACGAGCTCGGGGATCAGGGGCTCATCGAATGGGCTTCCCTGAGGCCGACTTGGTTCCAGGGTAAGTGAGATCCATCGGCCGTGCAAATGTTTATTCTTTGATCTTTTCTACTTGATATTACACTTTTCTACCCGTTTAACTTTGTCCGCAGCTTAATGATACACACTAACATCAAACAATAGAGAACATGTCCGAGCAGGAAGCCAGGAGGATTACCTTGAGGGACGAAGGCAAATTCTATTCAGCGGCAGGCGACGGCAGGATCCCGCTCGTGTCTGTCCATGACATCGCGGCCGTCGCCGTGGTCGCGCTGACCCGGAAGGAGCCGCTCAACAGTGACCCCTTTGTTTTGGGCCCGGAGCTGCTTACATATGATCAGGTAAAGGTGCTTTGTCAACCACAATGACCAACTGGCTGACACGTCGGACAGGCGACAGCGATCATGACAGAGGTGCTGGGCAAGAAGATCGAGCACGTCAAGATTTCAGAGCAGGAGTTGGCGGAGCTGTGGGTCAAGGTCGGGCTCCCGGCCGAATACGCCAAGATCATGGGGCAGATGGACACGGGCATTAAGCACGGAGCCGAGGAGAGAGAAAGCAATGCGGTCGAGGTGCTGACCGGCAGGAAGCCTCGGACATTTAGGGAGTATGTCATTGCTGAAAAGGCTTCTTGGCTTTGATTCAAAATTGGCATGCAAAGATGAATTGTCATAGATCCGTGAACAGAGTTGAGGTTAGTACATCCCACTCGACCTGCTCCTAGGGTTCCGAATCACCTAGGTAGGCAATACACATAGTCAATAGAAAATGCGAATGCGAGGATGATTCCGGGTCTAAGTCTCCGACGATGTTCTTCCGCCTGGCGGTGCGGGCATTGTCGTCATGGGCTGCCTAGGTCAGACTCCAAATTAGTTCGTCTTGCCTGCATTCATTCCGCGAAGTGGTGATGTCGAAGACTCGAGCTGGTCCAAAAAAAAAGGGTCGGAGGAATTTCATGCCAACGGAGGGCGGATTTACTGGATTTATTCACCAGGCTCAGGTCGAGCTAAAGTAGTGCAGCCCTGCAGTAAGACGGCGGAGGATGCTACGCTACGCTACGCCTTACGGATCGCCTAGTAAGGCAAATCGCGTCGAGTCAATCCTCTCAAGTCTTGGACTACGGAGTACATGATTGACAGCGAGACGAACGTGGAATAACTTGTTGCTGGACACCCTCCGCGATCTGAAAAAGCCGAAGCATCGATAGCATCGATACAGCGCTGTAACAAGCCGCATGTCGAACACGCACTGGCGGGTGTGAAGGGACTGTCAACCTTGTGGGGGCCCTTTCTCCCAATCTCACGAAAGCGAATGCGAAGCGACGCCCGGCCAAGCTTGCGGGTAGCAGTGGGCCTGACCTGACTCCCACCCTCGTGGTGTCACTCCGGTTCCGTCTCAGACTCGGGTATCGGACAGGGGCTGTCTGCTGGAATGAGTACCTAGCCTGATCCGAGGGCCATGTTGTTCTCCGTTGGAGGAAATATTTCGACATGGCCTCTCCTCGTCCTCCATGCCATGTCTCCGAGCCTCGATGAGGACTATATATCAAGGTTGATCATGGCACAAGGTGTTGTCTGAAGGTTTGCAACGACATCTTACGTTGCCGCAACACCAGAAGTGAACGTGCACCTCGCCGAGCCTGGAATACCTTTTAAGAAGAGTCTCTCTTGGCAGATAAGCAATGTCTACCGCTCCGACCCGCGAGACCGGTGGCGATGCGGGCGAAGTTAGCTCGGCCGCGTCCGTACAAGCTGCTCCGGCGCCGCGTGTGCCATCGCCTACGACCGACATCGACGCCGGCAAGATCGAGGTTGTTGATGGCAAGCCCGTCTGGAAACCCACGCGCCAGTTCCTCCTAGCCTTTGGCTCCCTCTGCATCGTGGCCCTCGCTATCTCCTTCGACGCCACCAGCCTCTCTGTCGCCCTGCCCATCATCAGCACGGCCCTCGGCGGCACGGCCCTGGAGGCCTTCTGGTCCGGTACGAGCTTCCTGTTAGCCACAACGGTCCTGCAGCCCACGACGGCCGCGCTGAGCCACATCTTTGGTCGCAAATACGTGAGTATAGTGAATCTGAGGACCCCTATCAGTCTCTCAAGGCCCCCAAGAGGCGCTGACGCAAGGCCTGGCTGGCGGTACGTGGGATAGTTGATCTACATCACCTCTGTCCTCTTCGCTGTGGGATCTCTGGTTGCCGGTCTGGCGCACAACTTCACCGTCATCCTGGTTGGTCGGAGCCTCCAGGGCGTCGGTGGAGGTAGTCTTCTCGCTCTGATCGAGGTACGTGCTTGACTCCCCGCTGCGCAGCACTTGGTATACACAGAAGGGCATGTCCTCTAACAGACCGCGCCGCCACGACACACAGATCGTCATCACCGACCTCGTCCCCCTCGCCTTCCGCCCCACCTGGTTCAGCCTGCTGTCCGCCGTCTGGAGCGTCGGCACCGTCACCGGCCCGCTCATCGGCGCCGGCTTCGCCCAGAAGGTCACCTGGCGGTGGATCTTCTACATCAACCTGCCCATCATCGGGCTCGGGCTCGTCGCCGTCGCCCTCTTCCTCAAGCAGGCCAAGATCCCCGGCGGCATCGTGCAGAAGCTGCGGCGCTTCGACTGGGTCGGCTCCGCGCTCTTCACGGCCGCCTCGACGGGCTTCCTCTTCGGCCTGACCACGGGCGGCGTCATGTACGAGTGGTCCTCGTGGCGCGTCCTGCTGCCCCTCATCGCCGGCTTCCTGGGCGTCGTCGTCTTCGGCTTCTGGGAGATGCGCTACGCGGCCGAGCCCATCATCCACCGCGACATCTTTGTCAACCGCGACATGGTCATCACCTACGTCACCACCGTCATGCACGGCGCCATCCTCTGGTCCATCCTCTACTTCCTCGTCCTCTACTACCAGGCCGTCAAGTTCTACACGCCCGTCGTCTCGGCCGTCGCCGCCCTGCCCGAGAGCCTGACCGTCGCCCCGGCCGCCATGCTCGTCGGCGTCGTGGCGGGCGTCACGGGCCGCTACCGCTGGGCCGTGCACGCCGGCTGGGTGCTCGCCACGGCCGGGCTGGGCATCCTCATGCTGCTGCGGCCCGAGACGACCGTCGCGCAGTGGATCTTCATCAACATCCCCGTCGGCCTCGGCACGGGCATGCTCTTCCCGGCCATGACCCTGACCATCCAGGCCGCCTGCGAGCCGGCCCTCAACGCCGAGGCCGCCGCCTTCTTCTCCTTCCTGCGCACCTTTGGCCAGTCCGTCGGCGTCGCCGTCAGCGGCGTCATCTTCCAGAACGTCTTCCGCCAGAAGCTGCTGGCCATCCCGGCCCTCGCCGCCCGGGCCGACGAGTACTCGCGCGACGCCACCATCGTCGTGGGCGTCATACAGAACATGGCGCCGTCGCCGGAGCGGGACGCCCTGGTCGGCGCCTTCAGCGACGGCCTGCGGATCATCTGGGCCGCGCTGCTGGCGTTCGCGGCGTTCAGCTTGATCATCAGCTTGGGCATCAAGGGCTACTCGCTCAACCAGGAGCACGTCACCCGGCAGGGGCTGGTGGTGGACGAGAAGGAGCAGAAGCGGAGGGAGCAGGAGAAGAAGGAGGACTCGGTATGAGAGACACACGCCCACTAGAGAGCTGAGGCTATCATTGTTTTGTGACGAATGGTTTTTTTCTTTTTACCTGTCTCATCTCTTTGATATACATCTGCGAGGCGTTTTCACAGGACATTAGGTACTTTTGGATAGACTATATTTTGTAATAGGGGACCACTGGCGAGCATCACTTGATCCCAGCTCGACTCGATCAGAATTAGACACATCACTCAAATTTCGAGGCACTCCTTTGAGCCTTTGTTTTTGTTGCATGTTCAACCACGCGAATCTCAGATCGTGCGCTTGTGTATAAGTGTCTGGTATCATGAGTGCGAAAGGCTGCAGATCAACCTACTTTAGTGCCCTGAGGGTCTACTCCGTACCTATTTTTGCCGTCATAGTGCTAGGCTAATAATGCACACCATGGCAGCTGTCCAAGGGTGTCAAACCAGTTCCGGGTCTTGAGGTTCGCGTCGTGTCGTGGCAGATCGTCCCGCAAAGAATAACATGGACTGTACCATTTAGCTGTTATGACGTCAGCCGACGAGGTTCTTGGATCTGCATCTTGGATTCGAAACGTCGAGACAGGGACACAGGAGCAAACACTCCGTGCCAATGAATTGAAATATTTATTTCGCACAAAGAGTGTTGTCATGAACAATCGTTGCTTCAGCTACCCGAGATTAGGTTCCGATGTTCATCGTTCATGACAGCCCATGGCTTCCTCCGCGTTATTGCCACAAGAATTGAACTAAGAAATGGACAAAACGAAGAAAAAGTAGGAGGGGAAAAACAGGAGATTAAGAAGAGGAGACAAAAAGACAAAAAAGAGAAAGACTCATTCGGCCAGCGCCACTCAGTGGAAGACGCATCATGCCGGCCAATGTCGCCGCCCAGCGACCGCGGTCCGAGACACCCACCAGCCGGGACGGTCCGCAAGCACCGGAGCAGGCGCCGGAATGGAAGCCACCAGCGCCGCACCGCGCCGCCCGCGAGCGCTTCCTGCACTCCCTGCCCTACTACTCGGGCCCGTACCCAGTCGGCTACCTCGAGATGGAGCTGCCCGCTCGGGAACCCCGGACCTTCTCCAACATCAAGCGCAACCACCGGCACGCGCTGCGCCTCGACACCGTCCTGTTCTCCGTGTTTTACCCTGCAGACTCGAGTCAGAGATCCGGACCAGGCGACGCGGTGGTGGCCGGGCTTCGGCGCGCCTCTTCGTCCGTACTGTCGCGACCTCAACTGTCGGAGGAGCAGAAGGCAAAGAAGGAGAAAAAGCAACGGGCCAAGGAGAAGCTCAAGACCGGCCGGCCCTCGAGCAACCGGGCACCCTGGCTGCCGCGCCCGCGGGTCCGGACCTGCAAGGGCTACGCCAAGTTCTTCAACATCCCGCACCTGCCCGTCACGGCCTACATCGCCCTGACGTCCATGTTCACCAAGATCCCGGCGACCATGAACGCCAAGCTCGCCAAGCTCAGGCCTGCGGTGGATGATTCTTGTTCGGACGCTGCATCCAGCGACGATGGCGATGGCCAAGAGCTTGGCGGCTTGGGTGGTGGCGGGAGCCAAGATGCGAAGGATACCAGATTCCCGGTCATCATCTTCAGCCACGGCCTCGGCGGCTCCAGGACCTGCTACAGCTCCATCTGCGGCGAGCTTGCCAGCCTGGGCTATGTCGTCGTGGCCATGGAGCACCGAGATGGCAGCGGGGCGAGAACATACGTCAACATGCCGCTCGGCCAGGAGTCGCAGAACATGGAGGAGAAGGGTGTCGACGATCTCAAAAGGGCCAAGACCAAGAGACAGCAAAAGCGAAAAGGCTACTACGCGGTGGACTACATATTCCCCAAGGACAACGCAGAGGATACATCCCCACACAACGACCGAGGCGTGGACAAGGAGCTGCGCTCCGCCCAGTTGGAAATGCGGCTCGCAGAGATCGAGGAGGCTTTCCATATGCTCACGGTGATAAATAATGGGCATGGAAATGATGTAGAGGAGCGAAACTTGCGGAGAGCAGGAAATGCTGGGTCAAAGTCGCAAGGGCTCGAAGGGCTGATCTGGAGCGACTGGCGCGAGCGGCTATGCTTGCAGAACGTCACGATGATGGGACATTCATTCGGCGGCGCAGCAACCGTACAGGCGTTGAGACGAGGCCATGACCAGTTCCCATGGATTGGACAAGGCGTTGCGCTGGACTGTTGGGGTCCAGCCACGACCGTCTCACAAGATCGCATTAGCAAACCGATGCTGTTCATCGGATCTGAAGCGTTTATGCACTGGGAGGAGAACTTTGATCAGATCTGGGCTATATGCCAGGAAGCCCGCGAGAACAACATTCTCTGTTGGATGTTGACGATCCGGGGCTCGACACACCTGTCACAGAGCGACTTTGCGGTCCTATACCCGAGGTGGCTTTCTCTCTTGTGGAAGACCATAGTGCACCCAAAAAGGGCGTTGCAGCTCACAATCATGCTGACTATTGACTTCCTGGGTCTTGCGTCCATCCCTGAGCCGCCCCTGAGCCATGGGATATGGTCTCGAGAGCGCCTGCTCGAAGAGGCAGAGGTACAGACCGAAGTTCCCACGGAACACCGGCCCCCGGACAAGTGGATTGCTGCTCGTCTCAAAATCGATCACGAATTTTCACTTCGGATGGCCAAATGGTTACGCAAGTACAACAAAAATACCGACAGGGAGCTGCCGACCGACGCATCGGGGAAGCCGCTGCTCGGCCTCGAGAATTGGAACAAGGGCTGCGAGATTTGGATGCATCTGAGCCCTGATCAATCCCACGTGGAGCACCTGCGTCAACGTGATGTGTTCAAGAGCTCTAGGCGAAATGAATGACCGTGTTCTGGGAGGCAATGAAACCCGGTTCCCCAAAACTGCCGGCTCTCGAAACGGGGATGAAAGTCGAGGAATGCTCACATTTATCCAGCGCTCGTCTCGTCTGATGAGTGAGTCTGCTGTAATTGAGCTGACGACGCCTCCAGTGCGTCCATTATTGCATGGCCAAGGTCAAGAATCGGTCCGCTCTCCACGACGGAGCAGGTCTGACCGTCTCGACAACGTCAAAGATGCGGCATTTCGAGTCAAGATGGCATGTGTGTGTGTGTTGCAACCCGGTGAGAGGAAAGTGGCTGCAGGACAAGGCTTACAATGTATCGAGACGAAGGCGGACTGCAGCTCGTCATTGCAAGCTGGGGATGTGTCCATGGGCATGGGTGATGCAACCTGGACTCTCTACGCAGACACGCAGGAGTGAGTAGCGAGTAGCGAGGAGGTTCAATCAAGAAGCGAGCCTGTAAAGTTTTTTCCCCATGATCCTCAGCGGCCGGGCTTTTATCCGCAATTAACAGCCATATATCCTCGGGAAATGTGCCTCGCAGGCGGCGACATGATTAGTGGCGAGACGACACAGTCGAGCCACTGGCGTACTATTATGCATCTGATCAACCGAAGTCAAATTAAGAGAAGTAAAAAAGAGAGAGAGAGAGAGAAGGCGTCCCGGCGACGATGTCTGACTCGACCAGCCATTATGGTAGGGATGGCACTTTGGGTACGTACCAACTGAGGCGCTCGCCAAAGACATTGGAACAGTCGAGCCCCGTGCCGCAACCATTGGAAATGAGAATGCAATCGAACAGCAAGTAAACAAAGGCAGCGGATACTAGTCTCACAGCTGAGATGTGACTTGAAAGGCATACTGACCGCCGTGATGAGCACAGTTATGATGAGAGGGTGGTGTTCGCTCCCAAACACGCACGGTAAATCGTTGCCGAGAGGATGCAAAGCGCACCCACGGTTTGGCAGCTTGGCTCCAGTGCTTATTTCACGATCTTGGCATTGGCGGCGACAGTCAAGCCTTGCTTGGGGGCCTGGCCGTGACCGTGGAAATTCTGACGACTGGCTAGGCTGGATGCCGAGGCAAGGGCTTGAGCTTTGGCTCAGGAACGCGCGTCTCAATCTCTCCTAATCGGAATGTCTTCACACGTCTTGACAACCACGGCTTGCGGGGAGTTGTTCTCGGGACCTGATTTGACGACAGAACTGCTTGTCTGGGGCAGGGCTATATCCCCCTGACGGCTCGATGTGACTGCAAGTCATCTTATTAGTGATGACGACTTAGGAGTGCGGCATGGGGAGAATGTTCCTTAGGTTCCCAGTTCCGGTAATAGGAACGAGGCATATTGGAGGGAGACTCGCAGTGCCGGCCCGGTAGGAGAGGAGGATATTAGGTCGTCCAAGGCAGTGCGAGCAGCGTCGATTGCTTCATGGCTTTGGAAATGGCATCATGCTCTCTTGTTAAACCAGGCCTTGGCTCTCTGCAAGCTTGTGTAGTGGGCGCTGACAATGGCCACTGCCGAAGATGATGGTTGTCTGTGGATCTACCGGGCTGACAGGACATGAGTGGCAGGTTGACAGGCCAGATTTGACAGGCTGGACCAGCTCGGGAAGCAGAGCCGTGGTCCAGTACAATGTTGACTGTTCCTGCCAACTCCGATCTGATACAACCTAATGCTCCGATCGAGCCTTCTTCCCCTGGCAAGATCGCCAACACCCCCGTCCACCAGCGGGAAGGAGCATGACAAGGAGCATGAAGGAGGGAAGGAACTTCACAGGTGGATTTTCTATTTTCCACGTCCTCTTCATGATCAATTTTGATCTGGACTTTGGCCCGTGAATCAATATCGAATGTCTTCCTCATTCACGACCTGTTGTCTGTGTATGTAGGTACTGACTGAGTAATGCCTTGATCAGGTATGGGAAAGTGCGGGTTTGGCGAGGTTATGGGGTCGGAGCCGGGGATGCTGGGGGCGATGTCGGGCACTGAAGATGGGTCGGTCGGGACCTGCTTAGCATGCCAACCCGGCGGCCTGCCCCACCCACACGCCCCTGTAAAACGGACAACAATGGACGGGCGACAACTCCGCCAAGCCCTCTCTACAACAACCAGCACTTTGTGGAGGACATCCATCATGCAACTTGGAGCTCATCTCGTCTCTTTCACGAGCATACGACAACAACAACTCCAAAAATAATACTTTGGTGTCACCAGACTTTCCCTTTGACCGTCCTGCCCCTTGTCTACGATGTAGGCTACAGACTAGGACGATGCTGTGCGGCGTGAACTGCAGCCTGCCGCGTTCCGGCCCTTGGATGCAACACCGGATGGACGAGATGGTTTCTCAGCCCCCTTGGCCATGCTTCGGGCAATGTGCCGTATCCGTCTCTGTTGCTTTGTCTGGTCGTCCAACCCGCAGCCCGCCTTGCATCTCAAAGCTGCGATGATCGTCGTTCCTGCCTGTCTCTAGACCTGTTTGCAGATGTAGATGCTGATGCCAAGCCGGCTCGCTGGGCGGCATCAGTGTTTGAAGTCGTTTTCCCCGACGAAAGAAAAAAAGCACTGACAGGGGCATCTAGGCGGCTATTTCCTGTGCTGGGAAGGACTGCTCTAAATCGACAATTTTTGGTTCGTTTGAATGTTTTCCCCTGGCCAAAGCCACGCAGTCTATCGTTCGACCCCTGCCTGGGACGCGTATTCGCCCATACTACCAATTCACCGCGGTCAAACGATGTTTCCTAGTTTTCCGTCTATCTGCAAGTATGCAATGTGAAATGGGAGTGGAATGGAATGGCCAACCGGGCGTCGGTGCTGGTCGGTACGTCGTGCGCTGCTCGCCTGGATGCCACTCCGGTGGACGCGGCTCGGCTGAAAGTAAAGATGTTGCTGCTAGTGTCTCGAAAGGGAGAAACACACGCTGCTGCTGGTGCGCCTAGACAAGGTCCGCGGGTATGTACGTGTGTAAGTGGGTGTGCGTGCGTACGTACAATAGGCATGCAGCTACTCACTCACTCACTCACACCCTCACGCTCACTCCACACGAAGTCTCTCGTTCACTCCTGCAGCACTCCTTCACTTGTCAGGGTAGCCTCCTGATTTTTCATCTCATGCTTTGCCCAACTCCCTTGTCCCCAACCCGGGTTTCCGTGACACCCTGCCAGGCTCTTCCGGACTTTTCCACTGCTCACTCTTCCATTTCACCTGCGTGACGACCGCAGAACCATATCTCCTACAATTCCTCCACATTCCGAACCCCACGATCTATCCGGGGAGAGAAATCCAAGGATCATCCTCATATACCTGGGCTACTAATAAGAGAACCCCCAAGCCCCCTCACTCTTGTCTTTCTGCCGGCACGTTTCGAATTCACCCAGTGACTGGCGACTCAAGCACCCTCCAGCACTAGACTCGTTTGCTTTTCACCCTTCCTTTTCCAGAACCCTTGGGCGGTTGATTACGGGTGCCGTCATTGCAGATTCACAGCTACCAACACCCCCCATTGCTCCGAGCACATCGACTTGCGAGCCATTCCAAGGCAGAACCACTTGTCTACATTGCTTCTTTTCTGTGGCAATGCTACTACGAACTTGGAAAACCTGTTTGCCTGAGGGTATCTAGCACGTTTTGTTCGTCTTGGAGGATAGAGGCAGGAAACAGGACCATCACTTTGGCTGCACGTTTCCTGTTTGCCGGCCAATCTCAAGCGAGCTCTTTCCAAGGCTCGCTCTCGAGTCGTGGTTTGGGTTTGAGGTTGCCGTAAAAGTCGATTTACATTTACCCTGTCACCCGAGCCAGTAATCAAGCAAGTCAGATCAACATGACTTCGCCGTCGATTGACGGCCATAGGCCCCCTTCGAGGACGGCAAGCTTCCAACGGATGCTGGATCTCGAAAAGAAGTACAAGGTAAATAAGAAATCCCAATTACCTTCAGGTATGCCCCAGCTCTTGAATTTCGGCTGATCTAACATCTCCCCGTTCACAGTTGGCAAGGCTTCAACGGACACACACTTCGCCAAGCACGGAATCCCAAGAGTCCATTCAGACCCGACCTCCTATCCAGGCACGTCGCCGAGATTCTCTTACGCATCAACAAGGCCAAATTATGCTTGATGCCGTGAGGAAAAACACTCCTTTTCCATCACTTTCTATCAAGATACCACCAGCAGATACCGGCAGCAAGAAGGAATCTGAACAGGCACTCTCGGACTACAAGACGGATGAAGTTGCAAATGAGTCTCGCGACAAAAGCGTGACGTTCTTGGCACCAGACGACGACGAAATCTCCATATCGGAGCAGTCTTCTATCTGCCACTCGCCAAGCTGGGAAGGCTGGGGACAACAGAAAAAGAAGAAGAAGGAGCAGGCCGAGCAACGCAAGCGGGACAAGGAGCAAGCAGAAAAAGACGTCCGGATAGCCAAGAAGAGGCTGGCGAACAGGCTCTCCAAGGCGCCTCCCCCACCGGATTCGCAGCCATTGACGGAGACACGGCCTGGCTTGCCTCGCTCAGCTTCTACCTCTATGGTTCGACAGAGTACCGACAGCAAATCTACCAACTCGTCCATCAGTTCGATGAAACCTCCGGCATCCACACAGACCTTCGTTCCCTACTGGGGTTTCGCCGTTACGAGCGCCGGTTTTGTCGGTGGCATTAGGTTGCATCAGCCAATGACTCTTCCTTTGAAGGCCCTGGAGCCAGCTTCAACCAAGGCCAAGATAGAGGAAGTTTCGGAGGTCAACAAGGATGGCGAAGGGCAGGAAACCGCGAGTGCGCGTCGTGATGCCAACGTCGCCGCAGCCAGAAAGGCTCAGCAGCCCACGACTGTGACCGACTCTCTGGACGAGGTCGATGCTCGCCCATCCATGCAAAAGTCACACACAATGGCAATGGAGCCAAAGTATGCCATTACGACGTCTTTAGAGTCACCACGCACTTTGACAATGCCGGACTCTCTTAGCAATGACACATCATATCCGCCCCCATCTTCAAGAAGTCGGATGTTGAGGCATATGCCTCCGGGTAACGTCGCGTTGTCCCAGCAGGATTCCCGACAAGCCCGGAGTGGTGAGATGGATGAAACATCGAGATTCGCCAAAGCACAGAACATGAAAAGCAGTCAGTCATCAAGAACGTATACAGCTATGGATGCCGCACAAGCAGGCGGAGACGTTGTTATGACGATGAATGACCGAGGTCGCCGACGCGGGAACTCAGCCAGTTATGTCCAGAATGCTCGGGACCGGAGTACCGAGCGCGCGATGGCTGGCTTGATGGACGAGGCCATGATGCCGATCATTCCCATGTTTCCCGATGTCAGCAAGGAGTCCAACAATTTACACCCCTCTCAGGGCAGAAAGCAGGGGCAGGGCAGGAGTATCCGTCCAGAAACTGGCTCGCGCGCAGCACCAGAATCACCAACGGGATCCGTGGATGGGACTCATGAGATGTCCAGTGAAGACTACTTCAATTTTGTCAACAATACATATGATCCGCCGGAGCTTGGCCTTAGTCCTCCACCAGCCAGCTTGTTTGCGTCTATCAAAGCAAAGATGAGCCGCCAAAGCTCATCATCGAGCTCCGCGCCTAGTACAATTCGGAGCTCCACAGAGAGGATCAAGACCTTCATGCACCCGCCCTCGAGATTGTCCAGTAGAAACTCTCCAGAGACGCAGGGCTCGCCGGATCATATCGAGACTGATGAGGTGTCTCCCATCAGCGAAGACTCACCCATCCCTGGAGGAGAAGATGCCTTGGAAACGCCTAGGCAGCCGCCTGTCTCGGCCGTTCTCAAAGAAGAACCTCGCCAGTCGCAGACTACTGCGAGACCTTCGGAAGGGTCCTCGACGTCTTCCTATCACGACGATTCATCTGTGCTCTCGTCTCCAGCTGGCACTCCCGATACCTCGCGTCCACAGTCGGCTAGGGGTGTATCGACAAGTCTCGAACCCGCCCAGCTTTCCGATATCAAAGATGGCGCCGTCACCCATGCGACCGATCAACTTCACCCTGCGACTCAGGTCCCAACGGAGCGCTCCTCGTCTAATACTCTTGTTCCTCGTCGGGACGATGAGGAAGAGGATATGACTGAACCTCCCATCGAACCTCGCTATATCACGACAAACCGACCTGCGACCCGGGATAAACCTTTAAGTCCTTTGGCAAGCCCGGGACTCAGACATCTTATGGATGAAGACTGGAGTCGGAGTCGGATGCCGCTCGATGTAGATGATGTCGCTTCCTCTCTCAGCAACGTAGCAAGCTCAGAGAGGCTCCAGTCTGCCCCAGCTATGCCTCACAATCCTACCCCTCAATATGATATGACTCTTGATGGGGACAGGACGTCCAGTCAGAGCAACTCAACCCGGAGCGAACCGCAGTCTCGAGCAGACAGCAGAGCATCAAATGGAAAGCAGGCGGAAGATTCGAAGTCACATCACAAGGAGAGGAAGCATCGCCACAAGGGAGAAAAGAAGCGCTCCTCCCGCGAAAAGGACATGGAGAGGCCCTCCTCATCCAGATCGCAACCACTTTTGACCGAAGAACCTGGTGCGACTGATGTGGATTTCCTCCCACCACTCAAGCACGAGCCTATCACCCACTCCAGGCCGCGATCCAGGGACGCCAACCTGGCCCTCCAGCCGGCGCAACTCGAGCGTGATGCCCGCGCCAAGACCAGGTCTCCTCTTACCGTGCCGACCGGCACCGAGTCCTCGGGCCGTAGCTCGCCCAGCGCAGCGTACCTGGCAGAAGCCCGGCGGACCGCGCCCACGGCGCCGTCATCCCAGGCGAGCAGCGCGTCGTCGCGCTCGCTGCCGAAGCCCGCAACGTCCAGCCCGGCCGTCACGGCCACCCGGCCCATCCTCCGCACGTCGACATCCTCGCCGGCGCCGGCAGTCACAGCGTCTAGGGCACCGCTGCCGCTGCCCCAGGCGCCCCTGCTATCGACCGCCGCTGGCGGCTCCGGCCCCGGCTCCGGCCACTCCACGCCGCCGTTTCGCGTGCCCGCGCAGGAGCCGGAGCAGCTCGCCCGGCCCATGGCCAAGATGCTGGTCGAGTGCTGCAGCTGCCGCTTCCTGCACGACATGCCGTCGCGCGTGTACGAGTGCATGGCGCAGCCCAACGCCGTGGTCACCGACCGCAGCCTCGGCGTCAGCGGCGCCATCACCACCATGGTCAAGTGCCCCTGGTGCGCGCACAACATGAGCACCCAGTGCTGCGCCGGCTACGCTGCCGTCGTGTACCTCAAGGAGAGGCTGCACTAGGGCTTGTTTCCATGTTTCCCGTTTGCCCTCCTTGGATGAGGCAGGCTCCGCGGACGATGCTGCTCAAGTCGCCTCGTCATTTGGGGAAAGGAAAGCCCTCCAGTGGCATATTTTTTGGTTTCCTCGCCGCTACGGACGAGGAGTTTTCTTAATTCACTCTTTTCCTTTGTGTCTCTCTGGCATCACGGATGAAAAAGCATTTGAAAGGTTGACTCGAAATGAAACATCCTGTGTTTTCTTAGAATGTTGTGTGTGTGTGTGTGATTCTTTTCTTCCCAAACTATTTGGCACCTTATGACGAACCAAAAATTGCATTTCGTATCTCTTGCATTCTTTTCTTCTTCGCTCGTTCAACCCCGAAACCATATTGGGGAATATTGAGTTGTTTGCATCGAGGAGTCTCCAAGAGGATTGCTGGGCACACTAGTAGAGATCTTATGCCTCCTTTCCGGGATTTTGAAAATGCGATGGAAATTGGGGAGAGAGGCGAGGGCAAGTTGACTTTAGTATATCCGCTGTACACAAAAGCCTTTGGTCTGGACTGCATATAGTACTACCTGTCTTTATCTAGAAGAATGTGGAATGATACACGGGTTCCCATTCAAATACAGACGGTCTTGTACAAGGTGATTTCATCTCAGGGGCCCTGGTCGTCTGTGAGGGCTTCCAACTTCACAATAAGTTGCTACGTTATTTAATTTATCGGTATGTATATATAGATATCTAGATATATACCATAGAGTCACCGTGTCTAACCTGCTGTAAGGACTGACTCCAGTTGTGGTATCTGTAAAAAGCAAATTCTGTAAACTCCAAGATGCCATACCCAAGAAACAATTTCAGAACGCCGCTCCGAGAAAATGCCTACCATTTAATCCGTGTATAGTCGTAAGTTTCCCTGTTCCCAAGAACGCCACCATACATGTCCAAGTAGAACAAAGACCAAGAAGAGAGATGGCATGGCACTCAACCACTCCATCCGTCCTAGGCATCACAAATGACCTCGCATCCCGCACTCGAAACCCCCGCCAAAATCACGAAGTATGCATATACCGGGCCTCCCACTGCAGGAAGTCGCCGAGGTCGTGGCCGAGGTTGTACCCCATGGGCACCACGTACCCTTCCCCGACGGTGCCCCTCCCCCTCGAGTTGCGGCTCCCTCCCTCGGAGCCGTGGATCATGACCAGATCCTGCATGGGGCTCATGGGCAGGCTGTCCTCGCTCCCCGCGGGGCTGGCACCGCTGTCGCCCCCGCGCTGCTGCCGCTGGCTCAAGTACGGCTTGGACCGGTCGTGGTGCCCCGGCAGCACCCAGTGCTTGATGCCGGCCGCGCCGGACCCGGTGGTGCGGTAGAACCGCTCCGGCTCGACGCTCAGCAGCTCGTCGTCGCCCGGCGACCACGAGTTGTTGCCCGGCGACAGCGAGGGGAGCTCGACCTCGAGGTCCACGGGGATGGGCAGGTTCTCCTCCCGGCGCCGCTCCTGCATCTCCTGCGGAGAGGCTGCGGCCGAGGTAGAGGAGGATGACGACGACGACGACGACGGGCTCGATGAAGAAGGGGGCGGCGATCCTCCCTGGCTGTACTGCGAGGTGGGCGAGCCGTCGTACGTCGGCGGCGGTGTCGGGGGTGGCGGCGACGTCTCCAGGCGTCCCGCGTGCGCGAAGCCGAGGGAGTGGAACCAGGCGGCCACGTCCTCGGCGACCTCGTCGTCCTCGGGGTCCGAGTTGGTAAAGTCGACGCCTCCGATGGCGACCTGGAAGGCGGTCCAGTCCAGGGTCTCGCCGTTGGACATGGCGAGCACGTCCTCGACGGCCGAGGCATCGAGCAGTGCGGCAATGTCGGATTTGGCCAGCCGGATCGGCCCGTGACGGTAGTCGGGTCGGGTGAGGGAGAAAGGAGTGGCGCCGAGGAAGAGAAATTCTTCTGTTTCCTTGGCGACAGTAACAGGCGGGTTGGTGCGTGATGTGGAGGAAGAGTTGGCCGACGGGGCGGCGGTGACTGGTATGGATGCTGGTTTAGTTTTGCCTTCCGGGGCGGTGACCTTGAGTTCCGGGATGGGAGAGAGATCCGCAGGATTTTTGTGCCGGGAGAGGAGGCGGAGGGGATTCTTGGCGGGTGGAGCGAGGAAAGGAATGTCCTTGAGCTTCATGTTCTCTTCAGGTAGGATACAATGCGTGTCCTGCTTGATAGGGGGCACAGGTGGTGCCTCCCGTTTCGGAGGTTCAGGCCTGTACTCAGATAGGCTCGCAGTTGACCTCTCAGCGACTGGTCCAAGACCGCTCAGCCTCACGCCGGCAGCTCCGATCCGTTGTGGCAAGTCCTGTAGATGAAACGGCTCAATCGGCGTTTCGCTTCCGTCTGTCTCGAGCGTTTGAGTCGTCTCGGCCGTCCGAGCCGTCTCGCTCGAGAGCCGAGCCTTGTCTGACAAGGCCTGAGAATTTCTCTTCTGCGTGATAGCCTGCAGCTGTTCCGGCGTGCGGATCTCGTCCACTTCGAGCCGATTGAACAGCCGCACGTTCAAAAGATCGGACACGTTTTCAGCCAGAGTCCACCTCGCAGTATGCTTGCTGGCTGTTGCCTTGGCTTTCGGAACTTCCAACCGGGACTTCTGCTTCTTCGATCCTTTCCTCTTTGGTTTCGAGACCGATGACTTGCGTCTAGGAGCACTTAGAACGACTGGACCTCCTCTAGGGTGCAGCTTGGGGGACGAGCTGGTCCTTCCTGCTGTCGGCGGCGGCGTTCGTGGTTGCGTGAAAGTTGGACTGACGACTATTTCCTGGTCGGAACTCTGCCTGGGCGAGAATATGGGCGCAGTGAGTGCCAGGCCAACTTCTTCAAAAGCCTTGTCAGTCTCGCGGATTAGCTGCTGGACATTTTCTGACACGTCATCCGAACGTCCAACACTAGGCGTCGTCCGTACTTGGCTATGGGGTGAAACTCGCCTCTCGAGTCTCAGGGACGTCGGAGGCGTTGCAGGTCTATCAGGTTGTATAGACAAAGCTTCTAGAAGATCCAGGGTTGACTGTGGGGGAGAAGGCGCCTTCATCATGGCATCGGCTACATGCTTGATTTGAATGGTCGTCGAACTGGACGACGCTGACCTCTGACGATACCCCAATGACGGCAACCGCGGTGATGACTGATCGTTGGATCCCACAGAGCGGAGCGAGGAAAGGCCGGGGCTCGTCTTTGCCGGAGGAACCGGTCTCGGTGATTGGCCACGTCCATGATGGTGCTCGCAAGAGCACAAAGAACTGGTTGACGAGTGTGGCGTGTCTGGGGGCAGCGGCAGCGGACTCGAGATGGAAACGCGGTGTATTGAGCCCGACCTGCGTATGACGATTGGCTTTGGTGGGCCGTTCTTTGTTTTCGAAGACCTTTTGGAGGCAGTCCAGTGACCCCCTTTTTGTTTCTTGCTGCCCCGATCTGCGTCCTTTTCTTTGTTTGCGGACCTGTTGACTCCATCGGCGTCACTGATATCGCTGAAGTCCAAGCCATCACTGTCGGTGTGGCGTTGAGGTATGAGACGCCGGACGTTAAACACAGATCTGGAGACCATGGTCGTGATTGTCGGTCGTCGTGCGGCAGAGCACCCGCACGGAAGAGAACTCCAGTTGGTGCCGGAGAGGGCTCCACCCCTTTACATGTATATGAGAAGCAGAACAAAGAAGTAGGCCTCGACGGAACTAGACTTCGAGTCGAAACGATGGCGAAACAAGCCCTCGATATCGGGCCCTTTGGTTTTGAAAGGGTCTAGACGCAAGAAGATACAAAACTACAAAGATAGGGAGGAGGGAGAAAGAGAGAGAGAAAGGAAAAGTGGTCACGGCCAGAGGATCCTTGAAACTGATCCAACAAACAGAAAGCAAGGGACATGAATGAGAGTTTGTGAGATGAAAGAGAGCATCAGAAAGCAACAGAACCGGCAGGTCTCCGCGTGGGCTGCAGATCGCAGGCATATTTGTTGGCTGCGAGAAAGCTCTCTGCCTGCCAGTGGTGCACCACCAACTTACACTAAGCATCCAGACATACAGATGCAAGAGCATGTCATGATGTGGAGGGGGGGCCAAGGGGGGGCTGGCTGTCCCGGAATGACCCCAGGAACATGGCCACCTAGATGAAGAAGAGCGCAGGAGAGTTGCACGAGCGTGGCACTGTCGTGCAAAGCAACCCTGCATGTCGTGCAGATGATGGTGCCGGAATAGTCAGCGAGAGACACATCTGCAGACCAACTCACCAATGGGCAGCTCTAGATCGCTCGGCCCAACGCAGCCTGCCTCGCAGGCTTGGCCAAGCCATTGAGAGGGCTGTTGGCGGCGATTGGCCGGCTGCGCAGTGCGGGTGGGAGAAGAAGAGGAGAAGAGACGAATAAGCCACCACATCAACGGGCGGGACATGATCTCTGCGCCGCTTGCCTGCTTACCCGGGATCTGCCCCTCGGGAGCTGGTATTTTTATCGCCATTGGGCCGTCACCTCCGGGCTTGTAGATGCGTAGATGCGAAGATGCTATTTCCCGCTTCTGCAGGGGTGGTGGCCCACGGGGGTCTTCCGTCTCTCAGCTCAGCGACGCAACGGAGGGTGGTAAGCCGATGACATTGGTGGCATGGCATGCCTACCCAAGCTACGCATACGACGCTGTCGATTATTTTGGCAGAGGGCGTATCCGAAAGTGGATGGCAAGCGACCAGAACAGATTAATCATGAGGATAACTTTGGAATAGCCGCCACTGCATTTCTAGATCGCTTGACCAACTCCCCAAGCGCAGCTACTGCCGAGCCCCCGGCCATTGATTGCTTTTGCTTGCTTGCATGCGGTGCACGCCGACCGTTGGAACTGGCCAACATGGTCGGGGTCGTGGTGTGCTGGGGGGATCATTGTCTTTCGTGACGAAAATGGGGCCAACAGCTGCAGTAAAGAGGGGTAGGACAAAAGCAATAGCACGGCCTATCCTCTGGAGAAGAAAAAGAAGCAAGCAACTAACTTCAGACGACAATCGTCCAATGAAAGAAGAGGGGAGCTGCAGGAAACCGAGGGCTTCTCGTGTTGGACAGGCCAACTGATCAATCCATCTCTTTTGTGCGAGGCGACTTGACGGCGAGCTGCAGAAGACGAGAAGGCCAGAAGACATGATTGCACCTATCCCATGCGGTTCCGGTCTCTCTGTCGCCCAGGGCAAAGGACCTCGGCCGGGATGGCAGTCTCAGCTCGTTGGTCTTTGTGTCGAGAGATAAACCTGTCTCGGATGTAACGGCCAGCCGAATACGACAACTGAGCCGTCCAGCCACAGCATCTTCCCGTGCCCATGATGCTGTGCCGTGCAATCCGTCATCGGCTGCAGTCAGTCGACAAAGAGCCATGGCACTGGGAGAGGAGGTTCCTTGGAAAGACCAGGCCCATCGACAGAGAGCGTCGTGTACAAGGAGTATGGATCAGCGGGCTGTTTGCTTGATCGCACGGACATGTCAAGGATCAAGGCCAACGACCTGGAGTGGAGCCGGGTTCTCCAGCAGGGTGTGACAGTTACACAGGAACCAGCACAGAGATTGTGTACCAGCGGGCATTGCCAGCAGGGCTTGGTGACAGAGAATTCTGAGACTCGAGTCATTTGATGCGAAGCCCTCTTCGCCCTGGCAAAGCCAGTCCACGTGCTCTCCTCGTCAATCCTGGGACTTCTTTGTTCACTCTCGATGAGGGGGATCCATGACGTTCATGATCCTGGTAAGTAACCTGTGTACAGGTGAGATCAGATAGATAAGGTGCCAACATCGGATGAGAGGGCTATGCTTGCAGTCACGCCCCCCAATGATGCGTGTGACTTGGCATGCTTGTGTGGTAAGGTCAGACGAGAACGATGAGAGGCAGCCATTCAGGACTGCTCAATCTGGGCGAGGCAGAGAGACTGGAAAGAACTAAAAGAACCGAGGTTTTGCTTCGATTGCTTGTTTTCGATTAGGGCCACTCACTGGAAAGGAGAGGGGAGGTTGAGTCACGGTCCGAACGAAGCTATCCGGCACTCTGGGAAGCTGCGTCTGGGCCCGAGACTGTCTCATGCTGGATGGGATGTCTGTCCTCACACAAGCATGGGGGACCAGGCAGGCTCAGATCCGTTGGTGTTGGTGACTGGCGGGAGATCTCCAACTACGGCAGATCGTCTGATGCAGTGCCCCTTACGGCTAGGCACTAGCCTTCTGTGCAGGCCTACTCCAGGGGGCGGCGAACTGCATTTACAGTGGAGAGCATCGACGAATGCTGGGGGCCGTTTCTTCACAAGCAGCCGACTCAACCAACGTCGAAGCTGCCCGGAGCTGACGCCCCAACCAGACTCGTTATGCAGTGTCCAACCTTTGTCCGAGACGGTACCTTATTTTCGAGCTGGACGGGATGGAAGTGCCTGCATTAGTGTGCCGAGGACACTGTTGTTGGTGCAGAGCTGTCAAGGAGTCCAATCGCACACTTACAAGATCGGGATGACAGCTATCACAACTGCCGTCCACGGCGCTCTAGCACTCTAGCTCCAGCCATCTAACTACCTAGGCACACGCTTGACTTCTTCTGGTCCGTGGCCCGCGTCCGCCCTCTTGACAGCTCTGAAACATCCAACCCTATCGAGAGTTCTGACTCGGTCGTAGCTCCGGATGAGAAGCAAGCTAAGCCGAGCCTAGGCCGCCCTTCTCCATGGCAGAGCCTTTTCGGTTGACTGCCCGCATACATGCTGGGGAGAAGCGGCTCTGTCGATTTTCAGTCAGCCTTGCTCGATGATGGTTGCGATTGCCGAGTTCTCACACCACCAAGCCTCTCGCCCCCGAGACGAGATGAGATGAAACGAAGCGAAACGCCGTCAGGAGCCACACACAACCTTTTGCACGCTGTCTAAGCACAATCGCCTTGTTACTCAGACATGACTGTCCTATGGTAGTGCGATGGGCAGGCACTCCAACAGATGTCCTCTAACCAACACAGCTCCTGCAGATCGACCGGGTTGTAGACCTTGATAGAGCCTTCCACCGACACTCGGCCCACTGTTTCATCAGATAGAGGAGCAGCGGATGGATATGTTATCTGTGATACCAACCATCCACGAGCGCAAGCTTCGCAAGTGAGGTGGGTAGGTAGCGGGTGGTTTTAGGTTTCAGCGGCACTCGCTCACCGACGTTGGTATATGCGATCACGAATGAAGGGCGATTCCTTGTCCATCAGACTACATTGCCGCCTAAGGGACGCCTCCTCATCATTCGCCAATCTGTCTGCAAAAGCCACACCCACGTCCTGTCCTGGGCTTACCCCAGAGCCAGGCGTGGCTTTCTTTGTCCCGTCCAGTCTGACGGCGGTTTGCCCCAATGTGGACAGGCGCGGCTGTTCTACCAGATCATGACAATGCTTCCCGTTGCACAGCACGATTCGCACATGGAGATGTCGCCGGCACCATCAGAGGCCCTCGGAGGATACAAGCGACTGGGGGGGGGAGGGTAGTAAGTAAGCCCGACCGAGCTTGGTGTTGCAGGCTTAGCACAATCGCGACACGGGACCTGCATCTCGGTACCGTAGCATTCACTTACACCAAAATAGCACGGTCGTCGATCTGCTTTGCTGCATGCGCATTGTTAAGCGCCTTTGCCGAATGTCGCACAGGACAAGGTCAGTACATAGACGAGGGCAATACCAAAAAAAAAAAAGTCACTCGCTTGACGGATAAAGCCTTCCCGGGGTCGTCATCATCAACAAAATACGCTCTCTATTGCGAGATTGAGCTTTGTATGACAGAAGCGTATATATTAGACAGGCCAAGCGGAAGGAGATCGAAATAGCCGACTTAGACGCGGACGTGAAATTCATACGCCGGAGGGACAGGGATGGTCCCTGGGAACCAGCCAGTGTGCTCCGTACCAACATGCAATGCCTTTTCCCCCGCAAAAGAGCATCAAGTTGCAAAAGCTCCGGTGATGGGCTTAGCCTCCTTTTCCTTGTCTTTTGAGTTCGGAGCTAAACGCCGGGCGGATCGAAACTGAATTAGGGCTCGGAAGGTATGGCACGGGAATAGGAAGCGAAGTTTATTTTTTTCTTACTAGGCTGCCTAGTCATTTCCCCGGTCCTCCTTCGAGCACCTTTGTCATCGCACATTGTAGGCTTGACGTAGGCTTGCCCAAAAGTGCTTTAGACTTGTTCCCGGCCCGACAATACCATCCGACAAAACATGAGTTTGTCTTGGTAGTCCATGACCATCACACTACCAGGCAGTTGCCCGTCAGAAAGGACCACTCTCATGCTGAGTCAACTCAGAAATTTCACGTCGAGAAAGGTGTAAGACGATATGTACGTGATTTTGAAGTATTGTGTGGGCCAAAAAGAGCCCTGTTCAATTGTTGTGTTGTGACTATCTTGGTTGGTTATGTTTGATGACCCCCAGATATGTGATTGTCGATCGTCGACTGTCATTAAATATGCATATGAGGAGCTCGAATCAGATCGAGAAAGCCTCCTCGTTCATGTCCCAAGTAAAACGCCTCGAGCTGCACTAGCTCGACCAACTCCGTGATGCCCAAAATTCCAAATGAACCGCGTGAAAAGTCGCGGGCCGATTCCCAAAACAAATGAAGATGCCGAATCCCAATGCCGGTGGTCATGATTTCGCCGCAAAGCGGCTAAACGTCGGTTCGCTCAGTGTGCAGAGCAATCTCATAATGTCGAGAGTAGTGTCATGATAAGAGTGCGAGTCATGATGGTGAGGACTCGTCTTTTGCTGAGGGTGCAAGAGAGATTGTAAAATATCTCCAGGACGGAGAAGAACTTTCACAATATCTCATTGGCTTCCCGGATGTGCTTTGGTGTTGCCGTTGCCAGGAAGCCGGCGGCAGCCTGCGTCGGGACGTGGCGATACCTCTTCTCAGCGGGTTCCGCAGTATCGAGGACGACCTCTGGCTCTGGCCTCCAGTAGTTGGTCAGGCGGGAGAATATCGACCTGAGCCTTGGTGCAACTTCCTCGGTGGCGGCATGGTGTTGTATGTTGTAGTAGCCACGCATCTTGATATGTGATGAGAGCAGTGTTGGTGTAGAGTGGGTATTGATGGGTTGTTTAGAGACTTATAGCTGTTTTCGACAATGAGGCAGCTATTCTCGGTGCTCTGGCAACCTTTTGATGTAAACGGCAAGTGTTTGAGGTGTGTCTTGGAAGTTCAATGGGAAGAAAGAAGATCTGCATCTCAGAGGAGGAGGGGATTCTAAGGGTTTAAGAACGCGAAGGGATGAGTGTCATGTGTAGGCAGGGGCTGCCCAAGCGCGATGAGGCTCATGTCTCTACATTCCTCAACACCAAGACCACGGGTTGTACCACTCAGCATTCCAGTCTTTGAGACACGACCCAGACGGTGTCCAGAGAACCCCTCACAACTCCACCAACGGACACTCGTCCGAGGCGAGAGTCTCTGCGAGACTCGTACAGAAACCTCTCGGTGAGTTACCTCTGGCCCCTCTCTCTCCGCACAAAGGATACTCTAGGCCACGGTCTTGTCTCACTGTACGATTAAGTAGCACGCCACTCGGAAACCGTCAACCTTAGGTTACGATCGCGTGTAGATGGGCCACAGATTTTGGCATGACCGAAGGACCTCCTCATCCTTGCCCGATGCGGCAAGGGAAGATGGAGACGCTCCAAATCGCCTCTCTCGTCATCAGGCCTGGTGAAGGACTGAGCAGCGGTACAGAGTTGAGGGATGTGAGACACCAGGACCACGCCAAGTGGCCCTAAGCCGCGACTCGGTCGTTTGGACCTGACAGCACAAAGAGCCTGACTGCCCTTGACGTTTAGCGCACTTGCGCCGGGGCGGGCCAAAGGTGTTCCGGGCCCTCGCAAGTGAGACATCGCCTTGGGCCAGCCAGGACGGTGTGAACTTTCCTGTTCAGTGACACTCATGCTTATCTCATGACAAGCGAGCTCTTGTGGCGTGCTGGTTCCGCTGCCGTCTGTTCCTGGCGGAGTTTTCTTGGCAGCAAGCGCAAGATGCTTCAGCTCAGCTGTGTTGCTCCGTATCGCCACTCCTCTAGAGTGGCGATATACTGGCCTCGCCGCAAACACCGGACAAAGACCGCATATAACGCAGACAGTATTAGACACCGTCTCGCGAACATGTTTATCGGGAATAAATCGAGTAAAACATTGCGTGTACATTCTCGTGTGTTTGATGCAGGGAGAGGGATGGCACGTTGAAGAATGCAATAGGCAGGCAAGAGTTCCCACCTGTCAAGGGATCACCTGCATAAGCGCCACCCTTGCGGGTGGACTTTTGTGCCCCTTTTGAACACCACTTCTCCCTCTGCCCACGTACAAATACCAAAGGGCATCTTCACCGCCCGCCCGTATTTGACGTTACCAAGATAGGCCAAGGTGCGAAGCTCAAACGGGCTTAGTTGCCGATGGGTTCCGCGATGACGACGCAACCGGACCCTTCCCAGTGACTACCAGTTACGTTGGTAGGGGGTCGGGGTCAGGGCACAGTGCCGCACATGCCATCATAGACGCACGTCAGCCCAGGGACAACTTGATAGCAGTACACAGCATTGGCCAGGTCTGCCAGTTGATAGAAGATGCGGTGGACTCGGTCGAAGACCTGTTGTGTTATGCAAGAATTTGAGGGCCGGATTCATTCCCAGGATGCAAGGACTGGCACGTAGAACTCTACCATTGATATATCCATCTTGTTATCACTCATCACCTTCGCCTCCTGTCTCGTCGTCTTCGTCATCCTCGTGAGTGACATACGGCACAAAGGTAAAGTGCAGCCAGTGTATGCCCCCTCCCTCCGTCTCTACCATGAACTGCAGACTGAGTACTCCTTGGCTGTCGCCGCGAAGACTCACCTTGGAGGCAATCCGCATTGCTTCGCTGGCTGACTTGATCATGTCGAACTTGAAGCTTTGTGCCCAGCGATCGTGGACTACAAAGGTTTCCAAAAGGTCTCTGCCCTTGGAAAAGTCCACGCTGGAGCTGCCCAGAGGGCCATTACTCGACAGTCGCAAGTATGGCTCATTTCTCGTTGCCACAATGGTTAGTCGTGTTGGCGAAGTGGGTGCCATCTCGGCAAGGGCGTCCAGAAGCCATCTTGACTGCATGATGATCTTGAACGATAGCTCATCTCTGTCGAAGGGGATCTGCTCAGGCGACTCGGGCAGATAGGTGACGAGGTTGCAGGTTGTATTCACGCCCGTCTCCTCCAGTAGGATACTGAAAGGCTCCCCTTCCTGGGCATAGGACAGGCTGCACGTCCCTGACATGCCCAAAGTTTGATTCGAGAAGGCTCCGGCACGGTAATTGCGCAGGTTGCTTCGATACGGGTCTGTATCCGCCTTGGCCTGGCGGGCTGCAGCGTCTGTTGCACCAAAAATCTGCAGCGTCTCCAAAAGTGCGGGTAGAGAGATCTGAAAACTGGGCAGGCTGGGGTCTTCAGCTCCTTCAGGAGCCGGAAGATTGAGAGAGTATGTGGTAAATAGGGACTTGTTCAGAGAAGCCACGCCTACAGATCGGGTTACTACACTACATTACGCAAGGAGAACACTTGAAAATCAGACCGCATTCGTTCTTACCTTGCATAACTCGAGCATGATCGGCGATGAACTTGATGCCGTCCTCGTCAATCTCGACATGAATCTTGTTTGAGAAGCTGATGGCTCGGAGCAGCTGATGGAGGGGCTTCGTCGAGCTTGCCACAGCCCGGAACAAGGGGGTAGATGCAGTGCTCGTGGACACCATCGCGGGTTTTTTTTTGGGACGAGGTCGTAGAGGGACAGGATCGGGATATTATCAAAAGGTGCGCGTCGGGGATTCGGAAACAGTGCCTCCAAGCGAGGCCGCCGGTCTTTTCTTCTTTTCTATGGTACAAGTAGTCTGCGCGGGGCCAGACTGATAGCACTTGTTCGGGTATCTCAGACGTAGACTCCAACTGCACAGAACATATAGACAACGCCGAAGCTAGATGTGAGTCAGCGAAAAGATCGGTGAAAGGAAAACTGCAACATGGGGGTTTGACGTACGCGAGTGCCAGTGACGCTGGAATGCCTAGCACCAAGATGTTGGAAAAGGAACGGTCTGTTGCCAACGCGTCAGTTTCCAACATTGTTGACTACAATAAAGTCTTGGTCTTACTCAACGCAAAGCCTCCAGTAAGCATCAATCCCAGAACGACAAGGATGAACGCGACAGAGAATTGGCTTCCTTTGCCCACTGTAGGGAGGAAGGGAGTGCCAGCCGCTGCTTGCCAGATCTCGTGCAGTGATGAATCCATGGGCTGAGGAGAAAGAATAGCTGCGTGGGTCGCTGTTCTCAGAAGAGTTGTTCGCACAGAGATTGATCTTGCCGGTAGGGTCGGGGTATGGTCAATTGGTATCGCCAAAGAAAGACGATTGTTGAGGGGTGTTTAAAGCAAGCTGGCTTGGTCTAGAATAGCTCCCTTCCAGATTGGAGCTTCGTGGCAGCCAGCACTTGAGGCATCTGTAAGTAAAAGGTGGCTCCTTCCCAAACACTTCTCAAAGGGGACTAGCTCATTTGCCCCCGGTCCAGACACGGTACCACACCAACCCCCACTAAATCACGTGCATGGGCAACTGCCACGACCTGCATGGCGGATTCCCGGGATTGACCCGCTCTTCGCCTCGACCCCAGACTTGCGCTTCGCGACCAGTTTCACCCCCCTCCGGAGACACGTCATAACATATACAAGGCATCAAGATGACGACGGAGAGTAAGTGCCCTACTTGCTACTGCTATAGCTGCGCGTCGCGACATGCTGACAAGTCATCCCCAGGCGTGAAACGGAAGGCGAGCGAGGAGCCGTCGTCGCCCTCCGCGGCGAAGCGTCTCAAGAATGAGGCGGGCGAGCCCGAAAAGAAACCGGTGATGAAGCCCATCCCGTTTCCCGAGAAGGTAAGCCAGCACGCGGCCTTCCAGAGCGCGCTTTGATACTTGTTACTCCCACTATTGCGTGGTTTGTGTGTTTCAGCACCGTTGGTTTGGTTTGCTGACGCGCGCATTATCCAGCCGGCTGTTATCGAGGAGCGCAACGGCGAGATTGAGTTCCGGGTAGTCAACAACGACAACGAACGCGAGAGCCTCATCATCCTGACAGGTCTCAAATGTATTTTCCAAAAGCAACTGCCAAAGATGCCCAAGGACTACATCGCACGTCTGGTGTACGACCGCACCCACCTGTCCATCGCGATCGTCAAGAAGCCCCTCGAGGTGGTTGGCGGCATCACATACCGGCCCTTCAAGGGTCGCCAATTCGCCGAAATTGTTTTTTGCGCCATCTCCTCGGATCAACAAGTCAAGGGGTACGGCGCGCATCTCATGTCCCATCTGAAAGACTACGTAAAAGCCACATCCGATGTGATGCACTTTCTTACCTATGCGGACAACTATGCGATTGGGTACTTCAAGAAGCAAGGGTTTACAAAGGAAATCACGCTTCCAAAGTCGGTATGGATGGGTTATATCAAGGACTACGAGGGCGGAACCATCATGCAGTGCAGCATGCTGCCCAAGATACGATATCTGGAGATGGGACGCATGCTTCTTAAGCAAAAGGAATGTGTCCACGCCAAGATACGCGCTTATTCAAAGTCTCACGTCGTCCATCAACCGCCTAAGCAGTGGAAGACGGGCAACGTGGAGCCGATCGACCCCCTGTCAATAGAGGCCATCCGGGCCTCTGGGTGGTCGCCCGACATGGACGAGCTCGCCCGGCAGCCGCGCCACGGGCCCAACTACAACCAGCTGCTGCACCTGCTCAACGACCTGCAAAACCACCAGAGCGCCTGGCCGTTCCTGGTGCCCGTCAACAAGGACGACGTGGCCGATTACTACGAGGTCATCAAGGAGCCCATGGACCTCAGCACCATGGAATCCAAGCTTGAGGCCGACCAGTACGCCACGCCCGAGGACTTCATCCGCGATGCGAAGCTCATCTACGACAACTGCCGTAAATACAACAACGAGAGCACGCCGTACGCCAAGAGCGCAAACAAGCTGGAAAAGTACATGTGGCAGCAGATCAAGGCCATCCCAGAGTGGTCGCACCTTGAGCCCTAGAAGTTCTCCACGGTGCAGGTACTTTCCATGCCCAGTGCAGCTTCGGGGCGTTTCGAGGATGTTGTTAACCCTTGCCGTTTTAGTAGCCAGCATTGCATTTGAGTTATATAGATACTTCGGGGCGTAGCATAGGGTCGGCTTTCTTTTGGATTTTAGGTATAGCGCAAGGATTCGGAGTTGGTCTGGGGTTTGCATGGTTGGGCGACATGACATACATGATTACAAGTTTTGATACCTCCATCCTCCACCCATGTCGTTCAGATATGGAAGGGGATTTGTCACCCCAATCAGTGGCACCTGTGTGAATCACAACAATTCTTTCAAAGCAAATGATCCAAACCATCAAGACGTGAGGTTTCACAATGCATCGTGTTAACTTCGCTTCGGGAGTATGACGCTGTACCTCTAAGACACATTCCGGACCGACACACATCAGAAACGTAGCAAAACACATTCCAACCCAGGATAGATCCATGCCCAACGCTATCATTTTGTGTCGTAGAGAGAAAAAAAAAGTATGACATTCGAGGTACTTATGAAAGAAAAGCAAAAGCAAACGCTCCGTGGTGAACTCCGGGGTGTGGGTTGGTCGTCGAGAGACTTTTGGCAAGACAAGCGAGTGTTTGTAAGTCGGAAGGGAGAGGGGAGGCCCCGAGAAACAGGAATATCTGCCCGTATCATGGAGACCAGTCTCCGACGAGGTGATGGAAAGTCGTGAGGGTATATAATCGAGAAATGAATCGGGGCCAGAAGAGGCTGTTCGCTCTGCTTCCTAGGCTCCAGGCGCCTCGGCCGCACGCGGGGCAAGGACGTCGTCAGGCCCGGCCTGAGCCAGTCGGCGTCCGCTGTACTGGGCCCAGCGCGTTCTGGGGGTGTGTTGCTGGCTCAGGGGGCTCGGCTGCGCGGGCCTGGAGGACGAGCCGGACGCTGACGGCGCCGATGGCTGCTGTTGCCGCAGCTGCTGGTGGAGCTCCGTGTCGAGGCTCCGCCGCAGCATGTCGTGCAGGAAATCCGGCACCTCGTGCCACTGGCCGTTGCGAGCCGCCTCGACGATCCGCGGAGGGAAAATCTCCTCTGGGCTCATGGGCGCGTCGCGCTGGGACAGCTGGGCAATCTGGTCTGCCACGAGGGGGAACTCCCCCGTCTCCATGGCGTACTTGAGCCACTGCTCCCAGTCCTCGTCGAGGGGCTGGGATGTGTCGCCCGCATTGTGTGCCGCCACCCGCTCTCTGAGGCGCTGGTTCAGCTCCACGCCGATGCTCTCCAGCTCCTCGTCGCTCTCGTACGGCTCATCCATGGCCTCGTCTCCGTCACCGTCCTGCGCCTCCGTCTCGTCCGTCTGCTCGCGCGGGCTCTGGCTGACCGGGCGTTGCTCCGGGGCCACCCATGGAGGAATGCCGTCTGCGCCGGTGTCCCTGATGGCGAAGCCCTGCTCCTTCTCGAACCGCTCTTTCGCCCACCTCGTGCCTTCCCACTTGGTCAGACCGGCGATTTCAGAGGGCGTCAGGCGAAGCGCGTCGAAAGCCCGGAAGAGGCGCCTATGCCATGGCCAGCGGCTCAGGCGCACGCGGTGTGTGGGGTGGCAGTAGTCAAGGCCTGGGTACTTGGCCTCGTGAGTGTCGATGTGGCCGTAGAAGGCCTGGACCTCTTGACGGACTTCGTAGATGAGGTATCTGGTCAAGACGGCAGGGAAGTTGGGGGGGTCCGACGGCTTACGCCGAGGAAACATGTACTCGAAGACGAGATCTGCGACAGGTCTGCCCTTCATTGTGTAGTCCTTGTCATGAATCAGGTACCATAAGAGGTATAAGATTGCGATCTCGCGGTCGTACAGGCCAGAGACCAACCGATGCCTCTTTTGAGATATTCCAGGGCCGTCCTTGGGTTGATATGTGGCTAGCTTGACGCAGCGGTATCGGAAATGTGGCTCTGGCAACAACAACAAAGGCTTGGGTCTCGCCCTTTGTCTGCAGACGGATATGTGCGACGCGCAAGACACGAGGACTGCAGTGAAAGGATACAATTATCGATCGTGACGAGGGGTGACGAGGCTGGTATTTATGGCGACGTGAGTGATCCTGCTGGCTCGGCGATTCCGTTACTGGCTAGGGTCGGTCACAGGTGTAGGGTAGATCGTCCGGTCTGGAGGAGTGAATCGCACAGGGTCGGTCTAGTCTGGCACTTGCTTGGAGAGGTGCGAGCAGCGTTTTGTCAAGGAGTATTTCAAGGTGGTCCGGCAGTGGTTACTGAGAGGGTGCGTTTCGAGGAAGAGAGGTGTCGGGGAGAGAAAGAGAAGGGATCACGGAAGGGAAGATTCGGAGAGGGATGTCAGAGGGTGGTGGGACAAAGGCGACTTCAAGTACGGTAAGTAATGTACTCTATGGATCATCTGTCTGAAGCAGTGGTGGACTTGGTAGTGGGAAATGGCCCGCGTAGCCCGCCCTGAGAACCACCTGGAAGACTGGGCACACGCCTCCAGAGGGCTTCGAAGAACCAGCCCGCCGGCCACTCTCCCCAGGCCGGCACGTCCCTTACCCACGAACCGAACGGCGTGTTACCCACCTCGAACAGTCGCACAGCGCCTTGATTGATTTGTTTGCAGGTGCCTGGCATGGATGATGGGTGGATGGGTGGATGGGTGGATGGGGGATGGGGGATGGGCTCCCACGCTGGGCCATGCATCATCAGTGCCAACCACTGGGTGTACTTTGTATTTTAGTTGCATATGGATGCACCAACCCAGATTCTAGCCATTGCGATATCGCCCGGAGACAGTTGGAATCCACATCCATGGATGGACGGGTCTGAACGGCCAGGAATGTCCCCGGAACCCCTGATGCCAGTGGCTAGTCCGCACACTAATTTGCGGGTTCACGGGGTCTCCCCCCCCTCCTAGTACCCCTAGCACGCCATCTTTTCCAGGCAGGGTATCGGGGATGTACCACCTTAGTGAACTCAGCAAGATCGATCAATACTGTGCCTCTCGGGTCGGGCTGTGTGTTTGGAGTACCTAGTGAATTTACTCACGTTGCACTTGTCAGATCCGTTCTTGTCAACTTGACACCAGCATCGGTCGATGCGATGGGGGAACACCGTCTTGCGCCGTCGCCCGTGGAGATGTGTGCAAAGTGTGTCACTCATGTCTTCAGGTATGAAGTTTGATATGTGACTGACCGTGCTTTGACATACATACACACACACACACACACACACACATACATACATACCAACATGCTCTGTAACTTTACCAAACTCTCCTGACTACCGGTAGGGACGGAGGGACGAGACCCTTGCAAGGTTACATATCACCAAACAACCTTGGTAGCGGTACTGGACCTGTGGTGGCCCTCCTGCGACTTGAGCCATCCATCACACATACCCGGACGGATAGCAGCCCCGCGTGTACCTACGCTTTCTTCCGCATAATGATACGTCGGCTTCCTTGCTCGGCTGTCGACAGACGGAGCGCCTATCTTTTGGATGCACTTGGTCATTGAATAACGGTGCATAGTTACAAGTACAAGAAGAGCAAAAGGAAGGATCATGGTCTCTGCCAACCTGGATCGAATCATCGAGAGTGCTGTGCCTGAATCCTTACTAGCCTTTCCCGGAAAGCCAACAATTGAGACGACTACGAATCATGAACAAAGCGCCGAGCTGTGACCACTCACATTCAGGCGTCTCTCGAGAACCAAGATCACCAACAGCGCGCTCTGCACTGGCCATTCATTGCTGCTCCTTCAGCTCCCATGCCGGCGCATGGGCGCCAACCTGACAGCCACACACACGCCCCTCTCCAACATGGCAAACGATGAACCCCCAAGATGGCTCTCCCTCCGCTTTCAGAATGAGACACTTGCCCGCAAGGCGACTTGTAATACGGGCCAGGCAGGCTCTTCCGATCATGATCATGGCACAATGTCAGCCATCCCGCCAGGTGAGCTTCCTTCCGTGGCCTCGGCCTCTCCATGGCCAGCCACGTCCATGACCCCGGCACTGTCGTGGCCGCAAAACCGGACGAGCGATCCTGAGCTATTTGCAATGCGTCTGCCAGGCCTAGCAGCCAGACCCCGTAAGCACGCAGCTAGCGAGATCAGACATTCGTGTTGATAGGCCAAAGGCCACTCTCTACCTCTACACGATGCCACCTCGGACAGAGTCCCGTGGGCGGGCCGGCCACTTTTCTCTCCCAAGCGTCACGCGGGAGTTGAGCATTTCGGCTGGGGGAAAGAAAAAACCGCTCGTACCGGGCTCCAACTCCGACCTCCTCACTCCTCCCCTCCCCACTCGTCAAATTACATTATGGAGGAGCCCTTGGGCCCACGGCACCGGACGCGCGCAGGATGGCCACGCCCAATAAGCTTAGATAAACCCCCGAGCGGCCCTCTGAAGCGGCCCGGCCGCCACCCGGCCGCATGTGCGGCGGCCCACAGACCGCCTGGCGAGCAGGGCTATTCCGGGCATCCGAGTGGCTGGCGCCTCCTTTCCGTGCCAATATCACGGGGCTGGCTCGTCGACCCGGCCGCTCTGGCCGGCCCGTTTGCTCATCTCGGTAGCCCGTCACCAGCGAGGATTTGCAAATTGGATAGAGCGCCGGGCCTTGCGTACAATGTGGTGGTAATAAGACGGTTTGACGGCGTGAACACCCCACAGCAGGTGGACGGATGCCAAGTAGGATCGGCTCTCAGCCACCAACCGCCATCGCTACGCGGCGCTAGATGCAGACCGTCGAGTAGACCAGGATGCCTGTCATGATAGAGAGTAAGCAATCCTTGCAGGAACGGCCGAAGGAGCCCATGTCTTGATGGAGCAGAGTACAGCGCCCAGCCATCTCACCCTACCCAAGGCCAGATTTAGGGAGGTCGATTATTTTGAGAACCAACAGCCACAATAAGCATGTTAGCTCCAATCAGTATGTTCGACAGTGTAGAGAATGAGCCTGCTGGTCTTGCATGCCAATTCAATGAGATGGAGATGCGGCAGTCGGTCTCAAGCCTGTTATTGCCTCCAGCCTCCCGCAGACCTCAACCTTGAGCTCATGTTGACAGTCACGGGGTTTCTGCCGGCAAACACGGCCTGGAAGCACAAGAATATCTGCAACTGACTTTTGCCAAGTAATGCAGCTGGCAACTGAGTTGACCGCTCTGTTGGAAGGTATCCCCATGTGCGACATGACTGGAGATATTGACTCCGGCGATCCAGACTCGCAGAGAAACGCACAATTTCTATATCAGCAAGTTTATAATCTAACCCCCACCCCCCCCCTCCCGCACCACACC